TGGAGAATTTTGCTCCAAACTTTCGATAATGTGCTGCTAGCAGATTTCCAAAGGTCTATAATTGAACCCAAAAATCCAAATTGTTTATGCAACTACCATCTTTCTCAAAACCTCTACAGTTAGTAAAAGGATCTCGCCATGGCAAAACTGCTCGAAATTCTGTGCCTTTTCGCCGCCATCGCACTTGTCGCCTCTGCGCCAGTTAGAGACCTTACATGTACGTTCATTACTCTCGATTTCAACAATACATGTTGACCAAAACACAGGGCGTGATGTCGATTTTCGTGGATCTTCATTAAGTGAACCGATCAAAGCCGTTTCCCTCAAGCGTGATACCGACTACGTTCGAAATCCTTTGAGCGACTGGGACACCCCACTTCCTGTCCGCGACGATGAAGCAATTGAGCCGGTTCCTCAGGCGGATCTCAAGCACTGATTATGTACAAGATACTGTTTGACAGATCGCACAGATGTGAAGGAGGAGATGCGTTCTTGGAGGAATCCGGGAATGTGATGAGAGATGAAAGGATGAGGATGTTTTATTTCAATAGTACTTGCCTTAGTGATTACGAGGAATGCCAGAGGAGTTTTCAAATCTTATTCAATTGCCATGACACAAAATCTTCTTTTCTATAACTCCAGGCAAAGATATAAGGGAACATGAGAGTCTTTGATTCATCTACGTAAAAATTCAAGACGTACCACAAGGCCCACAAACTAGTTCAATTTTCCAGCTTCAATCAGGGCTCTTGAATCTTTTCCAGGTATTGATTTAGCTTTGGTAAGCCTTGGATGCCTTCTTGAAATGAAGGGTATGCACCACTTGATAATTTGAAGGTCCATATGAAAGCCTTGCCAGCTCAAATATTGCACATCGCAAGATGTGCATCACAGCTTTGGTAGCTATACTCTAAGATGCTGAAAGTAAAATGATAAAGTTTAGGTCATATAGATTCTGAGATACCGTGTTATCAACTTAATCTACTCAACATGCTGACCTGGACGAAGCCATGCAGTTTTGGACATCTCTTCATAAGGTGATCCAGGTGGACAGAAGCGATATCTGTCCAATTCGCGGAACCCGTCCTCTCTTATTTCTCCAACATGCTTCCAGCAAGCAGTATGCTCATCAGCCCAGACCTCCAGCTGTTTCCAATCACGACACATTCGCACCTGGCCCAGGCCACTTTTCTGGTCTTCTTGAAATCCTGTGTATCGTGGAGTATCATCCGCATTACACATGACTTCATCGCGAAGTACATTCAAGCAGTGTATGACATGAAGATATGGTGAACTCTGTGGCGTGTTATTGTGGAACTCTACAACTGATGTTCGGATCGTTTTCTAGATTATCCATGAGCTTGATCCTTCTGCGAGATTTTCAAATGATTGACTTACAACACAATGTATGTTGTGGTACGCATTTATAAGGTAGATACCTTTTGACTGATCCCAGGGAAATCTCTGAGCTCTGGGGAGTCCCATCTCCTTCGCATAGTCATCGGCAAGTGCAATTTGACCACGATCGTAGCTTGTTTCGTCCCAGAGAAATTCCTGATCGGTTTCATTGGCACCACTATTCGAAGTCCATGCCTTTGGGATTGTTCTTGTTAACCCGGCTGAGAATAAATGATCAGTACTTTGCTATGGTGAACTTGTGACCGGCAAAAATGGGTAGGAGATAACAAACCGAATTTCGAAGTCTCTAAACACTTGGTGAGATCTTTCCTAGCTGTTATGGCAACTACAAAGCCGAGATTAACAATAAGAGAAGAGAAGAACAGAAACCACGAGATATTCATGCGAAGAAAACTTCCTGGAGCATGATGATCGGGTGTCTCATAAAACTTTTCGACTTCTGAAGAGTCGTTCCTTGAAGGGCTCTTTGAGCGAAGAGCACGATACATTTTGGTCTATTGAACGAGGATACTTAAAAGACTTCGTGTCTTTCATCAGTGAATTAGGACAAACACATTCTGAGAATTTACGTTCCTGTACCCAATTTAACCAGGGGTTTCTGAGCTTTAAAGCAGCATGATGTCTCCACACGACTGTCTGATTCTTCTGGTCATAACGAGATGACAAGCGTTACATTTGCTGCGTCATTAGAAATATGTAAGCCCTCGATGTAGAAGAGAGGCGTGGCCGAGATAAGAATTTGTGCCGGGTGGTATGTAGCTACGCCGCACGACCCACAAAAGTACATACTCTTTTGATGATCCACGATCGAATCAAACATCTGCCGACACCAACATTAGGGGTGTTGGTCTGTGAATGATTGTAGAAGAAAGTGCATCGAAATCTTAAAGTATACCTAGGTAGACTCTAATACCCATGTCTTATCTGTAGCTCAAGTCAACATACTTAGCGTTGTTACTGCTGACAAGCTTTTCTCCAAGGCGATCACAGGCCTGATTGATTCTACCCCTGTATACGCAAGTATCGTTCCGAGGACAAAGCGATACATACCTGCCTACAGTAGCTTTGAACCCTTGAATTGAAAGACCTGTTACCGTAGGAAACAACTAATTGTTACGATTTATAGGTCTTTTCGTTCTAGCTACCTAGCCCCGGAGCGATTGAGCTTCTCCCAATATGGTTAATAAATCTCGTGGGAAACCATTCCATTAGCAAGACTGCAGTAACATGAAATTGCAAAGATCCCTAGTCTTTCATTAGCGATCTGGCAAGCGAACGGCGGTCATTCATGACACAGTCCGAGATTGAGAGATTTTAGTATAACGCCCTTTGCTGATCGAGTCGGGGAAGTTGTGAAATTGTTTTCTCCACACCACCCTCATCAACCTTGTCTCTTTTATTCCTCATCGCGCAATGCATACTTTCAGGCTCTTTTGAGAATCTTTGAAATTGGAATGGGAATGAATGAACAAAATGCAAGTTTAGATTACTAAGTTTCGATGTTGTATTGCCGGCTTTTCTTCGGGCTGCCCAACAGTTGGATGGCTCAAATACAAAACATTTTCTCGAACATAATAGTAAGTTCTGCACCTTGTCTTGAGTTATTTTACTAGCCAAGCTTACGCCAATAATGGACAATCCGGCGCTTGACGTTTCCCTGCAGAAAGAAGCATTGGCAACAAAATCAGACCATGACACCGCCGCACCCTCAGAAAAACCGAACGTTTCGACCACTGAAACCGACGCCCTAGAAAATGATGCAAATATCGTTGATCTCGACGAGAATGAACCAGAACATCCCCTCAACTGGCCCTTGTGGCGGAAATGGTCAATCGTTAGCTGTACGGCACTGATGTTCATGTTGGTGTATGTTGATCTTTTTGTTCAACTGGTCCCTCGCCCCAAGCTTGCGCGATTTCCATAATTCTCATACCAAATATCTAACGAGATCTCATATAGTAACTTGGGCACCATCACTATTGTTCCAGCAGTGCCAAGAGTAATGGAAGAGTTTCATGTTACAAACGAGTTATACTCAACTTTGCTCGTGTCCATCTGGGAGCTTGGTGAAGTCTTCGGACCTTTCTTAGTGGGACCTCTGTCGGAAGTCTATGGGCGAATGCCTGTATATCATGCTGGAAATATTCTGTTCATTCTGTGTCTTACAGGAGGGGCTCTGAGTACCAATATGTCCATGCTCATCGCTTTTCGTTTTCTATGCGGACTGGTCGTTTGCTCTGTGACTTTAGGGCCCAGTATCGTTGGGGACCTCTTCAGAAAAGAAGATCGTGGTACCGCCATGTCAGTAGCCATCGCCTTTCCACTACTCGGGCCATTTGCAGGACCGGTCGTTGGGTCTTATGTCACTGAAGCAAAAGGCTGGCGATGGAGTATCTGGATTGTTGTGATTGCCGTAGGAGCAGTAACTTGTTTTGGATTTCTTACATTTCGAGAAACATACAAGGTGAAACTTGTGCAACGAAAAGTAGAGAGACTTCGCAAAAGTACTGGCAACGAAAATCTGCGATCGAAGTATGGAAGTTCGGAGAAACATGCGGATTTGAAGGATTCTTTGTTACGGCCAATTAAAATGCTGTTCCTTTCGCCAATCGTGTTTATTATATCTTTCTTCACGGCTTTAGTTTATGGAATTTCTTATGTTATTCTTACCACTCTCACTCCAATATTAGAGGATAATTACGGACTTGGCCAAGGCCCTGTGGGACTTGCATTTTTGGGAAGAGGTATGAATTTTCGTTCTTTTGTCGGATATGTAAGAATGAGACTAACTGATGTCAGCTGCTGGAAATGTTATAGCTATGCTGCTCTATGCCATGGTCTCCGACCGATACATCAAGTACAAAAGGTCACAAGAAGGACATCTAAAACCCGAGCATCGGCTTCCCCTCATGCTTTTTGGTGCCATAGTTCTTCCCGTCGGTCTTTTTCTCTACGGTTGGTCTGCCGAAAAGCACGTGCATTGGATCGTTCCTATTATTGGGACTGCAATCGTGGGCTTTAGTTTCATATTGTCAATACTTCCCACAGAGAACTATCTCGTCGATGTACACGAACTACATGCAGCCTCGGCAGTGGCTGTGTGCTGTATACTTCGTGCATTATTTGCTGCCATCCTACCGCTCGTTGGACCACCTTTGTATAACCGATTGGGGCTCGGATGGGGTAATTCGTTGTTGGCTTTTATTTGTATTGCTTTCTTACCTGCACTTGTGGCGTTGATGATTTATGGAGAAAGAATGAGGAAGAATTCGAGATTCCATTAGTTTTCTTTACACAAAACCGAATAAACTTACGTTGTTGTCAAGGGATTGCGGAAAGTCTTTCCGAAAGACATAATCATCCGCGATCTGCCAGAATACTGCTTACGCCAAGTCAGAGTCAGTGAGACTCATTCTCACTACAATACGATCTCGACCTCGTGATGTTTTGGTATATTTGAAAAATGATTCCCAGTAATTAAGCGTCTTTTCATGCGGTAGGTAACGCAGTCAATAGACATCTATATCTTCTGATCCATCGATTGAGTATGAGGCACTGAAACAATTTTCTCAAAATTCAAGATGTACCAGTCCCTGACTCTCCAGATACTTTTGTCGTTCGTTGTGACAAGATCTCTAGCATCGATTATCCCAAACATCCCAAACAGATCCCTATCGACTCGAGAATGCCGAAATATCTCACCAACTTGGATCTCTCAAATATCAAGCGTCGCTCCTAATGCAAGCTACTCAAATGCTATAAGTAGCAATGGTGCTGGTTCATTCTTCGTATACCAGAATTCCAGTAAATCTCCTTATGTTTCTATTCCCACTCTCACATTTACCGTAATTTGATTGTTAACGCGATATCCAGCTACCGCTCTTCTCCAATACATATCCTTCACAATCCCTTCATCCACACAGAACCCCTCTACCACAAACCAGACTTGCACCCTTGCTGCTACCTTCCCATTTTTCGAGTCGCAATATCTAGGCTGGTCACTTTCCTCGCCAAATCCACCCACACTCGATATCTCTGTCATCTCCCCGCCCTCCAATGCTCCATTCGATATCCCACCAACCTGGACTTCAACCTTCTTTCCCGAAAATTCTGACCCCCTCAGCACTTTGGAGTACTTACGCCAGTAGTGCGTCTCGATACAACGGTCAATTCATTGCCTTGTCCTAAGAATGGTGTGCTGAGTTTTGTATTTCGGTTTGCGGAAGGTGTTGTGGGGAATAAGAATGTATATGAGATATGGCCACAGTATGCAGCGGGGTTATCATCAGGTTTACCAATGACAGGTGTTTATCTAAGTGTGTGCTGATTTTGGAGGATGGTAGTCGTGGGTATGGTAACTTCTGCACGGAATGAAGTCCTTTAGTGCCGAAGTCACTCGACTCTTAGCTTGAAATGAAAACCTTCTGGAAGGACTTATCTGTAACCCAATGTCAATGTGCCACGATCATCTCGATATGTTTTTCACCTGCCTCAAATTCTTATTCTGCGATTTGCAACTCTCCTTTTCAGCTAAAGCTTTCTACTCCACGTACCTCAGACGGGAATAAACCAATCGTGCTCAATACAGTCAAATCCTATGAACATTCTTCCATCTTCCAGATCCTGATTGTCACAATCATCAGTAAATAACTACATGCGTATCATACGATGATGAGATGAGTTGAAAAAACGCATGCCTAAACACTTGCCATTGGCTCCTCTTCCACCGCAATATGCACATCGCAGTCGTCACTAGAAATTTTAGGAAGAGAATACATGCACCTTGTACTCTCCATTCAGGGAATCCCCACGACAGTCACGACACTAACGAGTGAGGGCTTGCCTTATTTATATCTACACATTCCGGTGACTTGCAATCACATCCTTGATGAACTCCAACCGTGCATCATCCCCCTCACATTCATCCACTGTAGCAACCGGCTATTCATTACCATCAGTAGCCGGGCACTCAACTTCTTCTCCTTGCTCTCCAAACGGCTTTACATTACAATTAGAAACCAAACATGTGTAATACACAAAGTCGAATCCAACAATAGGAAGAGAAACTCTTCCCCGATTGAAAGCCGTAAATCCTCCATAATCAGCATAAGCTTCTCTGGACCCAAGTGAGATATCCGCCTGAGTGGACGTATGACATTGCCCTGAAGTCCCCGATAATTCGCCATTAGATGCTTAACCGCAGAACCAAAAACATTCTACAGAGAAGTTGGAGAACGAAGTTGACATGTCTCGAGTCATCGGGTTTTGCTCACCTATGACTTTTATGCAGTGACATGTAACAGACATACGATTTAGTAGTGCTGGACTAAGATTCACAGTACTGTCGAATGAAGAGGACGTTTGTGTTTGCACTTGCAAATCTGAGGTGGAAAACCAATACCCAGACGGCACTATACATGCGAGAAGTAGACCCCGGGTTCGAGCTCAAACTAGAAGTTGTGGTGTTGGTGTGACACAACGGATATTTGGCGCGAGCTGTTGGATGTGTGATTACTATGGTAATGCTCAGGCTTTGTCATCGTGGGATCTGAGGGAGTGCCGATTCTGATGATGGCGAGTGATAGTGATATTATCAATAACGAGTGAAACAACTATTATTCAACACTAGGTGGAATTCCTGCTGCCTAGATATGAGCTAAACTGTCTGGCCTTGGCGAGAGGTTTACCTGATGCGCATCGACGCCTCACAAACACGCTGAATTGTCGCACACTAACAGTTGTTACGCACTTGGAGTAGCATTTCCCAACCGATTAAGAAGAACAACCTCTTGTATTCGCAATCTGGAACTTTGGTACAGTGATCATATATTGATACTCGCTTGGTATGTTTTGCTTTCTGCATCTTCACAATCATGCAACGGTTGTTTCTTTCCCATAAGCTTTTCTTAATGAGCCTTTGAATACTCATAGAAATTTTCCTGCCCCAGTAAAGCACTTAGGTGGAAGCATCGATTTGTGTATCACTAGAAAACTGACAACAGTCGCCGTTGTACATTTGAAATCACATCGAGTCTTGATATGCAATCCCAATTCAGATATAAAGATTAAGGATTCTCATCCTGCTTCGATTTTCAAGGCTACTAGGAAATCATACACTTGAATCAGAATTGCGCACGGGTCATCTGGTTTGTAAAAGAGCCACTGTTAAGCCAAGAAAACTGGTGGTTATATGTTTGCACAGCCCGAAACATCAGACATGCAACATAAGTCACAAATAAAGGTCTGTGAACATGAGGCTGAGGTTATTGCCCAGGTGTAGTTTGAAAAGTATGTCATATAGAAATTGAATCCGTACGTAATATGAAGATCATAAATCAAAAGCTAAAGAAATTCATTATCATGGATCGATCATAACCTGCTATGAAAACACACGCACCCAAGTCTCTCCATGCAATCCAGTCTAACGCCTTTCCCCCAATGATAGAGGTATCATAAGTCAGTTTAAAAGAAATCCGTCAATATTGTTGGTAACCTCCTTGAGCAACCTCTTGTGGCGCATATCCCCTTTGCATCGGCATCTGTCCTTGTTGTACTTGTGGGCGTCTCATTGCTCCTGGTAAGTCGTTGAACCATGGATGGCTTAGAGCATCATGTGCGCTGATTCTCAATTCTGGTCTTAATTGCAACATTCTCTGCAGAAGGTCGATACCAACCGCATCAATTTGAGGTAAAATAACTCGTAGATCTTGAGTTGCATACATCTGAAAGTTTGACTTGTACTCGGTAAATTGAGAGATTCCAGGCCATGTTCGCTCAGACGGTGTTCCCATGATCCTGAAAATTCGTACCAACTGATCCTCATTGGTTGTTCCAGGAAACAAGGGACGCCCAGTATACATTTCTGCCATAATGCACCCCGCAGACCAAATGTCAATACTGGTATTGTAGGTTCGGCTTCCAAGGAGGACATCTGGTGCTCTGTACCATAAAGTAACCACCTCGTTAGAGAAAGTGTTGACAGGGATACCGAATGCACGCGCAAGACCAAAATCTGCAAGTTTGAGTTGGCCTTTCATGTTGATGAGGAGGTTTTGGGGCTTTAGATCTCTGTGAAGGACTCGATTTTGATGACAAAAGTCGATTCCCTTAAGGAGCTGGTGCATGAATGATTTGATCGTAGGAGGTGGTAAAGCTCCTCTATCTCCTGCAGTGTCCATGTATTTCTTCAAGTCCTTGTCCATATGTTCAAAAACCAACATGAGTTTATTCTCGGTATGTATGACATCGTGTAAGCTGACAATGTTCTCATGTTTCAACTCTTTCATCAAGGAAATTTCTCTGATCGCAGTCGATGGTGTACCTTCTTCGGAATCGAGGTGGATCTCCTTCAAAGCGACAAGTTCACCAGTCTGTCTGTTTCTACCTTTAAAAACCTTGTATGAGTCAGTATCGAAGAACATCTACAAGTCCGCTGCAAGAAGAGCCCTTGTTAGGATAGTATATCAAGCGCAGATCGCGCTGCGCTACATGGATCTCAAGATTCCCCTCTTGTACTCACAGTAGCGTAGGTGCCCTCTCCTAACTTCTCTAGCTGCTGGAAGGAACTGGGGTGTTTCCTATTGTCCATTTTGTCTGTAAGGTGTTCGGTATCAAGATCTTGTATGCTGATAGAACTTGGCAGAGAGTGGGGAAGTCGCTGCGCAGTTGGAGAAGGGGGAAATGTGTGAGGAGGCTTTAGTAAAGATCTTTTGCGAACTGTATTGAATAAAATGGACTTTGGGGTGCAAGTTTGCTCTAGAATCGACAGCGCGTCTTTCGACCCGTGAGAAGCCGTTTTGATTGATTGTAATAAAATTGGAGATCTTTCCCGGTGGAAAAGAAAACCGGAGCAAAATGATGTAGGGATTAATTCACTCGAGAAACGATCGTCGGGAAATGCTTCCAATTATCGTTCATGTACAGTCCAGTGAGGGTGGTACAATAGGAAGAATGATGGACGAAAGTAACCATATTGAGTTTAGCCATTTACTAATATCCGATTTTGGGTATATTACACCGAATAAGGCGCTTAAACTCGAAATATCAAGCGCGTAATAATAAGGTTGATGTGAAATAAGGTTGATATAAAACTGATGCCTTATCTTATCTCACATTGGTGCCTCAGCACGTGCCCGAGTGCTTTTGACGCTAATGTCGGTATCATTTTAGTACAGATCGGAGTTAGGTAAGATTCACCGCTAATCGGCTCCTGTACTTTTGGCTGGTTAGGCTTTGGTTCCATGAATGAATCAGGAATCAGGATCTCTTCTTCCTATATTCAATATCACGCGGCGGGGTACTAGTATTGTTACATGCCTACCCAAGCAACCGTGCTACAACTTACGAGACAACTTCAATTCTCAATAAAGGGATTGTTTAAATACCTTCACTTTTCTAAGAAATCACCATACAATAGGTTTCAAAGCATTTGAAGCATGATAAGAACTTGATCCCCGCTTCTCCACAAACAACTCCTTATCAAACAATCCAAAATGCGCCCTTTACCAGGCGACGATGCTTACAGGGGGAGATCTCGGAGTAGGAGTATCAATGATAACGACATAACACCACTTGCAACAAGAACACAAGCTCCGCAGATGAGCTATTTCCTTACAGATGAGAGAACATTAGAATCCGGAGAAGCTCAGCCTATTCGTGTTCCATTAAAACATCGAGATTCTTTGAAAAATAGTACATACGGTGTGGAGAGTATCGACACTACAATTAGCTCTTTCTCTGAAGGTAGCGGTGATGAGGATGGAAAGTATGACAGGGCTAGGGAGAAGTTCAAGAAGAATTTGGCAGAAAAGTTACAATCTGTAGGAAATTCGAGATCTCGTTCCCGAAAGGCATCCTACGATCTTAGTGGAACTACTTCTCCAGTCCGTCCTTCAACCACCGAAGCCTCCAGACCTTATACTCCCATTTCCTTATATTCCGCCGCTGGAGAATCTATTATAAGTAGTCCTGGTTCGAGAATATCAGATACTGAATCATTAAATGACGAAATATTAAGTCAGGCTATTGTATCTGGTGAAGAAGATGAACAGAATGCGCCGGCAATGATGGATAGCTGCTCTGACCCTCAACTAGTTATGCCGAGTATAAAAATGCCTAGTAGACGACCATTTACTGAGAAGGGAAAGAACATGGGCAGGTTGAAGGTATTAATCGCTGGAGATTCAGGTAAATAAACCACACTCCATCACATCTCACTCTTCTGACATTCTTTAGGTGTTGGCAAGACGTCCTTAATCAAAGCAATAGTACAAGTTTGTGAAGATATAGTCCATGTCGATCCTCTATCTACTTCATTATCCCCAGTCTCCGAGAAACGACGACATTCCAAAAATAAAGCTAAATCTGGAGGTGGCAATATGCAGACTACAACTCAGATCACTGAAATATATGCTAGTACCAAGGCATATCCTAGTTGGTGGTCGGAAGTTGACGAAAGTAAGGTCCTACGTCGACGAAAGAGTATGGGTGATTCAGTTCTAGAAAGAAATTTATGCTTTGTTGATACCCCTGGTTATGGAGACAAGACTTCCGTGAGCTTCGTCTTTCTGTTATGGCTATACTATCAGCTAATTAATCTAGTGCCTTGAAGTGATTTCTCCAGTCGTTGATTATATCGAGTCTCAGTTTCAGAAAGTTGAATCCAAAGATGGCATGACTGATTCTGATATGATACATTTGCTTGGTGGAAATGGCGGTTCTCAAGTGGATGTCGTATTCTACATCATCGTAAATCGTAAGTCTTGGGGAACTTACTATCTAGACAAATAATTAACCCTTAACCAGGAATCAAACCTGTTGATATTGAATATCTACGACGCATATCTTCGATGACAAATGTCATACCTCTTATAGCACGATCAGAAGTTTTGTCGCTTGAGGACCTTGCCAGCGTCAAAAGGCATGTATTGAGCGAGCTTCAGGCTGCCAATATACGGCCATTTCTCTTTGGCTTATCCTTTGACGATGCTCTACAATCCTCTCAACCAGCTGCACCTTACGCTATATCCACTATGTTGTCAAAGACCATGAGACCATGGATGCTAGCTTTCTCATGAACCCTGAATACGTTCAACCGTTAGTTCAGTCAGAGCTAGCAGCTCTTGTCGATCAATTATTTGAGCCAGATAGCATAGCATGGCTCAGAAATTCGGCAGCGAAGAAATTTGTAGCATGGCGGAATAATCAATCAATGCAGAAGCCACAAAGTTTATATCGACCTCTTGCGCAATCAATGATGTCATCATCTACCTCACAAGTTCTTACTGCGCCTGTTGGTGCTACAACATCTTACGCGTTGGCTCGTATAACAGATCATACTCAACGTGAAGAGAGGCTCGCACAAGTAAGACTTTCGAATTGGGCCATTGATTTACAAAGGAGTCTTCAGAATGAGCGTGCTAGATTCGAAACTTTAGCCCGGAGTGAAAGAGCGGTGTGGTTGACAGAGAGACTCGGGGAATGTGTACAGGATGGCACACTTGTGCCAATCTCTCAAGCGCGCCAACCTCAATGGAATTCTGCTACTGGAGCTTTAGTCAAGCGGGGAAAATATTCTCGAACATCTTCTAACTCGATCTTGAATACAAATGATCCCCTTGGGATTTTAGAATTTAACGAAGACATGAAACGACGAGGTATCATCGCACTACAAGTAGTGAGTAGCTTTGGGATCATTGGTGGCTTGGCATTTTGGATCAACCGCAATTGGCAACCCAGTGGTGCCAGCATTTGGGGATTAGATTGGACTGGCATCCAAAAATTTGTGGACTGGAGATGAAATTCACGATTGAGATGCATTTAGCGATTTGGCTGTACTTGGTGCAAGGTGGTTAAGATAGTTTATTCAATTCGTGGGATGGGCCCACGGGCATTTCTGGTGTTTCTTGATGCATTTTTTCGCAGTGGGGTTTATGGGCATGATGATACGATATTACATGAAGGGGTAGGAATCTCGATGGAGAATATGTGTATTGCATTGTTAGTATTTGTAACCTGCTGGTGCAAATGCGAGATTCGTGGCTTTGAAGCTGATGCGCGAGCAAAAGAGATACCAGTTAAATAGCATATCAAATTTTAATAGTTATTTTGTCAACCCAGTCAAGTATGATTGGTCTCTCTTACAGCTTCTCATTGGTTTGAATTTGGGGGTGAGCTTACCTATTGATTTAGATACGTACCTCGAGTCATTGGTTCGTATTTATCTCAATCATCCCTAAGTTTCGCAAGGCATAAGGGCCTTGAAACTACATGTACAGTCGCAAATCCTCAATCTGAGATATTCTGCATTTTTCGTTACATCGTACTGACATATTCTATAGTTGAAAAGGTCGAAATGAAAGAATTGATCTACACAACCGGCGATGGACATCTAGAACTTCATCGCAGAATTTTAATGATTGTCCAATTAAAGGTAAGGATGTATCTATCGCATTCAAGTCGTGATGTGCTGTACAATGATAGTAGTATGTCAGCTTCAAGATTATAGCGGTGCTGGGCTGCTCAGCATCTAGACTTTTACCGACCGACCGTATTACCGCAATTCCATTCTCGAGAAAATTTACAACATTCAAAACCCTGAGAACGTCTCCGAGCTTATTCTACAACAGATCTGAAAGGGTTAGAAAGACGCGCAAGCACCAATTTCACCGATTGATAATTAAGCAATTCTCCAATCCTCCCGCAAAGCTTAGTATCATTCTAAGGTTTCCACTGGTGTTCGTTTCTTCCTTCAGTAGGCTATGCCAAGTATTTTGTCACGATTAGATTATATCTTCCGTACTGTTTTCCTAGACGAGAGAAGAGGTGGTATTTCTGGAGATTCGGGGCTGTCAGACCTCCAAGCACGTGGTTGGGGGTTGTTTCGAGTTTTGGGTGGAAGGATTTTCTGGTTTTAATTACATTGTCTTATCGAGCTTATTACCCCTGAGATTATGCAGTATTTTTGAACTTCTGGATGGATAGTTCCGTTTGATATTGGGACCTTCTAGGAATGGTTTCTTACGTTTGTTTATACGATTAGCCTCTTGAAGGGTCTGGTTTCATATTTCTTGGGGAATCGTTTGATATGAAATCAAGTGCCTGTTTTTGGACGAAACAGAATCTTTTTATATACTCTATTCATTCCTCCGATCCTACTTATATTTTCTTGATCTCCATTATCGAATAGTTGTATCTGACCAGCTTGCGGAAAGCAACGAGAAGCTTCCCCAGAAAACAATATGTCATGATACTGGTGGCGCAAAGGAAGAAGGATCATAAAGTTGCTCAGTAATGAGATGAGGATGAGTGGCTTGCTGCAAGTGAAAGGCAAGTCTAGACTCCTTTCTTGATGTGCCAAGTATATATATATATATATGCCAAGATCATGTTCTTATAGTATCTCTTCTGCTTCATCAGTTCAAATATTGTATTCAAAATCGCGTTCTACTTTTTGCGTTTTTCATTATCACACTCCTTACAACTCAATTTCTTTATTGCAACATCGGCCGGTCCTTACTTTGATTTCCCCTCAAGCATTTTTGTATCATTGCAAGCAAACAATTCAATTTTTTAAACCCAAAATTACGCAAATTGACATCTATCATCATGCAATTCTCCAAGATCTCCGGCGCAACTGCCGCTCTCCTTATCTCCATGATCTCTGCTTCCCCCATCGCTCTCACTTCCGATGTCGTTCAGCACAGTGGATCCCACGTTAAACCTACCGGCTCCGTCGAACACTCCTTCAAGACCCACCCTACCGGTTCCTTCACTGCTAAGGAGCCCATCCCCACCGGCACAGAAGAGGAGGAGCCTAGATTCACCATCCACCCATCTGGTGGTAAGAACGAAGTCCACCACTTCCGACCATCTGGTGTTGAGTCTCATGATGGTTCCAAGCCAACTGGCCTTGCATCCAAAGCCCACGAAAGCAGCCACGCTAAACCAACTGGTCATTTCTCTAAAAGGGCTCTTGAAACCGATATTGTTGAAGGTGCTACTGCGAGCAAATCTCGTAAGGCAAAGCCCACTGGTAGTGGAAAGAAAGAACATGCCGACCCCTCTGCGACCTCTGTCTTCAAGAACGAGAAACCACATGAAAGTAGTCAGGCCAAAGTATCTGGAAAGGGCAGAAAGGAACATAAGAGCGAAGGTGCCAAACCCACTGGAGCTAAAGAGCATAAGCCACATGAAAGCGGACATGCTAAGGCATCTGGAAAGAACGGAAAGGATCATGAGTCCACTCATGCTAAGCCCACTGGAACCAAAGAGGCCTCTGCTCACGAATCCGGCAATGCCAAACCTTCTGGTGCCAAGGAACACTCCCAGGTTCACGAATCGAGCTATGCTAGGCCTACTGAACATAAAGAGCCAGCTCGTGCTGTTGAGAGCGGACACGTTAAACCAACTGGTACTCACGAGAGTGGACAAACCAAGCCAACTGGCAAAGGCGGCAAAGATCATGAGAGTAGACTAGCAAAGCCAACTGGCAAGGGAGACGAGGAGCATGAATCTGGCCACTCCAAACCAACCGGTAAGGGAGGCAAAGAACATCAATCCAAACACGTCAAACCTACCGGCACCAAAGAACATTCTCAAGCGCACCAATCCGGTCATGTCAAGCCTTCCAATCACAAGGAATCAGCTCGGGCTATTGAGAGCGGCCATGCTAAGCCCACTGGTGTTCATGTGCAAAAGCCTGAATTCACGGGTAAGATTGAAATTGATAGCAAGACTTTTGAATTTAAGACTGAAACGATGACGTTTGGAAGTAAGACGTTTATCGTTACAGGGGTTTTGCCTGAGGAGACTGGAAAGGTTAATATCCTTTAGAGATCTAATGATTGGGTTGTTTTAATTGGAGAGATTGATGTTGAGGGTGTTTTGTTTGTGAGATTGGTGATTTGGAGATGTTTCTTGGATTCTTTTTCTGTACTTTCGCAAGAGCACTTTTTGGTGAGGGCGTGGAAGGTATGTATTTCAGCGTCTGGGATGGCTGGTTTGGATTCTGTTGTTTGAATAGAGAGTTTAGTAGGATAAATTAGAAATAAAATTATGTATACGGGGATTTTGTGATATTGAATATCCAAATTTGTGACTTTTGAGATGAGGGTGTATTGTATACTCGGATATTGAATGTTGAATGGGAAACGAAATGCGCTTTCATCATGTAATACCGCTATGATATCATAAATCCATGTTTTTAAGCAATTTGTAATTCTCTGCGCTGTTCATGATCGTATGATTTGGATAGAATACACTGAAATGCTTTCTTACCAGCCTTCATCGCTGAAGGCGAGAGCTAATTTGGCGTGTTCTCGGGGTATTAGTCTTCCAGAATTGGGGTTCTTTGTACAGAATTTTAGGTATGAAGGAAGTGAAGAGAATGGAATGTAAAGCTTTAGAATGATCAATTTTTTAATCCGAATCGTAATTGTTCTCACATGAAGGGTTCAGACTCGGACTCAATTCCGGCGTTCAATAAAGGCTTTTGGATTTGACTTTGAAATTTAGCAACCGATCGTCTGAGGTGTGTATTTGAAATTCAAACGTTCAGAACCTTTCTTCTAGAAGTTCAGCTTCTTTGGTTGATGGATCAATGGCTTTTAGAAACGATCATTGATTCGTTCTTCACAATACAAGGAAGGTATGCAAAAGAAGCTAATGAAGCGCAGTAATTGGTGGAGTTCTGGTGAAGATCACGAGATCGCTGACTGAAGCACTTGCATCAATAGAATCCTTTAAGCACTGGCCGAATGACTCATTCTTCCCCCAGAATTCCCGACTCGTTTTCCCAACCCACTCTTTGCTCGGGGAAACAAATTGAGCTGGCCGTGAAGCGAATATCATAATAGGGGTCATGCAGCTTTGACCAAATCGTGAACAGTACGTGTAACCGTCAGTTCCAATGATCTGTTTTCGGCGTAGGGGTTGATGAGGGGTTTAGATATAAGAAGTTCAAAGTTGACCACAGTGAAAAGAGAAGCACAAAACATTGATGAGGATAAAATAGAACACACCTGTCGATACTAAAATCCCACCTAACACTATCAAGATGAATCCAGTCAATGCCAAGCCTTACGAGCTTCCAGCTGATGCAACCTGGTTGAGTGCGCTACTCCCCATCTCTCATTGCGAGTTTAAAAAAGGGAATGACTAATGTTTGTCGTGAAAAGTTACCGGCTGCTCATCTGGAATCGGCCGCGCCATCTCGGAATTAGTTGCCAGTAAACCTAATCAGCGTTTGGTTGCCACAGCTCGCAATCCATCCGACCTCGCTTACCTTCCCGACTCCAATCCTAATATTCTTAAACTCGCTCTCGACGTAACATCTGCTACGTCAGTGAATGAAGCATTTGCTACTGCTTCTAAGTATTTCGGTGACTCTTTCCATCTTGACATTGTTATTAATAATGCTGGTTACTCTCTTTCTGGAGATACCGAATCGGCAACTGAAGACGAAGCGCACTTAGAGGTCGAAACATTGTTTTTTGGTACAGCAAGAGTCACAATGAAGGCTGTTGAAGTTATGCGCCAGCATAAAGAACATCGTGGAGGGGTTATTTACCAGATTTCCTCCCTAGCTGGATTGTGTTCATTTCCTGGCAATGCTTATTACCACGCTGGTAAATATGCATTGGAAGGTTGGACTGAATCGGTTGCACGAGAAATGCATCCTGATTGGAATAGTATGTTGATAATTGCCTTTGTATTTCACTCTATTGTCTATTCCCACACAACTAACAGAACCTCTCTTCACTAGTCAATTTCTGTATAATCGAGCCCTCTGGTGTAAAAACCAACTTTGAAGGCCACAGCAAAGCTCACACTGCACCTCATCCCGCCTATTCTGCTCCCGATATGCCTGCTCGTATACTCGAGAAATGGGTGAACATGGGTATCAAGAGCGGTGTTGGTATGCTCGACCCTAATGGTATAGCAGAAACTATCTATCAAATAGCTAGTCGTGGGGAGAAAGTACCACTTCGACTTCCTTTGGGTCCAACGGCGTGGAAGTTGATTAGACAGAAATATGAGGGGTTTTTGGGAGAGTTGGATGCAGTTAAGGATATCAGTTTTATGGGGAAAGATACTTGACTTCAGGCAGTGAAATTCTCGGACGTGTGGGGAAAATTTCTCATGGCAATGCCGCACGATGAGATGGGTAGGGTGGAAGGTGTTGTAATTGAAAGAAATTTATCAACTTCACAAGTTAAGATTCTCAATCAATATACATTATACAGCGCTATTTTTATTACTTTTATCGCTGGATGGGCTGGTATATACTATCCTCATTTCCTTGCCTCGCGAATCGACCCGCACATAATCTGCTTATTTGTCTACTTGATTTGCTGCACCCGAAATTATCATCCTCATTTTCGTGCTTCTAGGAAGTTTCTCTAAGGCTTTCGAAATGTGATATTTGAAGCCCCGCTTTTTTCTATCGTGATGAGGTTTCCAGAATATTTTCGATGTTCCCATTTCTCTCTCTCGCTGCATGTTTACTTCAACTAATCGTCTGGCTAAATCAGATGCCGAAAGTTCCTCCTGATGCCCAGAAAGATCCTCATCTGACCATCGAGTAATGGAGGGTTCTAGAGGGGTCCAACTCTGGTCAATCATCAGTCTATCCTCTAAGTTGTAGCCGGGTTGAAGCTTATTGTCTTCTCCTTTATCCGAATCGAAGGCGCACTCAGCCATGCTGTCTTCGAGTTCATTATCTAAGTTATAAATCTCCTCTTCGTCTTCCTCCTGTATAACTGGCAGATCAGGGCTTCGTGATCGTACATGACCTTGTCGGAACCGATCGAAGTCGATCTCGACTGGGGAACTTATGCAATAATTGTCGTCTGTATCATCTGACAAGTTGTCGTGGCTCAGATCAAATGCAGGTGATTGAAATGAAGTGCCAGAATTGACTCTGGTGGAAGATTTATTTCCTTGTTTATATAATGATGGTGTATGAAGCGGATCATCATAGACAGCATTGAGCGAGCTCTTAGATCGAGGCGATCGGACATATTCGTGTGATGTGAGAGGTTCAGTGGAGGGCGACACTCTGGCATCCGATTCTGGGATGCTTGTACCATGGAGAGGTCCTCCAGATGCCATATTATCGGTACCCTCGTTTCTCCGCTTGGTAATTTCCATTTTCTCCATCGATACGAGCCGTAATATGCAGGATGAATTGGCTGTGAGTGATCTTCTTGAAGATCTTTTGGTAGAATATCGGAATGCAGATTTTGTGATTTGTATCAATACTGTATTTTATGTGCTTTGAATAGATGCAAAAAGTCTTGGTTATAAGGGGCGTTGAGGATTTTGATCAAAAGAAAACTGTCATGATGGGTGCCCTTCAACTGTATTTTGATTCTGTTCGTTCCTTCTCTGTGTCAATAAATGATTACTCTTGCGAGAAATCCTTATGGTGCATGGCAACAGCGAACAGTCGAATCTCATTGCATATAACAAAATAAGTCTGCACCCACAATCTATTCTTAATTAATAGCATTTCAGGAAAATAATCTTGGACACCAAAATTGTATTACTTATCAGAATCATTATTGAAATTTATTATTCACATTGCACGATCAATTATTAATATGAGCGACCACTTTTACATGGAGGGACTGGAGGCAATGGGCCATAAAGCACACTCAGATGGCATAGGATATAGTGCGATTTATAGTTGGTATGGCCAAACTATGGACCGTCTCCAGAGTGATAGCTCCAATATATCTGTAGAGTTTCGATCACTGACGGCCAAAGTCGAGACATGGAAACATTTCTGTTGGTGGGCTACTTCTAGAGAAATTTGTGTCGCATGCTGATCTTGCTCCAGGGCCTGATGAACCTTTCTTCGCGGGTATATCGTTAAAAAGCACCTCAAGAAAATCTTTTGAGCCCAAAGATCAAAATAAACCCATAAAACCTGTGAAAAATTCAACTTCCTCTTCGTCAAAACAGCATTCGTCGCAGAAAACTCTCACTACACTCTCACCAACTGCAGGATCGTCAAAACAACCCATCATACCGGATGCAAGTCGATCACTGATTAAGTCACAGCAAGGATCCCATGGCAATAGAAAACGGGATTACAAGAGGTATCTCAACGTGACTTGCGCAAACTGTAATATGAGAGGTCACAACTTGAGTTACTGTGTCGCTCCTGTGGACGAGTTTGGATTCATCTCAGGTTGTCCGCGATGTAATACCAAGGAGCATTTATTCGATGATTGCCCTAGCCCAATAACGTCTAAAGGCAAGAGAGATTGGGTTTATCTTGTTCGGGTACAAATTTCTGATATCTGAAGGCCTTTGGTATTTATGGCTAATTTTATGCGACTAGAGAAGAACAAATTGTCCTCCAATTCGTTGTTCTAAGGATATTCGTCATCTACAAGGATTTGAGAATAGGACAGAGCACCCATGGACGTACGACTTTTCCTTGAAGCAAGTGGGCAAATTTGAGATATTATACGACGAATATGGGGAGCCGAAGGGATTATATCCAGACCCAGCATGGAAGACACCAGATAGAGTTCTCTCTCAAGCATACCCCCGCATGATGGATATAGCCTTACCAAGGCTATGGCGTTTTCACTTGAGATTGTATCTAAAGTCGGCCGACCTAGGCCACAAGTTTGAAGAATTCCTAAAATCGATGAGCGAAACAGCGAGTGATAATAGAATGATCACTTGTGAGATTGTTCGCTTGGCAGAAGCTCTTGAAGACATTTCAGAGCTTGAGTCAAACGAAGCGAGAGGAGAGCGGTTGCCTGTCCAAAGAAGAATTGATATCACGACAAAGGAGGCTAAGGAGATGGAATTTGAAGCAAAGCTGAATGCTTACCATGTACCAGAAAATTCTCGCCTAGCGAACAATGACTCATCTCCAGATAATGAAATGGCCGTTTCTTCAACTGAAGGAAAGGGAAAAGGCAAGGCAATAGATGTCCGTAGTACCTCATTTTCCTACAGATATGGAGAGGAAGAGCAGAACATGTACCGGAACTATGAACAGAGGTACACACCTGATAATCCCTTCAGTGAAGGTGCTTCGTCAAATATCCCAAGCGAAAGCACACGTCCGTTTGAGAATTTGGTTGCTAGAAAAGAATTCCGAAGCAATCTCACTCCCCCTGTCGAAAATTACAAACGGCGAGATTCATCATCTCCAGAAAAAGTTCCAGACTGTGTTCCTGTCGATACAGATACTCAGTCAAGTGGTCCAAGTGAGGAAGGAGAAAATCAACTGTCAAAATTTGCGGAATTCAAGTACGAACAATCTAGGGAACAAAAACAGTTGGAGAAGAAAATTTCAAATTTAAAGAGGGACCTCAAAGAGATCAATAGCTTTGAGAAGAGGATGGAAATGTTGACGACCGATCAGTGCAATCAAGTTAAGATGAAAGAATTCAAGGAAAGGGAGTTGAGAGTGTTGTTAGAAATCCGTAGTCGATACGTAACATACCCCGAACAAACTGCTGGCTCAAAGACAAATATGACTGGAAGGCGTCATCATTTTGGAGCACCAGCAAAACAAGCACCTAATCTAGAATATCCAGACGATCGTCACGGCAGCAATGGCGGAGGCAGTAGTAAAAGTAGGGGTAAATCTTCAACAAGCAAAGAATTTTCACCGGAAGGCTTCCAGATCAAGAATCTTAAGTACAAAAATATTGGTCGAAATCCAGCGATGTCTACCTCATCGGTACCAAAGCACTTACAAAAATTTCCTTTCGCAAGCATTAGAAAGTCACCCTTGAGCTATGTTCAAACCGCACCAATTGTTGGAGACCAAGATCCAAACGGGAACAACGATTCCACGAGCCCTGAGAAGTCACAGTCTCCTGTCGTTATAAAGCAAGATCTTTCTCCGGCATTTAACAGAAGACAAAAAGCCAAGGATATTTTAAATGGGAAATTGAACCGATCATCGAGAAATGCACGAACAATTTCCTCCGCTGCTAAGGCAATGTCGATTATTCCCAGGCCACAGTCGTCGAGACTGTTAAAATCCGTGACTGAAAGTCAAGGTACGTTCCCGGCTATGAATGAAACACAAAGTGAAAGTGTAGCAGATAGGCATTCGAAGCTACTCTCGAGTCACACACAAGTAGCTACATCCAGTTCCGAAAACTTCAAGAAAGAGACAATAATTTCCGAGTCCACAAATTCATATCACTTGCAACCCTCTGATGAGATCAAGAATCAAACGGGGCTTATCTCCGGGCCAATGGATTCAGGGAAATTACCAACGGCCGTTGATGATAGCCAAAATCTGTCTTCAGCATCGAATGAAAAACAAGCTGTCCATGTTGCAAATACAAATCTGGAGCTAGCTTCAAGGGACGTTCAGAGTATTTCCAATGTTGACGAAATTTATCAGCATACTACCAAATTGAAGACAAATAATCTTCAGCAGAGTCCACTACTGTATGTACCGTCTTTAAAAGCAAAGCAGATGCTAGCTTCAAAAGATGAAACGCCGTCGACATCACCACAACCAGATAGTAAAGCATTTTCATCGGTTTATAAGCCACTACAAAAAAGAGAAAAGCAATCGACACCAGGTAATGAGCATCAATCATTATTACTGCAAGAAGACAGGGTAAATCACGGCAAATCACCTGCAACTGTTCATATACCACCACAGATGAGAATCACGCAACCTTCAAAGGATGAATCACCGCCTCCAATGACGCAATCTTCAATACAGATGATAGAGCCGGGACAATCATCGCCAAGGAATAGTTCAGTTTCGCAAAATCCACAACTATTGGACCCAGAAGTAGCGTATCCGAAAAAATCAAATAAAAAGTCCTCCTCGATTCCACCAGATCAATCTTATCTAGAAGAAGAAGAAGATAGTTCCAGCTCTATACCTCAATATCGAACAAGCCCTAGACCTTCTAATTTACAGCAGAAATTTCCCAGAACTATGAGACGGAGTGTGAGACAACATACATTATCATCTGACTCATATCTACCAGAGCCTGAAAATCCTTTCTTCACACCACGTTTAAAGGAGACTGTTTCTAAACCTAGCAATTCATGGCCGGAACTTCTAGATCCTGATTCCTTTGCTGATTTTCTTGATTGTGAATCGCCCAATGACAAAATCGATTTATCAGTCCCACTGCCAAATCCAGATACCTTTTCATTGGATAATGAAGATTGCAATATTAAGAAACCACTAAGGTCATCAATTTCACTGCCAGATCCAGATATCTTCTTATTGGATGAAGAAGATCGTAACCCTAAAGAATCGCTAAGGTCATCAATCCCAACAATGCTACACTCCCGTCCTCACAGGCAGAGCAATTATGCAAGCAGTACAATATCTGGTGGGAATTCCAAAATCCAAGAAGCAGACAGAGCCGTGTCAGACGAAAATGCAAGCAAGATATGCTTTGAGTGTAACAAAGTAGGACATTATCTAATTGATTGCCCCTCGAGCTGGAGACTCGACGCATTGGTTCTTGACAATTTTCCTCATTCGAGCTCACGATACCGTGCCGGCTTGGGGAACTATATGCAGGCTAAAGCTAATAAGTCTGATTTCAACCCTAGCGCCAATAATTACATCCCGACTTGGTCAAGAAACAGTTATCCGGTTCATGCATCACTTCCTAGCAATGTTCCTCATCCTAACCTACCGCATATTGCAAATGCAGGGAACCGGTTACAGGCTAAACCTAAGTCTGATCTCGATCCTCCCACTGGTTTGTTCTACCCGAATCGGTTAACAAAAGGTGATCATCTAGTCGAGGGGTTACCTGAAAATTGGATCGAAATAGCGGAGAGAATCGATACTTTTTTCCATGAGAATTGGGAACAAGAAGTGAAAGAGCGAATTGAGACTCGCTTTTGGGAAGTCCAGAAAATCATGAGTAAGACGGGCTATAATTTCAGTCTTGCAAATTATTCAGATGATGAAGGGTCAGGAGACGAAGAATCAGAAGACGAAGAAATAACCGTAAGACTTCCCTGGCAAACGAAGAGCTCTGACTGCAGCCCTTGGAGGGAAACTAGGGAGAGAAAAAAGAGACCTCCGATTTCAACCAGAGCAACCGCTATTCAAACGGGACATGATTATAATATAGAGGAGAAAGTGAGAAATATGCTGACGAGGGGACCTCCAAATGGCACTCACGGATTTCAACCAAGGAGAATTATGAATGGTACTGGATTTTTCTATCCGATTCCTGGCGATTGGTTCTGCATATCAGCGGGTTGTAGAGAACGCAATGATTCCGAGCATGTCATCTGCAAGAAATGTTCCAGTTCACGTGGAACAAGGAGAGTGGATGGTAGAATTGAGATTTTCCAACCCGGGGATTGGGTATGTCCATTCAGATATTGTTCCAGACATAACTATGCCAAACATGTCGTCTGTAAAGATTGTGGCAGTCGTTCAAAAGCACCAACGACAGCTCCTGTCCTTTGGAAGTGCAGCTCATTTAATTGTGGCGAGATAAACGATGACGGTGTGGTACGTTGTCGAAAATGCGGTAGTCCTCGTATTATCTTTCATAACCCGCCACCTCGAGCAACAGTCAATGCTTTCCATGCCGGTGATTGGTATTGCGGTACATCAGGATGCGCAGCTCACAACTCTTCCAGAGATATCAGCTGTTGGAAATGTGGTGGTACGGATACCACGCTCCTTGTCCCTGGTCAAGTTGTTCAAAACACAACTGGCTTTCTTCCCCCCCCGGGTTGGAATTGTAATATGTTTGGTTGCGGTGTCTATAATCAGTCTAACTGTTTCAACTGTTGGCAGTGTGGCAATCCTCGTGCCGATTTTTTTCGAGGCCCATCAATTTTTTGAATCTATACATGATTCCAGGCATCGCTACAGCAAGAGCAGGACGATGTGGAATCAAAAGTAGTTTGATACACCGATATATCTCAGATTGGAGTTTCGGAAGAAAGCGAAGAGATCTGGCTCATACCATGGAAGCTACGTCATTCTGAGAGAAATTACGGATACTCTCAATCCAAGCCCAAACTCGACAGTACAGCAATATCAAGCCGATCCTGAAACCACGCACTATCCTCATCTCACCTCAAACATCTCAGTCTCAAATCCCAAATTCCAAATCTCAACACTACATTCAATTTCCAAATCTCAATCTCAATCCCAGTTCCCAATTTTCAGCACTCCCATCTAGTTTTCCACCGCAGCGAAACCCACCTCCCTTATTCAAAAGTCAAAATTCAGGATTCAAAATTCTGGATACATGAACACAGCGAAACACTTCTCTCTCATCTCCCCCACATTGAATACGGGGTAGAGACTCAGGAATATGGAAGCAGAAATCAAGAATTGACTTTCTGTACTTACTTCAGAGGGCACAGCACAGCGTGATGGAGTGTTATTATAGTACAGCGCAGCGTGATATATGTAATACTACTCGAGTAGTTTATAGGATACTTAACACTCAATACTCAATACTTAATATCCAATACTCAAAGCAAAACACTAGATTTTCTCAAACCCCAAACCTCGAGCCAAACCTCTCAAACTCAAAATTCAAATCCCAAAATATTAAATGTTTATAGTAACAATGTAGTAACAGATCCGACTCCAAACCCATCCTTCCTCTCCTAAAGAAGAATAACAAAAAAACAACCAAGAAGAGGAATTATATCGTGTATGGTAATTATATCATATAAACCTATCTCTTATTATTATTAGGAAAATGCAACGCATATATGCACATTTATGTTTACATATATACAGTTGCACATTTATACACACACACTTGTATACATATATATATACATTTACACTGTATACATATCTACATATATCACTTTCACTTTCAATGTAATCATATAGTCTAAATTCTAGAACTATTCAATCTATATAGATATCTAGATAATTGATAATAACTATATACATATATACATATATATATTCCGCTACATAGTCTCCCTTTGCTCGATTACGAATATCAATAAACGGCCTAGCATACTCAATCCTCCAAACTCAATCATCCAAACCCAATCCTCCAAACCAAAACCCAAACCCATTCTCCCAAACCCCATACCCCAAACTCTAATCACCAAAAATTCAAAAACTCAAATACATCTAAACTGTAACAAACACATAATATAAATCTTTAGATACACACACACACACACACCCACACCCCAACCAAGTAAGTAGGCAAGTAGAATAAGATGATCGAATTATACATGTATACCTATCTATTGTGTGTATTCACTTATATGTGTATTATATGTATATTGTATTGTATTGTATAACTTAGTACATCAATTATACCAGAGAAATACTCAATCAAGTACGTACCATCTAGAGTGAATTCTCACCCCTGATCATTTCATCATCTCGCTTATTTTTCTCTGGGTTCTCATTCCCTCTTGAAGTTTCGATACCCATCTATTGGTTCATTCATTCACTCATTCGCTCATTCATACGTTCAAACATCATCTTATCTCATCTTATCTCGTCTCCTATTTCATAAATTTTGTTGTTCATTCTTCCCGTTACACACCTCACCTAAGCAAGCAATCCTATCTACCATGCATCTACTTTCCATTCCCTCTACTGCCTCCGCAAACCCATTAGCAAGCGTGTTTCCACTAGCTAAAGATTACTCGGTATTCACCAGCAACGCATTTCTGTCTACACACCGGAGTATCCAGCCATCCGTTCTCAATCCATTTCATGCCAATCCATTCATCCATCCATCGTCACAATGAGCCCCGCCCAACATACGTGGGTATAGCCCATCAACACTTTTTTTTTTCCATTACCGACCCCATCCATCCATCCATCCGTAATCATCAAAACATGCTATGCATTATAACTCAAAGAAAAGATGTGAAATTGAAAAATAGGTGGTATGGCAAAAAAGAGCAAATTGAAAGTGCGTATGGGAAATCAAATTCTTGCAATGCCAGATAGTCGAGACAGACAAAAGAGTACATCATAAATTGCGTAAATTCTGTGGTCCATAAAAAAAGTTGCACCCAATCCATCCTCAAATTTTAACGTGAAAAAGAAAAGCATAAGGCTATTCATATAGCATGATACCGCATAAACTGTGAGCCAATAATCAAGTTGCTGAACTTTTGCTGTCCTAAAAAGCATGAATATGAAAGAAAGGCCCCGAGAAGTTTTCGTGATCAAGTAGAGTACAAGGTAGAAGGGTCTTGGTCTCGTAAGCCAAGGTGACTGAATATGGTACATCGTCGAAGGTTCCATGCTCTGGTAATTGGTGATGAATGCGACGTTTTAACTTATAAGGTGGTTTTGTTGATATTTGCATTTAAGCTGCTTGAGTGGCACCACCACGACCTCCTCTTGGTCCATTAGCATTTCCACGTCCACGGTTTGCTCCACCAAAGTTGCCTCGAGATTGGTTTCCAGGACGACCTTGTTCAAATCCACCACGGCCACGTTGGTTCATTCCACCACGTCCACCACCAGAGTAACCATTTCCACCGTATGCAGAAGCCTTTGGTCGGCGAGGTTCAACGTAGATAGTTTCTTCGCCGATCTTGTGGGGGTTAGCCTGAGCTGCTGCTTGGTAGCCAGATGCATTGGCGTATTCGACAAAAGCACAGTTCTAAATGCGAGTTAGTTATAATCATGAAACATATTCATTGGAAGGGAACAAATGGCATACCTTAGCGCGGTTGATATCAAAGTAGACCAACTCGCCGAAAGAGCTCAAGATGGAGCGCAATTCATCGTCCTTGACTGAAGCGTTGACATTGCGAACGTATCCCAAAGTTCCCTTGTCTTCTGTTGCTTGCTGAGAGACAGATTGAGGTCTGTTTTGTCTCTTAGCATCACTTCCAGCGGTTTGCCATCCGGCAGAACCTGTTGGTGAGTTATCCTTCTTCTCGGCGGCTGGAGTAGCAGCGGTTGTTGCTGGGGTCGTTGGTTGCTTAGCAGCTGGTTGAGCGGCAGCAGCAGGCTTTTGTGCAGCTGGAGTGGCGGCCTTTGGTTGCACAACTGGAACAGCAGGTTTTGGTGCTGTGCCAGCTGAAGCTGCAATACGGGCAGCCCAACTCAATGGCTTAGCTGGGGTAGCTGGTTGAACGGGAGCTGGCTTGGCGGCAGAAGGTTGTCTGGAAAGCTCTGGGGTTGGAACGGGGTCCTTTGGCTTTTCGGGTTCCTTGACTTCCTCATCAACAGCCTTCTCAATTTCCTCTGGTGTAGGGGCTGGCTCCTCGGCTTTTGGCTCTTCTGGCTTCTCCTCAACTTCGGTAGCAGCCTCAGTTGATTCTCCGTTTGTAGTTGGCTCGGCAGTGGCGGGCCCAGCCTCAATGGTCTCTTCCAACTTCTTGTCAACGACCTCGGCATCTAAAGTAGCTTCTGGAGCTGCAGATTCCTCCGCAGCGACTGGTGCAGCTGGCATTTCGACGTCATCAGCAATTGGAGCTGGCGCAGACTCCTCCTTGGTCTCAGTAGCCTCAACTTGTTCTTCTTCACCCTCATCATTGATATATCTGAAGACGTCGTTGAGAACGAAATAACCGGTAGCTTGTTGAGCTAAAACGAAAGTTTGAACGAATTTCTTGGGCTCGGCAGACTTGTTGGAAGTTTCACCAATAACTTGGATGACGATGTTATCGAAGGAGGATTGGGAATCGACATTGGTGACACGAACTTTGCAGTCTTGGAAATCGAGTTCGCGAATACGTTCTTGGATACCCTGCGAAAAAAAAAAAGAATTAGCCACAGTTGCAGTTATAAAGGCGCGCAAAACTTACAGCTCGGCCAACAGATACTGGCGCTTGAGCTCCCTCGACACCAGAAACGAATTGAGATGGCTTTCCATAGAAGAGCTATAGCATGTTAGCGCAAATTGTAATCTAAACAGCAGCAATCATAAAACTTACGTGGAGCTTTTCTGGAGATTTGCTTAAAGTAGTGTAATACTGCTCGACAAAGTACCATCCAACTTCATCTTTGGAGAGCTCTCCACCGGAAGCACCTCCGGTTGAGGAACCAGCGGCACCCGAAGTAGCTGGATATTGTTCGGTTGTCTTGTATTGGTCTTGTTGATTGAAAGTACCATTGGCGGCCATGATTTTAGAAAAGGTGGGGAAGGAAGACTTTTGTCAACCTCACAAGAATTAGAAGATAAGAGGGGTCTCGGAGAGAGGGTTTTCTAAGAAATTTCAGACAGATGAAATGAACTGTCGCAGATGGGTTCGAACGAAGTTCAAAATTGGGTGAAAAATGGCAGAAGAGAGTCCTATCACAAAAATCGCGGGGTTTTCCAAATTTTGGGAATGTTTGTTAAAGGTATTGTGAATATTCGTGAGATCTGCAGAAGATGATCGCTTGAAAGATTCGAAGATTGATATTACGAGCGTTATGTGGAGGGATTGATCAGAAGTACAGAAAGAAGCTTCTTGATTGTAGGTAAATGTATTTTGAGGTGTAGAAAGATATCGAAAAGAATTTTCTTGGGGTAGTCGATGGTGGGAAAGGATGAAGCTGTTCTAAGTCTCCATTATTTTACAAATTCATAAGCGAAAAGAGGAACTCCGATCTGTTGCCTTAGGCATCAAGGAGTTTTGCGCACAGACCAGGACTAAATAACAGGGTTCTATTAGTGAGGAGAGAAATGATAAGTAAGTGAATATTATAGGTAGGTATACATATACCAGATATACATTCCATAGTCAGACACATGACGGGACAATGACTTCAATTCCATTGAAAACTCCAAGTTGTTAAGAGCTTCGATAATATTGAGCTGTATGGATTCATAGAATCAAGTTCACCAGTCTTAAGGTTAGAGCAATGAGAGTGAAGATGGCAGTAAAGTACCGTGATGGATTCTTGCCTCAAGACTATGTACATGTCCATGCTCTGGACAACCATGACATAAAAGTCAATATTTGACAGTCGCATATACAGTCCACCGATACTCATCTTTTGATTGTCATTAACCTTTTTGAAATAATGAGTCTGTTGAGATGATTCAATTATCCTCACAGCTTCTGGAGCAAACATGACCTTAAAATACTAAGAAACCCTTAGACCACTATGCAATCCCCATGGCGGATAAAGACTCATACGAGACCAAGCCATCATCAATAGCATCCTCCAGAACATTCCTTACTACCTCAGGTTGCAACTTAACACATCTCAATAACTTATCTTGCTCGCCATACAAACTCATAGCTAGAGCCTCCTTAACTTCAGCTTCCTCTAACTCCTTCCTCAACCCCTCAACTTTCGCAAAATTTCCAGCGCCACGATAGAATTTTTCGGCATTTTTGGTTAAAACTGCCCCATTCTTGAAAGAAACCTCGTAGTTACTAGGTGGCTGGCCTAACTGAAATCTCAGAAGGTCAACATCACCCCGTAAAATATGAATCTTTGGTAGATTTTCGGCCGAAGGAAGTTTTGAAGCTTTCGTCAGATTGTCGAGTGCTGCCGTCAATACCTTCCATCGTGATGCTGATACTTCGGGTGACTGAGCTGCTTCATGATTAAGACGAAGAGAAGAATTATATGAGATGAATGCTTCAGCTTTATCACAAAGTCCCTCGGGATGGTCGTCGAGGCTCAACGATGCATAAGCATCGTTTAAGGTTCGTTCGTATGTACCAATATCAATTCGTTGGAATCTGAAATTGGCATCGGCGAGAGCGGCAATAAAGTTAGACTTTGCAAGACCAGCTTCTTGCTGTCGGTCAACAGTGCCTTCGAGGTAGGTTTGTAATTTTTGACCGAGCAATGTCATTGAATACTCTTCAATCCATGCTAGACCTCGACCAGCATCGACGTTCACCAGTCCACACAGTATTGCGAGTGTTTGAAGTTGAGCTACTACTGTGTCTAGTAAAGTTTCAAGAGTTACTGGCTCAACAATACTCGCCCATCGATCATCTTGTGGGGGCTGAGAATTAGAATCAGATAGTGAAACTCCACCTTCTTCCATGTCTGGATCATCATCTGATGTGGGTACAGATTCAGCTTGGGTTTGTGATTCGGTGTATTGGTACTCCTGCAACGCCAAACATCTTTGAAAGAGCTCAATAGCTTCCTCCAGTAAAGCCAGGTTGTTGTCATTACCGACATTTCTCGTTTCTGATGTTACTTCCGCAATACTGGTAAGAACCTGGGCGGTGTTGCTGATGTCGTTAGCCGTGAAAAGCACCAAGGGATTTGTGTACTACATACAACAGGATATCCGCATTATCCTGCTTCAAACTCAATGCAAATCGACTGGCTTCTAGAGCAGCTGATAGAAGGTCCAAGAGAGTTCCAGGTAATTGTGCTCTAAGCTTTGGATACTGTGTGAGCTCATACAAGACTCGGGCTCTGTAAATTGTTAGCCCATCTTCGTCACACGAATTCAAGGACAAAAGAAACTCACCTGTTGTAAGCAAGATCGAAGGAATTTGGGAAGTTTTTTAATGCTTCTTCATAATTGTCGATTGCTCTGACGAAGAACCTCGTTGACTATTGTAATTCGTTTTTTTATTTAGATCCCGTTGAAGACATGAGTGAAAGTGGTTAACTGAAGCCTTACCTTTACAGCATCACCACCTCTCCACTTCTCACCTGCTTCTTCGAAATCCACCCCAGCTATGACATGTCTTAGCTTCCGTGGCCATCTCAAGGCTTACGAATTAAACAATGACTTACCGGCAAGATATTCATCAGCAGTTGCTGGGATCTACAGATGTTACATTGCATTCCATAGATTCATTGATTTGATTTACTTATGAAGACTTACCTGTGGTGCATGCTTGGATTTTTTCTTGGTATCTCTCAAAAATTGTTTCTTGGGCATTGTGGAGGTTCAGTTGATAGTTTTGGGTATGGAAATAGTATTTGTACTTTCAATGTGGTTGCCCAGGTAGTGTCTGGATTTGTTTGAATACTCGTATGTAGTTCTACTGCGTTGTGAGAAAATCAAGGTGGATATTTTATGGTGGGGTAAGGAAATTATTGCTTTTTTTTCTGTCTTCTCTTGTGAGGTCAAGGAGTGAAGGGATGATTGATACTCATGGGTGAGGAAAGGGCGATTAGCAATTAATTCATCGATTTCTTCCAATTGCTGCATTACATAGATCTAGTAGGTACTACCCCCTCCCACCCTCTTCCCCTCGATGGCATCCTGCATATGCACTCCCATACGACTTTCACGCAAAACCCCATACCGAAAAAGCAACATACCACCACACATGTAGTGTGCGAATGGCCTCGAGAATTTCCAATTGGTTAATCATGGTTGTGTGCGTGATGTAGATGAATTTGGATTGTACTGTACCGAACGCAAGAAGAATTAACTAATTAGGCTACTTTGCTACTTTGTAAGATTGTAAGATCTTACATGTCCAACTAATCAACGTGCCAACGTGCTAACGTCTCTTCTGTTTCATATGATACAAGCATTCCTAGATTCCCCTAGGTCAATGCGACCATAGCGACCCTATGCGACGGCGTTCTTTTTAATCTAGAATATATCGTGGTTGCCACGTGCGAGGGTAATGAAAAAACTTTATTCACCTGGCAATCAACGTTATTTATTATCATAGAGAACCATTGTGAGATCAACACTCCAGCTTTCTCTGTATCATTGGATGGATCAGTGACAACCTTGATTCCCTGGACAATAACAGCATCTAGTCTCTGGTGTCTAGTCTCCAGTCCAGACTTTGTCGAGGTAGCTACTCTCCAAGCTCACATGTAATGAATTACAGTTTCTCGTTGCTCTAGGGTTTATCCAACGTCCTACTTCTTGACAAGATTGACATCTCCCAACTGTCCTTGGAATACTACGGCCTCTTCCGAAACACGTAAATGCTTAGGTAGACATTACCTAGGTAGGCCGATTAGACCAGTTCGAATCGGCAATTCACCAGTATCAATGACTGAATCATCTATTGCTACCTATCTAGGTATTGTAATGTTGGGTGGATACGAGTTGAATGTGGAAGGAGGATTGACCTTGATACTCAGTAATACCCTTAGAGGAATACAAGGCAGTGCATCTATCGTATGTCGGCGGCAGATAGATAGAATTAGAGAATTTGTCTCTTTTGACTCTTCTCTTCTCTTTCCAATCTATCCAAATAAAAGATACCTTCTTCTATCTATCTATCCTACATCAGCCAAAAGCAATACCTATGAATACGAATTCATCTAACATTTACAAAATTCCATCGTTTTCTCCACTTCACAGACACAAGACGAATCCGGATATCAACCCAATCATTATTAAAAGATTTCAGGATCCCTACACACCACGTTTCTGTCTTCCCTTCCACGAGGTAAATCTTTCCCATCACATCTATTATTCCGATCAAATTGTTCATTGATATTCGTGGAACTTTAGAAGCTGACTGCATCAAATCGATCCTCCAGAAATTCTGTCGAACCACATATCAGAGATTGATGACACTATCAATCAACTAATCAACCTACCAGCCCGTTACCTTTTATCTCTTGTCCCTCTCAATTGAGTCTTACAAACGCTCCACCGACTTTAAAAGGAAATTCGCGTCTCCCTTTCTTTCTAATTTCACCTGCAAGTCTGCAATTCTGCAAGTGATTGCTGCAATATTTTGTCAGTGCGTTGCCGTTTTTAGAAGCTTTTTGACTGAACTTGATCCACCTTCGAGAAGGGGTCCCTTGAATTTCCTGAAGGACTTTCCTAACACTTCTTCACTCCTGTTTGAAGTTAACTGCCCTTTCCATTCCCTTTTCCTCGTGGCACCCAGGGCTTGACCCACTTGAATACCTGCTGCTACTACAAAAGCCGAAGACGTGGATCAACGCCATCACTTCCAGACCAGAATAGCCTGAGATAGCCCATACCTTTTCACTCCCTCGAGCCACTCTGCGATTCGATCATACAACGGTGGTTATTAGGGACCACATCATACTACAAGAGAAAACCTTGATTTAATCTGTCATAAAATCTCATCCCGTGTCAATCTGAAACGAATATCGCAAAGATGGTTGCTTCCTTAGATTCTTCCCGCCCTATCATGGCACCAAGTGTATGTTTAATTCCTTCACTCCCCCTCTTCATTCTACACAAACTTCCCGTCGATTCATCATTTACATTCCAGCATAAATTACCTCCACAAATAATCATCGATCATCGCTGACAATTATGCCTTCCACAAAGGTCTCCTCCAAAGGCAATCGCTTTAGTACCTACAGCCAAGCTATCTCTGTCGAAACCACCGATTCTGCTCGAGAAGAAATCACCGCTATTGAAGAGGGGTTCGACAAGTTGCACAATAAGAAGTTGGAAAGTCAACGTTGTGATCTGACGACTGAGAAGAGAGACAATATGGGCAAGTTGGCATTGGGAGCCAAGTTGGAGAGGGCGTTGGGTCGAAGAATGGGTAGTCAGGATGCCGTTATGCGAAAGAAATCACCTTCACAATCATCTGCCGAATCACCTACTTTGTCCATGAACGAGAAGACCGCTCTCTCCGAGAGTGAAAAGGAGAATGCCGCATAATGGATGTTGGATGTTAGATGTTGAATCGGGGGGCGATATGGCTACTATGTTAGGAGGACGACTATTGTGTTACGGATTTTCACTCGGGACAATTATGGGCATCGATTGGCGTTCCGTTCATGTTTTATCTTTTACGTCACCTTAAGCCTAACTGTTATACCATTTCATTTGATGGGGGTCGACAACTGTTTTCAAAGCTCTTATACCACACCAGCGCACGCATTAGCGAGAGATGATGTTTTTAAATTGGCATGTAACTTGCTCATTATTAGAACAAGTAGACATAAGGAGTCTAAGGATGAAATTATAACTTGCATGCTTCCTACATATGTTCCATGTGAAAAGATAGACCTGAGAAAAGTGATACTTCAATGTTCATGTCAGATTGAGATAAAGGAAGGATTTAAACGGGAAGTGATAGATTTGGAAATGGTTTCAGGAATTTGAGTTATTAAATGTTTGTCTTCATTCAAAAGAATGAAATAATCACGATATCAAGTTAGATATACTACTACATCTTGACTTGCAGCCGATGCCAACAGCTATATATGTGAACTTTCTTCAAATATTAATGTGTTAAATTGGATCCAAGAGAATACTGAATAACTCGCAGTTAGCTTGGGATATTCTTTCACATAAGCCTATCCTCTCGGATCTAGATAATCCCCTTTCCTTTCTCGTCTGAACTTTCATGATAGCATTTTATCGCCAAAATCAATGACATCACGTGATTTGAAGCTTAATCAATTTATGCGTCTCTTAACGCGACCGCGACCTCAATTGTCAAATTGTCCTGCAGAAAAATCGTTCTTCACGAAAAGTAATAGCTAACCACCACCAAAACTCAAAATATGGCTATGTAGGTTTATTTTCTCTTAAATATGAATTAGAATCAATAGCGATTCGAATACAAAGAAAAAAATGTTGGAAACTGTTAAAGCTAAAGACGAGGCCTTTTCAGATCTGGTTGCTAACATTATTAAACTCACCAGGGAGAGTTTCGAAAATATCTTCCTTGATCTCTCGAAAGAGTCAGGTCGATGCAGATTCGCTGAAACCGGATTCGGATGGAAACCATCGAGCGGCGGAGATACATTTACACTCGAGAGCAGTAATATTGCAGGCGCGCAATGGAGCAAGGCAGCGAAAGGTTTTGAGGTGAAGCTTTTGTTGCGCAATGGTGATATCTGTCAACTTGATGGGTTTTTACAAGATGTCAGTATACTTTACATCCTGAACTTGGCGCATTCTTTCTGATACAGCATAGGACTTTGAGCGATTGAGTAAAGTTTTCAAAAACTGGTACAGCACGAATTTGGAGCACAAGGAGCACGCCCTAAGAGGGTGGAATTGGGGTAAAGGCGAATTTGGAAAGTCGGAATTGGTTTTCAACGTTCAAAACAGACCCGCATTCGAAATTCCATACACCGAGATCTCAAACACAAATTTGGCAGGCAAAAATGAAGTTGCGGTCGAGTTCACCCCTGCGAATGCTGATGATACGGGCACAAACGGAGCTTTAGGAGGTGCGCGCGCCAAGGGAAAGAAATCTGGTGCCGGAAAAGATCAACTTGTTGAGATGAGATTCTATATTCCTGGTGTTGCGTCAAAGAAAGGAGCTCGTGAAGGAGAGGAGGATTCTGGAGACGAAGCTGATGGAGAGGAAACCAATGCTTCCACCATATTTTATGACACTTTAATGGAGAAGGCTGAAATTGGTGATGTTGCTGGAGATACTGTTGCCACTTTTTTGGATGTCTTGCATCTTACACCAAGGCATGTCGCATTTTCATTTTTTTTGGTATTAAACTAATTGTTGGCAGAGGACGTTTCGATATCGATATGTACGAAAACTCTTTCCGATTACGTGGTAAAACATACGATTACAAAATTCAATACGACAATATCAAAAAATTCATGGTTCTACCAAAGCCTGATGAATTACATTTTATGATTTGTATCGGTTTGGATCCACCATTACGTCAAGGTCAAACCAGATATCCTTTCTTGGTTATGCAATTCAAGAAGGATGAAGAAGTTACCATTGATCTGAACATGACTGAGGATGTAATGAAAGACAAATACGCAGGAAAGTTGAGTATACATTATGAACAACCATTACATGAAGTTGTCACACAAGTATTCCGTGGTCTTGCCGGAAAGAAGATCAATCAACCAGCCAAGGATTTCTTGAGGTAAGTCATTCTTCCAATATTTGTCTCTATGCTTTACTAACATTATTAGTCATCACTCACAATATGGTATCAAATGTTCCATCAAAGCGAGTGAAGGTTTCCTTTATTGCTTGGAGAAAGCTTTCATGTTCGTTCCAAAACCTGCTACATATATCACCTACGAACAAATTACAGTCATCACTTTCTCTCGTGTTGGTGGAGCTACATCGGCTTCCCGTACTTTCGATATCGCAGTTGGAATGAAGGGTGGAGCTGGTGAAACTCAGTTCAGTAACATCAATCGCGAAGAACAAAAGAATCTCGAGGATTTCTTCAAGATCAAGGGAATTCGTGTCAAGAATGAGATGGATGAGGATAATACAGCACACATTGCTCTTCTTAATAACCCAGATATGCAATCTTCGGATGAAGAAGTTGTGGCAGCTAGGGCTGATAGAGGAAGTGCTGATGAGGATGATGAGAGTGTAGATGAAGATTTCAAAACGGATAGTGAGAGTGATGTTGCGGAAGAATATGATTCTGCTCATGAGAGTTCAGGAAGTGATAGTGAGGATGAAGGGGCTAGTGATGGGGAGAGACCGGCTAAGAAAGCTAAGACTGGTTGAGTCTAGCTAATAATCCGTATGGGGAAATTTTATTTGGTTAGAGGATCGAGGGCCGATGGAAGAAGAACCATAGGTATTTTTCTTTATATCTTGAGGCACGGCGTTTTAGGCTGGTGAAGATATGATATTAGGTTGGGGAGATTGGGATTAACAAAGTTGAGTGCATATTATGAAATCTAGGAAGAGGGGATGATTATAATTAGTGGGAAAATTATGGGGTTTGAGTAGGTGAGGGCGTAGGTGGGGGGGAAGGGGGAGGAGGGGAGGGGAGAGGAAAAATGAAATATTATCTAATGTTTATGCTTGGGAATTTGTGTGATGTGATGCTGTGTTGCTACAATATGATAAGGTTAAATTCTGGATTGGATATATCACTTACTGATTTTCGAGGTATAGAGTAGAGAATTGCAAGATTTGAAAGAGAAGGGTGGAAAGGTGGAAAGATGGAAAGATGGTTCCTGGTGTTGCAAATGGGAGATGGAAAATAGGCAGAAAGATTTATTTCTACCTTTTTCTTTGCGGCTTGGGAACATGGTAGATTATTTGGAGGAAGAGTAGGTTGGGGAATTTGGATGAGATGGAGATGGATGCTTGGAGTGGGAGTGGGATGGAATGAAGTGAGGGGTTTGAGAGGGCTGGGTTAGAGGGAGGTTCGGGAGTGGTGAGATGAGGATTGTGCTTGGGGTAAATGGGTAGGTAGGTAGGTGGATGGGTAGATAAATAAATTGAGATGAGATGAGAAGATTTGAGATTTAAGATTTTTTTTAGCATTTGGTATTTGGTTGCTGTGGTTGGGGATTATTGATATTCGATATTTGATATTAGGTTATTGATGATTGATGATTGAATGATTTGGTTGGTATGGTATGGTATGGTATGGTGTGGTGTGGTATTAAGTGAGTCTTGTGGAAGAAATTTGGAGGAAAATGCGGTTTGTAAAGAGTGTGGGGGATGGATGGATAGAATTAGTTGAGAGTTGAGAGTCGAGAGAATTTGGGATGTAGTGTTGTAACTTGTAGTAGATTTAGAAGATGTAGAGGGCTGTGTTGTGTTCTGTTGTGTAGTGTTGTATAGATGGATTGGTGGATTGTCTTAGGGGGGTATTTGTGGTAGGGATTTTGGGGGATGGAATTTGGGGGAAGGATTGGGGGAATGAATTGGGCGAATGGATAGGAGGGAGAGAAGGAGGATTTGGGGGGGGGAGAATTTGGGGGTACAGTTTGTTATTTTGGGGTTAGTATTGATGATATGGATGATTTTGTTGTTTAGATTTGATTTGGAGAATTCGGGGTTATTTTGGTTGGATTGGACTTGATTTGGAGAATAGAATAGAATAGAAGCAGAGTGTTTTGATGAATTAGAAAGATGAGATCTGATATATATATTCGATTTAAAGAAATCAGCTCGTTGTCTCCATTTGATTTGAAGAATAACATAACAATTCATTCTTCAAATCCAACATGGGGAGTTTTACCTCAATGTCCTGACTAGATGTATTAGATAGTAATCGAACAGCGTTAAACTTAACTTGCTGATAAGATTATCATTCTTCGAAATTCGAAGCGGAGTACTAGTTACCTAGTGTAATTCTTATTAACTGACAGATCAAGTAAGATGTTAAGATTTCAGTCATCGATTTAATGAATACAAGAAATGCTAATGCTATATGACCCTTTTACAACTTAGAATATCTCGTGCTCGGCTACTTCGGCTAGCTTTTTAGATGTTCGGTTAATCTGTCTAACTTGGTCGGCTGGGGAGACGTGGTCTGAACAGAAATGGAAATGTGCGTGGCAGTGGTTGAAGTTTAAGAACTTTGTTCACATCTTCTGGCTAACATCGAGTTGTGATGCTTGTAAGATAATACGCTCGATGTTTTTTCGAAATGAGAACCGGCTAGACAATTTAATGAGACCACCGGTAGCAACACTAAAACCCAATAAAATAGAATCGGCTGCGGCCCAATCTTGAATAATACAGCCAAGAATAATTGTACCTGTGGATACAAGTTTCGTTTTTTCCTCGATGCCATTAGTAGTCTGCTTTGTACTTTCCTGGAGGCCTGTGAGCATGAGTTCTTGCTTATACTCCGGTTCGTTTATATCGCAACAATCGAAGCATTGTGTCGTATTGATTGACTTTCTTTGGCCATTCCTGATATGATGGAATCACCTAATTCGGCTTCTGCTGCTACGGAGGATTCTGTCAATTGGGTATACCTATCGAACGGTGGGAGATATCTCGGCTAAATCACGATTCACTGAGAATTGAACTTTGAGGGAATCCTCACCAAAATACCCGCTGAAGTCCCCGGGCCATGGTGAACTATGACGGTATGAGTATGCCTGCCGCTAGGTGGAGCCATGATTGTGGTCCCTATGCTTAAGACATAATCATCATCATCATCAAAAGACTCAGAAGGGATGGAATCGGAGTCGCTGATATTAAGGTTGTCCATGACTTCGGTAAGTTTATTCACAGCGATCTTCATTGAAACATCTGACTGCGCTGTACTTGTGGGGTGTGAAATAGATAATTATTTTATTGAAATGTTGAAGGCTAATAATTGATTGATCTTTGCGATTTATGGTTTGATGAGTCTGGGGAAAATGAAATCTGTGGAGTGCGGAGAAATCCATCTTGTGCCTCCCTAGTTCCGCAGTAGCTCCACGCTTAAGTCCAAGAAGTCAGACACACGTAATCCACTTTCTGCTTGTTAGTGTATGACGTGCATAATATTTCATGCCAAGGTTATCAGATATCTAGCGAGTTGATAAGATTTACCCCGCTTCTCCAGATCTTCAATTTAATCTCGATGATCTTGTCTTAAGTATTTGATTTTAGTTGGAACTGAATGTTGAGATCCAGGCTCCAGACAACCGCGAAACTCCGACCGGCCTGAAAAAATTATTTTACTCTCAATGTAGGGGTTATTCAGCTCATAGACTATCAAGGTATCTAGTGCCTTGAGACCAACTATTAAGTTTCGAGGCGCTCAGAAAATACAAACTACATCCAAGACTCATCAATGGAGCGGGTAGGGTTGAATTGGGTCTGAGAATATGGAGCAACGAGATTTTATATTGTTTCTGATTGTAGCTCTATGTTGTGACGATGTTAATTTTCGAGATGTTTCCAAAATTCATTATCCTGTTAAGGATCATATCTTCTCTCATTCTGCTCAGCGGTAGAGTGGAATATTCCAATTCACACATATTTTTTAGCATCAAGAACAAGAACAGGATCAAATTTATGACGTGTAGGTTGGCTGAGTCCAAGCTGGTGATGCACCTACTACGCAAGCTTCATGTATGATTTATCGAAAGTATGATCTTTGTCACTCTCCCGTCGCAAAACTTTCCTATTTCAGCGAATTCTACGCTGTTCACTGAAATATGTTTTGTAGTGGCATGGGGGTTTTGCAGTCACTCCATTGGAAAGAACCATTGGGAAGAATGCGGCTGAATTTGACGTAGTATTCGTCTGACATATGGAACGTCTCGCACATTACTTGTGCTATCTTGATTGGGTCACCTCAAATATCTATAAAGTACAGGGTATCCCAATGGAGCTGGCCAATCCTTCAATAACATGCAGTCAATTGATGTTATTGTGGAATCCTTTATTAACTGGCAATCGCAATTTAAGCACCAACAAGAAACTGCACAAGCTTTCCGTGATGGAGTAAGTAATATCCCAATGATTTTGTTGTGAGATGTCTATCTCACCCATTGCCGGGATTCATGATTGATAGATTGTGTTCTCTCTAGCTGTTCAATGCTAGTGCTCTCATGGAGAGCAGAGCGTCGACAACCTTAAGAGAAAATGTTAAGCTACTGACTTACGTCAGCATCTTTTATTTGCCACTGGCATTTTGTGCTGTTAGTAGCTCATAAAGACTATTTCCCTTAACTTCCCAGCCACTATTTGGCTCTTCAATGTTCGGCGCAAATCTATCGAGATGAAGCTACAGATGTATACTGATAGCTCTGCAGGCACTTTGGGCGATCCCCAACATCACCAGCAGTGGTACAAGAAGCCCTTTCATACTCACAACTATCCTTGTTGGGTTCGTAACATACATGATTGTCTTCAATCTCGACAACATTGTAAAGCAGTCGAGGCGAGTTTATGAGCCGTATCGGTCAGAGGTGATAAAGCAGATATGTAAACGGAGCCCGGATGACAAAGTGGCTCGGCGGACGAAAGAACGTGCCTCTTTGCCGTTTCGACATACGCGTCGAGCAAATCTGGTAAATGACTTCGAATTTAATTGGGAAGAGCGGGCGAAGAGGTTTCAATCGACTTTTGGTCCCAGAAGAGGTGATGGAGAACCTTCGGAATGGTGGATTCCAATGTACGTCTGGCTACGCCATACATATTAGGCTACCCAACACAAGGAGCTACACTGATGATATCCTACTCATCTAGTTTCTATGATGATCATTTTCAAATGGATTCTTGTTCATTTTAGAAATTCATTCCCGGGGATAGACCATTTTTTCTGGAAGATATGCGTTGCTTCTGGAACTGCATTCCAGTGGATAGGTCAACTTCTTAAGTTTCCTCGTGATTCAACATCGAATGACAGCCAAGAGGATTCAACAATAGATCACACCCGAGAGACTATTTGAACAAACGCCTGGACATTTACCATCGATGTCGCAGTATATATCACAAGAAGTGATTAGTATTGGTGGTATACGGGAAAAGGAAGAATGAGGTGGATATCAATGAGAAAAAGACAGCAGTGGAATCGCAAGCAAGTACACAGAAAAACTGCTGTTTGGACTGCTGATGATATTTGTATCGCAATAGGACAGCTCATGCAAAACTTTGTATTTAAGGAGTTCGATATTTTCAGAAAACTTGGGAGTTATAAAGTCAAGTTCAAATTGTTTTGAAAATACGTGAGTGATAGATGCCAAAAATGATTAAGTTTGGTATATATTTGATAATGGGAGGCGTGGCCATGATGAATCTTTTGATCTCATTTCACTTCCAAGTATTTATGATTGTTTTTGGAAAGATCGATTGACTACAGAGCCTAAAAAGCTTTCTCCTTCGCCCAAATACTTCCTTCATCATCCACTATTTTTAATTATCTCACTGCATCCAATTAATCTACAAAATGGCAGAACGGACAATCAACGAGATGTTTGCGACCTACGAAGGTGCGGTTCGAGGAATTAATGGTATCAAGTTACAACTTATGGGAGGCAGACCACTCCACGAACCAAGACCCCAGCTCATCACCTACCTCCCCAACGACGTAAATAGATATTGGGAGATTGTCGAAGACATAGAAGAACATTTAGGTCGCTACAAATTCAATAACACTTCTCAACACATGGACTTCGTCAAGGCCATGAGATGGTATTACGAAGGTGGCAAAGAGGGCTTTCAGCTCAAAGCGAAAGATATCTACAATGCCATTGCTATCTACGTCCCAGGAACTCGCGAGGAAATATCTCGGATTAAAAATGACGCGAGGATGACCTTCGTGGTTCTCACGAAGAGAAAGCGGATGATTGAGGGCATAGAACTGTGGTATGAGAGTCAAAATTATCGACAACAGCTCAACCCAAATCCTCAAGACGGTAGCAAGTCTCAACTAGAGTTACACGAGGAAAAAATGAGGGCTCGTGATGCTAAGGATCTCGGCATTCTGTATCTTACCTTATTGCATGGTTTGAACGCTCTCATTCACTCCATGATCTCCATAAAAGATCCATACAAATCTGCATGGAACTTAAAAGCACTCAATATCAGAGGGCAGCTCAAGGATCTTCACATAACCCTATCTGAAAAGTTAACGGATTTGCATAAAATATGCGAAAGATGCGGAATTGAGGAAGAAGGATCAGATGAGTTGAAGGAGTTCAAGCAAATGATAAGTAGAACATTCATCAAGGTGCTCATACACATTGGTAACAATTCTCTCCCCTTCATGACACTGTGAAAATTCAGCCTCGCTCACTTCTTCTAGATTACTTTCTTATAGAAATCTCCGGCCCTTCAATGTATAGAGACACCATTACAAATTATATTCGGGAAAGAAAGTCGTTGAACTATGTGTCTGAGATGAAGTACTTGTATGCAGAAGAATCGGAAAGTTATTACAGTGCGTGGGAACCACAATTCTCTCGGCGCATGAATGCTATAACAAATGGCATCAGAATCGTAACTGCCGTTCTCTACAACGGAAAATCGTTGCTTGGTATATCCTAGATATGTACTACAAATCTCTTTCAACGGAGAGTTTCTGTACATTAATTGAATAGAAATACGTGTCGGAATTCGATCATGTGATCGTAACAGGCCGCAGTGTTAGCCAGCGAGGCACTAGCGCTTCCTTATATAAGTACTAGCTTCCTATAGGTAGTCAACATTGCGTGTGCATTGCATGCAGAGCGTGAAACAAGATAGCTAAGGCAACTAAGCACACTTAGAAGCGAAAGGACGTACTCTACGTATTTCCTTTTTTTTTCCTTTGTGAGCATATAGTTCTCGATTGTATGTAGCTATAGCCAATCAAAATTGTTCAACTTACTGTTTATAAGAGTGCTTAAGTTTGGGTAGTTTTAAGTGATATAAACTTAGTCAGACTGTTGATGATTGTAAGCTATACCCTTAAATCCTTTCGCTATTATTGATAGTACTTCGTACTGACATAGTAGTTTCAGGCATGATGATCAAGCACAAGTGCAACCATATCAGATTAAAGTACTTCACATTAATCAACCAAGCTAATACCAATAATACGGTTTGGAGAAAACAAATCTGCATAAAAATGAAAACTACTAAGATGTTCAGCAAGATTCATCGCCAACTAAACACTAGACAGGCATCTGGACAATCAGCCCGGCCGACCAATCGAGTATATATACGACAAATTACTCTCATACCCTCAAAATCGCACTTGCTTTAATGATAGAATCTAAGGGGCATAGAAGTAATTTGTCGATGGATATGTGTATCTGAGCAAGACATTACCCTAACCTAACAAAAGTATACCCCCTCGAATTCATAATGAACTCAAGCTAAGTTTTAGCCGAAAATGAAGAGTGCCCTCACCCACCCGCCTCTAACTTTATAATCCTCTCGGGATGATTTACTTAACCAAATACGCGAACCGAACAGTTACGAGTACCCCCTTCAAATTCCTAATTCACTTGGATGCTTATCCGAAACTTCATTCCCATGTCAAAGATCACACACAGCAAACAGAAAACTTGAGCCCATGCAGCCCCTCATGAAACCCCACACTCAGGAAATCCCATTTTTGAGCTTTGATCCAAACCAATTCCAAGTCCAAGCAAGCACCGGCTTAATCCTTCAAAATTCCATACAACGACAATCAGTTTCATGGATAAACGTGGTCATTTGCAAAATTAATAATATCAATTAAGTAACAAATCAAGAAGCTAAAATAACATGCAGGAAAAGTACGTAGGTACGTAGGTATCTATGCCAGATTGCTCGCTTATCCTACCACATCTTTGAGAATTTTTCTTGCAGAAAAACCATATCATATCATATCATGTCCGTTTCCACCCCATGCCATCTTCAGTCATAATCTCATCAGCCATATACCAAAGCCTTGAACATAAGCCAACATCTTCATACATATCGTTCCGTTTTACCATCTCATCCACTTTATATCTTCATCAATGAAAAGCAAAAGGACCGACCCTATTTTGCCAACTCCAAACACCGAACAATAATACAACTCGAGGATCAAAACTCAAGTAAAATCAACTGTGCCAGCCGTTCCAGTTCCTATACTTTGTCTTTGCCTCTCCATTCTCCTCCTTTGTCGCCTTTCTCTCGCGTGATCAGTACCAGAATCTGGACTCATGGCACTCCATGTACCATGAGTATCTTCGGACATATTACTCCTTCCTGCATCGAATATACTTCCTCCAGCAACACTCGGATCCTGTTTGCCAGCACTTTGTGGTCTACCAGAACTCTGCGGTCGTCCAGAGTAGTAACCTGAATCTTTGGGTTTCTTTCCACCTGCAAATGCAGGGTTGGGTGGTGTAAGAGGACCTATTGGTGGTGGTGGAATGCCAGCCTCTTCATGTTTATCTCTAACTATTGATTCAGCTCTTCTCTCAGCTCTCTTCTCCGCTTCTCGTCTATACCTAGATGATACTTCGCCATCACTGAAGTCACTTGCTGAATCCCTTCGCGAACGTCTTTGGCCACTTCGAGCTCTTCTCGAGGCACGTTCTGCCGCAGCTTCTTGTTCTGTAAGACGTCTCAAAGTAACATTGCGGTCTTTATCGCCATGCATTTTTACTTTAACACTGACAGGTGGACTTGCAACTGCCGATCTAGAGTGGGATCTTTGACGACGACGTTCCTCTTCTGCGGCAAGGCCGGCAGCTCCAGCGGCGGCGGCAGCAGCAGCAGCCTCTCCTTCCTCTCTTCGAATAGATGATCGGCGACGACTTCGACCAGGGGTGGGAGTGACATCACTATCGGAAGGTTGATGAAGAACGCCATATGGATCGGTAGGCATAGGAGGCATTGACACTGTTTCTGTAACGACATCATGGTGAGAACGAGATTGACCCATATTTACCGGAACTGGAGCTGGTACTGATACCGTTGCTCTAGGTGCCGGATGAGGATCGACAAGTGACGAGAGTTCGGATGATTCTAAAGAACTTTGTCTGATATGAGTTCTGGGTGGAAACGCGTCGCTTGTCAAATTTGAACCTTGATTAATGTGTCGAGAAGCTCTCTGTCGTTCATATTTTTCATCTTCCTCGCGTTCGATGCGATCCATTTCCTTCTTTTCTCTACGATCTTTCATTTTCTTGGCAAACCAGCCTATTCCCAAACTAGCAAGTAATCCATTTCGTAGTCCATTACTTTCTTGTGGTCTTCGAGATGGACTAGCTGTAGTACCAGATCCGTAATCGTAGGAATAACTCATAGAATCAAAACTATGAGCTCGGCCAGCTTGACTTCGTACTGGTCTCGGAGTTACGGGCGTTACGGGTCTTGGAGTTGTTGGACGTGCTTTTGCAGCACTAATAGCAGCCGCAGCAGCTACTGGAGCTCCGGGTCCAGGTAAGATGGAACGACTTCCTCGGCGATTTTCATAATGATTTGTTTGTTCGGTTGTAAGAGTTGAGTCACTATATTCGCTGTCATTACGTCTATGTTGCCTTCTACCCGGAGTATCCGGAGCAACAGAAGAATATTCGTCCTCGTGCTTTGTTCGCTGTCGTCGATCGAAGAAGCTCTTCGCGAGCGCACCGGCTCCAAGGACTGCCGCACCCTTGAATAATGAATTCATAACACCGCCACCATCCTTTTTCCTAGACTCGTATTTCTCTTCTTCGACGTAACTTACTGATCCGCGTCGAGATCTTGAGCCCCTGCGCGAAGGTATGACTTCTTCTCGAATTCTACTGTGATTGCGACTGCGACTGCGACTCCTACTTCTACTCCTATCTCGATCTCGGTTTCCAAGTAAAGCGGCAGCTCCGGCACCTGCGAGTAATGGACCAAGTATTCCTATACCAAATGAACTCTTTCTTCTCTCTTGGATTACCTCGCCATGTCGACTTCCTTCTCGTAATACTTCAGGGAGCGCCTGTAGTGCCCTGTAAGAAAGAATGAAGTATAGTAATACCAAGAGACCCATCCAGACCGCAAATAGTACAAAGAGATATTTTGGTGATCCATATAAAGTCAGTCCTAGAGGTACTTGCGCAATTGCAAGAAGTGCTGTTGCACGACCTATCCATTGATGCAAGACAGCCTTCAATGGAATCCTTCTCAAGACTCGTTTCTTTTCCGAATTATGTGTCAACCAGCCCGATAAGAATTGTACCCAGATGAGAACATAAATTGCCAATCCGATACCATGATGAGGATTCGTTAAGCTTCGCGCATTGCCTACTGCCATCCATCCAAGTATGAAAATAACTGTTGATAGAAGAAGCGTCATGATTTGTAAATATATGTGATATCGAATCGCATTTCGTATATCCCGACCATAAAATCTCGCGATGAATATCGCCGCAGGTACGATGAATAGAAATGTCATTGCAGCAAGTACACCATGAGCTGTAATTAATCCTTTATATCCAGGCATTGTCGCGAATCTATTTCCCATTCCTATTTACAGTCAGCTCCGTCACTCATCGCAATCTCAACAAACTAGATGCCGGCAAAGATTCACTTACCATTATATCTCATCGTCTCGAAATTCAATCCCATTAAATTGGGCAACAAGAAATCATTTTTCGTAGCATCCCATGTTCCATCTCCAACATACATTGTGTTTGATGAATATGTACTGCTCCCCGGTGGAGAGAGATCATCAGTCGCCATTGCGACGGGCGGATCTGCCGCCTAATGGCAGATAATTTCAAAATCCGTAGAGTAATTCGAGATAATTATAATCTTGTGGCATTCGAGATGATGAACGAAAACAGATGAAAATGTAGAGTAAATGTTGTTCTGGAAGATTATAATATGGCGGCTGGGAAGGATCTCGACTGCGAAAATGTGCTTATCGCACAAAGTTGTAAATAATTATGATGGGTTCGCTAGGTAACCAACGCGGTGAAGCCAACTAGCTGGGGCAGAACTGTTAGAAACAATGATTCTCTCAAAAATGAAGCCTTTGATAATTCATTGATGTCTCTGAGAATATACGATCATAATACAGGATTGTTTAATCAAAGAAACCTAGAACCAAGCATGTCAGTTTTCTGGTTCGCGGGGGAGATGAGAAGCAGACAGTTTTTAGCTGGTGGCTGGGTAGCTGCAGCTAGCTTGACAGCAATATCCACCATACAATTCAGCAAACACCAATCACAACATAATGTTTTAGGGCCCGGACAACATGATGGCTTATGCGGCCACGATGATGGATCCCTATGGTGTGGTATCACAGTATTACATACAGGCCGTTTCTCAAAAAGAAACTTGTCAAAGATGAGAATCTATACCATGTATGGGGTATTGCGTCTGATAAACCTCTTGATGAGCATTGAGCATACCTAGTATGGGCAACGGTTTTAGAAAATGCGGAGAAGTTTTCCCAGAGAGATTGCTGCATCAGTGTGCCTGCATGTTATCGGCAGGGCTCAAGCTCAGAATGGGGGTTCTTCTTCTTGATGTTGCTACTTCTTGAAGAGAAACGACACTATCTTCGAGTACGATCATCATTTCTAACTTTCGAGGTTTGCACTTAGTCAGTCACCAGTCACTAGTCATGATGTATGCGAATTTCTGTTGGATCAACGTGTCGCAATCTGTCGGCTCCGTTGCCCCTGCAATCTTTGGAGATAACTATTTAAATCCGGTAATAGACGGTGAATATTCGCCGTGTTGGGCGTCATGAGAAGATATATAAAGCTCAACACATTATGATTGTAGAATTCGGTGGTTACTAAACCCATTATCAAGTTCTACGTTCTACGATGGAGAAAGAACCCAAAATCTCATCTACTAGTCAACTTGATGTTGTTCCCGAGACTAGTGCTCAGAAACCCTCCGACCCTCAAGAGAACCCCATTCCTCCCGATGTTACGAACGTGCAGCCTCATAGCAATGTCGATGTTGAGAAGTTGATCGAAAACAATGATAACGAAGTACTCGAACCACCTTCCGAAACGGTTGAGAATACGCAACCCAATGCAGTATCAGATGTTCCATATAGTGTCTTTTCTGCCCCTCAAAAGAAAATGATTGTCCTTACCGGGTCCATGGCAAGCCTCTTTTCTCCTATGTCAACGAGCATATATTATCCATCTCTCAGTCAAATTGCGAAAGATCTTCACGTATCAGATGCCAAAATCAGTCTTACAGTTACTTTGTTTTTAGTATGCGTCATTCGCTCTTTCCTCTGTATTTGTAACGTTCTAATCAGCCTCTAGGTTATTCAAGGCTTAGCACCTATGATGATTGCGGGATTATCAGACAAAGCTGGAAGACGTCCAGCATATATTATTTGTTTCATTATTTACTTCTTCACAACTCTCGGTCTTGGACTTCAAAATTCATACCCAGCGTTGATGGCCCTACGTTGCTTGCAAAGTGCAGGAAGTAGTGGTACAGTAGCTCTTGCAAATGGTTTAGTTGGTGATATTATTACCTCTTCTGAACGTGGTACTTACGTTGCATGGGCTTCTCTTGGTAGTATTCTTGGTCCTATGGTTGCTCCTATCATTGGAGGAATATTAGGGCAATATGCAGGTTGGCATTGGATATTTTGGTTTCTCTTAATATATTCATGCGTCGTATTTATACCCCTTATTCTCTTTCTTCCGGAAACTTGTCGAAACTTAGTTGACGATGGTTCCATACCTCCACCATTTCTCTGCATGAACATTACAGACCATATACGACATTCGAATCGTCGTAAGAAAGGAATTCCCTTGGATGCAGAGAAGTTTACAGCCCTGCGCAAGAACTACAAGCTACAGGTCCCAAATCCACTATCTACACTTAAAGTTCTTGCGGATAAAGAAGCAGGACTATTGTTAGGCGCAGCGGGTATAAGTTTAGCTTGTTATTATGCAATTTCTACAGGCGCTTCATCACAATTCGGCTCTTTATACGGATTCTCACAGCTACAAGTATCATTGATGTTCATTCCTGTCGGTGCAGGATCTCTCATCTCTGCTTTTACTACTGGGAAGATAGTAGACTTCAATTATCGCCGATATGCTAAAATCCATAACTTTCCACTCATCAAAAATCGTCAACTGGATCTCACCAATTTTCCAATCGAGAAAGCGCGATTGGAGATTGCACTCCCGTTGTTCTATCTCGGTGCTTTAGCCATAATTGCTTATGGTTGGGTTATGGGTCACAATGTTAGTATCGCTGGTCCAGTGATATTATTGTTTGTGATAGGGTATGCTTTGGTTGCAAGTTTCCAAGTCCTTAATATCTTGATGGTGGATATTTATCCTGGTAAACCAGCTACTGCCACAGCTGCAAATAATGTTGTACGATGTGAACTGGGAGCGATTGCGACTGCGGTTATTGTCCCCATGGTCAATGCCATCGGTACTGGGGTAAGTTTGATTTTCCTTCGGGCTTAACAGAGCAATAACATGTCCTTCTCATATGAATATTGAATTGAATATGTACTGAGGTTTTTATAGTGGTCATATACGATCCTGGCTCTTCTATTTGTGATCTACAGCCCGGTGTTGATAATAATCATGAGATATGGAATACGATGGAGAAGGCAAAAGAAAATTAAAGATGTCGAATCAGCCGAAAGGAAGCAAGAGAGAAAGGCAGATAAGTAGTCGTAGGCTATCCACCTAGGGATTCACGCAAGGCTATCAACTCAGTCAGACTCTTATACGTAGGGGCCGGCCCCATCCCATTTTGCGCTGATTAAATTTGGCCTTCCATTCATCGTTTCAAATTTTGATTCCCATATAGATGGTATCAAAAACTTAGGGTAATCATGAATCGGGAATTATTTATATTGACTTCGAAGTGGATATTCGCAATACATATCTCGGGTTCCGGGTCATCGACCGGTCAAAGATGTGAAAGGATAGATTTGAAGTATTGGAAGTGGTATGTGGGAAGTAGTTCGAGTGACTGGATTTCCATCATCCAGGAGGTGGCGAAGGAGTGAAGGATACTGTGTTAAATTGTTTCGAAGGATTAGAGATTGTTGTAAGATGTATCGGGGTTACATATGAATATGTGCCTGAGAGTAAAGTTCGACGAAAATCAGCCTGGACGTTTGCTAAGACTCATGCAAAATTCAATAAAGGTATGTTGTGTTACAGAATAGACGAATAAACCCCCTGATAGGCAGCACTCGCCGCAGTACTGCACTTCCAAGACTCGCTCTGTTTGGTAAGCTCGGTAACATTGGAGGCCACTATGCAGCTGCTTGTTTGAATTACAACTTCAGCCTCTACGTATGTCATACATGGTGCTTACAAATTCCATGGCGATCAGGATTAGTATTATATGTCAATAATCACCATGACTGGCATCTTGTTACTTAGCGACGAAACAATATTTCTCTTCTCAACATTACACAACAAATACTCTAAATTTTGGAAACATTTGAAGTATATCTCTTTAATACAAAACAAAGGGAAAAAACGATGAAATTCCTTCGAGTCAGCAATGATCGGGAATTTGAGCCGCCAGACTTCTCATTTCAGGAACATGGAATGGACCTACGACTAGATGATCCATCAGGAGTCTCAAGCCGGGATAGAAGAAATTCGCAATACTCAGTTACGGATTCCCTATTGTCTACTGCAAATCAACCAGAATCTTGGCAGCAAGTGAGCAGCCTTTCGGGTTCCTCAACAGCACAAAGTACAAATTTGAACCTTCCCGCACAACCTTCACAGAATACCATCCCATCAATGACAAATCTGCCGATAGATACTGTAATCTGGAAGATTAATTGGCAACAACCAACTTTTATGTGCTCGATGCTACTTTGTGGTCTGATTCTGGCAATTGGACATCATGTTTACTACAATTCATTAAGTGGGTCGCCGGCGGGGGATGCCGCAAGGCAAGCTTGGTCAATTCGATTCGGGACAGCCTTCGCATTTCTCGTCGTCGCATGTTTCAAAGCTATTACTGTCTCCGCGCTGGGACAGTATCTTTGGAGCGTTGTAAGGTCGAAAGATCTCAAAATTAGTATGTATTGTTCCATATTGCCGATACAAGATTGCTCTTCCTAGACAAAGTACTGAGAAAACTGCAGGTGATCTCGATAAGTTGTACGCACTCACAAGTAATCCGATTAGCATGTTCAGTGTTTCAGTTATCAAGAATGCTTCCCTGGCAGCTTTAATTGGCACAATTTTCTGGTATGTGACTATGGCTCAAAGTCCGAGACTTCCCTAGACCTCAGGAAATAGTTGGGAAACAACTGTGTGAGCCGTTCATACATAAGAGGTGGTTTTAGGCTCTTGGCCATGTCGGAATACTTCAAGACGAAATAACGCTAAAATTTTGGCGCATTGATTTTCAGTTCAACTTGTGAATGAACTATCGATGAAATCTACGGTTTAGGTTACTGATATGCATTTTAGGACCATGGATTTCGTTAGTTTTGCTCCCGCAGCTACGCTCTCTGTCGTTCCAGTCAATATCATTATTCAGGTGCCAATTCCAGTATTGAATAGAACCAAATTTTTCTCGAATGTGGGTGCGATTGAAGGTTTCAGTATCTCAGAGAGAATTGCAGAAAAATCAGCATCTCTGGTTGATGTGGTACCTCTAGATTTTTCGATCGCGCCTCAAATCTGGTCCTATGATATGCAGTTCTTTGGTCTCACGCTCAAGTGCAGAGAAGCTAAGAGTACTGAGCAAGCTATTTTCGATCAACTAGCGCATGATAGGGAAAAATCCCAATCAGGGTTATTGTCTCTCAAATCAATGACTCGATTTGGAACAACTCAGTGTCTGAGTCGGGACCAAGATCACAAAACCTTCTCTTCTATTTTTCACCTTGGCAAAATTACCAAATGTCATGGGTAAGCGACCTCGGTCTACCAGTTTCGCTGTATGAGCTGTATTCTAGAAACTCAACTGGTTATCACATTTTCGTACAAAGTTCAGCGTCAAGCATTGTATGTACAGCCATGAATGCCTCTATTGCTATTACAATCGCTTCTGCCTACGGCAACCAAGAAATCACGCAACACAACACCCAGTACCTAAACGAGATACCTCGGTGTGAGGATGGAATACCCAGCTGTTTGGCGGATTATTATCAATTTTCCAATTTTGCGAGATTGTTGCAAGGAAATATCTCATTACATAGTGAAATGGCAGGCACCAATCGCATGGTTTGGATCCCTTATTTTATCGACAATCCTCTCCTCCGTCTATTTACTGCATGCGACGACATACAGGCTTCACCATTCGAGTCCCTGCTCCCTCCAAGTGACTATTATACAACGATCTTTGAGGAATACTTTCCAATCGAGCCATGGCAGTGTCGCAATCGAAGCTTCATGAGAGCAATCGAGGATCTTTCCATCAATATCACCATAGGTTATCTTGGTTCTCCCAATCTCACTAGTAGCAGCACAGAATATGCAAATATCACCACCTCAGACACTAGGAATGTCTACGTCTATCATCCTCTGTACCTCGTTCTTTCCTATAGTATCGGGTTCTTTCTGGCAAGCCTTTGTGGTGCAATTGGTCTTCACTCAATGCATGTTAATGGCGTTTCGCATTCAAACTCCTTCTCCGCCATCATGCTTACAACAAGGAATCCAGACTTAGACATCTTGGCAAGAGGGAAGTCTTTGGGATCTGATCCATTGTCTAAAATTATCAAAAACACAAAATTAAGGTTTGGACCGTTGGTATCACAACATGGTCCCGAGAAGAGAGAATCTGATGATTCTCCTCGGCACGTTGCATTCGGGCTTGAGGGAAGTGTTGACGAATTGAAGAAAGGTGGAAAGTACATATGATCAGAAGGAACTGCGATCACAAATGTGATTCGGAAAAACGCCATCCCTAACAATTTGTGAGAGCTCCAAAAGTAGCACAAATGAAACAACAACTTATCATCTCCAGCGGGCCCACTTTCGATTTCTACATCATCTAATCTCATTCAAGATGCCCAAGTAACCATTCTGTACACTATGCCGAGCCATATCATTATTGAGGGTCACATGGTCTAACATAGGTTTCCTGGTACTCCAAGAACCATCGGCCGGCAAACTTCTGGCGATTTCGAAAACTCTGTATAACATGTTAGTTACAATGAAGGTTTTTGAGGTCTGATTGAAAGGAAAAATAAATGGCTTGATCACTGCACTATGTTGTTTGTTTTTTTGGATGAAAGGTTACTTGCGTAGATATACCGTGAATCTGAGGGGAGTGAATGAACCTGTTGAATTTCGCACCTTATCTGAGGATAAAACAATCAAAACTTCTCAAAGGCATGATTTTCTTGCTTGCGAACAACCCGGGTTTGATTTATGGTCAAGATATCGGTCACAAATTCCTTCAACGGCGCTGTTTTTCCAGAGCTCCTAGTCAATTCATTTAGTAAATTTGGGGAATAATGTCACCTTTATCCCTAATGTGGTAGATATACTGAAGGATTATCGGTTCCATGATATTCACTTCTGCTATATAATAGCCGCAAGTGATTCACGTAGATTTGGAAAGAAGAAGTTCAGGAGAATAACAATAACAAGCATAGCATGTCGTCGCATGTATTATCAAGAGACTTCCAAGTCTCCGGGGTATCTAGAGTCAGTCAACTATTGAACTAATATGAGTGGTGTAATATGCATATCATAGTGACCATGGTACTATAAGTCTATGGAAGGAACGACTCTTATAGGCGTTCTGGCTTACTAAGCTAACTAGTGAATTATGAAATATATCAACTTTCGTCATCTGATGCAGTAACCGCCAGACAGTATACATACTGCCACCGGTGAAATTATAAGAGGAGCTTGAGCCGTAACCATATGGGCTATCTGAAACTTCGAATCATGGTCGAAATACCTCTTCAGCTTCCACCTGTACATTTAAGCTGTAGGGTCTGGGGCCGTGAGGTATCAATATTCACTTGTCTATCTGGTACTGCCACAAAAAGTTTTTGTACGTTCTGAGAAATCCCTTTCTCATATTCTTTATCAATATTTAAAGGACAAGAACTATCAACCAACAAATTTTGAATCGCGAGAAATTATCGAAGTTTCTGAAGCAGAGATTCAAAGTGGTCAACGCCATGGATCAATCTTCCTTTGACGAAGAATTCTACAATTGGCATGAATTGAGCGGTCTATTGGGGACACTTACTTCGACTGTAGAGGAATATGCTCAGTATCCTACAAGAGGTATTTCCAGAATTCTAGATCGACCAGGATGTGTTTCTGTAAAGCAAAAATCGACACTACTAAGAATAGGATGGCGGGATGAAGACGGAACTGATCTGTGTGTTGTGAAGTTCAAAGCAAAGGACAACAGAGTGCAGGAGAAGCAGTCTTCGCTTGAAAACCGACTTACATATTGTCCAAGTGAGTTACACACAAAGATGATCATCATTTGCTAACATGTTCAGAAACATGGCAAACATCCGAGATCAAGTTTTATCACGATCTTCCGACAACTGCTATCCAAATAGCCTTGCAGGTACAGGTTGTTCCTGCGCAGTCTACTTATCATTCTATTAATTCTTAATACTAGCCTAGCAATTTATGTACGCACACCAAAGTGTTCATAAACCATTATTACGTCTTTGATCTTTATGAGCGTTCGATAGAAGTTGATTTCTATACCGTGTTCCATTGATTGTATCTAGAAACCAATGTTTCTGCCATGCTAGAAGTTCGGGTACCGTCAGCCCTTCAACCTATTCAGATATTCAAATATGTTCAGTTCAGTTGCTTGATGTATTCCAGCTTTCAACCTTAGACATCTCAGTCCCGTGCCTCATTCAACAAAGTAAGTATGCCTCGAGATAGAATAGATCTTAACTTAGATAGGTAGTACCTACCCAATTCTACCTGCACTGAACCGCATATTGAGACTATCGAGAAGTTGACAGTCTCATGAGGTCAGGGTACCAAGTGAAAGTGGGATTAGATGAATTAATGACACTTTGATCCACGTCCAGCAAAGCATGAGAAGAAATGGCCGAAGGAGTTAAGCAGGAGATATAATATAGGATATAGACGACGAATGTGTATAAGACCATCCAAAATTGAAATTTGATTACTAAAAAAGGTGGAACTTGGTATGAGGTTGTTAGGCCCCACTTTCCCGTCTCCCCATGTTAACGAGTTATCAGCGGTCAAACCCATCCCCGCATTTGTCAGATGTGCTGATAAATCATCGTTTGTTAATAGAATTCGGGGTTTAGAATCATAAAGAAGTCGTGTGTGAGTCCCTGCAGTGCTGTCAGCTTACTATCTCTTGGCTCATAGTTGCTGACGGACCACGTTACTCAAGCGCCGAGAGTATGCTCACAAATCAGTTGATCCTTCTTGGTTTGTGATCAGAGAATATGACATTCAGACTCCGCATATATATAATGCTATAGTGAGCCTCCATGGAAGATATAGATTCGAAGAAGATAGGAAGCACCTGAACTGAAACAATGGCATCAACACAACAATCACTCATCGTGCAAGAGACTGGCAAGCCAGTGGTGAAAATCACAAGACCTATTCCTACCCCTAAGGAAAATGAGGTTCTTGTTAAGACGACATCTGTTGGCAGTAAGCTTTTCTCCGAATTGAAACCGCAAACCTGCGCTAACAAAAAACCTAGTAAATCCCCACGATGCAAAAATTCGAGACTGGGGTCTCTTTCAACTTCCCCTTCCTACAACCTTATGCAACGATGTCGCTGGTGTAATCACTGCCAAAGGCGATAAAGTTTCCGGCTTTGAACTTAACGATCATGTATTCGGATATCCCAGGTTCGTGGTCGATGCCCAAGGATCCCAACAATATGCTCTTTTGGAAGTTGGATGTTTTGCCAAAGTACCATCCAATATTACCGATGACCAAGCAGCAACACTGCCAGTAAATCTATTTGCTTCTGCTCTATCATTCTGGTCCAATGAAGCTTTTGGATTCTCATCTCCGTGGGCAGACGATAAGACCTTCGATGCTTCATCTCAGGCTGTAGTCATTCTTGGGGGAGGAAGCAGCTGCGGAAAATTCGCCGTTCAAGTCGCAAAAATCACTGGAATTGGAAAGATCGTCGTAGTCGCGTCCAAATCAAACGCCGATGAGCTAAGATCTTATGGGGCAACCCATATCATCGATCGTCATGGTACAGACTCGGAAGTCAAGGCACGTGTCCAAGAGGCTGTCGGTGATGAAATCGTTTACGTTTACGATCCTATCAACGATGATCAATCATATGCCATTTCTTTACTATCCGAAAAGAAGAGAGGTAAAGTCGTAACATTGTTACACGTGAAGTCGTCTCCCGGTCATCATGATATCTCTCAGACATCTGGTCTGCCTCAATTGCATATGGATTTCTCTAAGGAATTCTTCAAGCTATTGCCAAGCTGGGTAAATTCTGGGGAAATTAAGCCGCTTGGCTTCAAAGTTTTTGAAGGTGGTTTGGATGTAGATGCATTCAATAAGATATTGGATAACCATCGGGATGGTAGGAACCCTGGAAAATGGCACTTCCATCCCAACGATGCTTGAATTATAGTTAGAAATATAGGGATAGAGAGACTTGGGATTATCCCTGTCAAAGAACCCACAGATTTTGTTTGAATAGAAATAGAAATGTTCTTTTTCTTGATACTACATATCAAATGAAGAGATCAATAAGTCCATTGCCCATTGAGATCCACTTGATATCTCATGACTTGTGTATACCAATTGCTATCCTCGCCCTAGTATCGACATTTGCAATTACATCCAAACAGCATTACATGAGTCGGACCCCATACTTCTTCATACTGATTTCTGTCTGCCATTGTATAATGACTTTATCTTTGTGATCTAACTCTCATACTTTCAAAATGCGCTTATGTATGTATTCTTGTAGCTGAAGATGATGGGTTGATCGAGGTATACCTTTTCTTGTCTATTCATGGACTGCCATGAAATATGTGACGTTGACGACATTTCTTCCCCGCACGAGCTGAAGTTTAGACTACTAACTAATCCTTCATGGGAACTTCTGCAGATGCGAGAATCATGCGACCACGTCTCCATGAACTAGCTGCAGCTCAACAAAGATCCATGTGATTGGTGCGAACGTATCCACCTCCCCGAAATTGTAATGAAAAGGTACTCGGGTCTTCCGCTGTCCGATTCTTTTTTCTAGTTAAGTATGGTAGACTCAAAAGCCAATGCCTTTATAAACTCTATATCCGCCTTTGGTGTAGCACAAAATGTCAAAACAAGTTATGCTACTGAACCAAGCTAGTTCTTACTTCCTGGCATCGAATTTCTCAATGACGACGATGGCTAGCTGCTGAGTTCCTAAAGATCTAGGGTCTCAAGTATCATAGACATATCGTTTATGGATTCTCGAGATGAAATATAAGGCTGTCGCATTGTATGTTTAGATTCTCAGTTGGAGGGAACGTCGGCGATCTTCCTTTCGTTTTTTCTGTCTAGCTCCGCTGCATATAGTGACTTAATATCTTTGGAAATCCTGTCTTTCAAGTAAAGGGGTATACTGAGATGATGTTGTACTTCCTATCTTTCTTATCTTTCCGCACTTTCGCAAATCGAAGATGGCCTTCACTTGTAGTAAGAGTGTCCTGGTGTCAAAGTCCATGCAATGAACAGTTACGTAGTGGTAATGTGTCCTATTAAATCCATTGTTGTTTTAATTGACCATGATGAGGGAGTATTCTTCTTCTCCCTGCTTGGTCTAAGTGGGCTTCCAACTGATGGGTCCAATGCGTCATGACCATCACAAGCTCAGAGCTCTACTTTCAGGACCAAACACTCCTGGCATTGCATACCTAAGTAGTGACGGGTTCCCATCCGAAAACTAGTTTGCTCTGATAGAACGGGCTCGTGAATCTCTCTGGTTTGTTTCGTCGTTGATTACTTTAATTGTTGAACTTCCTTTCGTCTGAGCTGAGTTCATGTCTCAGAATTTGTCACTCAAGAAGCTGCGGCGTTTTTCACCGGTCGCAGTCCTAGGTACAAAATTTGAATGATTCTTTATATATTCGGTCGACCAACCGTCTTGAACTCGAACCGTCTTTTCTGGTTAGCTTGGTTCCTGCGCAGCAGTGGCTTCGGTTGTGTCAAAATAAAGAGGCTACTTGGCGTTCTTAGCTGCAGAAGGTGGCTCTGAAACAATAGAATCTTGGCAATACAAAGATAGAATGAACAAGGCGTATCTAGTAGTGGTATTCGGCGATTTGATTAGAAATGTCTCCTAAGGGTGATGTGCGAACTTGTGCGTAATCGTCCCATCTAGGCTGCAACTTCTAGAAATGCTTATTCTACAAGACAATCCTTCGCCTTGTTTTTAAAGATTGTGAGATTGCTTTCATATTATTTGATAGTATACGAGATTCTAAAGATCGTCTATCTCGGATTCCTAGTCAACTATTTTGAAGAGGCAAGGCAATTTGTTCGGTAGGGTCCATTCAGCCAAGGTCGGAGGAAAGACACAGGTATCATGTCTCGAACATTGGATGAATTTCGGACTTCTGAATCTTTATGGCAATGAGTGCATGTTAAGTGGAGTCACAATGTTGATTTGTAGATATAAGACAATTCATCATGATGACCCTTGTTCTTTGCCCACTTTCGGGGAGGGACATGTCCCAGCGAGACTCACTGACTGCTGTGAATCCCGAGTATATTCAGTCTCGGAAGTATTTTTTCCGCTATGTTTTCTGTCAACGATGTAGATTGGTTGAAAGCTTGAGAATGATATATTGGTAGTAAATGTAGATGGGTATTGTATGCGTTTGTATGCGTAGTACGTAATGTCAGCAATAACTCAGGTTCTTTCACCAAGAGATGGCCGATCTCGTTCTTGGGCACCAAATCTGTAGACATTAGGAATAGCGACTGCGCTAATAGTACAAACATGGAGACCCAGATATTTGGAACGATCATACCGGGACGGGGCGCACTGGGAAAGCTTGAAGATTGAGTATGGATACACTCCACATAAATATATGTGATATGACGGGGCTTCATCCAAACCCATGGCATCGTTGACCTATACAATTCTTAGCACGAACCCGACTCACCACAGCAGACAGCTGCAAATATCTAGTGTGAGATTGTTTGACACAGTTAGTAGCAACCGATGTGTAACGTTACTCTGTGGCTGTTTGACATATCCACTGACTCTCAAATATCTTTATTACTCATAATAATATGGCAATAATACAGATACCATTGATGAACTAGTCTTGGGTATTTGAAAGATCAGACCACTTGAACATGAGAAGGGCCAGCCCTCGTCACCTTCTGCTTAGTATTTTGACTGCCGTAATGAATATTTTGAATGCATAGGTAAGGTTGGTATGCAAGTTTGACCAATGGCCCCCACTCCTAGTCAATATAGCCCCCGCTACCTCAACTGGAATTCAAAGGCAAAGGTCTATGCTGGTCGTGTTTTCTGGATTAACGTGTATCATCGGTCATCGAAGATTCACAGTTTCCCGAATGTCACACCGGACCATTTGGATTGAGATCCTATTGGAGAGGTACATTGAATGGCGAGCTTTAGAATCCTTCTGGAAGTGAAAGAATTTAGAAATTGTCAGCACTTGTCTGAACTTAGTACAAGTTTATCAAAGTTCGGTGCGGAGTATACCCTAAGTATCCGATGCATATAGTATGCATGAATGGCTCGCGCGCGGCCGTAAGAATAAAGCAGGGGCGGAAGCGGGCATGCCTCCACCTAGTTGCCCGTCAACTTAACAGATTTTTCATTCGGAGCGAAGCCGAGACTATAATTGAGGTTATTCGTAAAAATTACCCACCTAGGTATACGTGGATGTCGATACTTTTTCCAAGATTGAAGATCTCGATGTCAAACTAAAGGGTTATCTCCAATAATGTCTCAGACGATGAAGAGTCCCGGCAAATCCAAGTCCCATCAATTTCCGACAATATGGTTAAAGTTTAGATTTCCCGTAGGTTGGTTGACGGGTGCTAAGGTTGTAATCGAATTATGTTGCATGCTTGGTATACCATATTTTTGTTGGGGGGAAGGGGTTTTTCCAAAGAACAACTCTGGTGTTGCAAGAGATATGTATATCTACCTATCTTACCCCTCTCTTGGGCTTGGTGCATGATTTACCAGCGGCAGATGCGCATTTGGAGCCATCAAATCATTTGGTTGAATAACTGCAAAGTGCGCAATCAAACAAATTAACTTATATTTCTCATCGGAAATCTTTCCTTCTTCTGCAACTTTCAGTGGAGTCTTGCCCTTGAGAACCATGTATTATTCGCAAAAAAGATCCAGAATGTGTTAGAGTTTTTGATGTATGTACTAGGTAATGCGTGTTTCTACTCTGGAGTCTGGACAGAGTAGTATCTCCCATCGATATGGGAGATGCACACACTTCCGATATTGGAAAGATGTAAGCATAAGCATCCACACCAAAGCAAAACAAGATGCAGATACCTGGGTATGTATACTTTCTTTATTAATGATCATGAACCCAAGTCTTTGGAGACGGCTGACCCAGCAAACCGGGAAGGTCGGCTTATTCTCTTTTAATGGGTCAATGCATGAAATGACTGGGATAAAACGGTGAACGACCCCAAACTTCAAAGTAAGTTCCCCCCTTCTGGTATCTACCCCTTCATCCCGAAGAGCTAATCCTTAATAACTTTATGTTGGCCGATCGATTGGCTTCTCCCCGTTTTACCATGAGACCATCGAATGATACCTTGTAATTTCATATATACTAGAAAGGCTTGAATTGTGCCAACGCATCAATCAGCGTTCATTTTCAGGTTCGCTGCATACAATTTAGTCTTCCCACAGAAATTCCCTACCCGAGCCCAAATTAGCAATCCCCTGGTCAGTGAGATTTTAAGACATGGCCCACGACCCGGGAATTCGTCTCTTGGGATTTTGACGTTTTCCCCATTCTCGTCGAATTTGTCAGTTTGTCTTATGTCGAATTGATCTTCCTCAAATCTGTGTTCCAATTTCTTCACAGTACTGTACGACATATTCATTGTCACAAACTATCATACCTACTTTTTATTTGCGAATATTGTAGCAGTCAACGAAAGCAATGGCATTAGAAAACTCGGAGACTATAGAAGAGGTACGATCACTTCGGCACAAGTACCGTCCGGGATGTCCGTATTCACATAGATGTATGACATACTAACAAACCGGATTCATTTTCAGGACGTCAGCCTTACCGCTCGTAGTTATTCTTCTTCCGAAGATGATTTGTAAGTTACAACTGCCTGAGAACTTGTCAAAGTCGATACTATGAAGGATCACAAACGAATAGCAGTTAACGATAGTCAATGTCAGAGCAGGAGATACTTATTCGATAGATTCGAGTGCTATGGCTTTTAGAATGGAAAATGGTAGAAGATATCAGGCATATAGAGAAGGAGCTTATTGGTAAGTGTTTACTTGTTGATGCCTCCATCTGTTTAACTGTTTGATTCTTTGTTTCCAAATATCAATATACTTTGAGATCTAATACCAGATAGGCAACCAAATGATGAAGTACAAAGTGAGCAAATAGACATTAGGTAACTCGATATTTGCAGGCATACAGAGAAGTGTATTAATCAAATTCAAGTCATCGACGATATCTAGCAATGTTGGATGGCGCGTTGTACATGGCACCAATACCAGATAACGTCGAGGTAAATACAATTGACCTCAAGAAAAATTCACGAAAGAACTAATATGGTGAAAAGCGAGTTTTAGATCTCGGAACAGGTACAGGAATATGGGCAATTGACTTTGCTGACCTTTTTCCAAATGCGTCGGTTCTTGGGACAGACCTATCACCAATCCAACCGGGCAGTAAGTAGCTCTATTTTTCCCAATCAATTCAGCCAGTTTTTGGCTCATGAACCATCCGCCCTTCAAAATTCATCATGTTTCATGACTTCATGACTCTATACCTTTCAACTTCCAAGTCCTCATTTGTTGTACATGTGCTGACTTTAACACCCTCAGTGGTTCCTCCAAATTGCAGGTAAAGTATTTGACAATCGCAACAACTCATATATTCATGGCGGCTAATCAAAGTTCCCCAGGTTCGAGATAGACGACTGCACAGAAGAATGGACCTATCCGCCAAATTACTTTGATTTTATACATATTCGTTCACTTTTCGGTAGTGTCGCTGATTGGGACAGACTATACGCACAAGCTTTCAAGTAAGGCCCCGTACACATACCATAAAAATGTAAATTTCCAGTCGTCCTAATCAATATCAGACATTTGAAACCAGGAGGATATATTCAGCACCTAGAGCCGTCACTATATATACATTGCGATGACAACAGTTTACCACCAGATAGTCCATTGTATAAGTTCTCTGAGGTATGTAGGTATCAACAAGTTTCATCCAAATTATTGCTTTTGCCAAGTTAATGCATGACTACTAACTTCAGATGGTCTTCAACAGCTTTTCAATGAGGCTGGAGAACGTACCGGACAATCATTAGATCTGTGCCCGACAATGAGTTCCAAAATAGCCCAAGCTGGGTTCATTAACCTTCACGAAAAGACATACAAAACGCCATTAGGAGAATGGTCATCCGATCCGAAGTTACAAGAGCTAGGAAAGTGGAATTTGTTACAATTTGATGTTGGATTAGAAGGATTTTCCATACAACTTCTCACAAATGTAATGGGGTGAGTTCGGTCCTACTACATGAAACTTCACAAAGGGTAATGCTCGTCACTTGAAATATGAAACTGATGAACTGAACAGATGACTTTACCTGAGGTTCAATTATTCTGGTAAGTTAAATTACTTACTCGACGAGGTCATTTGGAGTTCAAGAGAATTGACGTATGTATAGTGCCCAAGTTCGCGTTGCGGCTCGAGATCGAAGAATACACTCGTACTATCCACACAAACTGGTTTACGCTCAAAAACCTCTGTAACTTCTCGCAACAATAAGATCGGACGACATGTCACACCAAGTTACGATATCGCCTTACGCAATCCAGTTTCCGGTCTGCGGCGCCAGTGATCAAGTGTAATAGGACATTTTACCCCTTCATCATTCTATGATAAGCGATCCTCTTAGTTGATGATGGCAGACAATAAAACAAAAGTATTCTGGGCGAATCGTCATAGGATTTCGAGGCGGTTGATTTTTTTGTATACCGGATGAATTACATGGTCAAATTTTTGAGATCAAGATTCGATGGACAAAATGACAGAATTGATGGGTTAAGTACAGCACCAAGTACGATTGAAGATTTAAGCTTGACTTTACTTCTTGTACTCCTTGCTGCTGAAATAGTTTAAATTTGCCCTGTACATATTATTTCATTTATACTAATGGGTCTGCTGGGGTAGATTTGGACCCATTGGATGCTAATTCTTCAATAAATTTGTTGAATAGATATCATTCATAAAATACCTTCACTTTTGATGTCTTTGGCTTCGAGTCCTCGCGTTGGGTTCTTGCTTTGAATTTTTGCTTTTATATTTTGCCTTGGGTTCTTGTTTTGAGATTTTTCACTAACATTTTCTTTTGAACCTCCAATTTAACGTTGCCCAATCCCTTTTGACGATACCAATGAGTTCTCGAATGCTCATTTCTTATCTACTTTACCAAAGTCGGTGTGATGTCTGTGCATACCTTGACAATAGATACCTACCGAGCAAGTACTCGAAAGAAATGCATTGACTTTTGAAACATGGGTCTCTTGTAGTACTAAATGGGGATATCCTTTCGTCTCTATTTCTTAGTTACTTGAAGCCGATTGGCTCAATCTAATCTACAAGCCTAGGAAGCTTACAAGTACTTTGTTTCCAAATCACCGCCAAGCTGTCAACTTATCATTTCAAACACCATCGCCTCGTCAGCAATTGCACTTTCCATTACTTCAAACCTTGGATCCACGTCTCCCAAACAAAAATTGTCAAAAATATAGCATTTTTTTAACTTGTATTTTCTTATTCTGAAAATCTTCAAGCAGGTAATTCCCTGCGGAATTTCTTCACTTCAGACGACATGTGATGCTACAAGTGACGAGTATCATGCAATGAACCTAGTAGCTTCGACGTTTTTCTCATAATAACCGTTTCTTTTGACGACCACTAGGGCTAACATTCTTAGATTACTATTCTGAGAACCCCCAATCGAATGGACGAGTCCACCAAATCCACATCCCGTACAAATGGAGACGCCGCGGCTCCGCTATCATCGCTCTGGATGTAGCCCAGCTATCAATCTCAGCCTGAAACTTGTGGATCGCTGCATCTATATGAATATTGATGTGAAAAGCTTGGAGCAAGGCACATGGTATACAGCAAAGGGTATTGATTTTGGGAGTTATTTCCACTTTTTTCACATCTGTTAAGTATTGAAGGATTGTGCAGTGATGGAAACCTTTTTCTTCTCACCGTACATTCATCAATCTTCTTTCCTACCTACCTCCTTTTCTCTTCTCAATACATCTTCGGCACATCGCTGGCGAGTCCGTTAAGACTTTTCTTCGATTCCTTAGAATTACATTCTCTTTATTGCTTTTATTGTTTGCTGTGTAAACTTGGAATCATTCGATTGATTCGATAGAAGTTTGATACTTTACTTCCTTTTCTATTCTTTTCAAGGAAATTTATCTGTTATATATTCAAAATGGTTGGATGGGGCGTTCTTCAGGATCCAAGGTATCCAAATATTCCTGGAACCGTAAATCTTGGTGAAAACACTGCTGGAGCTGATGGTTCATGTGAGTGTATTCAATCTTTGTGGAACAAGCCGAATATACTGACTTTACATTAGCAAAAGAAGCGAATTGGGATTATGTTGAGCCAAAGAAGAGGGGTGAGATTGTTCTCAATCCTCAACCTTCTGAAAGTCCTAATGATCCTCTCAATTGGTATGTTTGCATGTTACTATTATCAAAAATTCTTTCCACTAACATGTTGGTAGGACTACTGCTACAAAAATGGCCATTCTTCTCATCTTAGCCTTGACTGCAGGTGTCACTGTCTCGTATGTACTATCTACCCCCGTCAGATATGTAGCTCAATCTAATACAACTTTATAGTCTCGGTCCAATGATTACTACCGGATCCGAAGATGTAGCAACAGCTTTCGGTGTCACCACAGATCAAGTCTCCTTTAACATTGTCGGGATCATGCAACTTACAACCGGTTCCGGTACATTCTTCACTGCCGCAGCAGCAGCCGTATGGGGAAAACGTCCAGTTTTCATTGTGTCTACTATTGGATTGTTGGTCACCAATATCTGGGGTTTTTTTTCCAATAGTTTCATGTCGCTTTCCATCATGCGAGCTGTTCAAGGTTTCTGTGCTTCTCCCTCGAGACACTCGTCAGCGCAACGGTTTCCGAGATCTTCTTTGTCCATGAGAAGGGTAAGATGTTGAGTGTATGGAATTTGTTCGTTATGGGTGGTGTTAAGCTTGGGTATGTTCAATCTGCAATGGACGTACATTTATGTTGCTCTTGGATACTAATTGTCTTCAGTCAACTCATCGCAAGTTTCATCATCCAATCCTTAGGATTCAAATTCACCTTTGGCATCTGCGCTTGCATCTACGCCATGATCATCCCCGCCATGTATTTCTTTGTACCCGAAACCCTTTACATTCCTCAAACCGATCCTCCTACCCAACTCATCGTCGACAAAACCGAAGGCCGAGTCTACGAAATCGTCCTACCAGACATGAAGAAATCCCTCAAAGAACGTCTTTCCATCTTCAACGGTCGCATCTCACAAGCTAGCTTCTGGGCACTCGCCGCCAAACCAATCCCGCTCGTTACTTTCCCCGCCGTCATATTCAGCGCCTTTACCTATTCATTCTACGCCGCCGGTCTAACCCTCATCGCTTTACTCCAAGATACCATCTTCAGCGCGCCTCCATACAACCTCTCCACTTCCGCCATCGGACTTACCAATCTTCCCCTCTTCGGCGTCGGACTCGTCGGCACCTTAGTTTCCGGATACTGCGCCGATTTTGTCGTCCAATGGATGACCCGCCACAACAATGGTATCTACGAACCCGAATTCCGTCTCGTGCTTATGTTCGTCGCGGCTTCTCTTTCCACCGTCGCATATATCGGGTTTGGATATTCCGTTGCAGCAGGCGCATCCATCTACATCCCCATTGCCTTTTTGGGCGTCCAGACCTTCGCTGTTCCGTTTGCGACGAGCAGTATGTTTACATATGTTATGGATTGTCACAATCGGTTGGCACCACAAGCGTTCGTGACGATGAATTTTATCAAGGCGATTTTGTCGTTAGTCATGAGTGATTTTGTGAACGGATGGTTTGAAGCAAGTGGTGCGAAGAGTGTTTTTACCACTGTGGCGATTGCCAATCTTGCAGTTTCTGCATTTGCGATTCCTATGTATATCTTTGGAAAGAGATTGAGGAGTAAAGTTGCTAGAAGTGCTTTTCATCAAAAATTCTAGACTTCTTTCTCGAATCTTCTCTCACGACACAACTCAAAGAATTTCTCTCATTTGTTCTTCAACGTCACTTTAGCAAGCGGGATTGACGATACGGCGCATGGGAATTTTACATGGAAGAATGCATTTTACACGGATAGAAAGGTAACGCCGGACGTGGATGATGAATATATGTACATCAGCGGATGGAGTTCAAAAGGTTATTGATACCATTAGCTATCCTCAATCATTCTTTTTAAAAATGTACAAGACACTACAAACATAGGAATAGATCGTCATTTTGATGACCAGAAAATAGAACAACCCAGAACAATCAATTAAATGAATTGGAATGTCACTGAGCATTGAAGTACATGGTAGACGCATCCGATATATTAAAGTTTATGCCTTCATAAATATATAGCCCCTCAGTGATGTTTGACCCTCTCTCGCTAATCTAAACGTCCGACCCTGATTTATGATTCCCATCTAACTAGATGTAGAGTCTGAAATTATTTATAGAAGTGTGAATTCTTGTATAAAATATGAGATGTTCAACACCTAACGAGTATTATTGATTATGCTTGATCATTACTTGTATAAATGTAGAGGTTGTAAGCTACACAGAAACGAGGAAAACTGATGGCTTTAACTGAATGAAGAAAATACCAGGTTATTGGAAGATTCAAGAAGAAACGAATAACCGGTTTTTATCTGCGAAACAGAATCGCAAACTCAGATGGTAAGGCAAGCTTACGATGAATTGGAGGTCTAGATCAGACGATAGTAGGTGACATGAGCATAAATAATTCATCAAGTTATGAGAGCATATCTGAAGAGTCCACAAATTTCGTGGAATGTGGTGCGGTCAAATCTGAGACTGCGGAGAATTGTTGTTTGAAAAATCGAGATCAATTGAAATTCCGCTGCTGTAGAAGGAATTTTATAATCTAAGCAAAATGGACTCATCACTTGTGAGAACGAGCACAAACTATTCAGAAATGAAGACAAGTTATTGAATGAATTTTATATTTGAGATGGAGGTATCCAGATTGATAATTGAATGACATCGCAGTGAATCACACTCTCAGATATAGAGTGGAATATCGAGAAAAATATCCCGCGGTACTTCGAGTAGAGGCTGTTCCAATGTACATATGTGTATGCAGATATGCGCCTGGAAGCAGAAAAAAGGGAGAGAAAATAGGCAAAAGAAGATGTCAAGTTCAGGTCCATGGTTAGTGTCAAGGACTAGGGGCGAATATACTCACTTTTCCACCACATATCCCAACTGACCACCATTCACGAGGATCAACCCGTAGCAGGCCTGCGCCAGCTTACTGCACCACAGTGGGGATCGCCGCTACACAAGTTGTCCTACCTATAGCTTTTAAAGGTTAGTTATTGGGGGAAGGTTTACGGTCTACAAGTATACCTATCCTTTTTCTCCCCTAATGACCCATGGTTCTTGAGAGCATCGTACGCGTCTTAGTGGTCGACCTCCAGGGATTGAACTAGAGAATTTGTTAACGAAATCATTCTCATGAATTTCGCGAAGCGCGTGCTTGACCACTGGACCATGAACTTGAACTTGGTAGTATTTTCAAGGAGTCGTTGTATCAGAAACTATATTGTGTTCTTCTTTGTTTGATGGAGAGGAAGTGAATATTTGTGGCTGTGCCATATCAAAGATGGCGGCGATGTCATGAGAAATGAAACGCGAAGCGGAGCGGCTAACGGCGGGTAAAATCGATGTTTTCTCAGCTTTTATTTTGATCATCCGGAAGAACCTGAGAAGTTGAAAATTGGGTAGGTCGCTTGTGTGGTTCCAAACTGCCGAGAGCCAACATCCTTAACTTCGATGATGAAAGTACAGCAATCATACATCCGGATTTCCAACCCAATCAATCAAACTACAGTTTGCGAATCGTATCCTGTAGGTGCGACTCGGTCAAAGCTTTGGCTGAGTACCGGAATTGGAGGACGATTCCGGGCTTGGTGAAATAAGGACGCACGCAAATGGCGTGAATCCAAGAATAGTGTATTGTTTGACGACTTTATGATCCATCCAGCTACCTCACAGTTTATTTCTCTCTTCTGCATTTGTATTCGTTCGTGCTGCTTCTTGAGGCTCAAAACCTTTCACGATTTTGGCTTTGGTTAATCAGACTTGATTCCTTGTCAGTCCGCACCGGAATATGCATCGCCTACAGAAAGTCCACAATACCCATCACGGCCCCAGATTCCGATTCAAATTAGACTTGAAGATTTTGAGCGCTGCGATAAATCGATGGTCAAGACCAAGTCTTACGCCAAGCAGTACGAAAGTGGTAGAGAAGTGATTCTTGATGTTGGAAATTTTTCATAAACTAAAGGAAATCCGTGCAGTGAAACAAATGACAGAATCTTTGACATACCCTCTCCGCATTTAAAGGCCAAACTCACATTGCCGGGTGCGCAAAAGTTTGTGCTTATTTGATTGAGTCTTTGAAGATTCAATCTCCCCTGTCGGCGCCATCACCACAGTTCAAGTCTTCGAGAGGTCTAACTCTACCATTTTTATCGGATTTTCCATGAATCTTGATAGATATCAAAGATAGGAACTGCGATAGCAAAGCATTGCCGCCAAGAATGGAATTGTGGTCTCCGTAACTCCTAGGAGGAAGGAGGAAGTACGACTTTACCCAGGCCACGTCGTCCCACGTGATGTGGTTACTCGAAATGGATTACCCCGCACGAAAGTCGTCTCATATGCGATGTAACCTGCATGGGGTAAGGCAAGGGGGGAATGAGAAAAGAAACCTCAATTTCACACTTCAACTTCTGATTTCCTTCCTTCCATCCATCATGAAAACGTCGAGCGATTTGTGAGAATATTCGGAATCGCCTCTTGAAAGAATATTTCAACATCTCGAAACACTTGCCTCACATGCACTCCCATTGGAATTTCCACCGCAGTAGTCGGGGTCGCAAGAGTTGACCTGGCCGTTTGATTTCATATCTAAGTATTTCAAGTACATGCAACTGGAATCCATCCCGAAAAATGTTATACTATTCCATGGAATCTTCGCCCATACGCTTCATTTCATCTCAATGTTGAGAATGAAACCTCGAATATGAACACGAACTCCAATCCAAGCACGACAAACCTTCACGGGGACCTACCATCAAAGACATTCATCGTTGTGATGAGTTTTGAAAAGATGTTGTCGTTCAGGTATCTGTAAGTCAAAGCACCATCTTCCTCTTCTCTCTTGTTTGTTTTCGAAAGCTAATGTATGCGACAATGTAAGTTCTTGAAGGGATCGCAGGTTGTCCTCGGTATTGATGATGGAATGTCGATCGGCAGAAACGGACCCCGGAATCTATCCCTATGAAAGCGAAAGACCCTATAAAACAAATCGATCCCAGGCCTTGTCCACAGCGCTCGGCAGGCAATTTTCTAGCAAACACACCAATTCGATAGTCCAGTCAATCAATCCAAATCCTTCCTATTGAATCACCCAATCGATCTCCGTTTATGTTTCGTGATTCACATATCCAGAGCAAGAAACGGTCTTGGCGGCGATATCTAATCGAGTAGGCATATACCGGTATACACGTGAAGACATCGTTATGCAGTATACCTTTTCTTCATTTTCCGAAAATAACTACGGGAAACGATTTCTTTTGGGTCCTGGTTTCAATAAGTAGTGCCCTCTAAGTGGCGGACACTTGCTTAATATTCTAGTGGTACAAGCCTTATCAGACTCTTCAACTACCCTGCTAGCAGCTAGATCCATTAAGGATCTTAAAAATTGGGTATACCCCCACGAAGAAGCTCCCCCCACTGCTGAAATTTTACACTTTTTATTGATGAAATGATTGAAAGTGGGCAGAATTGTTCCGAATCTCAAAGTTCATTACTCTTCCAGCTTGAGATTCCCCAATCTATATAGCATTATATAGGTAGTCAAAGGAATGCTATATTCTGACATGGCTAATATGAAATTGCAGAGAAATGGAAAGCCACATCAGATTCACATATAAATCTTACCAAACTGGCTTACTGCTTCTGGAAGAAATCCGAAATCTTCCGACGGGATTCAGGGGCCAAGACAACAACCAACACAACAATTTCAACCAAATAAATCGAAAATCATGTGCTAGAAGGACTCTTTCTACTGGTCGATTCATGATCCATCATCAAGATCTGTTTCCTAATTCGACCTTTCTTTTGATTTATCTGCTCCTATAAAAAGTGGGATTTCAATTGTGCAAAATGACTCGTGGCATTTTTTGGTGAACTTATGGCGCACGATAGCTGGCGTAAAAAGTCTCGGGTAAGATTCTACTGTGTGACAAGTTTTATTAGCAGGGATGAAAACTCAACGTCAGTCAAAAAAGTATTGACGACACTCACCCAATGCCCAGGAAACCCGAGAGAGAAAGAGGCAAAGAATAATATCGGGTGTTCAGGCAATTAAGGAAATAGCAAGAACCGATTCAAGTGAATTGAGTTTAATTTTTTTCCTTCGCAAAATGATTTTACTTTTTCTTGTTAGACTCGTCGTGTAACGAAGTATAAAATTCTTATGTGAGATTGATCATTCAACGGTTTGATGAGATCAGCTCGATCAGTTGCGAAAGTTTAAAGTCTACAATGTACTCTCTATCCGGGCCCCTCTACCCAAGTGGAAATTAAACATCCAATTTCAATCCGAGAATAGTTGTTTTTTGTAATATCCCCACCATTCCGGTATTTTCTCTTGAAGATATCTTGCTCGGAATCCACTTTCTTTCTTTTTATACCCTTTTACTACATAGCGCCGCTGTCGATATCGGACGAGATAAATCTCTCAGCCTTGCATTTCAGTCATGGTACTGTTACACTAATTCTGATAGGAGGATATCATAAACCGAGCGGGCTGACCCACATATTGCTATTAAAATTTTGAAGATTAGTGACGGCACGATCCATATTCACTCTTTTTGATCGGGAACTTCCTGAATATTCAGGAACAATTAGTTGACACCGACTTTCAAACGGAGCTAGATCAGAAAAGGTGTCCTTAGCTCATTTTTTCTTGATTCTCCTTCCGCCCTTCCCATTCTTTCCCACACTCACACCAAGTCACAAAACTTCTTTTGCTTGTCAACACTCGAAGTCTTCCATCTCCACTCATACACCTATCTCCAAAAACCTCATTTTTGAGTTACTTCATACACATCAATACAATGGCCGCTCGTGTTGCTCCTAAGATGGCTTCCCTCATGGGATCTGCCTCCGCAAAGGTTGCCCGCCCAATGGTTCGATCCAACCTTGGTGCTCAACGTACCTTCACTGGTAAGCTTTAAGCTTTTAATACCTTCATGTTGTCAATTATCAATTGAGGTTTCGTCAAGCTTCAATAGCTATCGATATAGCTTCAATTGTATTACGATTCGATACATCTATCATCGTCTTCATCACATACCTATCGTCAAAATTCAATGGATAAAGAACATCTCGCTAACAAAATTTTCTTCCCCACACAGCCATGAGCAAGTCCTCCAAGACTGCTTTCCAAGCCGTCAAGCGTCAACAAACCAGCCAAATCCTCTCCAAGACCACCCAAATCTCTGCCCGCCCATACTCCTCTGAAATGGCCAACGCTCTCGTTCAAGCTTCCCAAAACCTCGGTATGGGAGGTGCCGCTATCGGTCTTGCTGGTGCCGGTGTTGGTATCGGTCTCGTCTTCGCTGCTCTCTTGCAAGCCGTTGCCCGTAACCCAAGCATGCGTGGTCAACTCTTCTCTTACGCCATTTTGGGTTTCGCTTTCGTCGAGGCCATCGGTCTTTTCGATCTCATGGTTGCTATGATGGCCAAGTTCTTGTAAATATGTCGTCATGTCTTGATGAAATGGGGAAGGGGTGTGTATAAATACGGTGGATGGAGATGGGGAATGAAGGTGGTGGTATAAATCAACGGTGCATTGTTACACCACGGGCATTGCATGCAGTTGCATATAGATGGTTTGGATCGATAATATAGAAAAATCGATGCTTCTTATAGACGGATTTCCTCTCTCCTCATTATATTAGAGCATAGAATTTCTAGATTAGACGAACATACAGACAGATGATGAATTGCCTTTCTCAAAGGGTAGTTCCTGTAAACTATCAATGAAGAATGTATACCTATCCCTCTTTTACCTGTGCTATGCATGTTGCGATTTATTAATCTAGAACTTAGACTCGGGTCTTGGAGTAACTGGGGCCGCGGCTGGGGGATTTCCCAACCGCCAGCAGGTACGTATGTATGTATGTATGTGTTGATTTGTTTACTTTTTTTTCGGGATATCTCGGGTGAAAAATTTTCACTTGATGTTTCGGAGGTGTGGTTGTTGAAGGGATCCGTTGTTTTTTGGTTATCTATCGATAAGGGTTGGGTTGAGGACGGACCTTTACGACTCGAATTCATGAGTTGGGATTGGAATGGATTGGGAAGCGAGAACGTGGTGTTCATGTGATGGGTTTTATGGATGGATCACGTGAGAGTGGTCTGAAGGTTTTGGCTGGTGTTACTTGATGCTGAGTAAGAGGTATGGACGGATGCGGTTGCTGGATAGATATTGGGGATTCTTGGGATTCTGGGATGTTTGTGCACTTTACTTGATATTCATACTCTTCACCCGAGGGGAAAGGATCCCAATGTTTTTACAATAACTAATTACCAGGACATATGTACACACATACCATCGCTAACCGCCTACCCCGTTACGAGGAATTAATAAACGTGGAAATGGAAGGATGGGGTTTATAATTCGTTTTTTCTTTCGTTGATGGAATTTGAATGGAATATAGATGGAATATGGATGGGATGTAATGGGTAGAGGTATAGGTGGTTCAGCTTGTCTGGTATTTGAGATTGAGAGGGGGTTAGAGGAATGAATGATATGTATTGGATACTGGATATTGGATATTGGATATTCGGGGGAGGGATGGAGATGGTTGGGAATGGCAGGGCTGGGGGATATTTGTATGAATATTTGTATGGATGGAAGGAAGGTCATGGAGATGGTCTAGAGAGCGTGGGATGAGGATTGTAGTGGGAGTAAGAGAATAGAGGTGGATGGGGAGGGAGGAGCTTAGGGCTGGGGATTGTGGATGGCGCTTGGGAAGTCGGGTCTTGGGTACTTGGGGGGGATTCGATGGGGTGGGACCGGACTGTGTGTTACTACCCGGTCAATGTATTCAATTGATGCTATATCAGATTCACATGAAGGGGAAAGTACGAGATTGGAATTGATAGAAGCAAGATCAAATTAGGATACGTAGATGAATGAATATCATTTAATCTGAGATCTAAAAAAGCATCTTTATATTGAATTGAAGTCATGAAATCGTAAGTCATACTTTAAGAGCCAGGAAAATCATTCTGGGAATAAAGACAGGTTTCCATAAAAAGAACAAGAAAACAACGAAGCCAAAAACCGCCCAATGCAAACAAATCATCACCATAAAATCCTAACCCCTAGAAGAAAATTCCAAGAAAACACCACGCTATGCTATGCTATGCAAAACCTTCCGAACACCTAATCCTCATCCTCATCCAATCCAATCAATTGATCTCAATCGGTGCTGGTCCATAAATCGCATTATTAGAAACCTCCAACGCATTAGCAAAATCCGACCCCTTAGCCAAAGCCGCCAAAGTCAAGCCATTACCCGTAGCACCATCCGCAGCACCGGCATCGAATTCAAATTTAGCAGTAAAAACAACCGTTTTCCCATCTGCTTGTAAACTGATACTTTCGAATGGTTGAACCACTGGTTTATTTTGTTGATTGATATAGACGAGCGAGAGTCCCTCGCAGTTCTCTCCCCAGGTGGTGCTGTAGTCTTGATCTGCGTTGAGCTGGAATGAGAATGTGATGATGGTGTCAGAATCGATGGTGTCGGGTTGAGAAGCAGTGAGTTTTTGGAAGGTCTTGAGAGGGATGGTATCGCTATTTGGACAAGTTCCTTCAACGACGAAATTCTGGTTCAAAGCACTGAATGCAAAATCTCTAGTGCTAGCTGTCAAGAAAGGAAGAGCGGATGGAATTTTGTTAAGGATTTGTCGGAAATATCCATTTTGTTCTCCTTCCTGTCCGAGTGATGCTGCAACACCACGGATAAATTTGGAATCACCGTTCGTGCCAAATACTGTTTGGATATCTCCCAAAGTACCCATGGTTACATCTGTGAAAAGAGATGCTGTAGCTATGGCTTGCTCAAAGTTTGTAACATCGAAATTGTATTGACATGGTTGAATGATAGCATTGGTATCATTGGTGAAACGAACGATAGCTTTCTCAGCATTTAATGAATGCAGTTTTTCTTGTGCAACGATTGCGTTAAGATTTGTAAGTACTGTGTCCCTACTATCTTGACTGTCGAATGTATAACCTGGGACATTGTTTGTGATATTGAAGGTAAGTTCCTCGAAGAATGCGACTTCCATGTTCTCGTTGAAGGCGACGAGCTTGAAATTGGTGAGACTGTCATCTCCACCAACCAATGCAGAAGGAGGAGGGATATTAGAAAGAGACCCGTGGGCTGCGGTTTGGATTGCCAGTAATGGCCCTGTATTGGTTGCTGTTACAGCTTCAAGGAAGCTATTATCGACTGAGAAAGGAGCTGCGGCAACAAGGGTTGAGAGGAATGAAATTCCGAAGACAATATTTGAAGTATGCATTATGAATTATGGACTCTGAATTTGAAATAAGAAGAAAGAAGTATTTTCTATGAAAGAAACGAGAAAGAAAACTTGTAGACCTAAGGAGATTCGTAAAAAGGTGTGGTGATGTAATTGTTAATGAGGTTATTGATGAAAGGAAAGTCAAAATGCAAACGTGCCAAACGGTCTCCTATATAGCCAGACCATCTCTAGGTCTTCTAGAACACCGCCTCATGCTTGCTCGTTAATCACCAGATTTGTACCATACCTTTCGAGTTGCCTTCGGAATACAATTTAAGATTCGGCCGCAGTTGACATGACCTAAATTCACTTTCTCTTCAAAGCAATCCAAATACCAAAGAACGTGCTTACATGTAAGTGAGCTCTGTTTGTTGAACCAATAGTCAAGAAGTATGTTGGAGGCGCAGAACAAGTAGGAAGCCAGAAATAGAACCCACGCGCGGTTGTAAGCGCTCTTGAAAAGACGGTATATGCCAAACTAGAGGGGATTGATTGGTGAACATGCGTAAATTAGGCGACTCAGCCGACCCCAATGATCGGATATTCTAGTTTCCGTTCGCATAGCCACCACGACATGAATCTTTTCAATTGTAGATACTGCAAAGACCAATAGCCTGTCATCATTTTTTTGATGTGAGAAACGCTATGAATAGATGGTAATGAATGTTTCAATCGGGATGATATCAAAAAGAACACGTAGGGCTGATTTTTTTCAAAAATGTGCATGGTATGATGTAAGGAGTTGATGCCCAGATTCAGGCTAGTAACATGAGATGATTAACAAATAAGGAAAAGAATGCGATGAACATCAAGTCGTAATGAATCTTGTTGGAAAAGACTCGTCGTCTTTGAAGTCAAAGTCTCACCTTGGTATTGAAGGAGTGTTTTTCAGACAAATTATGGGGCTTGGATGAGAACTAGCGCACACTTGATGTTGAACTCTAGGAACATGGATAGATAAATTCCCGAAAAAGAATGGAATGCGATTGTCATTCAGAGTAATCATGTATGATTTTCAAAGTGCTTACTGCAGGTACTATACATGTCATCATGCAGTCACAGTTACTTCCCGCATGTGTATATCAACCTTAAAATAGACACGTCAGTAGAAGACCAGAACGATAATTGATTGTACTGTATCAATGCGCGAATGATAGGCTATGTAGTTAGTTCAATTTATTATTGTGGACATTCTTAAGTATTAGTATACACCACGATAAACGCTACTCTGATTTTAGTACATTGTATGTGAGCTAAAGCACCATAGAAACAAAGTATTGGTTATTCAATTAAACTCTGAAGTGTAACATTTAAATCAGGTTGTTCTATGTATTCACAACCTATCCCGCCTCCATATCGCATGCCCAGATATTTCAGCCAATGCGATACGGACACACTAAATTGATTCAAGCAACTCAAATCAAACACCCGGTGATAATCAGAATGGCAACCTGCCATCCCGAACATGGAAAACATTCCTTCGAAATATCAAGACCGTGAAGTGAGGACCATTTTGTGACGAGAGCATCTGCTAGCGCACGGGAGTCGCAGCTACTTTCTGGGGTATCAACTGCTTCTTCTGGTGATATTGTCGCTGTGAAAAACTCTCGACTTGAGATTTTTATCACATCAACCTTGAATTCTTTGCTAAGCAGTGGAGTAAAAAGTCCTACCACACGTAAAAGTCTCAGAATCGAAGTATTAATATCCAGATATATTGGATACATAAGACAATAGTAAGATTACTGCACCAATATGATGGCTGGACGTGATAATTGCATTGCCAGGTAAGCATTGTGATGGTGGATTATAGAGTCAAGTGCGGCGACTAGACCGAGGATTTGGATATTTAGAAATCAAAAGTCGTCATCACTATCCTCGTCATCCTTTGGTGGGAGCATCTTACTCATATAAGGACCATCCAACCAATAGCCTAATCTTCGATAATAATCTCTTGTACCAACACCACTGATGACACTTATCTTTGTACTTCCATGCTCATTTCGGGCAATCCTTTCAGCTTCTTCCATGAGTAATGTACCATAACCTTGATGTTGAAACTTTCTTGGATCACGAGCATGAACTGGAACAGCTGAGCCATAAACGTGAAGCTCACGAATTATACTCGTAGGCTGTCCAGTAAGCTCGGGCCTAAAGGTATGTGTTTTAGAACATTTTCTCAAACGAAGTAATCCGATAAGAATATCTTGCTTTGGATCTTCATATGCTAAGAATGTCTCCCATCCTTTATTTGCGGTATAATCTCTTCGAACAAGTTCAACCTGAGAAGGACGAATCTTATTCTTAACCTCATTGATACCAACTTCACGAGTTCGAACATCACGACAAGTAGTACCAAAATCCTTCATTCTACTCAACGCAAGCTCTCGAAGATTTCCATTCTCAACACCAGATGTGACCAAAGGCATTGGAATATCTCTTTGAACACGATAAATACGAGTCCACGGTGGTACAAGAGCGAGGATGCGAGCAACTATATCGATCAGGGCATTTGGTGTGTAGTTCTTGTATCTGCCAGTTCTCCAGAGTTCATATAAACCAGTTCCACGAATGACTAATGTTGGGTAAATTTTGAGACCATCGGTTCTGAAGGCGGGGTTCTCAAAATATTCCCTAAATTGATCCAAATCTCTCTCCATTCCAACATTAGGTAAATCTGGCATCATATGGCTAACAACTTTAAAGCCAGCATCCTTCGCCAAACAAAATGTTTCTGCGACTGAAGCCACTGTGTGACCTCTGTTGGTATCTCGAGCAACGTCCTCGTACAGAGATTGTACACCAATTTCCAAACGGGTGCAACCATATCTTAGCATAGCAGATAAATGTGGTTGTAAACAATAATCCGGTCGAGTTTCAATTGTGATACCAACACATTTGATGTTACTCATCTCACCAGCTTGAACTGCTTCATCTACATTATTTCCTTGATATCCACTAAGCGCATTGTGTAACTGGGAGATGAACCCATCTCTGTAACTTTCAGATAATGACATGAAAGTACCACCCATAATAATATATTCAACCTTGTCGACGCTGTGGCCGAGAGATTTAATCTGATCTACTCTTCCTCGGGCTTGTTCAAAAGGATCGTATCGTGCGCGTATAGCTCTCATTGATGTAGGTTCATAACCAGTATATGACTGTGTAGAATACTCAAAATCGGAATCAGGTCCACCGGGACAATAGACACAAATATTTCCTGTGTAGGCAATGTGAGGACATCGATGTGGTTTACACATAACTGCGACAACTGCAATACCAGAAGCACTCCCTGACAACCTGTTAGCCTCGCATATGTCTATGCAATAGGAAATACATACTAATTGGTTTTGCGATTAACTTTGGAAGGATATATTTCTTATAATGTTCTGGAATGGCGGCAATAATAGCAGTCAATGGTGGAATATTACTGAGCCTGTGACGTTTTGACATTTTTGCCCTTAAACTATTCAAATTGATATCCTTCCTCGGCGCATTTGGATCCTGTTGAGATTCATGATCCTGTACTAATGCGCTAGCAATATCTGAACATGCTCTCAAGTATCTTTCATTCTCTGGGGGTAGATTAGGATCCTTTGGTTTTCTTTGCCTATCCGACAATGTCATTGTATCGACGGTAGTGGCCATTTTGGATTGTGTGGAGATGCAGTTGGTTCAGTACGATTGCACGTTGGGACAAGTTTTGGTCGCCTTTCTCTTGAGGCTTTGCGCAGCCTTTGGTATCTCAAAATCAAAACTCTTCTCGTGGTAAATCGTGAAGTTGTGAAGAGTGATGCAGTTGATGCTTTGATGAAATCGCGGGGTTACTAAAATTAATGTTCTTGTGTGAAATAAATTTCCATTCCAAGCCAAACTACCGGAATAACCAATTAATCCGGCAAAATCGGAGGCCTTGCAAGCGATTCCGTCCGTAACAGAAGAAGCTGGTAAGAAGAAAAGAAGGAAATAATTCAAGATTAACTTCAAATCACTTTCCTGTCTTTCATATCTGACATCAATTGTCCCTCAGACAAGATGCAGGCTTTTTCAAGATGTGCCAGACCTGCGATGCAGGCTGCTATGAGAAGACAAGGTTATTCTACTTCGACCTCTGCTTATGCTGCTACCGCGGAAAACCTTCGTATCACTAAGGATACTAGAGTTATCTACCAAGGTTTCACTGGTAAACAAGGAACGTAAGTATTATCGCAAGACTCTATTTGGTAGTGAGGAAATAAGCTGACAAGTCTGCCATAGTTTCCATGCCCAACAAGCCATCGAATATGGTATGTCTTAAGACGAATAATGGGGGAATTGAAAAGGTTCTGATATGGAAATAGGTACAACTGTTGTTGGAGGTACAAACCCAAAGAAGGCTGGACAAACTCATCTCGATTTACCCGTTTTCGCAACCGTCGAACAAGCTGTAAAGGAAGCCGGTGCTACAGCTTCTGCTATCTTCGTCCCGTAAGATCTACCGCAATCGCAAAGAATCTGTAATGGAAGGATGGATTTGGTGCTGATATAATATACTTTGCAGACCCCCTCTTGCTGCTGCCGGTATTGAGGAGGCTATCGCTGCTGAAATTCCTTTGGTTGTGTGGTAAGAATATATATCAAATTTGCATGTGATAGCACTTATACTAATTGATGATTTAGTATCACTGAGGGTATCCCACAACATGGTATGTTTATATTTGGAGTTTAAGAGGATAAATCTAACCTCAATACAGACATGGTTCGCATTACAGATATTTTGAAGACTCAAGGAAAGACACGTTTGGTTGGACCCAATTGCCCAGGTCTCATTGCACCAGGACAATGTAAGATTGGTATTATGCCAGGGTTCATTCACAAGCGTGGACGTATTGGTATTGTTTCTCGTTCAGGAACTTTGACTTATGAGGCTGTCAACCAAACTACACAAGCTGGATTGGGTCAATCTCTTGTTGTTGGTATTGGTGGTGATCCATTCTCTGGAACCAACTTCATTGATTGCTTGAAGGTATTCCTTGAAGATGAGGAGACTGATGGTATTATCATGATTGGAGAAATCGGAGGATCTGCAGAAGAAGATGCTGCCGAATTCTTGAAGGATTACAACACTGCTAAGAAGCCAGTTGTCAGCTTTATCGCTGGTATCTCTGCTCCTCCTGGACGAAGAATGGGACACGCTGGTAAGTATTCTAAGATGATACCCACTAATGACACTTAACTAACTTATCTCAGGTGCTATTGTCAGTGGTGGAAAGGGTGGTGCCGATTCCAAGATCTCAGCTCTTGAAGCTGCAGGTGTAATCGTTGAGAGAAGTCCAGCATTGCTCGGAAAGACATTACATGCTGAGTTCATGAGACTTGACATGATTTAAGGATATTATTTTGTGAATAGATAAAGGGGCGATGATGATGTGCATTTGGTTTTAATGGTTTTCTTCAATACCTCATTCCTGTACAGCTAGCAATTACCCTATGTGTGCCAGTATAGACTTTTATAGACTTGTGATGGAGAGATAATCTAGGCAAAGTTTTTAAGTGATGACTGATGAATGATGAGTGATAACATATACTGTATGTAGATAGTGAAAGCTACCGGATATCGTCAACTCTATTCGACCTCGTGAATAAGGCTACTTGAATATGGCATACGTCTATCACTCGGTCTCTCTCTGGAAGAAACAAATGGCCACCGAAAATACATACTCTTTCCAATATTCACATCAAATCAAACAACCAAAAATTCCAATTGAATGCTGTACAAAAACATTTGAAGACTTTTGAGCTTATCATCTACACAATCATCTAATAATAATTCAATGACACACCTACATTGCTGAAAGATTCCATTTTAGCCCCTGAACACTACTGAAAGGGATGTTCGGTAAATATTGCACTGTCTTGAGCTTGTACTCTAGATCTACTGCACCTCGTAGCTCTCGGCTCCCCACACCTTATCCTCCCTCGACATTTCAATAAACAAATCCTCCTTCAACCACATATAAATCAAAATGCTGTCTGGCATATTGATCTTCAATCAAAAGGGAGAGAATCTAATCTTTCGCGCATTTCGGAATGATTGTCGACCACGACTCGCAGATGTCTTCCGAATTCAGGTCATCTCCAATGCACAAGTTCGTTCACCAATCCTTACTTTAGGAAGTACAACCTTCAGTCATGTCAAACACGAGAACATATATTTGGTTGCAATTACCAAGAGCAATGCCAATGCTGCGCTGGTCTTCGAATTTCTCTACAGACTGATTGCGCTGGGGAAAGGCTACTTTGGAAAATTCGACGAAGAAGCGGTTAAGAACAATTTCGTCCTGGTATATGAACTTTTAGATGGTGAGTGCAATGCGCGATTCGCAGGTATCAATTGTGCCGGAAGCTGATGAATTTGTGACATAGAAATCTTGGATTTTGGATACCCTCAAAATACAGAGACCGATACATTAAAGATGTACATCACAACGGAAGGTGTCAAATCGGAACGAACCATGGAAGACTCGGCGAAGATTACAATGCAAGCAACCGGAGCATTATCATGGAGGAAAGCCGATGTCAAATACAGAAAGAATGAAGCATTTGTAGATGTCATTGAAGATGTCAATCTTTTGATGTCTGCTACAGGAACTGTTCTACGAGCTGATGTAAATGGTCAAATCGTCATGAGAGCATATCTTTCCGGAACACCAGAATGCAAATTCGGACTTAATGATCGATTATTGTTAGATGGTGATAGTCTTTCATCTCTACCATCTGGAAATCGTATGGGTACCAAGGCCACCAAAGCAGCAGCTGGTAGTGTTACACTGGAGGATTGTCAATTTCACCAATGTGTTAAGCTAGGGAAATTCGATACCGACAGAATTATTTCATTCATACCTCCCGATGGAGAATTCGAACTTATGCGCTATCGTGCCACCGAAAATGTCAATCTGCCATTTAAAATTCATGCCATCGTGAATGAAGTTGGTAAAACAAAGGTCGAATACAGTATTGCAATTCGAGCAAATTATGGTAGCAAGCTATTCGCTACCAATGTCGTTGTTAAGATACCTACTCCTTTAAATACTGCTCGAATCACAGATCGATGTACACAAGGAAAAGCAAAATATGTACCGGAAGAGAATGTTATTATATGGAAGATACCAAGATTTACTGGACAAAATGAATTTGTCTTGAGCGCGGAAGCTACGTTAACAAGCATGACAAACCAAAAGGCATGGTCAAGACCACCATTGAGTTTGAACTTTAGCTTGTTGATGTTTACAAGTTCGGGACTGTTGGTTAGATATTTGAAGGTCTTTGAGAAGAATAATTACTCGAGTGTAAAATGGGTGAGATATATGACTAGAGCAGGGTCTTATGAGATACGGTAAGTTTTAAATCTAATGATATACAAAGGCTTCACTAACAATTTGCAGATTTTAATCAAAGGTATCATTCGGGATGGAGTTCTGGGAAACAAAGCATTGCCAAGGCGTCGGAGTAGAAATTGGGAATATAATACAATCTTCATGTCTTGCTACGGTTATTTCTGAGGAGCTTTACTTTGATGTCCTCATCACCCAATTCTCTAATCAAATTCTCGAATACACCTTTCAGTTGTTTTCCTCTTATACTTAATACCGAACCACATAACAAAGCCATCTTTTAGTACTCCTCCATCTTATCGACTTCATCGTTGCATCCACCCTAGTCTCACTATCTTTAATTTTCTCTCATACCTTCCCGATGATCTAACCCAGCATTATTTCACCGCGACAAATCCCCAGAGGCTATTGAAAATTCATTTTCCCATATCTCTTTGGTCATATAGATATCGGCTCTGAAGCAACTCTCTTTCTAATCTCATAAGAAAGAGTTGGCTGATATGCTCTCATTCATACATTCCGCGCGGCTGATATCAGTTCCGTAAAGAGCGACGTCTTTTGCATCTTTCCTCCACCTCAATTCGCTGCTTTTCTTTGGAATTTACTCTGACCAAAGATTGCCCATCTTCTTGGATTTCGACCCGGCGTTCTTTTCGAGGCAGGGTGTCAATTAAAATGGTTACATACGAGTAGTACTCATAGAGCGTCCCATGGTGAGAGGGTAACAGAAGGCATCGCTGCCAATTGTCTGTATGAGGCTTATTGAATCAGTCAATATCTGTGGATACATCGTATGGGCATTTAGAAATGATAAATTAGATTCTTATGCTACCCATTGGGTCATCCCCTCAATCACTATTCTTGGTCTGAGGCTGATGGTAGTTCGGCTCTTCCGGTATCAATCGTAGAAGCAAAGTTCAAACTTGATTCGAAATTTGAAAAGACCACTGTTTCTGACCAATACCTTATCGATACTAAATTCCTGATCAATATCCATAGTTAAAAATCCGAATTGTCTGTTAGAGTCTGTGACATAACGAAGAAGCTGAATCATACAATATGAAATTTCATGCACCTGACTTGGATCCCCTCCATATGGCCACTGACGAGTAGTCTGATATTCTCAAATCTCTTTCTTTATCGCTATTCGACTTTCTATTTTAGAGAGCCATTCCTCATCACCTTTCCTATCTTCGGATGCACAATCATCAGAGGACTTGCGGTTTTTTTGAGCCCATCTTGTTCATAAATTATTTTATATCGCAGGCCTTACTGTAGCTATCATATGTAAGCTAATAAGGTCTGTAACTTCAACGCATTAACTCCTACATGGTCCCTTCAATATAGTTTCTGCTACCAGCAGTGTGGTTATAGCTATGTATACAATAATAGCCCATAAGACTACCTCTACATAAATGCTCCGTTTTTCAGCATCTTACGAACACCCTCCTCGGAAAAGTCGAAGCTGAGATCAAGGTATTGTTTCAGAGAATAGACAAGGCTTCCGGGCGAAGGAAAGATAGAGTTATACAGTGTCCGGAGTTGGTGAAAGGAAACATTTCGTACAGGCGTAATGAACTGCTACCCACCCTATGCATTGCGAATGCGAATGCATGGAATGTGTTGACCAGTCAAAGGTATTGGTGTAGTATCCCTACGATATTCAAAGGACATCACTTAGATTGATATGTAAGTAACTGATCTTGAACTCTGCCTTTTCAGGAAAACTTTCGTTGAATAGTGGCACTGGGATGAACGTCAAGATAAATCAAACCTTGGTACCGATTTGGTAGACATACAATCACGACCCTAAAATGATTTTGAGTCGTGTGCGGTTCGCTGGTGTACTTCTTCCGTTTACTTTTCCGAGACGATTTTGGATATATGTTTTTCATTCTTGTTACTTTCTTGAATGGTAACACCACCTGGTGGATAGTGACGGAGACTAACCATTGACAATGTATCACTTGTCTGATGAAAGAGTGATATACATATTTAAGCTACATAACTCAGCATTGATTCCCCATTCTTCCCATTCCTTTCCTTTCAATCTAAATCCCATGATCCGGAAAAAGAGTCCTCACAATCGCATACAAAATCTCATATAATGCGGGATGAAAATCCGTGCTAAAGCTAGAAGTGGGTAAAGAACCAAAATATCCCACTACTTATACAAGATGTTCAAGTCCTTGATTTGCTGGTTTCAACTCTATGTTCTCTGACTTCAACGCTGGGATCGAAATGGGATATTGTAATTTTCGACTTGGTTTCCCATCCGTAGGATCATCGGATCGAAGCGTTACTTCAAGTAATCGAGGTGATTAGTATACTTTCCCGGAACATTAATTTGCATTTGGTAAGTCATCTTAAGGTAGATGGTCATAGCTCGATTGCATGTATTTGCGAGGGTATCGACTCTTCTTTGAGTAGTGAGTACTTCTGAATTTCAAGAATAGGGAGTTTGGGGGTTGAAGTGGAGTGGTTCAAAGGGATTGCATGGGTAGGCGTGGTGGGATACGGATACCTCAGGAGTTTTCGCCCGCTCGGAACTGGTAGGGAAACCCATGATGAAGATTGGTTGGGAGGAGGTCCTTTTTCTGTTAGAAGTATTCGATGCGGATATGGAGTTGGAACTTGGTTCTGGGGTTAGAGATGTTTCAAGAGGTGGTACCGAGGATATTGTGTGAATTTTTTTTTCATGGGCAGATGGGGTGTTCTTTTCCTTTTCTTCTGTTATAGAGATGATGGAGGCATTGTCTGTGACTGGTCTTTATGCTAAGAGGGAGCGCCGTCTCAAGTTCTACTGGGTAATACTTTCGTTTACCTTCAAGTCAATGACTACATATGCTGGTGAATACTTGATTCTCTTCCATGGCCGTTTGGAGCAATGCATCATCACAAAATATCACATCAACGATAAACAAATAGATGATTAAATAAAAGAATGTCATTAAGAAGTTTATTACTCTAGCGATAGCTCGCCAGCATCTAGCCTTTCTGAGCTCATCACCACAATCCAAAATCATACTATCATACGGTATCATAAGAATCATCATCACACCCCAAAACCCCAAAAGAGCCCCTAATACCTTACTCCCCGATCCCCTTTTAAACTTTTTCGCTTCTCATTCTCTAAAGCTCTGTCTCCTTATCCTTGAGTCCACCTTTCTCTCCCTCATACGAAGGAGGACCAGCTTTCTCACTCGCACTTTGTCCATCATGAATTGGTTGATCTGCAACATGCATTTGCTCATCATTGACACTGAGTTTGTATTCTTCCTTATCGATATCTCTGTAGATCCAATAGAAAGCACACATCATGATGAAACCAATGATAGTTGGCGCACCGAAATCCCAGGTAAGATATGGATCCTTGATGACACCGGCACAGGCAAGACCAACGAGATAAGCAATAGCTTGGGTGAACAAGTTAAGAGCAGATACGAGACCTCTCATGTTGGCTGGAGCACGGGAGTATGCAATACCGTATGCGGGAACGTTGACGAAGAGTTCGGAAATACCACCGATGGCGTAGGGAACGGCCATTAACCAAACGGAGATGGAGGATACGAGGGAAACACCATCGGCATCAACACAGGTTGCGGAAGAACCATACTTTCCGCAAGGTCCGATCTTGTAGGCGTAGTAGTTGAGAAGAGTGTAGGCGGCACCTCCGAGAGTAGACAGGAAGAATCCGGTGGTCATTCTGGCGATTGGTCCGTAGTGAATGTTGCGCTTTCTCAACAATGGGTAGAGACCGTAGTTGAGGATTGGTGCGACAATGATAATGGAGAGAGAGTTGAAGTTGTTCATCACATCGTTGGGGGCACCATCGGTAGACAACATAGTTGAGAGAGCATTAGCGGAGCTACCAAGACCGTTGTCGTTGATGTTTTGAATTGGGAAGAAACAGAAGATTCCGGCAGCTTCGAAAGTACGCTTGACATCCTCGATGAATGCATCGTTCCATGGTACATCGATAACGTTTCCAGACTGGGCAATGACGGATGGCTTAGCGGCTTCAAAGAATCCTCCCTTGCGGGTGAAGATTTTTCTTAAACCACCTCTCTTGAAACAGATACCAACAACACGGCAGACGTTGCCAAGATCGGATCCTCCTGGTGGGTAAAGGATGAGACGTTTGCGCATGTACCAGAGGAGGAATGGGAGAGGGACATAGAGGAGGAGTGGGAGGAGGAAGGACAACCACCATCCGATGTATTTTTCGGTGTAGGCAGTTGGGACACCCATGAATCCACCGACGTTAACGAGGAGGTAAAACCAAAGCATGACACGCTCGGTAGTAGATTCGGGGTCAACAATGACTACTTCACCAGATGGGAGAGTCTTCTTGACTGGAACTGCGTGTGGCATTTGATCGAGAAGGGTTGGTGCAATATTAGGTTTGAACATAGCTAGAAGGAGATTAGTGGATGATGGCTAAAATTTAGAATGTATAGAAAACTTACCAGCACCAATAGACAAAGTATAGACACTCAAAAAGAAAGGAGCCTTGGCATTTCCGCTGGCCAACAAACTAGGAGCACCACTTGCACACATGAGAACATGTGCAATACCACATACTGCTACACCCCAGCAAATAATCTTGAATCTACCAGTTTTGGTATCGGCGAGCCATCCGAAGAACAATGGAAGTGCATATGCAAGTAGAGAGAATGATTGAGATGTGGCTGTTGCTTTGACAGTACCGAGACCTAAAGCTCCGGCAGTTTGTTCAGTTCCTCTTGGTGGTGCACCATAACCATCACCGCCGACTGGGAGTGGTCTGTTGACGAAATTGTTAAACAAACCATTGCAACCACTGTGAGTGAATTACATGTTAGCGAGATTGTCTAATTAATTGCATACGTCATTCCAAAGTGAGGGGAAACATACTAGTAAGAAGCTCGCTCAGCGAATTCGACAGCACAGATCAAGTAAGTGACACTAGGAAGTTTTCCAGCTACTTTTCGGAGGGTTTTCTTCTCCTCTTCAGTAGGTATTAATTCTGGATCGATATGTTCGTGTCCATGGCCTTCTGCATGGACTATTGCGGCCTCAGATTCGAGACCGACTTTGGGGTGATGCTCCCTTGAGACTGTGTGAATCAACGATCCTTTCTGGTCGATAGCTAGGACAGCATCACTGCCTAGCATCGAGCCTTGGATGTCGGCTGTGATGTTTTCTTGAGCAACTATTCGTGAATGTCAGTAATTTGTAAAATAAAATAAAACCAAACCAACATAATCGAGTAGAAAAAATTACTTACCCATCTTTGCGAAGTTGATTTATCACAACAGGTAAAGAGAGTGGTCGTAGAAGTGCGACTAAAGAACAAAACCACGAGGAGGGGAAACACGAGAATAAATATACCGCTGCCATACCCATCGAATCCCAAGCTACACCACCTAAATTCACCATGTTCCCCATTCACCACCCTAGGCCTCGACTAATTCGGAGAATCTCGCATGCTGCTCCCATGCACTCCTAGCTAGCATGGGATAATATCCCTCCCTCCCATACGGGAACGCCATACCAATCAGCACCGTTATCAGCTGGTACGAGCTCTCACGATTGTGTTTTGTGAACTCATTCCAACGCTGATCCATTACGGAGATCGCCTAAAGAGGAAGGTGTGTAAGTGATATTGAACGCACGGAACAAATCATAGCAGGTATCAAATCGTTCTAGAAGATATAAACTCAGACCCCAGGTTCTGAATTGACCAGGCTACCTCCTTGTATGTGGCAAATATAGTCAGAGCAAGGCCAATCGGTAGCACACTTGTGTATTGTGTACGGGCAGTTCTGTATTCACCCGATTATGGAAAGCTGTCGTGCATACAGTATAATGACCCTAGTGCATCCAAAGACCAGCCCAGTCACCAGTGCCACCTCAATTGCAGCACCCACAAGAATGACAAAGACAATTGCGAGGCCTTTCCCCTCCACGATATCCACCTTACCAGCCTCATCACACAATCATATCCCCAATCTCAAATATCACCCCCAAAACCCACCCTTCAACCGTGGTCCTTCATCTCTATCAAAATTCATTAAACCAAATCATTCTCATTTGTCAAGCGAATTCATCACCAACAAATAATCATCTCCTCTTTACTCCACAATAGGAAGGTAACGTTACGCCAAGAGTTTGAGAATGTTGCCAAGCAGAAAATCCGATAAGAAATTAGTCGCGCGAGCAGTGAACCAGACAGGAAGAGGGTCAGAGGCGAACAAAGCTTTTGGGGAACTCGGGTATCAGCGAACGGTGAACTCGGCTCACTAATAGCTCTCTACCACTGGACTGGAACAGGAACAATTCTATCCTAGGCATCCGGGATAACAAGCTGGCAAAAGATGTTATGTCAAGAACGCGAGACCGAGAAGACTGGGCATACGAAATTGGAATGATGGAACTGCCCACAGCTCTTTTCACCTGCCAAAAAAAGATTTAATTTAGTTACCGAGTCGACTTGGCAATACTAGGTACAGGTAGAAGCTTATGTACCTATTCAAATGAGCCGCCCGTCTTTTCATACCTATCCAATCTTGCTTAATATTGCCGTTAGATCTAGCCAACAAGCATTTCCCTCCTCTTGGTACCAAGGCAAGGTAAGGTGGTTTGATTTTGGTGGCGGGAAAGCCATCCGGGGTCTGTCTTTTATCTTTCCCCCAAAAGCATCGGGGATAGCTAGGGATTTGATAATAAGCAATTGAAGTACTAGATTTAAACATGAATGTCGTGATCGATGAGTGGATATAATTATTTCATGGCGTTGGAGGCGTTCGAAATTGATACCCGATGGGGGTTTTTGGACCGAGATGGGAGTACCATCCTCGTCACCTCGGTCCTTTTTGCAATTACGATAAGCAAAAACGAGATATGGTGAAATATTGGGAGATTGTGAGGATATTATCATTATTTATTGTGTTTGATTATTTGTGAATATTTTAATGCAACCAATAATAGATACATAAGTACAAACAAGACCCAAATTCCCAAGATAAAATGCCACCCACGTGTCTCTATACTCTAAAGAGTGTAAAATCGCCTCCTCGTCTTCTCTTTCCACGTTATAGATATGAACTGATAACCCTATATGATGGGTGAGATACGAGATAGAGAGAGAGGCGTAGAATGTAAGCTATTGATACATGATAAGAAATAAATGGAGAACCCGAATCCTTAACCTCAGCCGAGTCCGAGTTCATCCATACCATATCTCTCGATCTTTCGATTCTCACAGTCTATCTCCCCTCTCTCTCCTCCCCTCCACATCAAAATGATAATCGTGATCACATCCCAAGCTCCCAAGTAGGTACAATCTGCAAGCCCGAGGCGAAGCTTTCGAAGCTTCTTCCAAGAATTCTTGGAGACGAGCCACTTAGCAGCCAGATAAATCTTAACGTTGCACTGATTTGCCAAGCGTAAAGATATGTGAGTAGTGACATGCAATACGGGCCACAAGGTCTGAATCATCAACTCAAATCAATCACCTAGTTTAACGAAGGCTGAAAGCCTTATGCTTATTTCCCTGATACCAAAAGCTGGGTAAGAAACATATTGCCATCCGGCGCTTATTTCTGAAGCTGATAGTGAGTGACAAGCAACACAAGTTTGAAGATATGGTAAGACATCTCGCAGCGAACAGAAACCAATCAATCAAAAGACTCCTATTGAAAAGCACGAGTAATGTTATCAGACCATCAATCAATCAAAACATTCCCATTCAAAAGCACCAGTAATCATCACATACTCGTGATGTATCTTTTAGGTTCTGACCTGCCGATGAAGGAATATGCCTATGCATCGCTAGGTAAGCACGAGGATATCGTTTAGATGAATGAGGAAACTCCTCCGATGGGCGATACGAATTGAATTCCTTATCTCAACATCCATCTTCATTCAGACAGACCTCGGGAGTGTAAGCCAGCAAGCCAGCAAGCTGTTGGCACTTGGAACTTGGAAACACTGATTAGGATATTGACAATCCCGGGTATCCACGCTCAACATCGCTCTTACACGGATTGAAATAGCCGAAATGCTGAATGCTTTTCTCACTATTTTGAATATTGAACCGACAAGAATTGATGAACTCGGAAATTATTGAATGATAAAGCAATGGAATACAATACGATGGACGGATGGATGTGATCATAATGATGTGCCTGCAGACTTGGCACTCAACTCATTATCTGGTAACTATTCCGAAATCCAAAGGGACGATATCAATTCATCTGCCTAGTATTCACTTGAATATCCATCCATCCATCCATCCATCTACACATCTAACAAATTGTCAACTTCAACAATCAACACTTCATCTATCATACAATACACAACTTGCAAGAAATCGAAGAAATTAATGAAAACAAACGAAAAGAAATCTCGACATATAAAAACAAAGAATTATCTCAAGAGTCATTCATTATTCATCAATCATTATGAGTCAATCGGTCTGTCTGACACCAATGTCTGCCTGCCCGCCTAAATAACAAAGAGACAGGAAGTTACATCCGTGCTTTTGATACTCGATTCTCCATACGAGTATAAGATTACATGCAATACACACAAATATATATCGGTACGAGAGTCGTCAAGATAGTAAGCAAATAAGTCAGCAATCGAAACGAAGATATCTTTCTCGACCCCTTATCGCACGTCTACAGATTCTAGATTCCAGAATATCAATATCGATATCGAATAGACGATGAGATATTGTTTTCTTGCTTATGTTTATCTTATGAGGAAGAAGTATCTTACCTATTTACATCCTTTTACACGCCCCCCATCCTCCCCATCTCTTTTTTTCTAGTTCTCAGTTCTTGTTTTTGTTCTCGTCTTTGATATATCTAGAAAGTTACTACGAAATTATTATTTATATAATTTCACACACTTCCCCCCATCCTTCCCATTCCCATGATTCCTCCCCATCCTCCCCATCATTCCCATCCCTTCCTTTCTAGTTCTCAGTCCTCGTCCTCGTCCTCATCTTCATTCTCGTCTTTATATTCACTCTATTATTTTGCTCCTCACTGTATATCTTATCTTTCAACAATTTCACATTCATACAAATTCATCTCATCCAATTTTCACATCTCAACACAATTCATCATCTCACCCAATCTCAATATCTCAATTAACTTCACATTCATCCAGCTTCATATTCAAATAAATTCACATCCATACAATCTCAATGTCTCAAGACAATACAGTTCATCGTCACCCAAACTCGATAAGCACGACCACGACCACGACCACGACCACAACTCAAAGCAGAATAAACAAAGATCACAAATCATATTATTTTATCTACTTGAATGATTTTCAGAAATCAAGTCTCCAGTCTCCAATCTTAATTCAAAATACGAATATACGGATATATAATCAAAAGAGATGATATATACAGTCATTTATTTATTCATTCATATAATAAACAATATATCCTTCTGTTCCCTATTCTTTTCTCTCCTAAACTTCAATGCAAATCTAGATGCACGACTCAACTCAACTTCTACTTCATCAATATCAAGTCACTCATCATTCCATCTCTACCCCATCCCCTACTCCCTACATCCCCCATCCCACACTCCAGCCCTCCCACACCCCTCCACAAACTCCCTCACACTCCTCCCTCTCCCCCCAATAATCCCCTCCAAATCTCCTCCCAACCAAGCCTCCTCCCCCCTCCTAACCGCACCTTCAAGCTCTCCCAAAACCCCCGCCAACCCTTCCTCCACCCCACCCTCCACCATTCCCTTAACAATCTCCTCTTCCTCCACACCCACATGACTAATCTCCCTCCCCAACATTTCCGTCAAGAGCGCAGCGATATCATCATAAGACCATAATTCTGCTCCCCTCAAAACCAATTCCTTCCCCAACAGTCCCTTCTCAAAATCAGTACTTCTCCACCCAATCAAAGCTTTACACGCCACATTTGCGACATCCTCCACACTCACAAACGGGATCTTCCCTTTCCCCGTCGCTGAAATTAATCGATTTTCATCGCGGATGGTATATAAATGGTGCATTTCCGAGAAATTTTCCATGAACCAACTCGGTTTCAATATCGTCCATTCCACTGCGTTCGGGTCGGAATTATTCGATTGTCCTTCAAGTGTCTGAAAATTCCTTCCCTCTCCCTTTATATACTTAGATATCTGAGATAAAATCGGTCCATCCCCGCAATGCTGTATACTCCCACTCAGAAATACAATTCTTCTTACTCCTCTCTTAATCACTACATCGATAAACCTTTTAGCCAGAGGAAGTGCACCGAGAACAGGAGGAGCGATCATAAAAACCGCTTCAATTGAATTTTCTTTCGCGTCGCCGCCCCCTCGGATGAGATAAAAGGATTATCATAACTATTGGTATCCAACCAGTCGAACTTAACTCCTTTAGTATTTGGAAGTGACGCTGGAGAAGATCCGGACCGAGATGCTAAAAGAACGTTATATCCATCAACAGAGAGGAGAGGAGCGATTCGTCGGGCGACCTTTCCTGTACCACCGAGAAGTAAAATAGTAGTCATATCCGTCCCACCATTCTTCACTCCAATATCAATACCCTTGATCTCATTGCTGTCCATCTTTCCAAAATCCGGCTGTGGCGTCCTATCTATTTCTCCACAGTCCTTGGCTACTGACCCTTGAATTCAATCAAGAATTCGTGAATTCGGGATTTATCCTCGATTGATAGGATGGTGGGGAAATCGAACGAAAGTAAAACCTATCAAATACCCCAAGAGTTCATTTGGACGATCCGATTACAGGCATGATTCATGCCCACTCAAGTCCCTGCGTATCTGCATGATTTTCACACCAATGTAATATCCATGACTTTAGTCACTTCCATTGCATACCCGAGGAAAGCCGGACCACTTTACCCCTCCGTTTCGTGGCGAACTCCGGTCCTTCCGCAACTCGAACAATTTTTGTTTCGAATTTCGAATTCTGGTGGTGGGGCTGTCTTCAAAATTTATATACCTGAAAAAGTGTATCTTCAAGCAAGAATAAATCTACAATATCGTTAATAAAGCTCTGTAAAGAAAAGAACCTGTCTTCAATAAAGACAAACTTACATGTGAATTCCCATCTGTTGTTGAACTTGTCTCCAATCAAATTTGCGTTCATATTGGTGTTGCCTTCTCCAAAGGATTTCAAGTAATTCCAAGGCTCGATCGGCATGCTGTTGATTTTGATTAGCTTCAATCCAGGACTTTATTCCTCGTTATCTTTCCCATCATGCCCATACAAAGTGAACTTACATAAAGTGCAATCCTAGTATCAGCCTTCAACTTCTTCCTAACAGTATCCTCTACCGCCCAATCATTAAAGATACTTGCTCCTGCTGCAAACAATCCATAATACAAACCCATTTCCAATCCATAACCCTCTGGTGTCTCAGCAGCAATATCTAGAATCTGTGTAATTGCCTCTGAAACTTCTGGAGATGTTGGTTCTTCACCAACTGGGTTCATAATATGGTGAATGAAAAGAACGCATCCGTACATGCAAGCCTTTGTACTAGAGAATGCTTCAGCTTCGAGAGTTTCCGCGACGGTGAGTTTAGTATCGCGTGGTTGTCGTCGCCAATCGTTGGAAAGATCCCGGAGCATAGATGGACAGTTTTGCCACCACATTTGAACTTCATGTTGGATTCCAATGGCTTCTTGTTTAATGATGATTTGTTCTTCGACCGATGTTTCGACAAGGGAACGACTGGATAGACGAGATAACTTGGCCATAAATATCATAAACACATGGAACTCTCCCGTCATAACACCGCCCGGGTCATAATATGGCCAATTCAAGGCTGGTTCTGCTGATGAAGGTGAATCGCCAATTTGTTTTGGACTTGTTGATAGTGTCGGGGCATCTTCGAGCCAATAATTCCCAGGTAATAAAGGACCTTGTCCTGCCCATAGAGAACCAGAAACATCAAGTAACGCAAAGAATCTTGTGAGGAAATCCGATGTTTTAGGACCTCCTCGATGTAAGATAAGATCTCGTGCACCCTTCAGATGCTCCAACCATAATCCTCTATCTGAATGTGATATCTATCATATATAAGCCACGTGTACCATTATATAAGTAAATTGAGAAAAGGGAATTACCTCATAAACACATAGTAAAAGACAAGCACCCAATGTGGCATTTTGTTTCGCAACTGAATTGTCACATAATGCTGTGTTAAGTTCTCTCAAAGCCATGGAATAATGTTTGGTAGCCTTAACCTCATGCTGCTTGTCAGTCCTACTCATATGGCCTGCTGCCACTGCAATAATACTATGTAATAAAGCCGGACTGGTCGTTACAAATGGTACCAATTCTTCTTTGAAAGGATTCCCTTCATCATCATTTGCATATGCCAAGAATCTGGTGCAAAACCCCACAAAATGATGAATATAAGGCATAGTCGTTTTATCAATATTGGGAAATTCAATAACGAATGAATCTTTGGGAATACGTGTTTTACCAAGAGCAAGCTGTTGAGTGGTAGGCAATGAACTGGTACTGGAGATTCCATGACCATGAGATGTCGTGGCGAGCATGTGAGCTGGAGGTGTACTCCATTTACAATCGCGTTGAAGGCGAATACAGCGACCACAATCTGGTTTCCCTTCATCACATTTCACTTTCCTTGCTCGACATGTTAAGCAACCTTGAACGCGTCAGAATTGAAGCCATAAGCCATATGCCCATTGCCATATGGGTGAGATAGATGATTGATGTGTGAAAGGAACGTGAACGGACCTGTTCTTGTTCGAGGTACAGGGGCTTTAATCCCCATTCCCGGAGCCATATTTACTTTGGTATTAGAGGCATTCAAATTCGTTTTCCCTTTGTACATATCAAGGAAGGGATGGCTGTGGTGTTGAGTGGACAGAGGATATAAAACGTTGAAGTTGTCGACGTTTTCCGATATTGAATGTGTACTGAGTAGTTGATTTGTAAAAGCAAAAAAGAGTCAATGCAACACGAACACAGTGTAGTGACTCGTGAGTAAAGTCCACTTTCTTGAGGTTGCGGTTTTGTGATGGCCTGTCGATCTATTGACCAGGTGTGAGCAACCTGGCGCTTAAGCTTTACTTGAAGAAGGTTAGAATGTATACGACAGAGCCACTTTTGAAGCTTTCAATACTTTTCATTGGCCAAGTCCGGTCCCGAGAATAAATCACACTCAATATTCCAATGTTTGGACATCCATCCGTACGAAGCTGAAAAAGAATCAAAAAAAGGAGTACCCCGTATAATACCTAGTAAATTACAATCTATATGAAAATTTGAAAAAGAGATTACTCATTGTATGGTATAGAATTGTATGGAAAATTCGTCTAATTGTCATGAGCCCCTTCATTGCTCCATCTCTTCATCTCTTCCACATTTACCGGTACGACACTTCCTAAATTCAAAATCTTTAAAGATAAACATCTAGAGCCATCAAGATCTCTGATCCTTCGTCATAGACTCAATGATCTTTGACTTTGATATTGATCATGTGGGTTCCAACTTGATTTCTAAACTCCTGACGGGCCAACTATACCTTTCTCCAACATTATAGTTTCATCGATCGAAGAACTACTTTACGATAATTGGTTCATTCTTCAATATTTCAAATTAGTGCGGGGTGATCAAACCCTGTAAAAATTCCTTTAGTTTGAGATAGTTGGGAATAGTTTGCGGCATTTCTACCTGCAAGAGTCTGAATCGAGAAATCATATATGCCGGAAGGGAGGAAAGGAGGCCCGCGGGAAGATCTGGAAATCTATGGAAGGTTGAGGATGGGGGATTTTGTTCATGGATTGATGGGCAAGGTAGGCGTAGGATTCGAATCCTTATACCGTACACCTTGTATCAAGAGACTGTCATTCTAGACATATACGTAAATCAAATTAAAATCTAAACTATATCTTGAAATATAAACAAGTACTCAGTAGAAATGCATCAGCATGTGGAAATCATCATCATAACCCTGAACCATGTGCCCATTCATGTCGACTTATCCAATCCTCTGCTGCTCTCCGTAGAATCAGATCTGCCTGTGTTCAAATCGTTATCTCTAATCTTTTGTAAATCCGACCTCTCTCTTTCTAAATACTCTGCGCATTCAACTCTACTCTTCGTCTCACTGATCCAAAAGATTGCAACCGTAGGAACAAATATCAATGCTGCCACAAAAGGAAATGCTGCCCATTCACTGCCATTGCGATCAACAATAGCACTTGAAACAATAGGTCCAATCCATGCTGATCCTTTGGAGACAATACCTAAAAGACTGAAGAACAAATATTCTCTACCTTTGGGTACTAATTCTGCCATGAATGCTTGTCCGTATGGGAATTGAGCACCAAGGGTGATTCCATACTGTGCTTGAAAGAGCCAAAACTCCCACTCGTTATGGAAACCAAACTTGGTAGTCCAGAGACCTATCATTCCCCAAAGCGCAATGAGTACACAACCACAATTGCAAAATTGAAGCATGGTCTTAGTACGGATCTTGAGTGTTTCTTGCAGATAATAGGCACCGAAGACTCCGACTGTAGTTGAGCCACCTTGAACCATGATGAGATAGGTATTTTGTGTCGCGGAGAATTGAACAACTTGCGTTTGTGCGATTGAGACGAGGGTGAGTAATGTAGCGACTCCATCTGCCAATAAGAAAAATGCAATCAAGTAGTAGAAAGTTTGTCTCAACTTCCATACCTGCTTTCCGGCGAAATAGGTTTGCTTGAAACCAAAGGTAAGATAATTGTCACCCTTTGGTAGAGGTGGTCCCGGTCGCTTCTTTTCCCAGATGAACCATGGAATGGCAAGAATAATCCACCATCCAGTAGTGACAGCGACAGATACAGAGTATCCCCAGTTGTTTTGTTGTGTCGAATCATTCGCTCCGATTCCTGCTAAGGCTGCTAATGCTAAAGCTCCACAAATTGTAAATCCAACATTATTCCACCCATAACTTATATTCATAACCTTGGATCTGGCCATTGAGCACTTGTCTTCGTATTCTTGTTCTGTCAATGTGCCTTGTGCATAATCTTCTCTCGCTTTGTGAACTTCGGGAAGGTCGTGGGCAAGTTTGGGAAATATCGCGTTGAAGAAAACATAGGAAGACCACCAAGTAACACCTAGGATAGGAAGTTAGCCACTGCATATTCTTGCGATGTAAATGAGAACTTACTGCTGATAATGTACAGAGCCATGGCGATTCTCCATTGATGTGCATATTGTACTCCCAAGAACCCGAATTCAAAGGCGAATGAAAGAAGGGAAAACAATCTAACAACCCATGGATTCCAATTGCCGAAATCTGCCAAACTTCCAATTGACAGGAAAAGTACAGCTTGCGAAACGAAGGTCAATCCTGATGCTATCAACACCACCGATGTATATGCTTTTGTGCCTCCATTCCAGAAGACATGACAAGGGGTATCATCGCCGCAAGGTGCGCTACCCAATGGCAAGACGTTTGGGTTAAAACCGGCTTGGTATATCAAGTTCTGGAAGAGAAGACTCGAGCTGAAGATCAATTGATGTCAGCAATCGCATGATATCGAGGGGTGGTTGTACAAGATAAGATGGATGGATGGATGGACCAGTAAAACTTACTATTGAAAAGAGCCAATTCCGTTATTTCCTGCGTAGTATGCATAATACGACCACAGTTCTTTCTTTGTCGCAGGTGGTCCTGTATCTTTTTGATGTGCATGAAAGACGTGATTTGATGGCGCACTACCTATTTCAGTCCCAACTGTTCCATCTTCAGCGCTTTGATAAGAATCTGGGGCGGCCACAGCAGTGAAGGGTAACTTGTCAACGGTTTCATGCTCCACAGCCGTCATGATGAAGGAATTTGGATGAGACTAAGACAAAGATAAAGAGGCTAATAAAAAGAGAGTGGACATTGAAGAAGAGGAACCGGGAAAAGGTAGAAAGAAGTATGAAACTGATTCCAACAAACCTAGAAACTAGAGTGTGCCCTGCAAATTTGAATGGGATATTGGCCACAACGGTGTATGCGGTTCTTGACAAAATTGGTTACAGCTTACGGAGTACCGAGTTCAAAGCTTTTCAATAATCTCACTGGCGTCCGATTGAAGCAACGGTACGCAAGCCTCCTGGTGTATTCTTACCTACTTCGTATAAGTGTGCGGACTCGAGGCGGAGAACATATGGCAGATGGCAGGGCAAGCCGACGAGGTAACCGGAAATGGGTTGTTGAAGAAGCATTGATTTGCGCACTGGCTGGCTTTGATTGGATTTGCACTGGTTGATGAACATCGGCTGAACTCATGAAGGAGTTCGTTTCTCTTCAAACCTTTTTTTCTTCCCTTGCTTCAATTTCCAGTGCTGGCGCCAATCCTTGTCGAGGACCCATCTTGCTCATTCTCGAGCCACTGTCGAGGGTCGTTTGGAAAGTATGAGGTAAGGAAAATCCCAGGATAACGGAAAGTCTAAATGAAAGTCTGTCCACTGCACCGAGTCCACTCGTTTGATGTTCTTCTCCGTAGGTGTAAGGCTAGATACCGTAATCTAGTCCAGAGGGTGGAGCCAGCCGAACCAGCCGAGCCAGTAATCACATGTTTCTGGACTCTGCAGTACATACCGACTCGTGCTTTCTACCAAAACAGCGGGTAAACCGCCTAATGGATTATTAATAGCCGTCAATCATCCTTGAGGAGAGAAATCTACCAGGAATATATATACAAGTGAGCTCACTCATCCCAGTCTCCCAGAGTCGCATTTTCCCAGGGACGGGGGAAAAGGGACTCGAGGGACTCAAGGGAGGGAGGGGATCACGCCGTCATTATCCCCGTGATTCCTGCAACCGATTCGTTCCTTTTACGCCTGAATTAGTGCCTGAGGGTCTAGGTATCCATTTTTAATCTCTTATACTTCTGGGGGATCGGTCCAATTCATTCTGCCTTCTGCAATTGGAAGGCGGTGTCAGCACCACTGTATTGCACTCCACCTTGCTCAAGTGGCACTCGGTGGTTAAATGCACACCAACTCCGTGCATACCAACTCCGTGCATACCTACTCCGTGCATACCTACTCCATGCATAACTTTGGCCGTGAAATCCCATCTACCTGGCTTACTTCCTCGTCTAATTTCTAAACACACCAAAAATACACCAAATTCACTAAACACACCCCTCAGATTCCTTATTTGCTGTCTTTTCTCATCTATCATCACTTCACTACTTTTCACTAATGCTCACTAACTTTCACTAATTCGACATAAATGTCATTTCGAGTCATTTATGCTCGCCTATCTCCGACCGTATCTTCAAACACGACTCAAATGGATCCAGTCCTTCCCCGACAGCCCCGTATTTCGAGAGAATCCAACCAGTCATGAGCTTCCAGATGACATATTCATTAATAATGCCATCTTCCATAATTTCTCGCCCACGCCCACGCCCACGCCCACACCCTCGGCCGCTCCCAAGATAGAGAAAGTCACATCACGGAAAAATCAATCATGCAAAACACCCACTTCTACTAGCATCAATTCCTTGGGGTTGATGTACAGACTCGAGACTAGAGTCGAGAGTACCACTCACAATTGATCACTACTGCTCACTTATGCCCCTTCATGTCATACACGTCGGAAAGATAAAGGAATCAACCTTGAATGCCATCCATTCTGAAAATACCTACCTGCGTCGCATATCTTGCAGATTACTCAAAGTCCACGTGGTACTGGAGCTGCCGAGTTACCTTATATGTGAACTTATCTCAAAGTTCCCACTCCTCGTTGGGTCATCGCTCGCTCGCCTTACGCCTACATACCAAAAAAGGATATCCTTACTTTTGTAGGCGAGGAGAGGGACTATTATGTACGCAAATGATTGATATAATAAACTTCCAATTTCGATCATGTATGTTCATCTTTGTTATATGAAGAAGATCTCATCATCCATTGCTTCCTTTTGTTCTTTTTGAAAATTTATCCATTATACCCTTTTCATAGTTTTTTTTGTTGCAACATATTTTTGATATAAACTTGTGATACCCAATCCATTTTCGACCTCGTCTACGACTAAACCTACGAACAACGAACATCGACATCGACAGCGATATCGATTTCCACCCTTTCTGCATTCAGAATTCAGCGGATATTGGCAAGATGCCTTCTAGAATATCTTCTCGTGTCATTGGAATTGACGTTGGAGGAACCAATACAGTGGGTGACGTTTGAAGTATATCCCCATTAATATCTACTGATGCTTGATTGTAGGATGCAGTTATTCTACAGAATGATAATGTATTGGCATGGCATAAGACACCAACAACCCCAGATATTCAAGACGGCGTTGAACAAGCAATCGCTGCTGTCATAAAAAATGCTCAAATCTCCAAAGATAGTATAGATTTCATCAAGATTGGGACGACTGTAAGTTAATCTTGTCTTCAGCACTCACTTTATACTTCCTGCTTCCTACTTCCTGCTTCCTACTTCCTACTTCCTGCTTCCCACTTCCTGCTTCCTACTTCCTGCTTCCTACTTCCTGCTTCCCACTTCCCTTCCTTACCTTGAGTATCGTATCGAGAGTCATGGGTATTAACATTCGATTTCCTCTACGTTCCGAAGTACCCCCAGCAAAAAGTCTCATGTTGGTCCTTCTCGGAGTATACTTGTGTTTGACTCTACTCTCTCCCCATCTCTCTCATTTTGTGATTCATAGTCAAGATCTAATCCCATTTCCTTTGTAGCAATTTGTGAATGCAGTCCTCGAACAAAATGCTTCTAAATTAGATAAAGTGGCCGTTATAAGGTTATGCGGTCCTTACTCGAGGGGCTCACCACCTTTTGGTACGTTGCATGTCGACCGCTCTCCGTTAAATAAAATATTAGCTAACACTCAGGATCTCAGTTGGTTTCCCTGAATCATTAAGACAGTTAATGGAAGGTCACTATGGGTATGTTGACGGTGGCCTACAAGGTACGTTTGATAGATATCTTTAAATTTTCGCATAGGTACTGATAAATTCAAGTTGACGGAACCCCAATCTCTGAAGTAAACGTTGAACAACTCAGAGAACAAGCTTCAATTATCAGATCAAAATCAATATCAAGTGTTGTGGTTATTGGAATATACTCTCCATCCAACCCAGCTCAAGAAGAGTTTGCTCGACAAATCCTTGCCGAGGAATTAGGCTCAGAGTATGATATATCATGTTCATATACCATTGGAAGATTAGGATTTCTTGAGCGTGAGAATGCTAGCATATTAAATGCAAGTTTGAGACGATTTGCACGTCATGTCATTGCTGGGTTTGCACATGCGGTACATGACCTTAAAAACGCCAGCTTATATATTACATTGAATGATGGAACTTTAAGTAAAGCATCAATAGCTGCAGAGCATCCAGTGAGATGTTTCTCTTCCGGTCCAACGAATAGTGCAAGGGGCGCTGCACTTCTTGCAAAGAATGAATGCATGGATCTTGAGGGCGATAGCGAAGTTTTAGTGGTGGATGTTGGAGGGTAAGAACTTTCTGCTTTAGCATTTCTCGGTAATGATACTGACACATTATAGCACTACCACTGATATTTGCGCTCTTCTCAAATCCGGTTACCCAAGGCAATCTGCTGCCTTTGTGAAAATTGCAGGGGTTAGGACCAATTTCACAATTCCCGATGTTTATAGCATTGCCTTGGGTGGAGGTTCACTCATACGTACAACATCATCAGGGAAAACGACAGTTGGTCCAGATTCTGTTGGTCCGAAATTGGAAATGGAGAGTATCGCATTTGGTGGAGAAACTTTGACTGTATGATTAACCCTTTTGAGCTCCCAGGAAGATACTTACATGTTTAGGCTACCGATCTTGTATTGTCGAACGAGAGAACCGATATCATTCCGGACGAACTCAGAATTGGTGGACACTCAGAAATTCAACGAGCTTTGGAAGATGCGATTGATCAAGTAAAAACGAAACAAGGACATGCGACAGTCATTCTTGTAGGCGGGGCAGTATTATTGTAGGGAGGGATATTGCCGGAGTAGGAGAAGTAATCAGACCAAAATATCTGGAAGTCGCAAATGCTGTTGGAGCTGCTGTAAGTTGAATTCTGTCCTTCATCCTTGGGAATGGAACTAACTTGAACATGTAGATTGGAAAGATTAGTGGGAGTGTTGATACTGTCGTCACACCCGGGGAAAAGACCATAGAAGAAGAGATTGAGGAGGCAAAACTACTGGCAATTCGAAGATGTGTTGCTGCAGGCGGCGACGAAAAAACTATCGAAGTTGTGGAAATCGATACACTACCTATTAATTACGTTACAAATGGATCTACGCAGTTGGTCGTTCGAGTGGTTGGTGATTTGCGCAATACAGGAGAAAAAGTTCAAGACCTGGAGACTATGCCAATATCGATGTCGACATTCAAACCTAGGAGAGCAGATTCCGGATATAGTGCAAGTGGCTTGGATAGTCCTGTGGATACGAAAGCTTCAACCTACGATATTCTTGAGCATGTCGATCTAGAATCCTATCGTCCACGTATCGAAGGTGATATATGGCATCTTTCGGAAATCGATCTCAAATTCCTTATGGACGGCACGGGAGTATTGGGCGTAGGAAGTTGTGGTGAACCGTATCCAAGTTATATTGCTTGTTTAATTGCATTGGAGAGTGGTGAAGGGCTGAGGATTAGAAGACAAGATACTGTTCCTGATGATGCATTGATTATGTCGGCAGGATTTATGGTATGTTGATTTGATAATCATTTGGTGTGCATTTACTGATCATTGTAGGGTTCACCAACTGTATACCTGGAACGTATACCCGGCTTGAACGAGTAAGTTCCCTTTCGATTTCGCAACTCATCATTTTGCATACTGACAAGTCTTCTAGAATTACCGATACAGTTAAAGCACTCATGTCAGCCACAGGTCATTCCTCATTCGATGCAACCATACCTAACGAAATTGGTGGTATGAATTCTTTTGAAGCTCTTCTCACTGGTCATCGATTCGGAAAACCTACTCTCGACAGTGATTGTGTAGCACGAGCATATCCTATGGTTTGGCAGACAGTCAGATGTTTGAATGGTGTTTCAGTTACTCCAGCTGCTGTTGCCAATGGATGTGGAGGAACCGAAGTTTTCATAAATTCAAAGGATGCCGAAGAAGCAGAACTCCTCATGCGAGATGCATGCACGAAACAAGGTTCATTGTCAGGAATGGTAGTCAATCCAATACGTGGTAAAGAAGCAAGAACACTTCCTTCGAATAGTTATTCATGGGCATGGCAAATCGGTCGCTCAATCGCAATCGCCCGCTCCAAGAAAGTTGATCCGGTCAAAGATCTCATGCGAACACAAAATGGAACTAAATTATTCACTGGTAAAATCGTGAGAGTTACGAGAAAGGTAGCAGAAGGTTTTACTAGAGGTAGTGTCTTGTTGGATCATATCACTTCTTCTACATCAACCACCTCTACTGGCGAAAAAGTTACATCATCACTATATGTCGAATTCGAGAATGAAAACCTCTGCGCTATTTTAAAGACTCCCGGGAAAGAAGATGAGGTTTTGGCAGTCTGTCCGGATTTAATCGTTGTGCTGGATATGGCAAATGGAGCACCACTAGGAATCTCAGATTACAAATACGGACTTAGAGTAAGCGTCATCGCATTGAAAGCACCAGAGATCTGGACCACAGAACAAGGACTGAAAATGGGAGGACCAAGAGCTTTTGGTTTGGATATGGATTATGTTGGTGTGTGTGCGGAAAGTCAATATGAAGCTCCGAAAAGTGTTTGGGAACTCTTTGGGGATGAGGTGGAAAGAAAAGCTTGAGGTTACCTTGAGGGTAATGAGGTTTGTTTTTTTGGAGGAAGGTGGAAGGACGAACTGAAGTAATGGCCTGGGAATTGAGAGATCCGAGACGACGTAATTACAGAGATATCCCTATTTGTTTTTGGTTTTTTCTTTCATTAGTTTTGCATGGATGGAAACTCTTCAATCCATCCACTTCAGATTTTTTGTTATCATGGAATATATATTCCGGGATGAGGAGTTGATTGCCTAGTATTTTCTTGGAAATGTGGTTGCAGGTGGAATATATATACATACCTATATTTGAGAAGGGACAAGAACAAGTAGGAGAGAAGAGTCTAATACAAGACTTCTACCATACTACGCATGCGAATATAAATACAAATCAATCCAAACAAAATAAAAACCAGAAGATGAAAAATTGCTTTGCTCCTTTCCTATTTTACGTTTGATCCTCCAGGTAATGATCGTTTGATGAACAAATGGTCTTGGGGGTTATTATCATTATTACTCGAGGACTCTGAAAAGTTCCTAGGTGGATAGAGGTATATTGGAGTATGAGCGATATTGTAATATATTACAATCTTAACAAGATACCGATGGTAAGATTGCATGGAGGATGATCTATCAGATAGAGAGGTACTTCTCCCAGTATAGAATGATACAATTTCCAGAACAGGATATACTCTCTCTCTCTCTCTCTCTCTCTCTCGATATATATACACCTCACCAATCCTAATCTAACCGATCTTCCCTCTTCCCTTCCTTCCACATACACGTCCACATTTTCAAAACTTTCTTCCTACCCACCCACCTACCTACAATCCTACAATCCTCCTCACCCTCCAACCAAAGTGGACAACAAATGCAATTCTAGGTTTCTTTCTCGGCGGCCAAGAATGTCTAGTGTGGACGCGGAGATTTATGTCATTAACCGAATCTACCTGAGTATTCCCGAGCGGTGAGGGAGGCTCGGCGGATAAGATGTGATGGGATGGGATGGGATGAGATGTGATGTGATGTGATGTGATTTCGGGTTGGGTTGTGTGAATGGATGGAGGTTTGTGTGGATGGAGGGTTGTGTGGATGGATGGAGGTTTGTAGATGATATGGTGGACGTGTGGAAGTGATGGGTTGAAGATTTTTGTGTACCGAGATATATGGTATAGTATCCACATAAGTAGGTGGGTGGGTAAGTGGGTAGGTGGGTAGGTGGGTAGGGTAGAGGGGATGAATGTAGAGGGAGAGAGGAAAGAGGATACGATACGATGGGATACTGTACTATACGATATGCTTTATCGTAGGTACAGACAGTAATGTTTTTGAAGATTATTTTTGAGTTGATTTTTCGGTTGATGGGAAGGAGTAGAAATTATGTAAGGAGGTGGATGGGTGGGTGGGTATGTACAGATAGACAGATAGTTAGATAGTTAGACAGACAGATAGACAGACAGATAGACAGACAGATAGACAGACAGATAGACAGACAGATAGACAGACAGATAGACAGACAGACAAATAGACAGACAGATAGATGAATAGATATATAATAATCAAGAAATACCAAATTCATATTCGAATCTTCAATTTCGTAATATTGTGTGTACATTACACTTACCTAGGTACATAATATACATATTCATCATTACAAATATGCAGTTAAAATTCCACGCATTATCCCACCTCTTCCATCAATCCTCCCTCTCTCGAGTCCCGACCTACTACCATGCGCACCTACTACCCAAGCCCAACCCATGCACCATCCGTCCACAAAATAAAGTACAAGATGGAGAACCAATGCGGGGATGTGGGGATCTGGAGAGTGGACGACAGGGCCACTAATTCCCTATCGAGAAACCCATCCGAGCCGTATCTACTCACTGCCATTGATTACCCATCTTGTGAGAAATCTTAGCGGTCGGCGTGGCATCTTTCCTTCTATTTGATTTCATTCTATCCCATTTGATCTGATTTGATTAGATGGATGTGATCAGATGTGATTACACATCATGCAAACAGCCGATCATTACGCCTTCCAACTTTCCTCCATGTGGGAAACTCCACCTCACTAGAGCACTATGTGCCTAGGTAATGATACCAAGATCTGAAAAGGTGGAAGGAAGAACACTAAGGAAATTTACACTCATCTCATAAGCTACTAAGTTCCCAGCGCGTCCACCTTGAGAAAAATGGGATTCCATGGTTAATGACAAGCTAGTGATTCGTCAAGAAATATGTGGGTGCAAAAGTATGGGGAATGAGAAAATCTGGGGATGTCAGCTGCGTTGTACTTAGTATGTACAGTACATCCCTAGGTATTGCATGGAAAGGTAAGGACAGGAGGGATCGTCCTGTTAGTTGCCAGCCACGGGAGATTGTGAGAACACGGAAATGGAGATCGAAATACGTAAATGAGAGGTGGACGCTTCAGGGGGGGTTCCTAGATGGTGGATGGAGAGTTGGACTTGGCTTAGATGATGGGGATTTTTTATTTTGGTTGTACCTGATTCATTCGAAGGAGTGGTTGTTGTGGTGCGGTGCTATGACCCGGACCCGAGGCTTTGATATGTCATGACGGGGTGATCAAAGAGTTGAGATGAATGGATGGATGGGATGAACGGGTATATAAAGAGGAGCTTTTGAACCCTTGAAAGCACTTTTGTTTTTCCAGATCCAAATTCTAAGTTTGAAGGTGTGAATTGTGAAGAGAAGATTGTTTATATATCCTCTCCTTCGATACTTTAATTCTCTCATCCTCTCCCCTCTCTTTGGAAGAACAACAGAACAGAAACTCCTTTCTTCTCATTCTCACTCTCGTACCACACATCTACACCCACACATCACACACATCTACGCATCCAACCGCAAAAATGAGGAATCCCCTCCTATCCACCTTCCTCCTAGGCTCATCACTCCTAGGAGCCGCAACATGTCTCAACACCACCATATCCAATTCCCATGTAAACATGTTTTCCACAGACGGTGATCTCATCGATTCCACCTCCGGCAAGATCGATTATTTCGAAGGCCAATTTCTGTGGTACGGCTTAAATTTCGGCTGTGGAGAATCATTCTGCGGAATTGAGAGTTGGAGTTCGCTGGATTTAGTCACGGTATGTTTATTTTCTGCATCTGCTATGTTTTGAGCTTCACAGCTTGCTTGAGAACCAACCCTGCACTTTAAAAACCATGGGATAATTCGTATTGGAGTGCTAATCCGACATCTCACAGTGGTCCTCCAACGGTCTACTTTTCGACCCCAAGGAAAACGCTACTGCCACCATCTGCGAAGCATCCGGCGATTGCGGAAGACCGCACATGCTCTATGATTCCGCCCGCGCCGTCTACATCCTCTGGGTCAACGCCGGTACTCCCGGCTACGTAATCTTCACATCCTCATCTCCCACTTCCGGATTCGTGCCTGAATCCTCCCGTGCTCTCGTGGGATACCAACCTGATCCCGCGACCCATCAAGCGGGTGATTTCTCAATTGCCATGATTAACGGAACGGGTTATATTGCCTACTCTCTCATTGATTTCACCACTCTCGGGGCATCCATTTGGCCTCCATTCAAACAATCCATCTACACCCAGCAACTGACCAGCGATTTCATGAACACGACTGGAAATGCAACAGAGGTTCTCCCCGTAGGAGATCTCGTGGATCTCCAAGCCGAATCTCCAGATATTTTCTATCGCGATGGATATTACTACATCTCCGCGTCCAACACGTGTGGTTTCTGCCAAGGAACCCTCATGATCATGTACCGCGCCACCGATATCTCCGGACCATGGACTCGTCAAATCATCAGCAGCGATACATGCGGTGGACAAACCACCGGTGTTCTAACCATTCCCTCTTCTACCGGCGGCGACGCAACCTACGTGCACCAAGCCGATATCCAAGCCAGCGCTCCCCTTGCCGGCCCCCGAAACGCACAACACGGTCATCAATTCCAGGTTCTCAGTTTCAACTCGGACGGTTCAATTCAAGATTTGGATTGTTCCGCTTCCGTCAGCACCACCATCACTCTCCCATCCACCAACAGCAGTGTCATCATCGACGGACTAGCCAAGAGCGCCTCCCTCGGTTCCGGAAACGAACATCAAGACTACTACCTCAACTGTTCGCTCCCCCAATACGCCCTCTACCAAACCTTCTCCACCTCGCAAACCGGAAACCTCACAGCCGTCGGCGTAAACCTTGCTGGCGACGCCCCAACCGACAACGTCACCCTCACCGTTTTCCGCTTCTCCAACACCACCGCTCTCCTCGCCCCCTTCTACCAATGGGAAACCCTCTCTACCATCAACGTCACACCCGAAGAATTAAGCGCCGCCGTCCTCGCCATCTCCATCCCCGTCGGACAAGAAGTTTCCGCGGGCGATAATATCGGCATCGCTATCACCAGTTTGGGAATCACACCAGTATGCGTAGCGATGCGCGGAACAAATAGTGAATATGCGACTGCATGGGCAGGAGCTGCAAATGGTGGATTTGTCCCCGCACAAAGTGTGGGAGAGAAGGTTGCGAATGCAACTGAGACTGGATCGGGATCGGGTGGAGTTTTGTATGCTCAGGGTGTTAACCAGGTTAGTTTGAGAGGAAAGAACGGGAATGAGATTCCGATTTTGGAGCTTAGTGGGAGAGAACTTAAATGGTATGCGATTGTTGAATAGATGAACGGGGAAAGTATAGTTTTATGTATAATGAGATATTGGTAATGAAATTTATAAATAGAAAGTAAATTAGGTCTTGAATTTTGCTGCTTTGGTGAAGTGATTGTTTTCTACTCAAAGATCTTTATTTTCTAAATATTGGTAGGACGAGTAAATCAGTCTAAGAGATGAAAGAGGAAAACTTTAAAGGCATTCACGAATACTTGATAGTACCACGATACGTTACTTGAGTTTTGGGGCTGGGTTTATTGAGCGTGGAGCGAATACATATGACCGAAAACATAGAATATATCCCAGTCACCGTAGAAGAGAAAAGAAATACAGACACTTCACCAAGAGATATGTGCAATCACGATCATGAAGGTACACAGGCATGATCAGACCCAGAGATACAAAAAAAACCATAATCTCCTACGATACATCATATGTTCTTTGCTAAGCAACTTTCATACACGGGAAACATCTCTCTCTTCTCCAAAACATCTGCCAAAGTAAACATTTGTTGAATACCTGTCTTATCTCCCAAAACTCGACATCTACCAATAATCCAATCCCGCTGAAGACTTGAAAATGTCATCCGACCTGAATTAAGTAGAGGCCAGAGAAGAAAATAAGTACCAGCGATACGAGGAACGACACTAGTAGATAGCGGACTTGTGATGAAGTTTTGTTCAGGTGAGCTACTAATTCCTGATGGAGTACGTACTTTGGGAACATCACCATGGTATTGAGGTAGTGATGCACAAATGTCATCAATGATTTGTTGTAATGTTGCAAACCAAAGATAATAATCCATACTGACAATAGGATATATGAATTGTCCCTCTCTAAATTGTCTACCAATTTCTTCATGAATGAATATTCGACAAGTACGAAGATAATTCCAAATTTGAGTCACCCAGAGGTCTGAGTATACATGATAATATGTACCGAAAATCGTGTCTGATGTAGACACGATTGGGATCGAATCGTAATGCCATTGAGGTGATCTGGACATCTTACTCGCGAGAGACGAAAACTCGATGTCCAAGTCTATCGCTGCTCTGATTATGAAAGAACGTTCATGAAGTATACCATCCTTTACATCAGCACGAAACGTGGTCAATTCCACAATCAGACCGTTCAACTTCCAGGCTGGATCATTTACATCTAAAAAACTTGCAGCGTGTTCCTGTAACTCAATCAAATCCCTAGGAACCCGAAATGAATGCCAGATACAACTTTGTAGGAGGATGGAATTCATTTGAAGGAACAATTGAAGCCCATGCCGAGTCTCCATTTGACGAAACCCACGTAACTTTATCATGGATGTTGCACCAGATATATGCCTATCACAATCCATCAAGGTATCTAAATTTTGACAGGTGAGTACTCCAAATGTATTGAACAGAACCACGGACATGATAGTGTAATCCTTGGTGGCCTCTTCGATGGATGACAATGCTGTATTGACAAGGCGGAGTGCGTGACCAAAGGATTGAGTTGCTTTTTTGAGAAGAAACGGATATTTGAAAGCATAAGCATATGCAGCCAAAGAAACTGCAGTGATGGTTGTGTAGAGTGTGTGGTTAATATTAGGATCGTTGCGATGAAAGTATAAATACTCGTAATATCCTTTGACAGGACCAGAGTCCCGAAATATGTGAGTAGAAAAAAAGAAATCGATTGCACGATCATTGATAGTGTCTGACATCTCTTTTGGAAGGACAATAGATGGTGTTTGAGACTTGAATGCAAGGGGAACTGATCAAGGATTGTCAATGATGGCTTTTGAAGACATAGGCAGCATTTTTGCCAAAGAATAGAAAGCTGCATACCTGATATCATACAGGAAGCTCTTTCTTTAGATTTCTGAGGTTTATCATGTGCAGGATTTTCAAAATCTCTCACATCTGCATACTGGAACATTCTTTCCAAAGAATCTCCATATTGTGGACACTTCCAGCCAGCCTTTAAACATTGATTACAAGCTGGCATCACTTCGTCACACTAAACTTGTGGTCAGGGATGTATTCAAACTCTCAGGAACCGACCGGGCAACTTACCTTGATCTTCCGTTTCCTGCAAGTCTGACATCCTTTTGATAATTTGCCGTGACGACGTACCATTATGAAGCAAAACGATGTTGCCGCTGTTCAGGTAGCAACAGGGAATAGAAATTCACAAATTTAATGATCCAAAAGATTGAAAGTCATCCAACCCCAATCTCATTCATTCGGTCGCAATACTCTCCAAAGAAAATGGATTGGAAATCAAGTATAGAAATCATTATGGCTGACAAAATTGATTGATATATGAAGATAACGCAGGAAGATGGGAAATGTAAGATGGAGGGGCTCGAAGCCATGCACAGGGTTCAGCGCACGTCTCTTTCTCAAGTGAAGCTAAACCATTCTCAGAAGGTATTGCGGTACAACCAATCATTGAGACAAATTCAATTATGTTTCAACTGCGACAGCATCCTTCATCATTATTTTCATCACCACCAACATACAACAGGTTCCTCGCCCAACTCCCTTCGGTCAATCGATACACTGATTAACAATCAAATCCTCGTCTTTACTAATTATCCTTCAAGCTGAACGGCACAACAATCACTCCATTCTTCCATCATGGAGGACTACATATATCTCAGTATGCGACAATGTAGTGCCTCCAGTAGATTCTCGAAATCACTCTTCCCATTCCTATCTTGAGACCAGATCTTTCTTCCTTTCTTTCATTCAGCATTCCATCATGTCGAAAAAACCTACAATCCTCATTACAGGTTGTAGTGATGGAAGTATCGGGCATTCTCTAGCTCTCGAATTTGTTCGTCAAAACTACCATGTTTTCGCCAGCTCTCGTCGACTCAGTACAATGAAATCTCTTGAGAAAAATCCCAATACTACCTTGATTGAACTCGATGTAACATCGCCTTCCTCAATCCAAGCAGCCTACGAGACAGTATCTGCTGCCACGGGTGGGACTCTTGATATCCTCTATCAGAATGCCGGAGTACGAACAATAACCCTCGCCATGCATTGTGACTACGAATTGGCTCTAAAGATTTTCGGTACAAACATACTTGGAATTGTTGAGATGACTAGAGTCTTTATGCCGCTTTTAATGAAAACCGGCCCTGGAAGTAGAATTGTTTTCTCTAGCAGTCTGGCTGGATATATGCCAATCCCAACCCAATCACTTTATAATGCATCAAAAGCCGCTTTACACTCGTATATATCGACTTTGGAGCTCGAAGTAAAGCCTTTTGGGATATTCGTTATCGATGTGGCTTCAGGTACAGTTGGTACCGCCATGTTGACTAAGAATCAGATGGAAAAATTACCAGAAGGTATGTATCATCATTCCCGGGCCTTTTGGTAATATCTTGCTAACATCTTTCACCGCAGACTCTCCATACAAATTAATCGAATCTGACCTTAACGAAGCTTGGGTCAGAATTGGAGGAGGAATATCAGTGGAAGCATACACCAAGCATGTTGTTGGAAAGGTCCTTCAAAAGAACCCACCTCAGCGTTTCTTTGCTGGAGCCGGCGCAACATTAGGATGGGTGATTGATAAATTGAATGCGGGTTGGATTTATAAAGCGTTCTTTTATAAAATCTTTGCTTTGGGTAAACTTTCTCAAGCGCAACATTAGGACGAATTTATCCTCTAGGCTTTCTAGTTCCCAGAGACACTGGTCTAAAACAAAGTTGTTATGGATATATCAGGATTGTGACAATTTTCATACGTCGCTCGAGCACTCTTCTTTTTAATCGTATTCAAAGGGAGAATTTCAACGATACTTACTTTCCTTTATTTATGCAACGTATTGCATTCACTATATTGTTTGCGAGACTCCCGCGAGCATGAGAACGCACAGCCACTACAACCCTCAAAGGTTGACCTTGTGATTCATACATTTACTAATTAGGAAGTGATTCAAAATACCCCAAAGATCTCTTGGTCAGCTTCTACACCTTTTCATTACCTATATAAAGTTCGCGACGAACGATATTGAGCTCCTTCTCCATACGAAAAATTCCACAAACTCAGGATTACACCAAATCCACCAAACACGATAACATGTGTCTCATAACAATCCAACGTTATACTCACTGCCTTTGCATCACCACTAACATCACTATCTGCCGTGATATGATCAACAAATATCAGTTATTCTCACGAAGGCAAACTGCAGACTTCGGAGAAGAAGAGGTAAAAGATTGTCGGTTCAGACAAGATGCTCGAGCCTCACTTGAGATTCCATGCGGCAATACAAGTTGCACTCCAAGTACGAAGCGAATAGATTGGACAATAGGCGATAGGAACATGAATGCAATATTGATTGCGAGACGAAATGCCTTGAGAAGAAATAATGACTCCGTATCTAGTATGATTACATTGGGAGACGAGGTTGAGTTGAGAAGGGGAAGACATTAGTGAGAAGAGGATTTGGGGCGGCTTTCTCGTGGATATCAGATTGAGAAGATTGTCAGAGATCATGCCAAGTTTTCCGTTTATATCGGAATGATGGCTTGCCGGAGAAGCCACGATGATCTGATGGACCAGGCCCAGTTGGCTGGGTGTTCCCGTCGGGGGTGCAATGATTCCAAGCCACCGCTCGTATTGTTGTCTTGATCTTGTTTCCCCGCCTCTACACGCATTCTGCTAAGGGAGCTACATACATTTCTGTTCACCGTCGGCTATATGGATCGTACTGCACGTATAGCACTTCGTCAAAATATTTTTACTTTGCTTGGCAGATAGGGATTTCGCCTCAATATCGATCTTATTTCTCAATATCAATTTGTATATTGATCCACTCCGGTACATTGAGATAACAATAACAATCTTTCGTTACTGCATTCAGTTACTTGAGCTGTAGTACCGATTTGGCAGTGTAGTGGCGGGATCGTTGAAGCTTGGCACAATGACGGTATGGCTTCATGAGTAATCACTTAAATAGCTTCCCAATTGAACCTTATTCACACTCCCCATCCACATTCATTCATCTGGTTTCTCAAGATCTCCATCTTCTTTTCCCAATTCAGAGTTGTGCGGGGAACTTGGCATTTACGAAATCCCCAAATTGAATATAAACAAGAAGGCCAAGAAATATCTAGTGAATATTCTTCCAAATACAACAATCCGCAGTAAATATTGGAGTTCTCTCGAAGCGATATTTGTTGACTTCTTGCCTTGAGGTCCAGAAAAGCTTCTGGACATTGGCTTTCACAGCCATGATTTCATACTTGGCGATATCAGTGCTTTTCACTTCATGCTTGGTATCACGACCGATTTCTATATTCCAATCCTCAACTTCTCAGCTCAAATTCTTGGCAATTACGAGTTTGGCCATGAGATCAATTGTCCCAAAGAAAAAATCACGATGGAAAATATGTATAAGAAGGGACTGAAAGTCTGGTCTCAATTATTTCCTCATCAACACAAACACAACTCAATCAACACTTTTAGTTACACTACTCTTTGAACAATCAAACATCCAATACTTTAATACCTTCCAAAGATCATAACCAACCCAGTCAACATGAAGTTCACCATTGCCGCCACAGCTGCAACCCTTCTCTTCACAACCACAGCCATTGCAGCTCCTGCAGACGGCGCAACTTATGCATCCTACGGTAGTTACCAATGGGAAAATGGGGCCCCAGTAAGCGACCAAGATGTTTCCAAGGACAACCCAAAATCCCCCGAGGCACCAGCCAATATGGCTTTCGTATTTACTAGCACATACAATGTCGTTGCTCTCGGATCCGAAGTTCGCAATGGTACCGTATCGGTTCCCGGCCCTTCAAATGCTGTCGGATATTTCAATTATGGAATCAACGCTCATCAAGATACTATTTGCTATGTAAGTATTTGCTTCATAAATCTACATCATCGAATTATCTCTAACCTTCATTTGAAATCAGAACATCACCTTACTCAACGTAGCCGGAACCTATCAATCTCCCGCCAAAACAGCAACACATATTCACGAAGCCGCTCGCGGTGCTTCCGGACCTCCTCGTCTTGCATTCCCAAATCCAGTCGGTGATGATCATCGTCGAGTCAGTGTGGGCTGTATGACTGGTCCTTTCACAACTGGTATTAATGCTCCTAATGGAGGCCCAGATACTGGAACCGGTTTCAAGGTTGCTCAGATCGAAGCCAATCCAGCTGGATTCTTCACAGATGCTCATACAAACCTTTTCCCGTTGGGCGTTGTTAGAGGCCAGCTTGCATAGATCTGAGGTTGTTGGGAGGGGATAATTATGGATTTTCATAATGGTTCATGGGTTCCGATATTGGATAATTGGCGGTAATGATTTATGTGTGGGAAATGTATTTATGATTTTTTTATAGCTACGTAGTATAATCTATTTTTATGGAAATTTAAGAGCAGTGTGTACGATGTGAAGGGGCTTTAATGAGTATGTTGACTGGCTGGGTGACTGTCTTTTAGAAGTTTCCAAGCCATGGAGAGCAATGTGATGAAACGGTAAATATTTTCTTCATTTACGACATCAGCTTAAAGATTTGACACCTGCCGGGTCAGTCCTAACCAAGTACCTTTCTTATTCACACAATCATTTTGATATGCCAGGAGTCAAAAGGAGCATGAGATTTCTCAACAGCAAAAATTGATAGCATTAAAGATTACGAGAATAATATTAATTAAAGCTATTTCACCATACAGACATACTCACTCACTGAATTAGAAAAAGTTATTTAAACAAAGAAATTTATATCAAGTCCTCAAAGAAAAGAGAATTTTTGCCAACAAGACAAACAAGCACAAAGAGAAGTTTGCCTACCTCAAGCAAAGTTTCAACACAAAGAAATGAAAGTTGATTCCTCAAGCCACTCGACTCCGGATCTAATCCAATCGAATCATACCTCCCTATCTACCTATTACATACAACTTACCCTACCCCCGAGACGAACACTCCGGACATAACGCCTCATCAATCCACGTAACATCTGCATTCCCATCAAAGGTGGGACCGGTGAGATAATTACAACAGGTGATGCAACCATCACCGAGAGTTTTGTAACCGATGAGTCCGCAACAACAGCATTTTACCTTCTGGAATTTGCAGGATTGGCAGGCGAGGGAGGGAGAGTGGATCGAGGGGTCCCATAGGATGGGCATTTTGGATTGGGGTTTTGATTTTGGGGGTGAGAAACTTGTGGAGTGTTTGAATCTGGTTGTTGTTGATGATGATGATGGTTGAATTGTTTGATGGGTGATATGGTTGGTTCGGACGCGTTTTTTTATACACTATCGTTGCTGTTGTTCATATCTTGTACTTGGATTTACGGAGGGGTTGTTTGGATGTTGTTTTCAGTACAAAGAAATATCTCACAACTTTACGTGGATATGACATTATACCAAATCGTGGAAAGGACTCACATGTATCCCGCCTTTGAGACAACTATAACTACAATAGAATTGGGTGAGGAATTGTGGAATTGGTCCATGTTCTTTTCCTAGGGATAAGAGGATCGGAAGTTGGTAGTTGGAAGAAGAGAAATTCTTGCTAAGTGTATTATCACATATATATATTCATACAATGTCTTACTGGCTCTGAATCTACTTGATCTACTTCGTACATAACCGACAGTACCAAACGGCCACTTCTGCTCTCTTTTTGACTTTAAATCTGAGGGTATTCAGAGATTTTCTATCTCTCCTAATCTGAAGACAGTGCGTCTGAGCAGGGCAAATAGACTTAAAAGTTTGGCACGCCCTGTTCTCTGTAAAGAACGCTGGTGGTATGCATTTCTCTGGTCTAACCATGGTTCGAAACACGTCCATCTAATGATGGCTGCTGGTTACCTAAATTGTTGATCCTCGACCCTCTGCTGCTTGATGGTAATCGAAGGCTGACGTCGTTGTCTGATAAAAGTTACTTCTTCAAATCGTCACATTTACCGGCGAGTTTCTGGATCATCACTTGTTGACCTTTGAATTCTATATCTATCTGGTCAACAGCGACCTTCTACCCTTTAACTTGCAGTTCCTCTCCCTTCAATACCTCGAAGATTTGCACATAGACGGACTTTCAGTTAGTGGCACTAAGTAGGTTCCATGCACTCACCACTCTTGCTTCATTGCAGATACGTCGTATCAGAAGTAGTACAACACTTGTTGGGTAGTCAGTAAAGTCAGCCGCTTGGTACATCAGATACACTCGTATGCCAGCTTGGGCTTCGCTGACAAGATCTCAGCACAACCACCGGACAAATATTTTAGATGAGAAGACGCAAACCAACGCTGAAGCGCTCGCAGATACAGGACTGGAGGGCATAGCATGACCTAAGTTTTGCATCTTTGCATCCTCGAAGGACTATTTGTGATGAATTATCGTCGATACAAGTTTTACCCACGGAACATCTTTTGATATCCCTTTGATTCCCTTGACAGTATACCATCGACAATCTTCTCTTCATTCGACCGTGGCGCAAGAATCGCAGACGTTTGGTTCATTGAGGTTCCCCCACACCCAAAATACGGAGACCTTGTTGTGTCATTTGCGTTAGGTTACCCCACGCCAGGCACTTTCGGCCTTGCATTCAAGATCAACAATCAATTCATCTGATGATTCAAATAGTTCCATGCGAATCTCTCCATCCGAAACCTCATTCTCTGGCCCTAATGGTCGTCGTGACATATCCACTTGGGTCTCATTCATCTACATTTCTTCAGCTGCTACGGAGTCATAACCCCTCTAGAACGATACCAAATGCACGAGAAATCTATCGACGCAATTCGCACATCATTACCGCATATAGTAGGATATACTAGCTAAGTTGTTTGGATTGTTTGGATTGTTTCAGCAAAATCTGTCTCATAATGTCTCAACAGTTAGGGCGATAGGCTATTGATGAGCTTCAAATAGAATGTGGTGTGGTCTGGCCGGCCATTTCTGCGCGATTCCAAGCACTGAGCATATGTCTCACTCGGTAGCTTATGAGATGCGGGGTGACTTCAACAACGCCCATCATCAAATCAGGCACTGCATTCTTTGCATACCTATCAATTGAGGCTTGGCTTCCGGAGTTTGGCAGCTTAATTTGGGCAGAAACAAGCTGGGCAGCTACGGCTTAACTTTGTCTTGCTACATTAACTATTGTTTGATGCTCAGAAAACGATAATTTCTCCTCTTCTGACGTTCGCATGAATGTACTGACTTTACCAAACTGAAACCGACTCATCCGAAGATCATTTCTATTACTTTGCGCATCTTCAAACATTCAATACTTGGGCATCAAAAGCTTCGGATGAGACGTGTGGCATTTCATCTAGGCAAATACCATGCTAGAATGCAATTGTAAAGAAGCAGCTGGCTAGGTAGGTTTATCATCCAAAAATCACACTTAACCAGAGCTCTTATTTTCAGACGCTGCATTCTTTTCACAGTGGGTAAATTTTGGCTTGTAGCTGGCATAGGTTAATACCAAGAAGGATGAAATCATCTGTGGTTCCCTTCTACGACACACCTCAAGGGCTAGGAGTCCCGCTTTAAATGATATGTGATTTCTGATGCTTCACTTTTGTGGTTCTCTTGCTCAAGGCAGGGGAGATTTTCCTTGGGCTTCTTGTTATGAGGCAGTTTTGACATGGCGAGATGCCATGTGAGTAAAGTGAAGAGGTCGAAAAATTGTAACATGAATTTATTCTCATGATATATATATAGTACTGAAACCTCAAGTTCTGTTAGACATTCATTTCTACTTTGCGAACTCCTTTGCTTTCTTCAATTCCAGCAGTTCCAAACCAGATTGTAGCCTTTTGAGGTTCATTGTCAGCTTGAAATCTTATTCAAATCACATTCCTCAGCTTCTCAGGACTACTTCTGAAAAGCTCATTCACATAGATTCACCAGCTCCAACTTTTTTGATGGGTTCCTTCACGCAAAGCTCAAAGACCATTCTACTCAGTCGTCTACATCCGAAAAACTGAGCAAAAGCAGTACCAGAGGAAGGGAAAGCAATTCAGCTTTTGTCTAAAGCAGTTCATCATTCACTATTTGAATCCTAACAAGGAAGGCAAATATAGATTGGGAACATGTTGGAAGAGATTCGAATAAGAACTGGGATTCAGGCCTTGAATTCACTTGATACATGTGACCCCTCCTTTTTTCTGGTTGCTAAAGAAACTTCTCATTGGTGGACTCGGCCATGTCCACCTTGTACAGCATTTTGTTTCTTGATAAATTTCAACGTCCTCAAGCTCGAACAACATTGTTCTCCTGCCAGTCTGCTTTTTTCTATTAGCTTTTATTAGCACTGAAGTCAACAACAAGTTCATTGGAGTCTGGAGTTTGGTGTTTGAATTATAATCCACCAAGGAGCAGATTTCAAAACCTGTAAACTATGGGTACCTCTTCGCAGAAGAATTCTCAACGTCAAGATATTGCATCGCCTGGCTATTTGATGGCCAGTCAGGTTGAAGACAGAGGAAGCATTGGTTGTGGAATGGCTACCGCAGCTATCCTGGATGATCAAGTCATGACAAATAATGAAGTCAAACCTGTGGCTATACAAAACAAGTTTCAAACAAATTATACTTCAGGTATGTTCACAAATTTTGATAATTCCACTGAATTTATTTGATGAGCTAACATTTCTAGTCACCCCAGTCAGCCTAGTCAATCTAGATTCTGAGTACAACACCGACAATGACCCTACCCCCCCTGGAAAAGAGAAATTCGAAGCAGCTTACTACAGTCCTGGTAGGTTATTGAATCTGAACCCAAACACATATATTGAAGACTAGACTAATTTATCTTCATAATTTAAGAGATGTTCAACTTCTTCGAGATGCAAGTTCATCGAAATGGCCTACTCAGTATCATGGATGCAACAGCTTCGGCTGATTCATTTATTTTATTCACATTCCTGCCGATCGAACTGCAAAGAAAGATTTGGTTCTATGCTTTGCCACCACCAGACAGCAACGTTTGGGCTCTGGTTAACGTAAGATATTGCGACAATGATACCAAGGCTGCGATTTCTATCGATAATGATGCTTCGTCAATCAGTCGCAATGCATTGCCATTCCCAGATGCTCTACAATCTGTATGCCGTACGGCAAGAGAGATATTCTTGAAGCACTATAGTCAATTCAAATTTGATGGTATCAATAAGAAAATCCGTGATCCTGAGGATGAGGATGGCGATGATTACCGAGAGATGACAGTGATGGCAAAACCCGGTATATGGTTCGATACGGAAGTGGATACCTTACATCTCACAAACATGTATCTGCTTCCAATGTATACGGATGATTACAAAGTTTCTATGGACTTAACAGGGCTGAGATCTTTGACTATAGATTTGATAAGTATGCAATGGGTATGTGATACCAAACGAGATATGGACATATTCTGGACAGGATTAGAAAGCCATTGCCATGTACTCGAACGACTCACCATTGTACTCAATAATATACGTGAATTCCCGCGTGTTCAGCGAGCATTCGATGGAACTTCCCCGGAACATCGATTTCAGGACTTTGATGAGGCGTTTATTGAACAATTGCGACACAGTCAGTATGTTCAACCACGCATCCATTCGGATAAGCTTGAGCGGGATATCCAGAGGAGTTGCGAATTGTGGGAAACTCGCAGTCTGAAGGCAAAGCAGGCGAACATGGATTATTGGAAAAAGATTGATCTCAGGCCAGTATGGATGGTTTATATCACTTCATTTTATGTCAATTATATTAGTAGGGAGATATTTCCGGGACCCTTTATGGCGGTTCAAACATATGGGTTCCCAACGCTTTTTATAAGATGTAATGAGGATGGATCATTGCTCGATGAATATGACCACTTCAAGGAGCTTTTCGATGAGGAAGACGAGAAGATCGTGGAACCCTTCGAGGAGGAACGTCTCATTGTTATTGGCGACGACTGAGCTCTTTGTATTTTCTTGCCTCTGGAGGAGTAATAATTTTGCATGGAAGTGGGAGGGAGATCCAGGATATTTTCAACACGCCATCGTTTCCTTCGCGACATCCGATGCCCATCATCACCAAGCTTCTGTGGGCTCACATTTTCATCTGGATATTTGAGAATACTGAGATTATTTGAACCTGTGCGCTTCGGGGCTGCGAAAATTACCTTTCCGGGGCGGATACCAAAGTCTTTACATGTATTTCTGTGATCCATCTGCTGCGATGGATGATAATGTTCAAAATGGGCGATTGTAAATCGAAGGAGGGAAGGACCTTTAGATAGCCTATTCTCAGTTAAATCCAGCTACAGGAAAATGAATACTTTGAAAATCAAGCAGTATATATCATGCGTGAGAACATTGAACTTGCTGATCTTTCCAATATTTGCATATCAAAGTCATGATTGACTGTAAAACTTGGAGAGATTTATGAAGATAGCAGCAGTCAATGTATCAGCGGACATTATAATAGAGTATATGAGTTGGGATCGTGCGACAAGCTTAGTGTGTTTCACATTTCTAAGACATCAGTTCGACTTTTGGTATACAATTCCAAATATCTTCAAACTACCTAGTGGATAAAAGCTCTTCGGATCTTCTCTAACTCATTATCTTCAAGTCCACATTCCTCAATGAGCTATCCCTCAACACCACTCCATTTTCTACCTCCTACATGTTCACAACAATTTACATTCTGCTCCACATCGCTTCCCCATTCCACATCCATCCAATGTAAAAGTGCGACGATGTTTTCCCCCTTTGCACTAGATAAATCATCTAGTCCCGGCTGTTCCAAACCCTTCTCTCCTACCCATTTCAACATCCCCTGTAACAACCTTTCTCTGTGCGATTCAGTCCCAATACGTGTTAATGCATAATCCAGCGCAATTTCCTCCTCCGAGGCACCAAAGAAAACAAGTATCTATGCGGCGACGACACCTGTACGGTCTTTTCCTGCGGTACAATGGAATAAAATGTTTAGTCCCTCGATCTCTCCTATCTTTTCGAAAACTTTCTGAATGCCGTTTTTATACTCTTTTAAAATCCCCTCACCGTGCATTTTTACGATTGCTGTTCTCCCACCCTCTCATGCGAAGCCGGCTTTTGATATGTTTCTGACTACACTATTGCCATTTCCTTCATCTCGAATTATTTCTATGTTATCTAACTCTAGTATTGATTCTTCTGATGGCGACCTGGTTGAGTATATAGTCTTGACATTGTATTGAGGCGACAGAAGAGCAAGTGAGGAAGACGGGAAATGAGACAGAACCAGAGCAAAAGACCCGATTTGATGGGAGCAAAAGAGTCAATATTGTACGAAGATTCAGCGCATACGGAATTTGTAGGAACGGTGGTTGTGATAATATCGACTCCACAATATCAGCTGGAATACTCTGAGAAGTTGGTGTTTGGAGGAGATCGTCTAGAGTTAGTTGCACACCGCTTGCGGATGACATGTTTCGGATGGGTTGGGAGTCTTAGTTACACTGATGTCGAGTCGGGTATGGTAATGGTAAGCTTCTAGAACTTGGATGTAACGTGGATGATGAGGTGATGTTGAATATTTATAGATGCCGTGTGTTTGCGGGGAGCTGTTCAGTAGGTTTGAGATTTATGGTAGCCTAAATGGCTGCTGACTTTGTTCTTGGCAGTAAACTCATTCATGGAGTGGCTTCGATGACGGAAGAAGTAATCCTGATTGTTACACTGAATGGGAGATCGAATGTCATGTGTGTGTATTTCAGATGTGTATCTGTATCTGTATCTTCCTATGTACAAGTTGAGAAACTCTGTCTAATAACAAAAAGATGTGAATAAGTATCATGTACTATGTACATGTCATATACTCACTAATAATCATACAATATTGTACTTATTGGGTATCAATGCGATGTAAATGCAAGAGCCAGTGCTCAAAAATCCATCCACTCCTTGCAATGCAATTAACAAAGGAAATAATCATCAAGTATCAATGACATTATCTAAGATCTTAACTAAAGATCAAAAGATTAAGCCATATCGCTGAATCCACTCTTTCCACTCTCACTCCTTCTACCCTTCATATTATCCCACCCCGAATCACTCCCATGATCTTCACTATCATCTTTACTTCCCGGTGTCCCCCTTGGATATCCTCCGATCCCTAATTCTCCCTCTCGTGCTATACTCACACGAACACTAACATTTTTCGCCACAGAAATATCTCCCATCTTGTAAAGATTATCCGTGCTATCACTCGCTCCATGTCCTCTTCGTCCCAAGTTACCACTCCCTCTATTCCCCCTCACAGCAGCCTTCAATCCCCCAGCTTCGATAGTCGTAGTTGTACCCAACGAATGTCCTTTTCCCATAAATGCGAAAGTTTCCAAACCCGTATCCTCGCCTGGTGCATGCTCACTGAACACAATCTCTGCCCTGGTACTGGCGTATAATAGTACATCCAACCATCCATTACACGCAATCATACTACCCGCGACACAGAAATAACTCAGACTGACTTCCGACCCGGCTAGTGCGGCGATACGTCCGGCGGCAAGTGGAATCGTACAAATCGTATAGATCAAAGGATAGAGAATCATAAGAGGTTGAGCGCCGTGAAGATCGGAAGCTTGATTTCCCGGAGGAGCGGAACGCGATTGATGACTAATGTAGATAAAGATACAGGCGTAGATGAGGATAGTTCCGAACATAGCAGCGAATATCCAAAAGTAATGAAGCCACAGACGTTCATTTTGATATTGATCACCAATCCAACACTATGCGTGATCATTAGATGCATTTCTAGGTATGTATAAAGTGAAAGAACTTACCCAAGCAGAAGCCCTGACGTAAAGATCATGTGGGTGCATTGCGACACCGATGATGGCCAATCCGTAGATGAATACCCAACATCCTCCGATTGCCGTATAGAATGCCCATTGTGGAGCACGGTATTTCTTCACGACACTGAGAAATGTATGGCATGCGATGGCTGCGATGAACACACTACTGGCCAGATCTCCCGTCGACACAAACCATCCTTGAACCCAACATGTTGACGTTCCAACTATAATTCCATTGTTCCTGAGCGAGCTGATGTTGAGTAAAAATGCTAAAGCTTGTTGAATATCCGCCAATAGTAAATTGTATATCAGAAATAAGAATTGATTAACAGAAGACGACGCTGTTTGGCTTGCACCTTGACCGATGGGCGTTTTCTTCTTCCATGAAAAGATCTTGTATGTGAGGTAGAGGAATAAACTAATCGAACAGAAGAATGATAACAGACCAAAAGTCGCGACAGCAACTAAACCATGAGAGAGGGATTCCGGTAGAGGCGTCAATGAAGAAGATTCTGCGTCCAACATCTCCTTCGTCGGTACCGAATCGAATATTGGGGTTAAAAATGGCGACTTGTGGCTTACATCCAGAAGAAAGACGGAATCAGGAGTCAAAGACAAGCCCTACAGACAGGTCACAGATGTTGGTACATATAAGTTCATTGAAGCTAATTGAACCGTGTGTAGAAGAGTGGAGAGATATCTCGACAGAATAACGATGTTGCAATTCTCGGACTCGTGCCTGAGCTTTTAGATGATGCAAATTGATGAGTTCGAGAGGATTGCTTGATGCATGTCAATCGACACGGGCAAGAGAGTTAAATGGTAATACGAAAATACACATGGCAAACAGGGGAAAAAACCTTTACGCCCAGATAAATCGTACATGGTTCCATGAAGCTTCTAGCCTAGGAGATATGGGGAGACGGGAAGTAGACAGGGAGAGTGTGGATTAGATTTGCGTGATAGGCCACCCAAAACGGGTCTTCAAATCCGTGTTGAGATTTAAATCAAACACTTGCTCATTTAGCGCTGCGTTGTACTCTAGGGTCCTTGTAGATCTTAACCTCTTTCTAGCAGAAAGTAGCGACTAAGCACAAGTAGTAGAGGCTGAAAAGGATTAAGATGATTCGGCATTCATTCTGACATTGACAATTGTACAAAACGTTCGGTACGACTTTTATGGGGTAACTAATTCGACGTGATTATCTTGATATCAATACAATAGTTGTATATCTTGTACTCGCGTACTTTGAATACAATGACAATCTTCCGAGAAACACAAATTTGGAAGATTCTACAACCATATGGCGAATAAATTTCCCTTCTTTCAACGTTATGAAAATCTAGGCTTTTCTGAGAGAATAATGTAACCCCCCTGGTCATTAAGCTGAAAGCCTAATGTCACTTTAGGGTAAGATGCAACGCCACCAAAAGCACCAAGAAACGCCAAGTGTGAATGATAAGTTAGATGCACTCATGTTGTACGACGTGAAAGCTTACTGTTCAGAAAGTAAGCGACCGATCGTGTTCATCAAGTAGGAAAGGATCAGTCTAGAGCTTTTGAAAAGAAAAAAAGAATATATTGGTCGGTAAGACGACTTTGTATCTACAGCATGCTGGGCAACCGGTACGCTATTGTTTTCCACGTGGAGAGACTAGAATCTTTGAGGAATAAGCTTCCATTATTGTTCCATCGTTCAATAATCTTATTGCTTTATATACCGGTAGAAATCCTGACGGATTATAATATTAAATCCTCTTTCCCAACAATCTGGTTTGTGTTACACCATGTTCCCGTCTTACTGTCAGTTCAGGTGACAACAGTAAATAAGTGTCCGGCGGCACAGCATCAAGTCTGGGGTCACGGGGATAAAAACTCAAAATGTAGCAGTGCTCCGACATGTTTGACAATTGGAATTATATTTTACGTTTCGGCTGGCGACTAGTGATGGTCATTGTCAAGATACGTGAAGGCTGCCCATGAATCATTAGCACAAAAGCGTAAAAAAATCAGGGGAAAGTGGACATGATCTGTTTGTCAGATTATATAATAGTGACGGAAAATTTTATGAAGGTTGAAGATCAATAGGTTAATGAATACTACGCCGGTCCTTGCCTACTATGGAGCTACTCCGTATGTAAATTGCATCCACCTTCCGTATTCCCCTGTTGATAAAGATTATGAAGGATTGTAACCTGTTGGCAATCGTGGCCAATTGGAAAAAAATCTGTCGTTCAATCTCTCCGGATCCTTTCGATGGAGTAAACAAGTTCCCACACTCTAATCGCAACTTCTTGTCTGAAGAAATTTCTCTTTGGTGGGTTCATGATGAATCTGTTCATCTTTTACCATGTTCCATGTCTCATTACTCAAAACTTCAAGGGACCAGATCCTGTCCTGTTTGTGATCAAAGGGTCTCTGCTTCACTCTGACTCTCTTGAGACTTCCTCGGGGGTTCGGAGTGTGCGAAAGTGGATGAGTTGAGAGTGGGGAATTGAAGCGACTTCAAGCCCTGTTAACTCAGTGGTTCCAGCGCTTCTTATGAGTGGGGATACCGGAGATGGATTAATCTTATTTGTACTTCCCGTCGCTACTTGTTTACGGCTTTTCGGAATGGAGGAGTAAAAGGATACCTATGAAGAGAGATGCGAGTTATTTAACAGTTAGCGTCGTAATTTTAGCCAATCACATCACTTTATACTGCCGAGACGTTTTGTGAATGGCTACCGAAAAAATGGGTTGGGGGAGTGGGTTGTACCCGACAATATGCCGGAATATTGGGAGATCTCATAAGGATGGGAGATTTCCAAGATCAACAGAAATTTACGTAGAAACGACGATGGGTGATGACATATTATGATAATGCTAAGAGGGGTTTATTGAGATGGGAAAATCACCATCGCTTGGGAGAGATATCCAGCGATTGGAGATAGTGCAAATACTTCAGATGAAGTATTTGCAATCATGACAACTAATCGATGCAAAATTAGACAATACTGACTCAATTGAGTCACCGGCGCTTACCAGGTTATAATCGAGTGTGAAGATCACGATAGGCATGCAGGCTGATTGTTGGTGATATCTTATTTTTTGGGTTCTTATATCTTATTTCTTCGCCACTTGATGTGCCGGTCGACTAATATTAGGAAATTATACCGCTATACCCATAGTATATCGGCACTCAAACCATCCGGACATTGAGGAGTGCTATTTGCCTAGGTATTAATGGCCTTTATATACCGTTCATTTTGTTCATCGCCTGACGGTCTCCCTTCCTTGTTAGACTTAGGGATCGCTCAACTTCCTTTCGAACAATTCTCTAACCCCTTGGCTCCTTGATATTGATGGTATAGTGTGCCGTCTACGTTGCATGCGAAATTTCTTATCGGGTTCTTTATAACTCCACCTTACCCTTAATCCAGAAAGTATGGGATCATCATGTGTTCGAAACCATCGATTCATCAGAGTAGTTCTTTTACTTGACCTAAAACTGTTTGCTCCGATTTAGGATTTCAATAGTGATGAAAGCCAAGTTGATTGCCAATTTGCCCTGGTAACTTGGATCAACTATGACAGCTTTATTTTGTTCCGCCCGGAGCTCCTTTCCATTCTTTTAGGTAGCGATCTGCTTTCTGCTGTAGCTGAGAGGTTTATCGGTTTTTCCGGTAGTTTTGACATTTCCATATAAGCTCTCAAGCGTATCATGGTCCAGTACTGCCAAGCGTTGCTGTCCAACCGTAAAGTCATTACATCTTTCCAGGGTGTCACCGACTTTCATATTGATACTGGAAGTCTTGAGCTTTGCAAAATATCTTTTTAGCATGCACGCACGTCACATATACTTTGAGGGATTTGTCTTGTAGCTCAACCCAAAACATCAAGTTTGGAGGGATCCAAACGTGACTTTGGGCTATGGCCCCAATCGCTCCGTTGATCAATATCAAATTCAAGTGTATCGAATTTTGGATCATTTCTTCTTATTCAAGCTTGGTCGATTTGGACAGAAGTTTCAATTGTGCGTAGTACTCCAGGTGGACATCCATACTTTACCGTGAGGTTCTGACGGAGGTTTTGACAGAAGATCTAAAAAAAAACATGTAAAATGATCAAATTGTTCATTCATTCATTGGAAATCTAACTTGTGTATGTGTTTTTTCAATTATGATCTTTCATAGAATAGGTCTGCTACCAGTAATCGCAATCACAGACTCAATACTTGAACGACGTATCAATCTTCCAGTCTCCTGCAGCATATAAGTAGTAGAATTTTCGATATTAGAATGACAGACTTATCGCGTTAATATACTAGCTAATACACATCCGAAGGAGGAGACAATTGAACATCCGCCGGCTTCCGTATCGATATTGGAAGTTTTGAGGTTTGCCAATTGTCTTTTTCATCGCATCCATATGCAGAATGGATTTCGAACATTGACAATGTCTACTCTTCTAGTCCGGGGTATTGAACGTAAATCATATATTTCAATCATGTATTGGTTCACTTCATATGTTTCTGAGGTTATAGTAAGAGAGATACTCCAAATCTCAGGAAGCATGAGTATAATATGAGAAACATAACACGACAGCATGGCAATCTATTCACTACTATTATTATGATAAACAAGATATTATCTAGGTAGCCTTCTTAAGCATTCGCACCAATGCACTTCATAGGTCACACAATCGGCGTTTGATAGGTACTGTGATTAAGAATGTTCTTTCTATTCAATATTTTCATCCCATCCTAATTTGAACATATTCTAAAAGGCATCAAGAAGCTCCACGGCTGCTTGTATGACTAGATTGCAAGTGATGCAGCACCTGATATGTGGGTCCCAGTTGTCAGTATTTTATTCTGTTTATGAGGATAGACTACCGGCGGGTGTATGGACTAACAGGACACTTCTCAATTTTCAAAATTTATAATAAATTCATTCTTCAATTTTTTGATATTCGAATCCATCTTATAAATGAATCATCATAATATTTCTCGAGGCATTTGAAATGAACCGATATTTCAAAGAATATTATAAATCAAACCTTGTAGTGTTTCTGTTGGTCCGTATATTCACCAATGAACAGTGTATAGGGAAAAAAAATGAATCATTATGGGGGGATTCCTACAAGACTAGCGCCCTCGGTAAATCTAATACAGTAGGCATACACCTTCAACGTCATTCAATACTCTTCATAGAACAGTGCCTAGAACCAAATCTACTGCTTTCGAAATACCTCTTCGAATCAATGACCTTGTCTTCCTCCATACTACCTTAAGAAAATTCCATCAGATCTTGTGTCCAGATTCTCGGGTCTTTCATTTCAGAATCAACGACGTGACGGAACTTGCATTTCAAACAACTGTTGCGGATAACGAGGCAGTTGAGCCGCCAGAAAGTCCTGATCCTATCCATTCAGCGGTCACCATTAATTCAACATTTGCAGACCGCGATGCTAAGACGGTAAGCCAAGCACAATTACAAGAAGACACGAGACTTTCAGAGATCATCAACATTCAGAATACGGAGCTATGCACAGGTATATCTGATCAAGCAGCCATCGCGAACCAGGATACAATGCAAGAGGAGATGGCATTAGATCGATTAGCCATGGTGGATCAAGATTTCAAATGTACCTTACTTCTCATCCATTCTTAAATTTTTGCTGTAGTACCCGGACTAACGTCTTTAGTGGACTGGGAACATGCGCGTGTGAATAAGTATAAGCAGTGGGAGTTTCTAGACTCAATCTGTGGATATTGGGAAAATTTTATGAGGCGACACAGCTTCAGGCATTTTGAGAAAGTTTGATTGCTTTCCAAAATCACCACTCGAAATGCGTCGAAGAATCTGGTTCTACGCACTGCCGGAACTATGCTTGGTGGAACTGATTCTTTACAGGGAATCAGATCATGTTTCTTTTCTTAGAGGCTCTGAACTTGTATCCGCTGAGATTTGGCGAACAATAAAGAAGACTGGCGCGGGGTATCTCTTTCCAGACCAACTTTTACTTGTCTGTCGCGAGTCACATGATTCCTTCCTCGAACACTATAGCATTATGAATCTTCAGAGCCTTCCCGGCAATGAAGTTATATTAGATGGCACTATCAATTCCAGGCACTCAACATTTCATGCATCGTCAAGACGTTACATTGATAACAAGAGCGATACGTTAGTTATTCGCAACTTGCAGGATATCATGGAGGACTTACTGCTCTTCAACATGCACTTGAACCTGTCGGTTATAACTAGGTTATCTATCTATACTAGCGAGGTTGAGTAATTCAACGACCTTATCACTGGACGGGATGGTTTCGGAGGGCTACTCTCTCATCTATGGAAGCATATTGAAACACTATTTCCTCATTTGAAGTAATTTACTTTGATGCAAAATACTTGCAGAGTTGACAGATATGTTAACCAAGGAGAACTTGACTTGAGCCCGCTGTCGATCAACTGCTTGCAACCTATCAATGCTGATACTATCGATTCTCTGGTAGAGTGTATTGAAAACGGTCACTACCACGAGGATCTCGGCGGCTTTGTTCGAAACCCATCTCATGGGGGTCAATCGGCGCTAAACCATAGCATGATCTACAAAAGTCAGTATCTGGAGCGAATTCAAAACAACCCGGATTATTGGGGAGGCATTGAGTTTGAGACATCATTCCTCATCAATTTTCATCCAGACTACGACTTCTACATCATAAACAGAGATTCTCGCAATCAAAAAGACCCAGGAGGTAATTCACTTTCACAGATCACTCGCGCTGAAAGTTGCCGTGGTACCATAAGCCTATACTTTGAGGGTTGAATTGACAACTTGCCAGTATACAAAGATGGAATATTCTACGATAGTTATGGTGGGAAGGAGCAACACGGGGAATATGAATCGACCACAAGATTTGAATTGATAGATGGCCATGGAATGATCCAAGAACGATTCAAGATATGGAGTAATGCAACTCGGAAGGGAATGGGGACAGTAAAATAATTAAATGTTCTTCTGTGTCATACTGAGATAGGTCCATGATACCCAATATCGTAGATTGCTAGACTACTTAGATGCAAGCCTTCATAGTTCAGAAACAATTCATCAATTTAAATCATTTGAATACTCTATCAACGCGTGAACACTGAGCTGGGTAGATCTACATGTGATGTATTAAACCACGATCGAATGCTGAGATGGGCTGAACCATAGTTAAGGTTGTCGACACCAGTCTACGTCTACAAGTCATGGGTGAAACATTTGCAAGATTGCCAGCACCAAGCTGTGGGTGAAAGTAAATGCTTAGCTAAGAGGAATCTGAAAGATAGTCGATATCAAACCCCCAGACCACCCAATCGAGAAACTATAGCCTTCGGCTTCCTGCAGACAGCCATCGTTAATAGCATAGACGAATCTTACACTTAATCTCTCCACAATGTTCCATAGCTTGCTTGAATATGTAGAGAGACTCTTCTGCATATAAATATAGAACATAGGGAGTGCGAGTCGTTCGATTTGTATGACACGTTTTAGCTCGTTCATGAACCTGACGTCTGTTGTTTTCACAACTGCCAAAGGACCGAAATGACCCCTTGAATATTCCCATTCGTCAGCCTCTTTAACATGGTTAGCAATCAAGTACAGGTACTTCAGTCCAGGGAACTGCTCTTCTACGAGAAATGGAACAGCATTTCTCCACCATAGATCGTCAAGAGTTTCGTACAGAGGATTTTCAGAGATGGCGAGATTGGTAATTCCGGAGAGATCTACTCGGCTCTGAAGCCACGCTAGCGTGTAACAAGTACGTTCGATATTCTTGGCAACTAAAGTATCGACATCAAAGTCAATCCAGCCTTCATTTTGAACTCGTACACAGGAGGCACGTGGAGTCCCATATGGGCGATGGTATTCGCCATCCATAGGTCTGACTCCTCGAAGACGGTGATAATATTTTAAATATACCTCTGAGGATTCTCGACATGTCCACAAAAGATAGTCTGGTGATAAATCCGCACGTGAATCATCGTCAAAAGACAAAGTTGCGGTGATTAGAAAGGACTTCAAATCTTCCGACCATTCACAACCTGAATAAAGGTTGTTAGCCAAATGAAGACTTATCGTGCGAGGATCTGGCAGTGCGTGAAGCCATATATTTCTACGTAGTTTAAGAGGAAGTCTGGGAAAGCATGTAAATGTATCATTAGACGATCTTCTTTCAAGCTCGACCCAAGTAGAAAAGTATTCGCCGTTCACGTATTTCTTACGTTAAAATTTTCGGCACCACATTCCATTATGTGCAGGGTCCCCATAGATGGGACGATGCTTGGGAAAAAGGTTCGATGATATGTCGCGCCAGTAGCATGGAAGAGGTCCTTCAGCGAGTTCCAAATTAACAGTTGGTTCTTCGGTAGTAGCGTGTTTTCCGCAAGTAATCTTTTCCTGTAAGTCGTCTGTGGCTTGCATGTTTGTGGCTTTAATGATCGACTTTTGAGGCTCATCGATACTGTTGCTAGATAAAGGGTGGCCATGATTCTTCATGACTCTAGGATCCTCGAGTACCTGATTATTGGAAACATCCGAGCCTGAGATGGCTTCGTCCTTTGAGCCTGCCGTGTTGTATCAAAGTGATTTAAACACAGACGATTCTGTCGTAATCGAAGCTCTGAATGAAATGTAGAAGTTATAAAAGAGGAATGTAGAGACTGAAATACTTGGAGGTTCCTTGAAAGCTAGGACCATGTACAGTCGATGGTATACGGTAGGTCCCTAATGAGCTATTAGCGGCTCTAGTGCTCCGCAAGTCATATATTAATTCATCAATAGTGAATGAGTGCGAATAATTTATAATCATCCGGTTCAAGATTGAATTGTTATGATTGGCCTATATAGCTTCTAGCCTCGACTGCTCTTCCAAGTCTCGCCTAATTGAAGCCTGGTTTCTGAACATGATACTACTCTCTTTTGGGATTCGCCCTGCTTACCAGAATATATAATACCGTACTCTATACTCACGTGCCCTTCTAAAACTCCGGCATCAGTAGCTACCTATCTAGGTATCCCTTGGATTCGTCCATTCGGAGCCGTGACAGGAGTATTAACACGACCATGTTGAAGATGATTACCGGGAAGATTTGATGCGTGTGTAACATTTGACGGATTCTTACGACCTCTCCTACGTCTTCTCACAGATCTCGCAGGTAACAAAGCTACAATTTAGTCATGAAATGGAATTCAAAGATTGAAAACTCACATCTCTCACTCGACAATGACTCTTTCTCTACAACGGCAGATTGATTACCCGATAATAGCGATCCTCTGTCCTTGGCGGCAGAAGAACTTTCTGCTTTCGAAACCCCATTAATAGACTCCAATCTCTCAGTTCTCTTCTGTAACAACAAAGCTCTTTCTTTCAAAGTAACAATTTGAGCTTCTAACCCATTGATTTGACCAACAGTACTGCTCTGATCAATTTTCAAAAGCTCGAGTTCTATGTGTAGGTCCATAGTAACAAGAGCAGTGGTAGTGGTGGTAACAGGAAGATTGCTAAGATCGGTAAAAGGCTTGGCAACTGTGCCTTTTACATCGGCAGACGATGAGAGAGTTTTTTTGGTTGGGATTCATGTTCGCGAGGTAGGAGTTGATGGATTGATTGGTTAGTTGGGTTGTTCTTGTGCTTGGCTGAATGGGTGCGTTGGTGTATTGACAGTTTCTTCGAGAATAATCTTTTGTGTTGAGATTTTTTGCTTCGAGGAGGTATATTAGCGCATTTGTGTCACGCGGTAATGATACGCGCGCGCACATATTTAACTGAGAAACCTCTAATACTGGATAGTACTAGTGAGTTAGATTGTTTTATAGATACTATCATTGATTTTTATCTGAATATTTCTTACTATATTCTAATAAAGAGCTTAGAAGCATTTCAACTCTCTAGCATTTCTAAATGAATTCTTCGTTAATTATAGCAAAATATTCTTTAGACATTTTTTAATATAATATTCTTCCTTCTTTACATAGAAGTATATATTGATGAATACTCCTATTTTACGCGAGCTTTATTCATATTGTGTTAGAAGATAAAGACTTCAAAGAGTTAGATTATATGTCAATTTTTATACATTACTAAAGAAATCGAATAGATCATCAAATGTTCAATCATCTGATGCTTCAAATCGGTGTGTCGACTTATAAACCATATCAGCTTTGTAAACCCAAAGAAGATACGTAGAAGAAAGACTTGTCACGGAGTGAATCTGAAAAACTATAGGGATTGAATAGTTTTATTGAGCTTGTAAACGATGATGAAAGAAGAGAGCTGAGCTATACAAGGAATCTGTATTTATACTCTCCTCCTTAGCCTTTGATCATGTGCACCCCTGACGGGACTATCAATTTCAATCAAGCATAGTACCTATTTGTCCAAAATCTATAGATAATAGAATGGACTACATCAGTCAATTTGATTATCTAATACATCTAATGCTCATGGCTCTCTCTCTTAGCAACTGTATCATTTCAATTAGAAAATTTGGAAATTATACCTAGGTATAATTGAGTAGAGTTTTATATACGATGATAACACCAGAATTCTGAAATCATCAAACTACTCTCCTAATCTAGCTTTATAATTTCACATTTACAATTATTAGAAAGGATCGATTTTCAAAATATTATGAAGTTATCAGATTTTTAAAGTTCATGTAGTATACTAGTTGGCTTGCTCTGTGACTAGTAATCTCGACAAATACCTTTTTTAGGTGTATAATTATTAGATTTATTGTTCATGTTAGGTATATAATTGATAACCAATGTGACAACAATTCTAGAGCATAGCGAAAAAATCATCGTATCGATGTTTTGACGGAGAAGTTTGAGTATGATGTTAGGGGGTCGGATTCCACCCCAGCGGAAGAAAGATACGTATATCTTGGAAACTATTATAATGATTTGTTAGAAATTGAACAATGAGACTCTAATTTTTGATATCAAATAATCGAAGAATGAATTTGTTGAAAATCTCGAGAGTTGAGAAGTGTCCCGCCAGTCCATGCACCCCCTGGTTGAAAGGGAACGATAAATTGGGCTCAAACATCAACCGTCTTACACAATATTTCGACTGACACACATAATCCTCAAGATAGGACTTTGTATTTTGAGACAATTATCGAAAGACATGAAACAGCATCGTCTTATTGAGATGAACCCATGGAACTAGTATTTTTGAGGGGAATAGCGACTGTCCAACAAAGAGTGGCGATATAGAAACCCAAAATTTGGGCATGTTAGAACAGTGAAAATAGATGACATGAGTAACTTCGCACGTTTCGAATCAGAGCCATAAATTGAAAGTGAAATTCTATCTGATGCCCGTTATCCATTCTGTAGGAGAATAACGAAGTTGCTTCAATTTTTTTCTCGAATCCCTGGACAATGAAGTGTGTGAAAACGAAGTTCGAGGAACTTTCCAGTATCTCAAAAATGTCTTCTTTGAGCAAATCTCGAGTACTATAAACAATACCACTTTCCAATAATTCTTTCATATCTTCTCTCACTGATCTCTAAACATTAATTCGTCGTTCGTCATTCACGACATCATGCCGCCCCCTACTACCATAATACATGTAATGAGACATGCTCAAGTACGTATATTCCATGTGCACCCATAGAAATTGCAAACTCATTTCTCGCCTATAGCATGATGATTCCACTGGGCTATTAACGGATGAAGGGAAGGAACAAGCAGTCAGACTTGCTCGCCTATTTCGAAACGAACGATTCATAATCGCGCAACATATCACCCATATATTTTGTTCGCCAGTGCCTCGATGTCAACAAACTGCGAAGATAGCCCTCAGAGATGTGACTGCTCGTGGGATTCCAATTGTGACTATACAAGAGCTTTCTGACAATAGGGAAGTAGGTCTCTCTTTCATTTGGAGGTACATCAGTCTTCGTGAGAGAAATGAGATCATAATGATAACTCAAGGAGTTGTTCTGGAAACACTCCTCGGTCTCCACAACGTAGGTAAGTCACTCTCCCCCAACTTTAATGCCACAAGACTTTGGGGGAGACATGACTAACGCAAGTATCGTTTAGTATATCAACCAGAAGAGTTCCCTAATGTTCTAATCAGGAGCTACCTTCTGATACAAGAGCTTCACCATGTTCCTCGTCCAAGATTACGTAGGGAGAGAGGGCCAGTAGATCAACCGCCTGACTATTCAATCGCACACTACCGCATGGCTGTGAAATGTGCCAAAGCTTTGATTAAATACATACCGATCGTATGGTTCGTTATTAGTGTGATAGGCCTAACGATTTATTTCACAATTTCATCGTCTCAAAGGGCCCACTAGTGTTCGTACATTCGAATATTCACATTCAATTGATATCTAATCTTCCATGGTGCAAACCCACTCATCAACCACTTGGACATTAAAGATCTTCACTCATTAGCGATGAAATGATATCTTGGAGTTGAAGCTTTGATAATAGACCTAAAATTTGATAGATCCATTATTGTTTTCTTCTGCCTGCTATAGTTTTGTCATTCTATCAATAGAGATTAGAAACGATAGTTTATTCAAATTACAACAACAGTTCATATGTACCGATTCAATTTTGATTTGGTGAAACTGCAACTGTGAAAGCCGTATCCTGAGACTGGAAAATGTCTTTAATGTGCCGCTATTGATCAGGAGAATATGATTCCAAGAGGATGAAAAAAGCTTCAAACGTATTGTCTATTCTAGAAGAACTGTTATTACCTATCTTCTCACAATAATAACTTTCAGACTAGCAGCATTGGATGAGCTTTGACTAGGTAAGCGAGTGTAGTTTGATGGGATGTTTGATAGTGAGCCAGAATTGAAAAGAATATCATGCCACTCTGTCACAATTTTCTCTAGAGCAAAGATTTGGAACCGAGATTTAGTTTTCTTCTATTTAAGTAGTAAAGTATGGAAAGAAACACTCCCACGCTGGAGGATATCTACACACAGTGGCGGCATCACGAACATCGGTCGAGGTTGTTGTAGACACTCTCCGCAAACGCGTGGTCATGCCATTTTCCCCAAATTGGAGCCACATGTAAGCTAGTGCTTGATGTGTGAGTTGGATGAAATAATATTAAACGAAAAGTACATGAGTATTGTCTGTCCTATATATGAAGTGATTTTGCTCATAGAATAATAGAAACCATAGCTATGTACGATTTGGTGGAGTGATAGGCAGGACGGGGAAGGAGAAAAAGTGGTCCGAGCGCCATTTCAGCCACATGTTGTACTAGAATATCAAGGTACAGCCACACGTTGGCGCGAAATACTTGGTCGCATTTCCCATTTCAACGCGTTCCTGGCTCCAAAGGAATTCCATCAAATAACCTCAACTTCAGTTACAATTTTGACCTCAAGAATCATCAACTCAATCAACATACTGATTTGCCATTGTGATTCTCACCATCTCACCAATTTTATAACTTGAAGCACAACTACACCGCCAAAATGACGGACTATTCCCAACTCAAGGTCCCTGAGCTTAAGAAGCTCCTTCAAGAGAAGTCCTTGCCTATCTCTGGCAACAAGGCAGATTTGATCGCCAGATTACAAGAATCCGAGAAAGCGCCAGCTGCTGAAGCTACAGGTACGTTCAATTGAAAAATGCGGTCTAGGAATTCAGAGCTGAAAATTCTTAGCAACAACAGGAGAAGATGAAATCGATTGGGATGAAGACGACGAAAAGAAACCAGCACCCGCAGAAGCTGCGATAGCTGCTGCTGGAGGAAAAGAAGAGATCCCCAACCCTACAAAAGTCCCGAATCAAGAACCTGCGATCGATCCTGCCAAAACCACAGATTTGAAGGTGACTGGAGGCGAAGGTGTTCCAACAGCTGAAGATGGTGCAATCGCAGCCTCGGGTCCCACCACAACTGAAGTCGCACCTGTACCAGAAGCACCAAAACAAGATTTCAGCGCCGGTATTGAGAAGTCTGATGCACAGAAGGAGGCAGAGAAACGTGCTGCAAGAGCCAAGAGATTCGGTATCACAGAGGACGATGAGGCCGCGAAATTAGCAGAACGTGCGAAGAAATTCGGATTGGATAACAGTAAAATTGTCGAGGGATTAGATAGCGCATTACCTGAAAGAAGACAAAAGAGAGCTCGGGAGGATGGTAGACAAGGAGGAAGAAACTCAAAAAGACCAACACCAGACTCCAGGAGACCACAACCAGGCCCCAAAAATGCGCAGAAGTCCGGTCCAAAACCGCCTGCAGCAGGTCGTGTCACCGATAACCCGGCTGAGAAGGCAAAGGCGGAAGCCAGAGCGAAGAGATTTGCAACTGCTGAATAGAGGGACCTACGAAGATGACATAGCTATCTATCGCAACAACACGATTAGCTAGCGTTCCTGTATACTAGTGATTTTCTTTAATTTTCCACGGAATGCAGCGGCTTTAATCATTTACAGAATACCATTGATACGAAACATTTTCTCTCTCTTGTTTTGAATCCCGTGAGCGCTTCAGTTTCCCAAAAGATACGTCAAAACAAGCTCTGTCCGTGCATTCTAATCAAGTGCCATTTCCACGGGGACTTTTGCAGTTGTATTTTATCTATTTCAATGGTTTCCAACGTTCAAGCGCAAGGTCCATCCAGGTCTCGGACAAATATATCATTATGAGCATGCAACAGTTGGAATATTGAATGTTGGGAAGAATAAAAGGAACCAATAACCACTTGTGATGTGAGCAAAAGATATAATAGGCACTCGATAGTGCCAGGGGAAGGTCGATTGAAATCTTGACGTCCAACGATTATCCTTTGAGCTTCCCGAAGGATCTGCACTATGCATTCGATGGAATCAAGTACCGCGAATGGAAATTCCCAAGTGACTTTTATAGATGTGATAGGAGTAGCAGAGAAAATGGTAAATATCCGCATCTACACACATGAAAAGACATGCACACCGATGCCTGGAAAAAGGTCTCTTGGATCAACAATTTCTTTATCCAATAATATGAGAGAACAGACGATTTCCCAATTCTAGTACGCCATCGATGTTCCAGACAGAAAAGCGAAAGAAGAGAATGGAGAGAAGTAACTGGGTTTACAGCCATACATCTTAGCATCACGTTACTGTTTTGGACCCGAAGTTAGGGAAAGCTGTACGTCTTCAGGTGGTCCAATGAAATGGTCTAGAACCCTGCTCGATGGGAAGATATCCATCACCCGTGGCTTGGAAATTGGTTGCGGTGCGGTCCTGGGGCCCGGAAAAAGGGTTTTCTGTGGGTGATCTTTTTATCACGTTTGATTGATGGATTGATTGATGAATTGATTGATGGATTGATATTCCCTTTCCCCCTCTTCCCTTCTCCTAAAAGATAAAAATTCGAATTTGAGTTTTTTTCTCGAAAAAATCGAGAAATTTGCCTGCCAACGCATAGTATAGAAACCTGCCTACCCAGAAAAAAAACCAACATGTCGTGTAGTTTAGAAAATCATGAGAATTGTTTGGTTTCAATATGTGGCGTATGTATGTATCTTCTCTATCGTACCGTTGTATATTATGTACTTCGCCACAGTCCAGCGATCCAGTCGATGATTTTCTGCATCGCATGGTATGACAACGCAGCAATTTCGCCATTGTGTTGTGGATTTACTGCGGACGATAGTGGCTAGGTAGGTAGACTTCAGCTTGTCTGGGAAGGGATTACGGTACCAAGATTTGGAGATGTGTATGTATGTATGTGTGCGTGAGAGGTATGTATGGGGTTCTCAGACCGGTAGGTGGAACGTGAGAGTATGGACGCTCAGCCTCACCTGCCAACTGTTACTTTGGGAGTCATTTGTGCACGTACGGATTGGATTCTTGGAATGGGATTTGGAGAGTTCAGTTGATGCGGGAGTGGAATGTGTATTGAGATTGGGGATTAGTGTGTGTTTTGTTTGTTGATCGTAATGATATCTGTCTATACTAGGTAAGACGAGCACAATTTGCTGTGTTGGGTAAGGATATCTGTCTATCCTTGTATATCCCTAGTATGTATCGCGTGTGCCGACACGCTTAGATAGGAAATAATTGCGTTGACTGACTGTTTGTGTGTTTATACGGTGAGATTGCTGGATTTCTTGATAGGCAAGTCAGTATATTGTGAGCAAGGGTTAACGAGCTAATATGTTCATGTATGGCTAATTGATGATCCAATTGCATTCCCAACTGTTTTTGACCACTCGAGTAGATAGGTGGTCAATCCTTCAGGATCAATATACTGATGAGAACTTTGTATGGTTGAAGATACAGGGAGACGGGTCAAGAGGTTCTGCACTGGTCCTACCAGAAGAAACAGCAATGTAGCATGGTGTTATTACTCCGAAGCGGAATGGAAAGGATAAAGGTTAATTCGAGCCGCTCCAGCACCAGGTTCACGTCTTGAGATTAGGTCTTATAGGCTCGTTCATCTAAACCCCGGATTCTTAGTGTTGAGCCGGCCACAACATGAGATGATGAGAGGCCAGTTTACGGGGATTGTTGCTGAAAGCTGATGTGGTGTACGATGTACGATGTTCGATGTTCGATGTACAGAGCAGGCAATAGACAATAGGTAGTAGGCAGGCACCTTAGTCGTCTAGTCAAGGAAGGCGCTTGACAACGTTTAGTACAACACTCAAACTTCAATGACAGCGGACGGTGAGAATGAATGTCACCAACGTACAATGTTACCAACTTTCCCAAGTAAGTCACCAACCAACGTATACGACGATGGAATGGCAGAAGCGCAAAAGACCCGCTCAGCACATGGTCAAAGAAATAAGAAAACCCCAACTGGGTGTGCAACAAGCGCGCTTTGGAATCTGAGACTACATCGTAGTACCTACATATCAAATAATTCGATCATCGTAAGGAGTGAACCAATGGGAGAATTCACGAATCATACAATACTGTCACTCCAAGTCGATCCAGTCAATCTTTCACGATATGTTATCTATTCTCTACCAATTATCCATGATTTTGGCTGTCTCATCTACCAATTATCTATTGCTCTGGCTGTCTCATCAATGTAACCTTGTTATACCCGACGAATGATGATTTGGCGTTTAAGAAGAAAACTCTTCAATCGGATCTTGAACCAAAATTGACTCGTTAGGTGATAGACGGGTGTATGGTAGAAAATTACAATCAAAAGATTAGCCGGGTAGCTAGGTAGCTAGGTAGCTAGGTATGTATATTTTCCAAGCAATTATTGTCTCCTCACCACCAAACCAAGCTTTGTCGTTTACCAATGGATCTTTGAACGAGGCCCAGGAAGCAGATCATAGGCTTTCGAGTACATATCGGCCATTCTTGCATGACCGTTTGGCCTTACCTTTCCCTATTTTCCACAATGCAGATACTCTTACCCTTACATTTCACACCAGACTCGAGAATGGTGATCTTCCAAACGACTCAATTGAGAACACAACGAGACTGGACTTTTTGCTTTTTCCTCTCTACGCTACTAGTTTTACATCTTAGGCCTCAATTTAACGGTCACTAATCTTTATTCATATCAAGATCTTCGTCTCATCGGCTACTCCAGAGGCACAGTCACATATGCCCATGTCGATGGACCGTGAAAGAGACCCAATCCTTCCGACAAATGGTTGAGCATATGGGACCTCACAAGAACGAGAACGCCACAACGCAAGCAAGTACCGGGCATGAACGGAGAACAGCCTATGATACCGCCTACAGCTTCCTAGGATATCGAGAAATCATAATGACTCTCTCATGTATCTCTCTCCACCGCATACCCAGAATTCTTGGTTCTTTCGGGTTGGAATCTAATAACTATTGGTACATGCTCCATACATGTACGCACACATACGTACATATACCCAAAACTCATTCGTACGCTATTTTATATTACGTCCCGCACCTTTTCTGCTTTAAGTGCAACCCAAAATAAATAAATCCAATGTCGAGACTCCATCGAGCTGCAGGAACCAAAACTCCAATCGGCGCCAATGGTTTATCGCTCTATCGCTCTATCGACTCAAAAAGAATCGTCTCCATTATTTTGACGGGAAAACTATACGGTGACAGTCCCCACACTCTAGGCCCTATCCTTTTTCCGCTAGGTACGACCTTTATTATCAACCACAACCACAACGACTGGTATTCCAAAAAAATATTCTTAAGAAAATCATCGGCATTTTTTTCTTTCTTTTCTTCTTTCTCTTTCCTGCTTTTGTTGCTTTTGACTCTTGAATAGTCAACTTAATCTTTCGTTGTATTTTCGAGATTTCCTATCGCTTTTACTTTGTTTCAATATCCATATACCCTGAGATACCCTACCCTGGTGGTGATCCATACGTTTTTCATTGTCCATTTGCTGCCTTCACGTGCTCAAATCCAAGTATATTGGATACACACTTAATTTCCTGCCATTACGACCACACCATCTCGGCTTTTCAATATCCCTATGCAATAAAACCTTCAGTGAGACGCAGATCCCCCGAGTTGATAATCTAAGAGAGTTGTAAGAGGTATTATACTTTACAACTTCCTCCATTGTCGGTCACTATACTCACTGGCTTTAGTGTTGAAAAGATCTTGACTTTCGCATTGAGAACAAGGTTGTTTTACATATATCGTAGATCAAATGTCAAGAATATACCCTTGTCACTGCTTATAACCACCGGTGGATCCACACACACCTTTCCTTGAAGAATGTTACTTGAAGCAAGAAGTCATGGCATCCAACAATATGCAATTTGGTTTACCATCCAGGCCAAATGTTACAGTATCGCAGAGAAGAGTTCCACGCCAGACCCAGCCACAAGAAGTTAGCAAGCCGAGGGGCACGAGAGACGATAGTGCATACATCAAATCCAGAAGAGAGCAGAGAAGGGCAAATTTGGAGTTAAATCAACAGACACAGCTACCTCGGCCAAGCATACGACAACCGTCGCCGGTTCCGAGATCAAAATCCGAGACCGGATCTAGAGGAACGACAGCACCTCTATTAGGACCTGGAGCTCGTTCAAACGGGGATGTCTCGACCATTCATCTGGTTCCGGCCGTCAATGGAAAAGTGTCTGGAAATGTTTTGAGGAGAAAGCCCTCATCGATAGCTCAACATGCTGAATTTAGTCGGCCAACGACGGCTAGGACAGCGAATAGTTCTCCAGCTAATTGGGGACATGTATCTGGATCCAAGCCTACCACTCCAGCTTCAATGAACCCAGGACCACCACGTATAGACGCCTCACAGCAAGTTCGAAAGGTTTCTTCATCTTCCATCAAGGAAGCACCGCCACGGATTATACCGGAGTTGGATAGATATCGAACGAGACCGGAACAACACCGTGAGGAGTTGAATGCTAAGTTTGGATCCAACATTCCTTACAAATTAAAGACCCCCGAGATATCTCCTCCAACTCCGTCAATGTCTGCAGGATTTGTAAGTTCAGGATCCAGCCACAAAAGGTATAGCGGATACAGTGGAAGTGGATACAGTGCAAGTCCTTCTACAAGATTTTCCGAGTCACCGGGTCCAAGTGCTTATAGTAGAGATACAACTCCTACTTCGATGTCATCTGTATCGCCTAGTATCTTTGTACCTTTCAAGTCTAGCATTCCAAATCGTCGAGGAAGTAGTCCCACCAGGACTAGGCCACCTGTTACTCGGAGACGCGAAAGTGATGCATCGAATGAGCTCAACAATGCAATCATCGACTCACGTGGGCTACCATCGTTACGAGAGTCTGTTAATTCTTCATCGTCTAATTCTACGGTAAAGGCGGATGGGAAAGCTCGGGATAAGGTGCATAAGAAGAAGAAGTCTTTGTCTTCTCTTCCACCTAGTCCACCACCTCGTAAGTCATCTAATCAATTTCAGAGGTCACCGCAAGAAAAGGTATCACCTGCCAGAGCAATTCCAAATCCATCATACGCCGGACCTATTTCATCTCCGATATCATCGCCTCCAAGGCCATCGGTTCCGTTGATAGAGATGATCGATAGACCTTCGCCCCAAGAAGGCCTAGCAGGGATGGTACTCCCGATTTGAGGTCCCAGATTGGAGACTTTGCGGTACTCCAAAGCAACTTTACTGGCATGAGATTTACACACAATAAAAGCAATAGCGTTTCTTCACAAAGAGCAGCATCATCCCCTCTTCAAACTTCAATGACTCAAGCGTCACTAGAGTCATCCCGGAACCCGTCTCCAGTTCCAGTCCACCCACTACATCAGGATCCTACTCCAGCACCTACTGGTCTTGGAATCATCCCGAGCCTTAGACCGCCTTCTCGAAATCGCATAACCCGCACTCCAAGTCCGAGTGTCGATAGTGGAAAGCATCGTTTTGGACTTTTTGGCCGAAGGACAAAGACGGCCCCTGAAGTAATAACTCTCTCGACAGAAAAAGCTCAAAAGAAAGGACCAGCTGCAGGTACTGGCCATGAAGGATATACCAGGTATGCCCTGCGTGGGCGTACTACTACCAGATCCACTGCCGGTAAGCCCCGTGAAAGAAGTTTGAGTGGAGCTCCAACATCTAAAGATCAATTGGATACCACGGATCCATTTTTCCGGGATCGTATGAGCCCTGTTATCATATCGGGTGGCGGAACTATAAAGGAAAATCGCAACTCTATTGTTGAAGTTGTCAGTCGTACAGAGAGTAACACTAGTCTTCCTGCACTAGATCAGAATATTTCTCAGACTAGTTTGAGTCAAAAGACGCCCAGAACTATTTTGCAACCATCAGCAATTCCAAAGGAAAATAGTAAGAGAACTTCTACTACAGGTATTTCCAAACTTAGAAGGCCTTCCGATAGCCAGGATGAAGATGATTCGAAGAAACCATCCATTGCATTCCGAAGATCGATCCAACGTCTCAATAGTGCGACAACAACTATAAATATCCCTCAACAACTAAATATCACAACGAAAGTTCCTTCATCTTCGATAAGTAGCCTGGATCCTAGCCTAATGTCTGGAGAATCACAACTAGAATTGGAAGAAGAAGCCGAGCGTGGAAGACAAGCCCAACTTAGTAAGCCGGCAAAATTGGAGAAGCGAGCAAGATCACCACGGAAGTGGAATTTCTTTCATCGGCATGCACCAAAGTCAGAGACTGAGATTAAATCTGATGCGGTACCTGTTACCATTGGTAGACAGCCTGTTAAACCGATACCCCACTACGCTATGTTTGAATTTTCTGATGAGCCAGAAGATACCGATAGTGTGGATTTGGCGGAAATTTTGAGAGATTCCGAGGTAGTAGGACTAACTGATGAGCAATTGAACGAGCTTAGGTTTAGTAATTACAAGGAAAACATCCGACGTATCGAAGAACTTCAAACAGCAATGGCACCTTCACTCCCAGAGATGGTTCCGGCAATCGTTGCTTTTTCACCACCGGAATTAATAGTGCCTTCATCACCACAAGTTCCTCAGACTCAAACAGAATCTCAAATTCAGAGAGAAGTGACACCTATTCGACCAAGTCGCCTCCAACAAGTGGGTCGAATCCCAAAGGTTGTCTCTGCAAGACCTGAGGCTACATCTCCAATCTCATTCTCGAGGCCATTTGCACGATTGAGCACTATACAGCCTGTCGTGGATTTATCTTCATTTGATATTGATTCGGTTGCTTTGGGAGCAAGTCCACCGAAATTTTCCAGCCCTGAAAGTTACCCAGCGAAATTCAGCAGCCCACCATCGTATCAACGAGAATTTCTATCCTTTTCACCAAGAAGGTCTCCTAGGAATAATTCCACGGCTACGACGAGTAGTTCGAGCACAATTAATGGTGCTGAGATTACGGCAATTATCCCCGAGCCCGATTCAGCATTAGTAGAAGATGAAGTATGGAACGAATACGACGATTTGATCGAAACGGAAAGTACGATGAGAAAATCTCGCATTGTTTCTACAACATCATCTTATGGTGTTCCGTTTCAATATGAGACTTATCAAAGTCCCTCTACCCGTACTATCAAGCCCATGCTCCAAGCTTCTCCTTTTCCTAATCGCGAATTGCCTGAATTGCCACGTCGAAGATCTGCTATTACATCTATAGCGTCGAGTTGCTTTAGCATCGATGTGGACGCGACTATGAAAGTTGGAGATCAAGATATGTTGGAATCGAACCCATCGCCAACAGCTCCAGCATTCTCTCCTGAACTAGTCAAACGCAACAATTCTATTCATTCCACCAAATCTCAACAAATTTCAATAGTCGAATCGAGGAAATCCGGTTCTAGTAATACATCACGGATTTCGGGGGCTAGTCTGTTGAGAATTGAATCCGAAGAAAGCAATTCTCCAATTTCGCAAGTCAATTTGAGAGTTGGAAGTATGAGTGTTAGTAAATGGCTTACTTTTGGGAATGTGTTGTTTAGCCCAGCTAGGGATGAGGTAGGCAATTTGATGGATGGACCCAGGACGAAATGTCATTCCATTTTGGTTATTGATGGACTTGGCAATGGTATGTTTGGCTCGTACTCATTCCCGACATGGAACTAACACGAAATAGACGACTGGTCTTTCTATGCCGCAGAAACTTATCCGACTTGTACATTCTACAATCTATCCCCTACCGCGCCTCCTCCGACTACCAATACAAAGAATCCCGCCTATTTACTTCCACCTCCTAACCACCGACAAATTCAATTTTCTCCCCTCAGCAGCACTTCCAAATTTCCCTTCCCATCTTCTACATTTAGCACTGTAATTTTCCGCTTCCCTTCCTCTCTCACAACTCAAGTTTACAATCACATCCTCTCCGAATCTCGACGCGTACTCAAACCAGGTGGATACATCGAGATAACACTTCTCGATCTCGATATGTTAAATATGGGACCTCGTACTCGTCGCGCTGTGCGAGGTCTCAAAACGAGATTGAAGAACAGAGATGAGGGTGTTGTATTGGGCAGTTTGGGAGACATGATTTTGAGAGGACTTGGAGCGAGAGGATTTGGGGATGTGAAGAGTTGTCGTGTGGGGATCCCAGTGGTGGGAGTATTGGAACGGGTTAGGAGTGGAAAGGAGAAGGAAATCGAGGAGGTTAATCGACAAAAGGGAAAGAAAGAAGAACGAAGTTTGGCCGAAATGATGAAGGAAGAGAGTGAATCTGCGGATGAGAGTATTACGCGAATGGTGGCCAAAGTGGGGAGATGGTGGTACGGAAGATGCTATGAAGCTTCTTTACTTGCTTTTGAATCGAAAACCAAGAGGGAGAACGACGAGAAAGAGGGAGGAGACCTAAAAGAGAAGGAAACGAAAAGCATCTTCACCGATATCAAGGTCTTGGATGAATGCGAGAAGTGGAACGCGAGTTTCAAATTGGTGGTTATGCATGCGCAGAAACCGGTAGTGGTTAGGAGGAGAACTAATAGTGTTTGATTTTTACTCTATCAAAAAAGACATGATTAATGAATGAAAGAATGGAAGAGGGGAAAAATTTTAAAATTTCATGAGATGGTTGGATGGGTGCGAACCCGATTTTTTGTATACAGGATTTCTTTTTTTTTCTTGGATTCGATTCGGATGGAGGTCACCGGTTGACTTATTTATAATTTTGTGCGATCTGAGATTGCGGGTTTGGTGATTGGGGGTTTTGATAGGATGGGATGGGATGGAGTGAGAGGAGGATGGAAGAGGTGGATCTAAGAGGGTGAAGAAATATGGATTATGAATTACAATGAGTTTATGAAGTTTGCTATTTGTTTTATAAGTCGTTTGGGTAGTGGGGGTGGTGGGGAATAATGTTATTGTGCGGGGTGGGAAGAGCTAGGCGAAGTGGAGGTGGAGGGGGAAAAGAGAATAAGAGATATTGAGGAAAAAGATTGATTGGAATGTAGGAAGGGGAAATAAAAGAAGAGAAGAGAAGAGAAGGCACCCAATTACTTGGCTGGATGTAGATATATAGGAAAATGAATGAATGAATCAACAAATCAATTATAAGTTAGATCATTGATAAGAATGATTGAAAGTGCACCTTCTTGTTAATCTTGCTGTCTGCCAGAAGTATCGGTGGACCGATACATCTTTCAAAATTGGTCTGATAGATAAATACTGTACTGAATCCAAATACGCCGCAATATGATTCATCATTCTTGTATTGAAAATAAGGTATATATATGCATTGTCGTTGATGTTGATGTACTAAGTTCTGACAGAATCTAGAGTACTGGGACAAAGAAACACCAACGCCCATCTTCTCACAAAGAACCATCTCACAACTTTCTTACATCCCACTCCTAACAACCCTTACCCCAGCAACAAGATACCCATCTCCAAAGAGCAGATTCTCGAAAACAAAGAAACCAAAGAACAATACTCAAACATAGACATCATTATCATCACAACAAACAAGAACAACCCACCCCCATCCCCATATAACCCCTCCTCCCCTCATGCAAAACTTGACTCCCCATCTCCAAAAGTCTCCGAAAAATCACATACCATGCAATTCCAACCCAAGAACATCAGACATCAGGTATCTATCCCCCGGTCCGTCTTTTGGAGTATCAAACTGAACTTTTAGTCCTCCTTCCCCAGGCGAGGATTGAAATACCCAATGCACTTTCTTCTCCTTTTCCCCTTTTCTCGCGAGAAACTCGAAATGAGAATACGTTGGAGGTAAGTACGATACAACACAATTGAGAATTACTAATATGATAGGTGTGCTCGGTAGATATACGAGATTGAGAGAAGGGATGTAGACGAGACATACATTGCAGAGAATTGTTGGGAAACTGATGGTTCTTGTTTGTGATGGATTGCGAACCTGATTCTCTTTTTTTTTTTTTTTTTTTTTTTTTCTTCTGAGGGCTTTTTTGGGCGTTTGGATTTTTGGATTTTGAAATTTAATGGAATATTTTATTTGTTTCGGGAATCATTTGGATTTCTTGGGGATGGGAATGGTAATGACAATGTGTGGTGTGATTGAAGGCTTCTTTGTGAGAGATCTTATTGTAGGTATATAGAAGCTTTCTTTGTGATGAATGAGTATTATATTGAGATTGTGGGGTTGAGGAAAGATGCATCGGATTCTTTTGATGGTTAATACTATCTGTGTAGCACATACATAGATAGGATGTTAGACACTTGCAGCAGATTTTGTTCAATTCCATTGTGTTATTGGAGTTCTATGTACATATCTAAAGTAATTACATCAAGAAGACTTCGTACGAAAGCATACCTAGCCAGTATATCGACGAAACAAAAGGTGCGTGATCTCACAGAGCTTCCATCCAGCCTTTGAATATATCCTTATGCCCAACTAATCCATCACGTCAGAACCAAGTGGTTTCCAGCAGCGGCGTGGATTATGCACAGCGGAAGTGTAGATGTATTTGTATTTTTTTGAAATGCCACTAGTTGCTTGCACTTCAAAGAGGTCACGCTCATCATCATGACCAGCCGATCTCTCACGAGCCCGGATGCCAAAGATCGAACACTCTATGAGAATGTCCGGCAACTTTCTGTCCCGTCTATGTACTTTGAGTTTTGGCAGGTTGATCTTCCAAGTTTTTGAATCTCCAATTCTTCTGAAACCAACTTTTGTTTGTTCAATGCGACCCATTTCGGCAATCCACGTCGTATCCAATGTCCAACCGCGTTTGACATAATCTGATGAAGAGTTCGGTTTGGCACGATCGGTGTCGTTAGTTTCGAGAGAGACAAGTTTGTGCTCAGCTAGAGCGTTTGGAAATAGGCAATAAGCTTTATTCCATGTGATGAAGTTGATTTGGGCCGTGGTCAATGAATGCTTGAGAGCATCTGTCGTGTATAGACCATTAACAATGGAATCATGGTCACCGCCATTTCTAAGATACCACTCGTTTTCAAGGAATGATACCTGAATGCGCCTGATGCTACCATCTCCTTTAACCTTTTTATAGAGTCTCACCTGATTGACGATCAGTAAAATTTATTTAGGCATAGGAAAAGAAACCTTACTTTTGAACAGCCTCCCTTCCTTCTACAGCACATACAAGTGCCCAATCTATCAGAAACATAGAGCTCTTTTTCAGTGAAATAGTTTGCGAAAGCTTGTGCGTGATTTTCAGAGCTAGCTACTATTTCCATTGCTGCATCACTTCCATCTAGTAGTTTGAATGGTACACCGGTCTTATTGCGATCAAAGAATTGCAGTGCGATCTGACCAGTGATGAAAACATTATGCATTCCCATTCGTGCTCTGAATTGATCAGTGTCAACGACGTAGTGGGAGAGTTGTTTGTGGATACTCCATTGAGAGTTCATGACCCTTGCGTAATGCTCTTTGAACTTTCGAGTGGTACAACGGAGCGAGGTAAGATCTTTGATTTCGAGATGAGAGCAGATCCGATCGAGAAGGAGGTCGTTAAGAAAGACGGATTCACATAACTCTGACCCGAACGGGCTCTTTAGAGCTGGAGGCTTAGGTTTAATTTCGTGCTCGACTCTGGCAATTACGATCTTTGCCCGTCGTGGGCTGCTTTTCTTCGGCATCTTGATCTTTGCCAGTGGATGATTGGATTGTGAGCAGTTTGAAGTGTTTGTTGTGATTATAGAATGTTCTGGATGCTTTGTCGAGGTGCGATGGAAATAGCAAGCAGAGAGGAATTATCTGACTTATATATTCGAGAGAAATGGGTAAGAAAAGCTAGCAGCTCATGAAGTACGATTTGAGACTAAGTTTGAATCTAGTCAGTCAAGCTTTGCTCAAGCAAGCCTCGAGGGAATGACTACGAGGTGTACAGAGAATGCCAGACAAGATGTTTTTCGAACTAGTATTTATGGCGTATACCTCCATGCCAAATAGAGTTTACTAGTGTTGGTGTGGGAGATAGCACCAAACTAGGCACACTAGACATTGGTAGCTCCGTTAAATCTCGTCGAAGTGTCATTTATCCATGGAGTTTTGCTGCTTAGTTCGATCTCGAATTATCTTCTCAATCAAGGTCATGGCTAATCTTCAGTGGAGAACCAGTAGAAAGGTAAGAGTGTTCTCCAATTCGTCAGTTGCTACTCAAGATTATCAGAGAGCCAACCAGGAATTCGCTGTGGAATTTTTTGATTCTTATGAATAAAAGCTATCTGATCTTCTTCTCAATGATCGTTGGTACCTAGAACCCGTACTCAACCTTCCTATCACCACAAATCACACTTCCAACCCGTGAGAAAATGGACGGAGGAGGAGCTATGCTGAACAGGGATATATTGGCCTGGCTCAATGGTAGTTGAGTTAATAATAAATTTCAATTTTCCGGGAAAAAAGTTCCTTAGCTAGTTGTGGGGTACAAAAATCCTGATTGCAGCAAGACTCGAGCTAATAATGCTAGCGTAGAAGACTAAACACAAAGGAGCCTCACCAGTGTCAAGCTACATGATCATACTTTGCCTCCGATTACCTTTGACAGCTTGTGCTGATTCCTAGTCTTCCTAGTATGGAGAATTGCAAGCGTAGAACGAAGTAACTCACCAATAGAAAGCAAATAACCCTTCTTAGGAATAGATAAACACCGAGTGACGACTCGTTCAGCAATGTTACCACGTGTTCTTGGATTTCGGACCTGGTGAAAAAGAGCACGTGTATGACGATGTGAATGAAGGGGCGTCATGTATCTCCAAGATAGACTACTAAATGGAAGTATCGAATGTCTATCTTTGAAGTGCCCAAAACAATGGAGAATTAAAAGACTGAATCACGTTCATCGATTCATTGTCGCCCAGTCACGTTTCGTTTGGATTCAGCTCACATGATCAATTCGGGAATATTTCTGTCAAGTGCCGATATACTGCCGACGTTTAACCATAACTTGATCAGGCACGATATGCTATTGCTCCTGAGTGAGCAGAGAGTGCGAGATGCTCTATTTTGCACAATGGCAACTAATTTTGTTATCAAGGAGTAATCTCGCAACTACGGCGCGAGGAAACATTTGACTCTTACCGGCATGACAATTGTAATACATTCGAGTGTTTCGCGCGTCAAGGTTCTATCGTACGGCCACTAGACAACAACAAAAAAACTTTGAGCGTTCCAAGAATGCACACCATCACTTGAAGTCGACATGATTTTTTGTTGCATATCTCTTTGCGCCCAAGTCCGCTCGCTCCATGTACATAGGTATCCAGAGCTATCCATCTGCATAGAGGGAAGAACCAATGAACCTTGCTTCCAGTCTCCTCAAGCCGAAATGTTGCACATCTCAAATTTGCTCTCATCCGCTGCCCTATTATACTCCTTCTCATTTCTTCACTTGCGTCCAAAACAGCACAGGGCGTTGACGCGTGTGAGCGAAAAACATTGGTTTAACCTGGAACGCTCAGATGTATCCGCAATAAGGCTGAACTAAAATACCCGGCTACCAAAGCTTTCGGTCTGAATTATAGCGATTATGCGAATGTATCTCCTACAGAGACCGAAAGTCGTACAAATTCATGAGGTGGTCTCACATCCAAATTCCACCATTGTAAATGGTGTCACCCCACTCCTCACACGAGTCTTTTATAACATCATCATCATATAAATTCCACAAATTTCAACATCATGCAATCATAAAGAAAGAGAGAATTGTTTGTTGCACATCTGAATATCCGGAATGGATGAAGTTGCTGTTTCTGGTAATTTTTCAAAGGTTCTCAAAGTTGGGAGAGGATCGAATCAAGATACCCCCTCATGAGAATGAAGACGATTGGCTAGGAGACATGAACCATGCCCCTGAAATAATCTCGGATACTTGCTGACGCTGAGGTGAGAAAGATTCTTTTGGGTGGGCTTGTGGATGAGCCGCGACATCATTGTATAACACATTACGCAAATTTGTCAATTGATCTTCCCTCATTGACGAATCTATCAACATTCCCCATAACCAACCCAGCCAAATTCCATCGTTCAGCAATGTTCTTCATGCCACACACCCAATGAGCTATCGTCGCCCGAAATGTTAAGAACTCAAATCTGAGATCTCCCCGCTCATGACTCAAAATCATATCCACGGCCCCATGATCCTTACTCGAATGATCAGTCTCCAATCAAAACATTCAATACCGACCCACCCCAATCGAAAAAACCGGACCTCTCATCCCATTTCTTCAAAACAACTGACTCGACCGAGGAATTACGATATGCAACAAAGAATTTGTTGACCCCATGAAAGTCAGTGATAAGTGGACTTTGGGAACTATTTAGGAAGGAGTTTGCGTCGTATGATTTATAGCCAAGTAAGCAAAGCGAGCAAGGAGGACAGGGGAAATGAGCTGAATATGTAATGGAACCGTAATGGAACCAACGGGCTGTAGAGAGATGGGATGGGAAGGTGGGGGCCGGGATTGCGGGATGGCTGCAGATATGCGGCAGCATACCCGGGTGCATACAGGTAGGTGCAACGGTTTAGGTGCAACGGGTTGGGAGCATAATCTTGTGTGCTTGGGTTTGCATCTCATGGTGTACAAATTAATACATATTGTGGAAATTTGGGCATCGACCGTTAACATCGATCGTTACACGAAATAAACTCAGTATCCAGAAGCAAAGGATAATGAAAAGAGACTGTGCAAGAAACGAAAAAGGTATACGCATCGCAACCAAACGCCTTTCTTCCGTAGACATGGAGAAGCAGAAAGCAGTGGCCATAACCATAAGCCTTAGCTAAACTCTCAAGGCATCAGGAGTTTCTCTGATCTACCCTTCCTTTACAGCTTCAATGATACTCCCAGCCCAACAGGTTCCCATTCTCTCACATTCTTCAACAATTGCAGCATCATCCCACCACCATTTTCCACCCTCGACATAGGTTCCCCACATTTCTTTCCACAGCATTCTTCCCACCACACTTTTCAACTGCCATTCTACTTGTTCTTCCCCATTTACAACTCCAACACATGCTAGAAATTTCAAAGAAGATGTGCAGCTCCCCTCGGCCCAAAGTCCTGCATCCGCCAGCCATAAAGGAAATAAACGAGTAGGGTTCAAACAGCGAAATTGCTTCTCCAAGTTGACTGTTAGATGGGTGTCAAGCCAAGATCTCAGTCGCGGACCAAGTGATGAGGATACTGGACAAGGATCGAGGATGGTCAAATAAAGGATGCCAGGTTGAGTGATCCCAAGTGGACTGATCGCGGTGGGCGATGCTGGAATTTCTGACGTTGAAGTACGAGAAGAGATGAGTGTACGATGACATTCCTTGAGTATATTGGGAATAGAGGATGAAGGGATTAGAGATGGCAGACCTATAGAATGAACCGCACCGAATATATTTGAGGCATAAGATAATTGTGAAGTAGGTCCTGGAACAGCTAGAGGATGAACATTTGGATATGATTTTGGCGATAAAGGGTTTGTAGAGACATGATGTATTTGCTTTTCCGAATTCAAAGCCGAAAGAAAGGATGCAGAAGCTTTTTCAGTGAGTATGTAAACGGAGATGATGGAAAGACTACTCACCATGATTTTCATACAACGAAAGCATTTTCTCATATTGTGGTGCTCCATTCAGTGTCCTGGAAGCATCACGGGTTCTAGCAACGCGATTGATAGCTCGCAAAGCAGTGAGCATCCATAGTTGTTTCTCCAGCTCGAGCTCTCGATATACCGATGCATCGGCCACTTCCATCCATTCTTCATTCAATCTTTCCAGAATAATTTTATTGCTTGCTGCTTCCATCTTACGAATATTCATTTGCAAATGTGTCTGCTCCGAGTTAGAAGGTGAGCGATTACGACCACGAGGTTTCCTCCTTCGACGAAACCCCGAAGACTTCAATGAGGCTACAGATGAAGCCGTTTCTTCCGCCGGACATGCCCATGTTTCAGGTGGTCTCCAAGAATCTGACCGCCTGTTCCTTGCTGTTATTGACCACTCGGTAGTTCTAACACCGGTATCATTTCTAGATTTTAGTATTCTGGGAGAGCTTGGTATCTTTGGGGTCTCGGGGCTGTGTGTAGGTGGAAGTGGAAAGTCATATGTTGAGGAAGTTGATGATAAAGCAGATCTTATAGGTCAGCAAAAGCTTGGTCCGTTCGGGATATAGATTCTTACTCTATCATTGTGGAGTCTTGGATTTGGATAGGAACTGTTCCAGAAGTGATATGAACGACAGTAGCTAGTTGTTCTGATGCACTGAAATCCTCACTTGGGGCCACAGTGATCTCAGTACTTTGAGTGACAAAAGAATTTGGGCTCAAAGGCTGTATGAAACGATTCTTGCTTTGTCCATCTGCAATGGAACCCCATGATGACTTAGTTCCCGCTGATCTTCCAGTATAAGCAGAGAAAATGGACTCTAGATAGAATTAGCTTGAGATCGAAATCGGTGAAGTGGAACTTACCGTCCGAAGGACTTCTCTCGGATTCTTGGTAAGATGGGACTGTTGGAAAGAATCCATTCACTGGAATACGTGTAATAGTTGTCGTAGTCGTTTCACGTACCTCTTGTGTTGATGTTGATGTCTCTGAAGTGCTAGTATAGCTTGACATTCGACGAGAAACTTTTGAAGACTGTTCGGTTCTTATTGCTGGTGGTTTTGGAGATGTCACAGCTACTGGAGCTGATATTTTTTTGTTGCCGCCGCTTCCAAAAAACCCAAAGATAGAGTGCTTGATTGACTTGGAGGAATCACTGGACTTCGAGCTTCTTATTGACGGCGATGATCCCCTAGTGGACGTTTGATCTTTACGATGTTTCCTCTGGCCAATGGTCTCCCGTGTGGGATCAGTCCACGAAACGTCGAACATGATTTAGAAAGTATGGTCTGTAGCAGATTCAATCTGCCAATGGAAGGAGGGAAAGTACCCTTGAAATTGAACGATATGATCAAGAGGAGAGTAAAATTAGTAAGTATGCGTGGATATGATTCACAAAAACTCATTGTGATATATGCTTTTCGGGTAGTCCTACCATGATGTTTGTTTCAGGAGGTCGAAAATCTTATCGCTCATGCGAGGAGTTTTTCCACTCGCATGGTGACGATTCGCGGGATGTGGACTAGCACCACTCCTTATGAAGTCTCTCATATACTTCTTGCATGATATCACATCATTCAACTGCACCGTCCCGTGCGCCGAGTAAGTTCAGGTCGTCAATTCGGCTAGTGGCTTTGAAAGGTGGATGATGGAACAGTTTTTTGGAGAACACAGCATTTAGTAAGCAAGAGAAATTGAAAGATACCTAATATCCAAAAACATGTTGTGCATGGTTGGACAATTCAATGAATGATGGGTGTAATCTGGGTACAAAGAATAGAATGGGGAAGCAAGAGCATAAAGGGAGGAGGAAGGAAGGAGGCACCTTGCCTTTAACCTAAACAGGTTTAGTCGCGAAAGAGCCGCGATCATATTTCGCGATTGTGATCAGTAACAAACTTATCAAACACAACATGAACTATTTTCTTGCTCTTATCACGACACAAAACCGGTATTCGTCAATCAAACTTCTAATTAATAAATATTCTAGGGACGTTGAACGCTCTTCTTCCATTCTTCTATTTCATCCGAATTGATAAATAAAACCCGATTTAGGTTTTCGTCTGATCCACTTCATAGCTCAATATCTACTCTGTGGTCATGATTTTCAGGTGATTATTGTATAACCTGCACCCTCCCGAATTATATCGTCTTCTATCTGTTTACCCCCCTGTAGTGTTCACCACTTTCTGCAAATCTCATGCAGCTACGGTCGGGATCAGGCCCAAAAGCTATGTCATGCAAGCCATACAGAGGTATCACAGGATGATCATTGGAGGTGATGTTTCACAACCGAAGCCACAAACTCACGAGAGCCCTTGATTAGACATAAAGAAGTGGTAGTACCTGCATTCATTATTTCAATATTTCCCATGGGGGTATCCAATGCTTATGAACCTCATCGAGCTGCTGAGAATTATGCCAAGAAAATTTACCGGAAAGAATAACACGAGTCCCGGAAACGTCGATTCACAAGATATTCCGATCTATCACAGAGAGGCGTTCCCTAACCATTATCACTCAAATGCCATTATCCGTTGATTAGTTTGCGAACCAGACTGAGCCTATCATTGTGTTCCCGTTGTCTCTCTTGCCGAATTAGGCGGTCCTACGCGGTAGTTTACAGTGATACCCCTCTTGATCCCCAGTTTCAAAGGGTCAAGGACTACTTTATACAAGGAAAAGTGAACTCACAAAGTCTTTATTGTTTTGATCATGGGGGGCTGGCAAAATTGATTGAATTGCAAATTGAAGTTTACATTCCGATCCATTATCTTTGACTGCCAAAAAGTTCCATCTTCTGTCCAGATGCTTCCGCTGTCATTCCAAAAGTTTGTTCGGAAAAACACTCAAGCTTTTTACCGTTACTGTATAACTTCTAGGAGTTTCCCACGTTCTAATCGTGCGCTTCAAACTTGCGAAGAAACAGTATCGCTGTCTACGAATCATGCTATCTGTCAAAGAATATATCAACAATCTCAATACGAGAGCTTCCAAGTCAACATTTGGCAGGGTCTTTCGTCTTGATGGATGTGGCCATGTATTTCTTCAAATAGCGAATCTGATTTATCTGTTGCTAAACAATACCAGGAACAACAAAAGAAAAATGCCAAATTCATCACGGAAGTCAGAGCTGGGGTGACGACCTTTTTCACAATGGCATATATCATTGCTGTCAATGTATGATTCTGGAGATATCTGATATTAGGCTATAGCTAACATTGCTTGAAGTCAACAGTATTATCACAGAGTGGTGGTACTTGTATCTGTTATGATACTGAAGATCCGTCATGCGCAACGGATTCTACCTACGCCGCTTGTGTTCTTGGTCAGTGAATATATCAATTCGAAAAACGTGTTGTATATGCTGATAAAATCTAGATATAAATCGCGATTTGATTACAGCCACTGCTGCAGTAGCAGGAATAGGGTCTCTCGCATTTGGTTTCTTCACTAATCTACCTGTCGCCTTGGCGTGAGTTGCTCTGCAGAAATCTCCCACGACTGAACACTAATATTTTTAGCCCCGGGATGGGTCTCAACGCATATTTTACTTATCAAGTTGTTGGATTTCATGGGACTGGCACTGTTCCCTATCGCTTGGCTCTCACGGCTGTGTTTGTGGAAGGATTTATCTTTGTTTTCTTATCCCTGGTTGGCATGCGGCAATGGCTTGTCAAGGTAATACCTGCCTCGATAAAGGTCGCAAGTGGTGTCGGAATTGGTCTGTTTTTGACTGAGACTGGAATGTCATACTCCGCAGGAATAGGTGCCGTGACTGGCTCTGCAGTAACTCCGACCGCTTTGGGAGGATGTCCTCCTCAATACCTCGACGTTACAGGAGCCTGCACTAGTCATCAGATGACCAACCCTACAGTGAGAACTCTCTTTAATTTTACTCTCACTACAAAATATTTACTGATTTTTTATTGCAGATGTGGATCGGAATTATCTTTGGAGGATTTTTAACTGCGTACCTGATGGCATTCAGATTTAAATCTGCGATAATAATTGGCATTGCAATTGTGTCTATCTTTTCATGGCCGTAAGTGTTACCAACGAGATTCTTCTTCGCCAAGCTTACATGTGTTGCATCAGACGCGGTACAACCTTCACATATTTTCCTTACACGCCTGATGGCGAATCACGTTTCCAATTCTTTAAACAAGTTGTCGCGTTCCACCCAATTCGCAATACTCTTGCTGCACAAGACTGGGACATTACAGCTGCAGGCTCTCACTTTGCGTTAGCACTTTTTACGTTCTTATATGTTGACATCATCGATTGTACGGCTACATTATATTCCATGGCACGCTTTTCAGGAGCAGTTGATCCAAAGACTGGCGATTTTCCTCGATCTACAATAGCCTATTGCATAGACGCAATGACAATCTCCATTGGCTCTTTGTTCGGATGTTCACCTGTAACTGCATTCATTGAGTCCGGCGCTGGTATAACTGAGGGTGGCCGAACTGGCCTAACGGCCATCACAACCGGTATCTGCTTTTTGATATCAATCTTTTTTGCTCCAATATTTGCATCAATCCCTCCATGGGCCACTGGTTGTACTCTTATCTTGGTGGGATGTATGATGATGCGTCAAGTTGTTTCAGTCAACTGGTCTTATATAGGCGATGCCCTTCCAGCTTTCGTCACTATCGTCTCAATTCCTTACACCTATTCCGTCGCCTATGGACTCATTGCTGGTCTAATGACCTATACTGCTCTCAATGGATCCGTATATTTGACACAAAAGATTTCGACGGGTAGACTGGCTCCACCGGATGCTGACAATGCGGAATACTGGACATACAAACCTAGTGGTGGTACTGCACCATGGTTTATCAGAGTGGCTCATCGAAAGTTCTGGCATAGAGGTGATATGGAAAGTATCGATGGGAATTCGGCTACTATGGAGCATGAGTTGGCTGAGAAAAGACACTCCGAGATTAGATCCTCGGACCTTTGATCTTGTTGATACTTGTACTCTATGCTTCTTACTCGTGGTGGATTCTTGGTCAATCTTTACAGCGCGTCAAGTGTTGCTCAGAGCGTCGAAGTTAAGTTTCATAATATAATATTCTTTTGAAGGGTATTTGTGGTCATGATAGATGGATGGCTGATGAGAAAATATTAGCTTGTTCAGTTAGTATAAGCTTTTGGACGTATAGATGGGATGGATGCATGGATACACGGGTGGATGGATGACGGATGAATGAAAGATCGAAGCAATGTAATGACTTTCTTTAGGAGAAAGATAGGATATGAATCAATAGTCTTTTGTTCCGGAAAGCTTTGCTACTGCAAGAAATTTCTCGAAATAACTTGAGACTTCGATACTGCTTTCCGATCCATTTTAAAAGATCGCTGATAGCTTTTCCTAGACATTTTGCCCATTTAAAGGTTTAGATCCAAGTACAAAGAATCAGGTGGTACGAACTGCGTTTGAATTCAAGTATAAAGTATATAAACCAACTAGTTGTTGAAGATGATAGCAAGTTGCCGTAAAACTATTTACTATTCATGTTATCGAGTTCAGGTAAGAACATATGTGACTTCCAGAAAGAACAAGGCTAGGAAAGTAAATCAAGTGTTGTTGATTAATGAGAAATGGAATTTTTCAAACTGTGAAGGAACGGGATTGAACTTCAATCATTGAAGAGTATGAAATTTTTTAATGGTGGTGAGATTTAAGATTCTTGGACTAAGGGACATATCATATATGAAAATTAAGATGTTTTGGTTAATCAGAATCAACAGGGACATAAACGTACCCCCCTTTACCTCCATAGATACCTTTTCCCTTTTGCCTAGGCAAATTGTCTAGCATTATCTTTTTTTCCTCATCAGTTTTGGAACCTCCAGTTGGAACCTGTCTGACAGCTCGACTAGAAGAACCATGGCTGCGATGCGATGCCCTTCTAGACCCTCCATTTTCGGTCTTTGGAGGAATTGAAGCCGAGTTAGCGGAGTTTCTAGGTCCACCACGTGTCTGCGGTGGATTCTTAGTCGAAGATGAAGGGGTACTGGACTGAGCAACTGGTGGCCTCTCAGTTGAAGACCCTCGCGGGGTAACTTTGATATTGTCGCCGGGTCTTCCTTCTCTAGGTCGTTCTGGAAGAGCAGGGCGTGATGTAGATGCTGCTGCTGGCTGTTCGCTTGCTCTTTTTAGAGGGGCTGAGGGCTTTTTGGGTTTTGAAGTCCCTCCTCGATTAGCGGTGTCGTTGGTAGAAGGCGGTGTTACATTTGTAGCTCCTTCTTTAAGATTTCCATCATTGCTACCTCCAGAAGCACCTGCTTGTTTGGGAGGGGAATAAGGTGGGTAAGGACTCTTAGTAGTTGCGCTATTCCCTTGATTCATGATGAAAGTCAAAGCTTTGCACACTTCCGTGCTATATTTTTTCTCCCACCCAGTCCCCGAGGCTTTATCTTCTTTGGGATCCATCGTTTTGAACATTTCCAATGTTCTCATGATTTCAAAAACTTCCTTTTCCACCTGTTCTTTGTCAGCTGAGTATTTTTAAAGTTGAGAAATTCTCACATTTTTGGGCTTCCAGCCATTTTTAAACTTGGAGATGACTTCTTGAATATTTGCAATTGATGTCAAAGAACAAGCAGAACCAATGGCATCCTTATCTGTAAATACCTTATGTACAAGAATGATTTCGCTCATTGGCTTTTGTTCGTAGCTTATCTTGTCGGATGTGAAGATATATAAATGATGCCGTTTGTGATTTGGCATCGGGGGGAAAATGATTTTATGTTCTTGCTTGTCGCGATTAACGCGATAGTAGATATCTCCGCTGTATTTGCTGGGTGCCATTTCGAGTTGGTTGTTTTCAAAGCAGAGAAAGAGGAATTTTGAGATTGATAGATAGGATGTATTCGAAAGATATGATCGAAGTCTTTAATATTTTTGAAGTAGTTGTTTTGATATCAGACTAAATGGCCTCAAGCGACGCTCTTTATAAACATTTCAATTTCCAACACGGATGTTGTAAGATGTTACCTTAATCTGTTTGATGGTCAGAATAATGGTGACAGCTAGGTAGCAGCTAGGTAACAGCAAATATTATGGTCGCGATATGAAGTTGGTCAAATATGGTCTTGTGGGGCCAAAATAAAGGCCTCATTCTAAGCACAGCACATAATATTCAGCATGTCTTTCAAATCTTCCCAAAAATCCTCAAAAAGATGCATTTTTGGTCGAGACAATAAAATCCGAGCGACTTTCAAGAGCTAAAACTAACTGAATGCCTTCAAAAGGCGAAAAGTCAAATGTAACTCGCATATCATGTGATTCTATAAGAGTCTCTAATTCGCTGAATTGATATAACTAAACTAAATATTTGGAGAAAGTCTCAAAGTCTTTGAAATAATGGTTCAAAAGCTATCCTCAATTGAAGTTTCTCAACGTCCCAACAAATCCTTTTGAGCGATAGGTTTGCAATGGAACTTGCTGAGCAAAATCTTACATTACTACCTAGTCATAGCTTATTATTCATCATTCACTGGTGCCATTTCGCATGATGATACAAAATCAAGAGCGTTGATTTTGGTCGTACTACCGACATGTAGATACATTAATTGGTAAACATCTCGGATCATCCGGATAGCCATTTCCGAAGTCTCTCCTAACCCCCCAACCCCTCTCCCCCCAAACTTTCACAAAAAGACAAGGCCAAGCGAAAGCTCGAACTCGGATATGCCATAAATTGTCTTGAATGAATCTCTTAGCAAGAATTACTGAAAATCAGATTCGAGAAATCAAATCAAAAAACCAGAATTAACAAAACATAACCTTAAACGAGGGCAAGAAAGGAAGAAGTTTGATAAGAAAGTTGAAAGACGCGAAAAAATTCATATCTGTTGTGAATTCAAAGATAAAACATCAGATTGTTAAGATTGGGATGCCAGGGATTAGTCCTACTCTGACGAGGAGCATTCCAAATGCCTGCATTACTTCGATAGAAATCCAGGTTATTTGGAGACGTGGCAGCAAAATCACTGTCCAGAGCCGGCTTCATATAACAACGCATGCGATCACATAAAATATCCGCGTATTTAGCCGGGGTGCAGACTGACAAGGCTTTGAATGCCCTAGAACCCGTGAAACAGATAGTGTTCGTCTAGATCCTTTGTCAGCAAGGCCGTACCATCGTGAGAGAAAGAGTTGCTTACAGTTTTGTGAATACTTTCCGGTGTGTAATCACTCTCATTTATGATTACAATGTAGTGTGCGCTTCTTGCTGTTCCAAGTGCGCTATCATGACTCTGAAGATAGAAACTGAAATGATTAGGTGTAACTACCCCTGTATCAATCAGCAAGCCGGACGAAAGGTTGTTGTTAAACTTTTGAGTTTTCGCCAATTTAGGAAAGAAGCGGGTGTGATGGCGCTTTCCAACCACGAGAAGAGTGATCTTTGGGCACCAATTCTGTCCTTTCCCATTCCTTGTACCGGCCGCTCTGCATCCAGCTTTGATGCGAGGAATTTCATCTATCACAACCATCCCGTATTGACTTTCACTGACACCGTCGCGATAGAATAGAATGTGCTCAGGCAAATCATTGTTGACAGTGTAGTATCTATCAAGACGCTCTCCGATCATATCCGCAAGGTCGGCAATCGACTATATCTCTTATGTTAGGTTCAATCTTGTGATATTTGCAATTGATCGCTTGATAACACATACCTCGGTGTTGTTCTCTTGGAGGCGAGCGGATGCAAAGTATTGAGAGCATTGTTGATCACAAGTAGCTACGACCCCTGCCATTGAAGGGCAGGTTGCATCCCTACCTTTACCAGCATGGGAAACATCCGCTCCAACGATCATAGTATTTGCCTTCGCACCAGCCCAGAAGATTCTTTGGCCTGCCTCGTCGTTAAGGAAATGGCTAACGCCTCCCAATTTGAAGTTTATCTTGAGACTAGTCAAGAATTAGCATCGAAGTTAGTATTGAATTGGGTTTCTAAAGACAGACCTGATATTAGAAATAACTCCAACATCCGAGTGAAATCTGCCTCTGATCCATCTCCCTTTGGCAAGCACACCCTTGGTGATGCAAATTGTCGGGATACCTGCGACACAGTCACCCCACCACTTTATATTTGCATAGGTACGTATATTCTTGTCGGGGACTACTACGAGAAGTAGTCTCGGGTTTCTGCTACTATTTCTTGAACGTAAAGCTGCTAGGGCTGCATTAAGTCCAATACAAAAGTTCGACCTATTTAGCGAAAACGCAGCGTCGCAAACACTTTCATTTCCTGTTATTGTGACACCATAGTCTCCAATTCTCCTACTGAGATCTCGGGCAAGATTCATCACTTCTGCTTTATCAGCATTATTTTCGACATTGAGTCGAATGATATGCAGATTAGAAATCGAGCTTCCAGTTTCAGCAAACTTGAAGATGCGACCGTTATCTTTGAGCATCCAGGAAGATCTGTTCATTGGTTGCTTGGATATGTCAAACTGGGAACCTCCTTTAAATTCCAGTATAGGCTGACGAAGGTATCTAGGAACGACCTCTTCAAATTTATCATTGATACTGAGGCCGAATTGCTATTTTTGTTAGTGACCATAGTGTTTGCCGACATCTCTCTACTTACTGAGAAGGAACCTGTGGTAGCTGGGATTCCTAGAGAAGGCAATGCACTGTTCAGAATTAACCTCTTGTTGGTTTCGGGCAGGTTCTGAGCAATCTTTATCATTAGGCTGCCTAAACGTTCCGGGAGTTGCTTCTTGAAGATTTGTCCCGCAACGATCCGCAACTTATCAGCCGGGTACCATTTCGGATCATTTGTTGTTCCCATATTCAAGCAGCAGGTAGTGGGACTGAATGTCAACAAGTGATACTCTGTATATTTTAGCAAGGAATCTCTGCAGCGTCGATACGAGTAGCTAAAAGGATTAACTTACTATTTCTCATGTGGTCATAAACAGAGGTATTCTGGCCCTGGGTTCCGTCGGCGTTTGTAGGCGTGAAATTGACTCGACTAACATTTAGACTATTGACATCACGAATGACTCTAGTTTTAGGAATTGGACCGTCGCCACTGAAAGTAACTCGCAGGCCTATAAGGTCAGTCTGTTCGTTGACTGGCGGAATTTCTTGTCCCCAACGCAATCTGATCCAATTACTCAGTATTTCTGGTGGAAAAAAAGCTGAGGTCACGGTGTTGACATTCAACAGCACCGATCCAATAGCTGGCCGCATCGATGTAAAGAATCCAGCCCTTATTAGAAATATTGTTTCATTGACCGATGGAATCCTATGGTCAGGAATCACACCCCCAACAGTAGGATAGAATCTATTTCCCACACGGAATCCATCAAAAAATGGTGTATTCTGTGGATCATAGCCGTTAATTCTGAACCACGAGATAATGTTTAGCATTCTAAGGTCCGCATCTGGTAAGAATAATGAATCACTCGAAGACACATGCGTGTCTAAAGCATCTCTTTGAAAAGGGCCTTCGTAAACGATGAGGCTTTGCATTGGAACCAAGGCTTGATCTCGACCAGGACGATGATGAAGAATCTCGACAGTCGCTCCCGGCGCATCAGTTAAATTCTCATAAAGCTTGCCGACAGAGACAATGTATTCCGAATAGTCCGAAACCCATATTCCTGGAGGAGGGTTCTGTTGGAGTAGCCCTTTGATCAAAGTACGGCGAAGCTCACGCTTGACAACGTCTTTTGAATTGATTTGGTCGAGTTGAATCCTGTATCTCCGCAGATCAAGATAAGATTTGAAGGTGACTTTGAAGTAGTTGGCTTGAACAGGATCAGGCAAATTGACGTCTCTAGCTTCAACATTGGCAGGTGTTGTCCGACGATGGACTAATTGCTGGAAACCACCTGCCCGCTTTTCTTCTTCAACTTCTTTTTCTGTCTTTGCTGGCGGGGTGAAATTTGCGACTAATCTTACCGAGCCTGGTGGGAGAAGTTGAGCTTGAGTTGCATGGGATTGAACAACTTGTGGTACAGAGGTTGCCGTTGAGGGGACACTTTGCGAGGGGCCTGCAGATGAAGTCGACGGGACTGTATGTGGCTGATTCCTTGGGGGATTTCTTCTTATGAATGCTTCATACTTCTCTCTCGTATACTGTTTAGGGTCAGGAGCCTTTATGGAAGGACAAAATTTGCTGTTATGCAGATGTCCGCAAATGCCACAAATATTATGAGCACTATTCTTCTTGGGACAGAGAGAACATGAATGACCGGGATCGAAACAAATATCACAAACTTGGTCTTTCCAGAATGGCCAACTTTTCTCGCAGGAATGTGTTTTGTGCTGAGTGTTCTCTGGTGCGTTGGAACATTTTGAGCATTTACGTCCTTCTGAAGACATCTTCCGCAAGCCTGAGATCCTTCGAGAAGTGAATTTACGCTCGACAGAGTAAAGAGATCTAGTCGAACCGATGCTCAAATCGATGCTCAGTCTTTTCTTCACTACTTATACTTCAATTCCTCACAATGATTTGATGAGATCCCGGATCTGCTGAGCTGCCGTTGGCCGCCTACTGATTCACAAGCAAAGCAGTTTGATATGACATTTACCAATTCTTTACGAAAGGTAGGAAACAGAAAACAAGACTGCTTTGAATCTGGTTGATAAAGATTCCTTTTGGACACATCAGTGTAGCATATTCAACTTCGAAGTTGATTAAGGCAATACAGAAGGACGTCAATAGACCAAGATGCAAACGTGGTGCGATTTCTTTAAAGGTTTGCAGTTGGAGACAATCGAGACGAGATCCAATGTGGAAGTCAGATGTGCAAACTGATTGAAGAGTATATCTAAGTTACCATGATTTGCTAGTTTTGATCCGAGAATTTGACAAACCAGCGGTACATTCAATTTACGCTCAGTCGGGGTATTCAATGGTCCGGATTGTAATCCAACAATAAAAGATTTTGAATGTCTAAAAGTAGTCAAAAATTCGGACATGATTCAATATCGCAATCAAATCCAAAGTTTAAAATTATTCGGATGTTCTAATTGGCTTAAGGATTTGGTAATCTTTGTTGATGGATTGCAGCCAAGACTGTACTTCCAAAATAGAAGGACACTTGTCGTAAATCGCGCATAGAATGTCACACTTTAGTTTCGCCGATATGCCTATGATTGCAAGACAAAGATTATTGCTGGAGCACGCGTTTTGTTAAAAACTCAATGGGTTGGAGAACAACTTCAGAAGCTTGACTCTAATTCTGATACAAGTTGTATATACGACCCAGCGGCACACCAACTCATAGCACAAGCTAGCAATTAAAAAGTATCCAATAGGTTTCTAACAAAGAACTGAAACAGCTCAAAATCCACAACTAGCATGATTAATCAAACCCGAAAGTAAAACACTTGAAAATCACTCAGAAAGGATTCGGGAAAAATATATATACTCTCATGTAAATTACAAATAGAACATGATTTTGTTCAAATTAGAGTGCCAGGGATTAGTTTGATTTAATCCAGGGCAATTCATGCCTGCTGTGCCCGTGATAGTGAGCCAGTGGATCTTTGCTCTTTTGAATCTGAGCCTTTGTACGACGAATTTCTCCATCCAACTCAGGCTTCATATAAAATCGCAGCCGGTCGCAAAGAATATCGGCATACTGCGCAGGAACGCAGACAGATAATCCCTTTGTGGCACGAAAACCCACAAAACTCAATTTATGTGTCTGGAAGGAGAGTTAATGTGGGCGTCTCAGCAGGATATTAGATCTTACCACTCGTTCTAATTGCTTCAAAGTCAATTCACATTGATTAGCGGTGACAGTGTAGTGAGCTGGACGTGCTGTTCCCAGTGCAGAATCATGACTTTGAAGGAAAAAGATCATTTGATTAGGATTCACGATGTGCTTGTCTACCACCAGACCTCCACTTATATTCTCGGTACTATTGGTCAACTTGAGCGGAAATAAACGGGTGTGGTGGCGCTTCGTGACGACTAGCAACGTGATACGAATATTAGATTTCCCTTGCTTCTCCGCAAATTCCTTACAAGCTTTGTAAATTTGTGGAAGCTCTTGCGTGAGTGCCATGCCAAATTGACTCTCACTAATGCCATGACGGTAAAATAAAATATTCAAGGCAAGATTCCCTTCGTTATTTCCCTGATAAAGCTGTAGTCTCTCTTTGATCATGCCGCCTAGATCTGAGACAAACTATGAGAAACGAGTTAGTAGACAGTCAAAATGAAGTTTCCAAGAAGCAATGATATACGGAGTACCTCTTCGTTGTTTACCTGAAGGCGAGCAGATGTAGCAAAGCGACAGAACTTAGAATCAAAAGAAGCGACTACGCCGGCCATGGATGGGCATTCAGGATCCAACCCTTGCCAGGATGACTAACATCAGCACCGAAAATCATAAGCGAATCATTTTGGACGGACTCGATGTGTTCCGATGGCTCTTTGACATCACCAATGATATGGTTTGTACCACCAAGCTTGAAATTAGCTTTGAGGCTAGTTTACACATTAGTCAAAATTTGCACAGGCACTACATGAATGTCATGATGAACATACCTCAAGTTGTCTAGAATATCAGAACTTTTCTTTACCACCGCTGATGGGCAAACGCAAACCGTTGCTATTCCAAGATTACAATCTCCCCACCGTTTGATATCAGAGTAGACTGCGGCGTCTTTGTCGGCCAGTATCAAAAATACCATACGAGACTTGTCGCCTCTCATCAGGTAAGTAGTTAAAAGACCATTGACTACTTCTTGTCTCTCGGCCGTAGAATTGAAAGGCTTTTTGTCTTTGTTTACCTTTTGCCATGCAACGGTGGGTCCGTCCCATTTGAAAGGTTGTGTCTGAAGGCCATGTCCTTTCAGTTGACTTGCGAGAGCCTTGGCAAACTTCGAAACGATCTCTGTCTGATTATCAGAAATCATGTCCGCTCTAGTCACATGAATAATGATAAGCTCATGGTATCTTTCGGCTTTGTTGAAATCTTTCACATCGCTAGGGTTCCAGGAGGCACTGACGAGTTTCTTAGTTTTTCCGGGTTTGAATGTGAAAAATGGATGGTCCAACCAGCTCGAGGGTACATTTAAGAGCTCTTTTTCCAGGGTCAAGCCATTTTTCTGTACAGGTTAGTCTACAATTTTCCAAAAAAGATTCTGGTATTTCACCTCATATGGAAATTTTCACGGCTCAATCTGAGATACCTGGGGTTTTATGTCCAGTGGTATGAGAGCTTTGTTCATTATCTCTTGTTCATTTTGAAATGGCGTTTTCTTAGCGAATCCCAACATTTGCGCAGTGAATAGATTGTCCGATTTCCCATGGACTGTTTGCCACTCGCAAATCCGTAGATGATCTGCTGGCAATAGTTTTGGATGAGAACTATTTCCAACATTGACACAAGAAGCAGCCTTGTTAAATGTGTGAACGGAACCAGGGTAGCCTACATTGTAGGTTAACGGGCTATTGCTTCTGCTCGGCAAAACTTCTACTTACAGCTCTGCATGTATTTCCAGACCGATTCTGAGAAATCATTTGAAGATGATACTTCCGATTTCACCTTCTCAACGCACAAATCGTGCACACCAGAGATGACATATTTTTTTTTGGGAAACTTGTCTAAATCGAAGGTTACTTGCAATCCCTTGATTTCATTTTCTCAGCTCGCGGAGCAACACCGGTATAACTAGACCAATGTCCCCAGCGCGCATCCAACCAAGTTTACAGCTTCATCTTGGAAGGGAAGAAAGCCGTTGTGGTTGTATTTACATTGAGAAGTATGAATCCGAGGCCAGGACGCATAGACGTGAAGAATTCCATGTGTACATCGTACACATAATGCTGATGAAGCTTGAACCTGGCGTTAGATCGATTAAGAATCCATTGAGGCTTGCAATAAGGATGAAACTTTTTTCCAACTCGATCTCCTTTGAAGGAAGAACTATATATTGTCTCCCATGATATGAGGCTCAGGATTCTAAAGTCTTCAAGGGGCACGTAAGTTCTGTTCTGTCCTGAAAGTCTCGTGTCTGTTAACTGCGAAGTCAAACTTTTTGTTGCTCGCGAATAGTTTTCGAGAGAATCTATGTCAAAAAACCCTTCGAAGTATAGAGTACTGGTCGTATTTGTTGTTTGCTTTCGATCATTGAGTTGGATAGTTTGCTGGTGTCCAATGAATATGGCAGAGCCCGCTTCGTCCGAGCGTTCGCGGTAGAGGGGATCAGCAGAAATGATATAAGAATAGTAGTCGGATGTCCATGAGGTGCTACGAGGCTTGTGTTGCTTGAAGATCCCCTCAATTAAGTCTCTGATGTCTTCTATATCTCGTAGCGGTAGCTGAAGCTTGCCAAACACGATTTTGTATCTGCGTATTCTAATTTTTTGCTCGACAAGTTCCTGAATTGGTCGCACACGAAAATAGTTCGCTTGTATGAACTCATTTTCCTCTGGCCCTTCCTCCGAAGCCTTTGGCAATTCTAGGCTCTGGATCGCATCATTCGAATCTTTTGCTCTGCTTGAGAGAGGCGCGGAGCCTCTTGACTGCTTGAGAGTCTCAATCTAAACAAACCATTGTTTCCAGACCTTACATTTTTAGAGCTTGGCATTTTCGCCATGGTAGTCTGAGAGGAAGCAAGTAAGTAAGGGAAGTGAAGGTGATCTGGTATTAGAATAAATGAATGTGAATATGTGCTTACTTATATTCCTTTCTCATCAATGGTCACTGTTTGCGCATCTTGTGAAAGGCAGAGATATTATGACTCTATACTGGAAACCTGGAAGCAGCTATGGCGATGGGTTCACAGACAAAGGAAACAATCAAGGCGATTCTGAGTGAGAAATCTTTTGGAGCGCGAAAGGTGAATAATTCCCGTTATAATCAATTGACTCACCAGATATGCAAAGTGACAAAAATGAGTGAGTATCGTTGATCACAAATAGCTTGCTATCAAACGATAGATTGCACACATAAATGTTGACTCCAATAATCAACGTATTTGCTTCCACACCAGCCCGAGAGATACTTTAGCCTGCTTGGTTTCAGGGAAATGATTAACACTTCCCAGTTTGTTTTTCTTAACATTGGCCAAGAGTATTAGCATAGACATGAATGCTCTTGAGTAATTGCGCTGCTAGCATTGCAATCGGGAAACGGACATTTCGCCGACTTCCTAAACTGCATGATAAAGCTAGAGGCTGTGGTCGAAGTACACAACCACACAACTACCCAAATGGCCAATTACCTAGGTATGAAATTAACAATTTCTTGAGGCCATTGAATTTTGATTGGCAGAGATTCTCGAATTTTGAGAAAATTTTGATATACATTATCAATTCATTGGCACTTATTTGGGTGGTCACATGCTAAGTTTACATAACCGGCATGTCAAAGCTTGTTGTATCAAAGTCCAGGGTAATCTACAATTACTGTCCGAGCCTGGAAGATGGCGACCACCAATGAACAACACAAAGTCTACTCTCTTGCGTATGACGGCTCTGAAAACAATGTGAATGACGCACACTTTGAGTTTGCACAGATTAAAGATCTCTCAAATACTGCTTTTGGGGGGTCTGCTACCAATTTTAAGCCAGAAGAATGGCTTTCTACGGAAGAAATCCGCGTATGGGTGTCTGGCAAGACAATCAACACAACCAAAGGCAATGATCACAGCAGACTCTATAAGACTATCATCAATCCATACGAGATCCGTGTGCTTGAGATTAAGCCGGGGTGTAATAATGAAAAGCTACGTGGTTCTTTGCATCATTGCTCAGTCGAGTTTGAGTACGACACCATCGTGGACCAATTTGGACTTCGCAGAACGACAAACACAATGCATGCGCTTTCTGTGGAGAATCTGACAACCCCGATTTGGTATACAGCACTAAGCTACACCTGGGGCTCATCGAGTATGGATGGAAGTATTGAATGTGATGGACACGAGAAAGCGATCACAACTTCCCTCGAGATAGCACTGCGAAACATGCGGAAGGAAGACCATCCCATCGTCATGTGGATTGACCAGATTTGTATCAATCAAGAAGATAATAGAGAAAAGGAAATGCAGATTCCGCTGATGGCAAGAATTTATAAGCATGCATTTAACACCGTAATCTGGCTAGGGCAGTGGGGACCTGATTCCGACTCTGTAATACAACTCCTCAAGGATATCAATATCACATTGCTGTTTAATCAGTCAAATGTCGATTCCGAAAACTTTGAGAGAATGCAACTACCGAGATCCGACTCGAAGACCTGGCATGCTCTCTGGAGATTTCTCTCGCACCCATGGTTTACGCGGCTCTGGATCATTCAAGAGGTCATGCTCTCTAACGACCCATGGATCATGTGTGGCGACGAGCTACTTATGTGGGACGAGTTTTCAAAAGCTGTGAATCACCTGTCGACATGTGGAATATTTCAATGGCTGCAGCTTAAATTTGCTAACGTCGAGGACTCAAGTGAACTCGGTGATATCAGTCAAACTGTACTGGGGCTGACTCGTCAACGCGAACATTATCGCAGCGCTAGTGATGGGACACACATCTTTGAGAATCTTGTAAGCACGCGAGGTGGTCAATGTTTTGATCCGCGAGATAAGATTTATGGGCTTCTTGGGGTATGCAGCGATGCGGACAAATTTCACATCAGGTACTCGGATTTTACAGAAAACCAACTTTACCACGACGTAGCAATTAACTCATTGACCAAAGACATACAAATTTTAACTCCAAGCATCGTTTTTAAATCCATAGACCATGAGTCTCTTGATCTACCCTCCTGGGTGCCTGACTGGAGAAAGCACCGACAAACACATGAACTCGGGACTTATAATGCCAGCGGATCCTTCAAGTTCAAATCGAATAACGTATATGTCAAAATCAACAATGAATCTAGGAATGAGCTCCGAATACGGGGAGTTCCATTTGATTCTTTAATAAGAACCAGCGCAACTATCACACATCCCGATCTCACTTATCTCAACCCACACAACGGCAACAAAAGTCTCTTGGAACTCTGGACTTTCGTCTCAAAATCAAAACATTATCCAAGTTCTCATACAGTCTTTCATGCTTTTTGGCAAACCCTCGTAGGAAGTAAAACCGACTCCGGAAGACTTCCATGCCCAGATTCCTTCGCTGAAATTATCAGTCTCCTCCTCGATGCATCTACGGGTCAGTCTCCATCGCTGTCAGGCCAAACGTATTCACCGCGACAGCAAAAGCCTCTTGGAAAGGGCAGGCTCGAATTAGATAATCTTGCACACAGAGTACTGGGACAGACGTTTCAAGAGGTGCGCGAGGCCATGAAATATGTGCTCAAGAATCGTAGGTGGGGGATCACGAGAAAGGGGTATTTTGGTTTATTTCCTCGCTATGCAGAGGAACGTGATATAGTGTATGTGATGGATGGTTGCAATGTCCCATATTTGCTAAGAGAGGTTGATGGGGAGAATAGGTTTAGGTTGGTGGGTGAGTGCTATGTTTTTGGGATCATGGATGGGGAGGCTGTTCGGGGAGAGGGATTTGCTTTTGAGGAGATTATTTTGGTTTAAACCAGAGCTTGCGGTGGCTTTGAGAATGATCTAAATCGATGACTGCTTCTCCAAACATCTCTCGCTATCCGGAGGTTAATCGGCATTCTACTTAGCCTTGCTTAGCAAGATATAATGAACTTGGGTTTTTTTGCAGGTGGAGAGGGAATGATGAGTCGAAGCAATGTGATTAAATTCCATCTGATTTCTATCTAGAAATGAAGAGACATACACTTGGGTGTCTTTCTCATCTAAAAGTCGTGGATTTTTTCCAGAAATTAGATTTTCCTTCTGCTTTACATCTCCACAAGTATCCGTCAACTTCGAGATTGAATATGTTTTCCACTCCTAACGAGTACTGTCTCATTACCCTTAATCACATGTCTTTTGAATGACTTTAGAATAAACCCGGTTAATAAGTGTAAAGTACTTTAGTATACTATGATTGTAACCTTTCTTGATCATTAGAATGATGGGAAGCGAGTTCTATGAAGAAGCGCTACCGCTTCGTTAGCTGATAAAGTGTTCACAATGTTCTCTCATGATCACATGATCGATACCTTGATAAATACTATCCGTTTTTTTCTGGATGAGCAACATCATCATCATTGGCGTTTCGATTCAATTCTTCTTCTAAGCTTCATCTCAAAATTAATCCACTTCAAAGCTGTGAAGGGGTGTGTAGAACGTTGTGATCGTGTACAAGTAATAATCAACATTTTCTGCGTCCTTTTGGCGTTTATTCTCACTGGCACTTCCAAGATTAAAAGGGTCATGTCAAGTCTGGCGCTATAATTTAATTATTATAATCACCTATATAGCATCCTTTGCGCGTGAAAAGTTACGAAATATACGTAGATACGTAGTAGTGGTTTGTTAAGCCAGATAACATGAAACTTGCATCCCAAAACGAAATATCGTCCCCGAAAAGAAAACTTGCGCTGTTCTTTGCCCGTGTATTTCATTCTTTCGTCTGTTTTTACCTCGATAGATGATTTGCTAGCCACCAGTGACATAATGTGCACCTGCAAGATCGCAAGGTCCAACAGAGGCAATACTGAAGAATCCACCTGTGTCTTCCAAATCAAGTTGTTCCTGGGTTTCAACGCCGGAGGGGCAAGTAGGTGGTGGATTCGCAATGCCTGATACAGCAGGTCCATCGCTAACCAAATAATAACAGAATGACTCTACTTCTGGGTCGGGACCTTGGAAAGAGAAAGCCACGCAGTCAACTGATTCCCAGCAGGCCCTACAACAATCCGCTTTTGTTGAATCTTGGATAAAGACCGCGTCGAGGACTCGTCCACCATCAATGAAGGCGTATGGACCAGGGATTGGCATTTGATCGCAGTAACTTGGAGGTGATGGGGTTTCTGTGACAATCACAGTAGTAGTTGTAGTCGCAGTTGTAGTGGTAGAGATCGTGTTGGTCAGCGTTTCAATTTGGGTGATGGTATTAACCGCTGTTGTAGTGACCTAGTTCATTTCATGTTAGCGAGCTTTTGTGAACAATCTTTCTTCCTCCGCATCTCAAGCTTTTCGAAGTAGAGAAATGAAGAAAATATCTTATACAGAATACAAAGCTTACTGTGACAAAGGTGACTGTTTGAACTTGAGAAGTGACCGCAGAAGGCGTGGAAGTCGCGGTGCTAGTTTGCTGTACGGTGGATGTTACGGTAGTACTGGGAGTTGGCAATGACAGACAACTGCAAGCGGATGATATCTTAGAAGCTGCGAATATACTCAAATATGGTGGAATTGGTGGCGGGTTTCGAGCGTCAATTTGCGCATTGTCGATCAGTGGCTCCGGTGATCTCTTTACGGTGACTCCCGTTGTAGTCGACGTTATGGTGATCGTATTAGTCGCCGTAAGTGTTTGCGTAGTATCAACTGTAGAAGTTGCAGTGGCCAAAGTAGTGATGAGCTACGGAAACGAGCTATTAGTAGGGCAATACGAAATCACGAAGGTAGAAAAACACTCTTCAGAGTATGGAAAAATCTTTCAACAGGAGAATGCAGAAACAGTGCTCTGTCAATCTTTGAATGAAGGAAGGGCTACCAACAGAAGTCAAAGTTCGAGTCCTATGAAGACTAATTAGCAAGATATATGCGAATGTGATAGCAGCCAGACTCACTCGGTACCCGTCACCACAGTCTTAGTCACAGTAGCTGGAGGTAACGTCTGAGTAGTTGTAGTCTTTTTGGTGGTTGTAGTGAGGACAGTTGAAGTTTGGATCCCAAGATAGGCCGAGCAGAATGCTTGACCGTGATTCAAGGTAATGAGATTGATGATGACAGTTTGAGCTAGGCAAACTAGATCGCGCTTTTCATCAAGCAGAGGTGATGCCAAACCAACTGATGCGCTGAGAGCTGCAGTAGCAGCAACGATGTTGGAGAACTTCATGGTGTTTTGAGTCCTATAATTCTCGGAGGCTATCTCGACCCAAGATGAAGAAGCTAAGGGGGCTGGAGAGTGCTGAGACGAATGATTAGGGAAAGAGCCCATTTTATAGACAAACGAGACAGGTAGTTTTCGCCGTACCAAGGGATATTTACCCAGCGGCAATCTCGCCGTCAAAATAAGTGATATAATAGACAATACCAACTTTCTAAATGCACTATGCGCCTGGCAACATGGTGGCTTCTGTCAGAATACTCATTCTGTGAGGAAAGCTGCTGATGGCTTGAAGGCGTAAGGTCATCTATTCAACTCAGCTCGAGCAATCCATGTATATAGCTTAATGAGACCGACGAAAAGTAGCATTTCAAGCCATGTAATTGTTGGCAAAGAAAGCGGCCCGAAATTTGTCACAGCGAGAAGACGGTGTTGAGTTACCACGGCAGAGGTCTTGCACATTGAGGAGCTTGATAGGCTCGTTTTACACAGAGGGAAATCGATCGGTGCGCCGAGCAGGCCCAGAGATCTGCTGGAATCTTCCGATCAACACCAGCGAGAAAGAAGGCACGCAGTTGAAATTATCACTCTCCCTTCCTATTGGAGTGTCTTTCTTCTTTGCTTCCTTTTTTCACATCATCTGCATTTCAGCAAACATTACATCCTCCTATTGCATAAGAATTTTAGCCAGGGCGTGACGGAAATCATCATCAAAAGCTGAACATGAGGCAAAGGAGGAGCGAATTGGTGGTTCCCCATCATCTAAGATATTGCATCTGGAAGTGTACCATGTTAAAAGCCAAGTATAGTCTCTCGGTGCATGGTTCAATCGAGCTAATACTACCTTAGCGCCGCATGTATGCAGATCCCAAAGATGAACACAATAAAGTGCCAAGCGGTATCGAACATCTTCGGAAAAGCTCCTACTTGATTTGCACAAAGACATCATGTAAAATGGTTGAGCAAGTGGTCGACAACCTTTCATTGATTTGTCATAGGTTCTGCAACAAGTTGGGAGGAAATGGTAATGAACTATTTTGGCAATTAACTGTCTGATTTGAGCATTCGAGGCTTGAAATATTAGGCTCAACATTTGAAGCCCATCCAAGATAAGAGGCTACGTTTCATTGCACACACTGAAGGTTTCATACCTCCTCGATATAATCCTCGGCAACATTTCTGTCAATGACTAGTCCAATTGGTTAATTTTGTTTATCACTCTAAACATCACAGCCATTATCCATCGCCAGATGTAACCCCCACGTCATATTGACTTTTCACAACATCAACGCTATCTGCGTCCATCTTCTAAAGGACTAGTGCTAGACGTTTCCTGACTTTCTAAAATCATGCGGTCAGATGGAGTGTGGGGCAAACCCTTTTTGAATATATGTGACACAACAAATTTGCGCGATGATATGGAGATGAGGAAATTGTTAGTAATTCAATAGTGGTTGATGGCTGTGAGGCCACGGAAATTAATTGATGACATCATGTGATACACCAAATTGGGTATAGGCTGTTCTTGACCGCGGCTTGAGTGGCTGTCGTAAATCTCAAGGCTGCTGAATCGGCTTGAGGGCGTTGAGTCAATAAACCTATAAGCCCCAATCACACTCAATCTGCGATATCTAGTTGAGCAATCGAAATCAATTCACAATGTATTGCCGATTTGATTTCTTTACCGTACAACCCTTGGTTGTGTACAAGCTTTTCAAGCATCTTGAATCACTTTGAGATTCGTTCTCTGATTGCTGACTGGTTACCACATTGACACAGATTTTCAGCCACGATGCTGTAACCTATGTCTCGGGAACTTAATCTAGATGAGATAGTTTTTGTAGGGAATCTGAATCTAGACAAATGTGATGAAGTTGATCGAAATTATACGAACGCCGCATTCGCTTGCGAAAAGAGTTGAAGAGACGCAGTACAAGAATATTTAGATTATTTACGAATTAACCATGACATGAGTAATCGACTGGTTTATATTAATATTTGCCCATCGGATTTGAATGTATATTCAGGGGAGTGATTGGAATTTAGTATTTTCGAGGACTGTGCTTAGGAATCAAGCTACTCAAATAGATCAATCAATTCCATCCTCGACTGTCGATCGACGCTCTATCTCTTTAGTAGACACTTCTCAAGTGGAAGTCTCGGTTTAACATAGAGACATGACAAGAAGCTGCATGTTTCAGTTGAGACATCTCGGGGCAATATAAGAAGGATAAAGCAGTATGATAGGCCATATTGATGAACCAATCTTTCAATCAATCTTCTCAACCGCACTCCGCCTTGTCTTATACTTAATAGTTTAAGCCCACACGAAGTAATTATCTTATGCCAATACTCAAATGTATAGCGGTCTTGGATCATCGGATGCGCTTTTTAGAATTCTCATTGCGGGGAAGGTGTCAAAGCATTGACTTTTCCTCTCTCCACCAATTCAGCGGCCACAATGCGTAAGGCATAGTAAGACGAACGAGGAAAAAAAGTTTTACTTGGTCTCATTACAAGCTCTTGAGTGATGACAGTCAGTTTGCGCCGGTAAGAATTATCAGATACTTCCAAGGTACACTTGGCTGCTAACCGTTATTTGCTAATCTGATTAGCGAAGTCGCCTAGATAAGATCTAGCTTTCTTCGAACCTTTGATTAGATGTGGATCGAATAGCAAAATAAATTCCATGCAAAACTCTTCTGTAGCTATACATAAAAAAGACGTAAACCGAAGCGTCAAATCTCATACAGTCACGTGGTAGGGATTGTAGAACTTTAGAGATTGAATCGTTTTCATTGACGCGGTAGAATTTCGAGGAGGAACTGGTATCTGCGAGAAAGCTTCATATCCTCACTTAATTGAACCTAATTAGCTTATACACTCTATGTGCCTGTGAACTTCCAGTCTTAACACTCAACCCCATCTTATTTTCCATTCTCATATAAAGGCGATACAGACTTAAACATGCCACAGTGCGGAAACGAGGAATCAAGAAACAGGATATTGACTAGCTACACCACAGTGTAGATCTCGAAAGTGGGATAAGAGTTCGATAATTATAAACTTCCAGGGAAAAGCGAAATTGAGCTATGAGACTATGCTTTCCGGGAAGAGTGGAGTCTTGATGCGAGCACAGGCTTCTAGGAATCAGCACTTTAGAAGCTTAAGGGACGTTTGAAGCAAGAATGGCTATTAATCAAGCCGTACCACAGCATTGGAATAAGCTGTACTACAACATCGGAACTCGGGGTGCCACGGCGTCGGAATAACTGTAACATATTATAACTCCACGGACCGAGTATCAGGAGACAGGGGCCAGAAAATCATGAATGAGGAATAGGAACCGCAAATCCATTTGGTAGACTATTATACGTCAAATGACAGCTTACATCTTTGAGAAACAGGAAAGTTATACACCTGGTTTACCTTGTATACAGGAAAGATAATTTTAAATGTATTGCAGTAATCTGGTACTACAAGAAACTGCGCAACGACGCATAGAAGCGGAACTTCGAAGGACATAGCTATCTTTGAGAACGGAGCCCATGGTCAGACCAAGACTATGGTGTTATCGATTAAGTATTGAACTGAACTCGACCATTCGTGCACAACCTAATTCTACAATAGAGACGGGCATACTCTTTGGAAACTGAAGACAGACGGCGACGATATAGATTCAGTTCCAAGGTAATTGTACAGTAATGAGATTCTCATTCAGACTTTTGAGTTATTCTCTTTCGTCTTGAATAATACCACCCATTACGGTAGAAAGTTAAGAACTCAATCAATACAAATTTCAGAATCTTGAGAAGTTGTTGCCGGACTAGTTCAGGCCCTCTTAGTTGAAATCTACTTACTCCCTTTGACCCAAGTGATTACTCAACTAAATATTTTCGGCGCCGAGTATAAGGTAAAAGTGACTACTGTCGCCTTGGATTGCATCATGCTTGAGTCGTAGATAAATACAGTTGTCGAATCTGAGGCACCTGACCGTCACACCAAGCGGCAAGCGACTCGATCATCAACATGCAGATCTCAAAGGTACATGATCTGGGAGTAGACCGGTATTCGTTGAGAACGAGAGATTGATTTGGTTTGCCTGCATCCCTCAGGAGCAATATCTAGTTCTCGCCGAAACATGATGGCCATATCACATGGCAATTCAACAGCTGGAGAGCCATAGCCATGGGTAACACAGACGTGGTTGCGTGCTTTCTTTAATATCATCTTGATGTTGTCAACGATGTCTATCACACGCAGTACTTTGGACGCCTCTGGCGTTGATAAGACTCGGTAAGAACAGAAGCGGGCCTTCCATAATATGGCATTTTGAAAGAAGCTCCCAATAATTATACTCTTCAGTAGCCAGATTGTCTTGAACAGTTTTAAGAGCGTGTTGCTGAATGAAGATAACGTGTTATTTAATTTTATGTCACTAGATTGAACTATCACATCTGTAGTTGAATTCTTGTAGTATTTTATAAGTCGTTGACATTTAGGTGCGAGGGTGCTTAGGCGTTGAAAAGGTGGGGCTATGCGCCATTACATAATTACTCTATACTTGCTGTCAAAATGTACCACTACGCTCATCTACGCTCATCAAATGGGTTTGCCGCCATCAAAAACGCGTTGATTGCCAGCTTTCATGGAATCTTGATACCAGAGTTGCTTGAAAAGATCATACAGGCTATCTCGACAAGTGTTGAAAAGTTGACGGAAGTGGTGTTGTCTTCGACCGCGACAGCTAGCAACTATGTGTTATATCCGGAATAGCACTGAAGTCTCCTCCACACTCTTTGAATTATCGGTCGTGTTGATCACGCCTAAAATTTTGATTAAAATAATGGATATGAGAAAGCTCTGGAACGTGAACCGTTATCACCCTCATCTGTCGTGGACATTCATTTTCATGGTACGGCTACGCCCCCAGTATTCTCCATCGATATCAATTACGCCGAGACGAAATACGTGGTAGTTTCATTTCCAAGTGAAAAAATGGATTGAAATACAAAAAGAGGTCAGACAATACAGACTCAATTCACTCACAATTGAAACAGGTCTTTTCGACGCGTTGTGTGCGGTCATGTATTCATTGACTTCTGCAAAGAGACACTAAAGCAATGTAAACTCATCAATTCATAAAACAACCCAATCCTCCAGCTAATATTATTCTACCCTGATTGCTCAATGAAAATCTAATCGAACCGAAATTTACCAGCCCTTCTCAATTTTCTTGTTGGCCGACCCGTCAAACAACAAACGCTACCATCCCATATCTTCGAGTTTCTAAAATATCAATAAAAAAAGCGCGATCATTCCTTCCAAAAACCTCCAGTATCCGTGCCAACACACACAGCAAATGACTGCTCCTGAATTCTTCAATTCATTGCGAATCCTCAATAGGTATCCCAATATACCGCAAACACTTATCCCTTAGGTGGAGATGTTTCACTTGTATTCTTGGCGGCACGTCGAACTAAACCTGCATCATTCTTTTGTTCTAGACCAGAGGAATTAGTCTGTGACTTAGAGAGGACCACATAATTATCATAGCCTGGTAGCTTCTCCCGTTCTTCTTTCAGTTGGGTTGCTAGCTCTTCTTTGTTGTCCAGTTCTGCCTTTCGAATTAGATAGGATTTCTCGGCGACATCACGGAGATCTCTATATTCCTTTAACTCCTTGTTGTTTTCTATATCCTCTTCCGCTTCCATCAGCTCGACTTCCTTTTTTTGGTAGCTCCTCTCCCGATTCAGAAGATCCTTTTTAAGCTCCTCCTCTTCTTTATCTATAATGGTGTTGATTAGCTTTGTGCCATGATCGATGATCAACCACGTATCCAGAGCTGCTTACCCATTTCTAAATCCCCGGTGTTTGCAACTTTAGCGGGTATTGTTGCCATCAGGTTGGGAACGCCAAGCAGGTTGTCCTTCAGTATGGATCGAGCTCCAATGATGAGGTCGCATTGGGAATGGGGCGAGATTAGAAATCTCATGCTATGGAAAACCCTAGTACTCTTGCTGTGATACCAAGTCAAATAGATGGCTCCTTCCGGCACCTGGAGCAAAGCAATTTAGTTCCCTTCCATCCAGACAACTTCCCTTTGAAATACTGCAAGAAGAAGAAGCATTCGAAACTCACAAGTTTGTGGCCTGTTATACCAAAGCCGCCCTCCCTTTCCTCCGCCGTCAAACGAACAAAGTTTGCTTCTGAATACTCCAGGACGTTCTCAACGAAATGCCTCGACACGATGTTTCCTTGCATATTACCGGTATCTATAGTACACTTCGCGTGTTTGGGCACTGGATGTTTATCCGAATCTTTGCGCGTTGATAGAACGAACACGGAGAGTACCCATGGAGAGCTCTCCATCTGCCATGATCCGTTAGCAAGCCTCCAAAGGAGACGATATATTCCATACTTACATCGAATGGCACGGCCTCGACAGACCTTGGAGATTTCTTGTTCTTCTTCATCATCACTGGAATTGGTAGACAGAACAAGATACGAATGAACACAATCAGACGATCTAAGTAGGCGTAATTGGCCGGGATGATGCTATCAGAATCTTCTGGGTCTGGATATGCAACGATCTGAGCATCTTCCTCAACATATGTAATTCTAGACAGGCTGGATCTCGCAGATTGTTCGGAGCCAGCGTCCGAAACAGATCGGCCGCGCTTTGAATTCGAAGCTTTAGATTCGATGGGAAGGGAGAGAAAAACATTGGAAGAAATGTTCTTAGGACAATCTGTGAAAGTCAGCGCCAGAAAAACTTTGCATATCGCTTCGCATGACGCGTACCACCTGCCATGTTCCTGATCACTGCCTCACGGGCGCTTGCTTGGTTCTGGTAATTGGTAATTGTGGTCAAAGGAAGAGTGTGTTTGTTTATGATTGATTGAAAATATAATAGGTGAGCTGTCTGCTCTCTTATAGGCTTTCATCTCATAATTTCAATCCTGAGGAGCCGCACTCAATCCGTTCACCAGAGAGGTTGTGCGGTTGAGAATCCTTCTTCGATTGCCTTTGACTGCCTTTCGAGAGATAGCCACCAATTCTCCTTGACTGAGCCATTTACAGGGCAGATTGAAACATAAAGTCAGACCCAGATAGATGGTGACAGGCGCCGGCCCCCGAATTCCCGCCTCACCGACCAATTAGCCATGTGGTGTGGCTTGGTAGCATAATTTGGAGCTATTATCGAACGGAGCGGTGAATTCTCACTGAAAACATGGTTCAAGGGATAGTAAAAATCAATGAGATGCTGGAAGAAGTGAAAAGAACCAAATCATCCTGTGCCTCTGGCTGGAATTACCGAAAGGATTTATCGCCACGTTCGTCTGATTGTTGTAAGAATATGGACAGAGGGCCAAGAAACGATTGTATCACACAGACCAGGATTTGATATGTATTGAGTGACTTCTGAGCTCGTTAAAAATTCTCGCGATAATTCCAGTCGCAATAAAATTGATTCACGAAAGTTTTTTTTAACAATTCAAAAATATGACCCGAGTGGCAGTTGACTTTTCATATACTGCATTGTTTTAAATTCAAATCTGCATCGAGATCCCACTGCTCCCTCTAGAAAGAGCCTCAAAATTTCCGGTTTGTCAGTCAGGCTGTGTTACACATGCTCGATGTAAGATAATTTGTCAGGCTCCATCTATTGGACGCCAACACATGTCGCTTTCACCCGAGATAAGTATCTTCACCGATTAGCAATTATTAATGTCAAACTCGGCTTCTGGGAATTATTTATCGCGAATAGCTGTTGCCAAATGCCTATCGAACATTTCGAGTTATTGTATAGCGACTGAGAATCGAAAACGACTCTGTCTCTTCATTTTTCTTCTTCAAGTATGTGTAATAGGTGTTGCTTCGAGGTCAAAAATTTCCCGCTGCTAATGACCTGCAAGCTCAGCCTTGCAGTGCATGAACCGGTGTCGCATTCTTTGCAAAGCCTTAATCATGTCCGCTGGCGATACGACGTTAAAATTCTCTTGCTATGATTCAACTGGATCTTCTCAAGTAGACTTCGAAAATGTTGTAATTGTGTGTTGGTCAACTTTTTTTTGCGCCCGATTTAAGTATGTTACGATTTGGAGGTAAGGTTTCATTAGATACTAGGGCTTGCTGAGTCCAAAGTGTGTTCGTTCTCTATGGGCTTCCTACTTTTCTCACAGCAGTAGCTGTCAAGTGTGTCTTTATCCGGCACAAATCATATGTGATTTTAGACAACCACTTTTGATAGCTCACAATTCAGCATGCAATGCTGTACTCAGCCTTCAATTTGAATCACTCTCATTTGTAGAGAGGTAAATGGGTTATATCATAGTAAATATAAGATAGAACAGCGGTGCCCTTTTGCTATTTTTGCCGTCTATTGTTGTACATACGCTACCTTTATTATTCAATTATTGAATCAGCACAACCTCAAGCAATCCCTTGTTCATACAAATAAGAAGAAATTGCAATGGCCAAAAAACTTCGTAAAATCACCATTCAAGCCCCAAAGTCGAGTGAGCCCGCGAGTCCGACTTCAAATTCGCAAACTGATGAGACCGTAATTGGAACCCCGACATCTCCGCCGCCATTTACATCAGGACCGTGGGATGAAATCAAAGACCCATCTAAAGACTTGAACAGGCCACTGCCAGGATGGCCACTTGTGTCTAAATTGATTGCGCAATACCCAGATCTCGAAGCGTTCAAAGCCTTCCGTGACCTTAACATCAAAAGTCTGCTCTATTATCAAGCAGAACTAGAGAACCTAAGTAGGAAGCTACATCAGGCAGAATATAATGAACATCGCCAGGGTGAGCAAGAGGGCATAACAAGAGCTTCAATGATGGCGATGAATTTGGACTACTATCTTATACATGCTCGAATGGACGATAACAAGTGCAAGTCTAAGCAAGTGAAGATTATGAAGCAAATAAGAGTCGTTTTGAAAGAATACAGTATGCCATTCAATTTATCAATTCATGATATTCATCGCTAATTCCATCTCTTTTTCAGATGATGCCTTATTACAATACTCCCAAATTTCAGCATTGCCGAGGGCAGATCCATACAATGTGGAGACTCTAAGGACCTGGCTGAAGAGAGTGGGTGAACATTGTATCAGTGGGGATGCGGCATGTATATGGGGTGACTATACAGAAAATGTAGTCGAAGCAAAGCCTTTGAAATGGCAGTTTGTCAGTCTTGTGCGCAGTATCTTTTGGCCAACAGCTCCTAATCCTGACAATCTCGATCTTATTGTGCCTCGAAAAGGTCATACGGTTGACGGTCTAACTTTGTGGGTCGCTAACGAATTTGTCCCATTTTGGCACAGCATCAAACAAGCGTTACGGCGAAAGAAAAGAAAGACTATTTCTGAAGAAAACGGGCTGCCCACTACTGAAAATAAAAGCCACTCGCTCTTTGAAAAAATCGAAAGTTCAGGAAGCTCCCGCTCTTGGTTTTCTCGCAGGAAGTCTATCTTTAGCACAGCAGAGGGAGATCAAAAGTCAAAGGATAGGGCTGGGCTTACTGTTTACTCTGAAGCACGCATGTTACGCTTTACCTCAGCTGTAGCCACGGTCATTGCGTGCCTGTTACCCACTGTTGCCATCGCAGTACTTTCAAGTCTTGAATCTACCAGAGAGCTACTTGGAGTTATTGCAGCATTTACAGCAATCTTTGCGATGGGACTTATGTTTTTGACTGATGCCAGTACATCGAGGGTTGAGATATTTACCGCTACCGCCGCGTAAGTCCGAAGACACCTTGAAACTCTCAGGATTTAAAGACTAACATCACCGCCCAGTTTTTCCGCCGTCATGGTAGTATTTGTGCAAAACCAAAATGTCTATACTGGCGCGTCTCAAGGCAGTCCAGGAACCCGAATGACGAACGGGACAAATTCAACGAGTTGATCGAAGACCGCATGGCACACGTGTAAGCACCAAATATCGTTCAATGTGCCTTTGTGATATTACTGATAAGCTCTAGTTTCATTCCCCATGCATGACTCCACTTCAACTTCCAGCAGGGAACGAAGAAATGACCTAAAATTATTATTCGCAGAGATCAACGATTTCTATTCCTACTATATCAAACGACCAACTTTTTACTTGCATATATATCTTGGCATACAATTTCATTTGCACGGAAAATTAACATGAATCACGAGTCATGAAGTCATGAATCACGAAATTTTAGTTTAATTAAATACTTGTTCAGTCAATAACCCCAAATTTGCCAAATAATATGCCTTGCGATACGCCCAATGTCGTCGTTTCCACTTTCGGAAAAATATGCATTAGTGTCATACCATCCAAACTTTTACCCCTCCTCAAACCATGCATGGCAATAAACATTTACCCGTGAATAAGTCTGATGTAAGCAGAGATGAGCCTCATTCTCCTCTAACAACTTAATGGTTACTTGCAATACAGTTTAACATGATCAAGAACAGTCACCGATATTGACTAAGAACATATCCCTTGTCTCTTCTTCCTTTGCTTCGATACTCCCTCTCAGGAATGCGAACCACGGGAAATTGCTTATAGATTTTGCGAACCACAATGTACAGTTTGATAATCTTTAAAATTAGATCCCAACAATGAGTGATTAATAATGAGTTGGACGGAGAGAAGTGTGGTTGCACGGATAAGGAATTTGCGGCTGAAATGGCATGTGGGAAGGTTTCCATTGGAGATTTCCATTGCACGGATTTTGTCGGATGAATGATTCATTGGAGCTGACAGCAGATATATTTCTGAATCTATGGTATCGATGGTCAGATTGACGATAATGCATCACCTCTGGCCCCTTCTCATTCCAGCCGTGTATACTAGAGTATGCCTCGGCGTTATCGCTTACAAAGATTTAGAAATTGGTGGAGGATGAGCAACAGAAGATACAGGCATGCAAGAGTTGGTGGGACTTTGAGTGATATGTAGTTGCTTCACTGCCTCATCTCTAGATAGCCTGACCAAAAAATCAATATTTTACAACACATCACTCTGTCATCTTCTAATCGGGTCAGACAATGAGGCTACTGGGCTGGCTCTTGGATTACATGATCAATGAAAATAATTCTCTAGCCCTCTGTTTATCCCTACTGATATTTTGACACATGATTACCCTTTGAGAGCCCTTGGTCAAATAATTTATCTCCTAAATGGCGATTCCATTTATCGATCGTACATTGCCAACTGCATCTTATTCTTTAGGCGCAATAATGCCGATCTTGACAATGATCTTTCTTATAATGCGCGTCCCAGAACTTCTCATTTACACCTTTCACTATCACCCTTCCTTATTTCATTGTCTTTGTTTGTTTAAATTTCCAGCATTCTCTCCGTTCTCATCCCCGGTCAGGTTCCTTTCCATTACACCGCGGTCTATCATGCTACCAAAGTCAGTCGTATTATCAACAGTATCTTTAGCCCAAACTCAAGTGTTTTCATCTAAATTTTCTCAAGAGCCTCGAGACGTTCTTTCCAGAATAACCACCGCTTCATACTGAGTCCGTTGTAGGTTGTTCCTGCCCCTCGCGGTGATACTCCTGAAATCTGTATGTATTCGAGGTCCAAAGTGCTCTCATTGATAGCTTGATTGCTGCATCTCCCTTTGTAAACCGAGAAGTAGAGTAGCTTAAAGCCAGCTTTTCGAATCCAAAGAATGATTATAGGCGCCGGAAAAATCGTTCTTTCGTCGATTACCTCGAGAGCTTCACGCCTTTACCACATTGCAGCAGTCATACCGATCCAGTCGTGATTACTGATTGGCAATATCATAGTGCAAGACTAGCCAGGTTAAAATGTTTCGTCACCGTATCTTGAGTCGAAAATAGCAGGCCTCTCCGTGCTCCCTGCATAATTTTGTCCAGGTGCTGATATTCCATGCGGGCCCGGTACTCACCTCTTTTATGAAAAATTCTACAAAGAAACCCTAGGACTCTTTCGTCCGGAGTAATAAGCTGATAATCTTATCGTAAAATGGATCGGTTCACTCAAGATTCTTGGCGACTTCCACACAAATCTCCTGGAGACTGACGAGCGCTTCTTTCGACTCATTTTGTGATCTTCGCAGAGCATCCTTGAGAGAATCAGAACAAAAGTCCAAGATGGCATCTGAAAGAACTCTTTTGTCCCTTCTAGATGAGAGTAGACGGTTCCTTTCCTGAAGGATTCAGCTAGCTCTGACCAATCTGTGACCGGATCTGTATTGTTTTTATTTTCACCGTGAAACCATTTCTGCGTCATCACCAAGATCATACTCGCTGAACCTTGCCATGCTAGTGATATTGGTGTTGATATTTTGTGGTGATGAGTGTTGAATTCGCTTGTCAATCAAAAGAAGTACTGTTGAGATGTCAATGTTTGGTTTCTACAAAGCTCCTGTCTTATAAAGATTGATTCCTGCTGGTTCAATGTGGACAGTTGTTCTTACCTTGGGAAGCGCTCCCAAGCTTCAAAGAACAGGAATCTCATATTCTGGAGTCGATTACTGGAGTCAGCAATCTGTACTATCAGTTACGGAAAGAACGATGGCTGGCTCTTTAGGCACTAGGTACAACCTTTCATTTTTACCTCAGTCTTACAATTCAAATTCAATATCTTAGACCAAGAAAACATGAGTCACGAAGAAGTATGTTCGGTATCAATCAGAAAACTCCATAAAGTACTTCTGTCAAGTAGCAGGACTGTACTTTCCATCGATTTTATCGAAATCTTAGCATTGACAAAAAATTACATTTATGGCACAACCAATGATTGTTGCGTTATGATTTTGTGCTAGATGGAAGATAATTCAACGGAGTTCTTTCATTTGTCAACGCTGTTGATATCGCTTTCGGACTTCACGATTTTTTTACCGCCAAGTTCAAGCAAATGCTTTGGCACGGACCAATCTTTTGTCGCTTCGAAGCTACGGTGCCGTTTATCTTGAATAGGGGGAGAACTTCCTGGAATTGTAAACAAAACCGTCGTTCCCTGCTTTAACTTGGTTTAAAAATAAACATAATTCGATTATCGAATCGAGAAGATGGATGCTGGCGTTTTAGTAGTGTCTGTGTGAGTTTAAGACTATGGGAAGTTACAGCATCGGTGAATTCTAATAATCATCTCAGGCTCTATGCTACTGAAACTAGACTGCTGAACCTGGATGGTTAACAGACTAAGCGGAAAAAGAATGAATGAAATTGCCCAAAGAGGCTAAAGAGCATTGGAAAGTGTAGACTTATGTCGTGGGAAAGTTGAAAGGACCAGAACTTACGAACAAGCATCAGGGTATGTTCCCTTTCAAGATAGAATACATTGGGATTCTCTCCATGAATGTTTCTTAAGCCTATTCACAAAGCTCCCACGAATTTGAAATATGGAAATGTCTCCTAAAAGATCAATTTATAGACCTGTCTGATATCATCTGAATATTCTCAGGAATATAATTTCACGATGTTAACAAACCGGACGAAACCATAGTTGTATTTCCGCTGCCAAAAGGTTAAAGTTGACACCATGCCTGGTGGATAGGTTGCATTGGGTTTGTGTTTTTCCTTGATTGCTAAAAACAGTTGTGGAAGTAATCTGACAAGCTAGCATTGTACACGATAAGAAAGGGGTTTGTGGGTTTATAATCTTAAATGAAAGTTAAAGTAATCTTGGAGCACCAGTGTAGCATTGTTTGGAGATAGTTAGCTTTGAAAAACAAACAGTGGGTGTACGGACTAACGGGACACTGCAAGAATAGACTTGTGGATATCTCTTGATAGATCGAATAGTATATCTTAAGGATTATTATAGTTTTTTATTAGAAATTGAATAATCAACATGTGAATTTTGGTATCAAACAATTGAAGAATGAATTTGTGACAAATTTCGAAAGCTGGGAAGTGTCCCATCAATCCATGCACCTACTGGTGAACTGTGTCCAGCCGGCCCCATAATATAGACATTTGTACGACCAGTGACACTGATAGCTATTGAGCCGTTATACGCTTGTCCAAAATGGTACTTGGAGATCATATCACAGGATGGCGGACATTCGTATTCTGATCGGGCTTCAGGGGAAGTTTACTAAAGAATCCAAAGCTCCCGACAATATTGTTGAGACTAATATATACGATATGATCGAGACAGGAGAGGATCAATTGATGTCTGTAATGATGTGTCTGGATTGTTTGCACAGGACGTAAGGTCGTTCATGGTATCATTAGCGTGCCCCACATCCAAAGCTGAAAACCGAGTCACGAGAAACAAAATCACATGATTTATGGAGAAATCTCCACAACATTCCTGGAACCTGGCAAAACAGAAGCAATACAATTCTTAATTCACAAAGCCGACTCTCCCACACCAGAATTCGCCGGAGACACAACTCAATGTTGAGTCGATTCCGTTCATATTGTGCAGTCACAAATTCCAACCTTCAAGCCGTTGTGAGTAGTCTATGCTTCCCCCATGTTATACAAACAATATACCGACGACAAAAAATCTCACGACAGTACAGTACTATCAATATGAGCACCCGACGATACCCTTCCGTCCATGGAGTTGTACCTCTGTATTGTTTCTCAAAAACGCCTAGATTGCAGTATTACCCGCTCTTGTCTTACCCAAAAAGCATGTAGTTTGAATTTCAGCTACCGCCATTTGAGCCCTTTGAAGTCTCAAATGGGCTGAATAAATGCACTGGAATACCAATTCAGTGTGTATCGGCAAGAAAATCTTCATCGGTGAGCATTTATCTGCAAGCCAAGTATGGGCCAAGAATTCATCTTATGTAATGGGATGTGGCTGAAAGTCGTTGTCTTATGCTATGCTTGTAAATTCCTCCCTTGTCCAATAGCTCGGGAGGAATCATTATTTAATTTAACTCACAAAATCATTGTTGACATCCAATATTTACATACCAAATTCACAACTGGGCTCATACTGCTTCGAATATAAATATCCGCGATGGCTGCCTCTCTCAACCACCTCACCCAGTTCCTCTATCATATATCCTCTACCATCGTTGGGATTCAAACATATCCGTCGTAGCGTTGGTAATCATCATTATCATCCCCACATCATGAAGCTACAAATTGCGTTTCTTGCAGGTGTCATAGCTGTCAGCAATGCCTCTCCCTATGTGAGTTAACTACGCCTTAGCTATCGCCCACTGATGCTAATTCAGCTCAGCCCATATCAGTGAAAGCTCGTCACTTTGATGGGCCTGGCAACCCAGATGAGCCCGATCAATCATATGGCTGCAACTGCACTGGTACAAATCCAGGCCCGCTGCCATCTTCCGCTCAATACATCTGCTATGACTGGAGACTTGGGCCGAAAACACTCCCAAAATATCTTCCACTCTCCAGTGAGCTATCATCTTATGATAGATTTGGTGGACTAACACCCGGAGAATTTCTCAAAATCTGGTGGGATCCTCAACTCAATCCTCCGTATGGAAGTTTCAGATATCCAGGGGATGTAACACCAGGGGACCAAGGTTTCTCAATCGACATAAATGGGAAACCCATCAGCGGGTTTGTAGAGCTTCCACCAGACACCTACTTAGACAGGTTTGGAAAAGAGACTGGTTTGTTCTGTACCGCCTACTTGTGTAACGAATTGTTTTCAACTAACACAGATAGGTATGTTTCTATCCTCCGCCGATACGCCGTATTCACAAAGATCTCTACCGCCTTCGAATCTCAACAATCGACCTGATGATCCAGGATTCCCTAACGACTATCATGTCTATCGAACCACCCAAAAGCTGATACTAAATGCTGGGCCTATTGCTCCTGTAAGTATCTTTTGCCCTTGAATATCACCATTCCCTACATAAAACCTCAGTAACTGGTATTGTTTCTCTCTGTTTAAAAACAAGAATTTTGCTCCAGCTCTCACTACACAAATTTATGACCGAAACAGATGCTGACTATCCGATTCTACAGTGGTTCGGTCAACCAGGACTTGGAACGCAATTCTATTCGGGGCCTCAAAGTATTGCAGACTTGATAGGCAATAAGACCTTGGAAAGGGTTGACCCTTCTGTTTTGATCTCCAACAGACAGCAACAGGGCTGTGGCTACTAGCGTACTTAACTGCCGGGCATTTCGTTTCAGCGATTTCAACCATTCTTCTTCGCTGCCAATCCGTTATTGTACTAAATTAATTATAATACTTATTAATGATGAAGGGTTACCCGCCCAATCTAAATCAATTCCGGTTTTTGTGCAGCTGCTGCTTTCAAATGATATTCATTGCGTTCTGATGTTTGACAAAAGACTTTCATTGTACACCCGACCTTGACATTTGCGGTCAGTCTGATCATGATTCATTGATTGTAGGCTGATCCCAAACAGTTCGCGTTAGAACGATATGAAAATTCTATCATGTTTGCTTGGCCAACATATACGAACGTGCTGATTGCGGTGGTCACTGGCTCTGTGAAATGGGAAAACAGGTGCAAAATTCCTAGAATGGCGGCTGATCTCTGAGACGACAAGTCGCCCAGTACTTATGAGTTTCTTGGTGCACATCATTTCATGCAGGTTCATTTTCAAAACAACATTTTCTCATCAACAGGAAAGGGGCCGACGGCTTACCGTCCCCTCCTTCTATCCAGTAGACAATGCTGCGACACTTGCCTTAGAGATTTCCCAACAAATCCGATTATCTATCAAAACATGCGGTGACATGGAAAATGATAATTATCTTTCCTTGTGAAGGAATGCTAGAACTTATCACCTGCTAGAACTTTTCAGAATTTCTTCCTGAAGTAGAGACGGAAATCTTACATAAAGCTCATGGAGCTGCTGGATAAGATGAGACTAGGATTTTCTGATATTAGGAGGAAGAATTTTCAATCAAACAACAGAGTTAGGGAGCTTGTTTCTGATTTGAGGGTCCCCACGTGTAATTCAATGATGAATCTAGAAATTGTGGGGAAACAATTTGGTCAGTAGAGTCTTGTAAAGACAATCAATACCTTTATATATTGGTGCAAAATACTTCATATATTTTTATCATATTAATCTAACAAATGAAAGAATGTGGGTTGAGAAATTATTCGATTCTGAAGATACCAAAGATAAAGTTGTTCACTCAAACTCTATGACATACGTTATGTGACTAAACGTTTCTTTCAACATTGCTTGAGGTGACATCTTTGTACGGTATTATTACTGCAATATATCTTAGAAGGCAAAACATCAACCCTGACTTTGCTATAGTGAATCTACTTCAACTGATATTGGCACATTCAAGACAAAAGGTTACTCAGGAGGAACATCCATTGGCGAGCTGTTCCATCTTCTGAAGTCAATTAATGCAGAAATCCTCCCCCTAAAATTATTATGGTGAATTCTGCAGTCTTAATAGCCATCTAGTAATGGACATGTAAGCATGAAAGCAGATGATTCATGGTGTCTGTTGAGGTTCAAAAGGCCTCATTTATGCTCTCGAATGATTTGGATTGCTGTATATAATATTCCGATGGAATTTTTTCAATTCACTGACCCTAAGAACAATTTTCCACATCAATGAACCTAGATGAAGGAGATAATACAGTACCTAAGACTTACTGTACCATTCTCGTGCTAAGTGACCTAAGCGAAGTACTAGTTCTTCATCTCTAGCACCTCTAGCACTTATAAGCACTCCTTCTGCTACAACTCAACAACTAATTTCTTCGATCAAATATCTGTGTACCGGTTAATGATTTCATTACTCGACTCAATAGTACAACTTTTCTTATAGACTTTCGTAAACTCTATACTTTCATACCAACATCCTCGTTAGATTCGCGTCTACTTTCCTTTACAAAACTACATATCAGAGATTATCTCTTCCACAAAAAACTTATCATCTTGATCAATTCCTGAGCCAGTAAGTCTTGCATTCTGCTGCTTGAATCCATTCATTTCACTTCCTGGAGTATAGTGAACAGACTGGCAAAGACCTAGCGATCTTGGCAGTTGATCAACTATCTCCATCTCCACCTCAGCACAAAATCTTTTACACACTTACTTCCTAAGTCTTACATCTGCTTACTTCTTTAAACTTTCAGATTCTAAAATGAGTTCCGACACAATCCAAACCTCGGAATCCACCAACAACACCACAATCCCCGATCAAGAGATGGCCGGCGAACCCATGGTGAACGACCAAGAGGACTCTCTTCAATATGAAGAATCTCAAAATAATGAGACAAGCAGCGATTCTGTGGCTACAGATGTTACGTTTCACACACTTGCGTCATTGCTTCACGGTATCCCGGCAGCCTTAAGCATCCAACTTTCTCAGATGCTCTCAGGAGATCAATTCATCAGGGTCCAAGAATTAATCCAGGCTCACCTTCCAACAACAGTTGGTGATCCAGCAATGCCGATTGACGGCTGTCCTCTCCTCGAATTGATTCCTATAGAGTGCCGGAAGCAAATTTGGGAGTGCCTCCTTTACAACCCACTTCTCGGTGAAAGCTTTGCGACAGGCGGTTATGGAGTTGCATTAGAACTTTACCCAGCAATTCTGAGAGTCAATAAACAGACATATAATGAGGGGATGGATGTTCTCTATGGATGCAACAGGTTTCTGGTCCAGTGTATCCCGCAGAGCTCTTATCATTTTGGCACTGATTATTTCGCTCTCTCTGCATTGACCAGATATCAACTACTCAATCGTGTCAGTACAGCTGCAGGTGACAACAACATCATTCCGGCAGCGAAATACGTCCAACATTGGAAGATTGTTTTGAGTGCCACAGAGCGCGGATCATATGTAGGGAATGGCCTTGCATCACTCTGTCGCAACATCTACATGGCAGATATACAGTCAATGGAAGTTTTGATCGTTCCTCGAGGTATCGAAAGAGACTGGGGTTCTGCCGAAACCTACGTAGATGAAAGTCAACTGGCTCTTACCTTTAAACCACTGGAGCGACTACGAAGTATTCAGCAATTCACCATCCGTGCTGCTGAGTTTCATGAAATTCATGTGGATACATTGAGCTACGATGAGGAGCTTGCGGAGGAGTTTACGCCTATCTTGCCCGATCCCGTTGATGAGGTGAGATTGGTCACTCTAATCCAAGGTAACTCAGATGTCGAGATCATCGAGGAAATGTACAAGAATCTTCTTACTTACGTACAAAACTTCGAACGCATTGAAGAATTCAAGCTGGATATGGAAAACCTGAATGTGGAAGATTTGGACCAAAGCAGTAGCTTTGATATAACTGAGACAAGCTCTGACTTCTTTACGTCGAGCAACCCTTTCATTTCCAGCTCGCATCCTGTGGAGAGCACGTTGTGCGCAGCCAAGATCGCCATGGAGGAGGACAACGTGAACGGGTTTAAGCTTCACCGTAAAACTTTGATTCTGTACTTGGAGCCTCAATACGAGGCCATTGAAGCGTGCTCGAAAGACTTGGTTGATTTTATCAAAAATGAAAAGAGACCTGAGGGGTTCTTTGAGCCCGAAAAACATTACCATTCTAAGTGCGGAGATACCGCCAATGAAGCCATGGTCTTGCTCGAGGATTATGCTTCAAGCTTTGCCAGAAAACTGGAACGAAAAACAAGAGTGGCCATCCGGAAGCAAAAGCTTCTATTCAACTCCAGATACGATGCTCTTCCGCGAGAACAGTTGTTGAGGTCATGCGAGATGGCGTATGAAAAGCAATGGTGGAATCGTTTCGTGGACAACTACAAGAAGGCTGTAGATGACATGGATACCCAGTATCTTGCCATCAGAGAGGCACGGAAGAAGCTCTATGCGTGGGACTTGCAGTCAACTGTCCGCGAGACAGCTTTTATGCCAAGTGTTCTTGATGAGATGATTGATTGGGAGATTTATGAGCCAGACATGAGAGTCAATGAGGAGTGGCTTGAATACCGCTCTTATGCCCGCAATGAGTCTCAGGAACACGAAAACAATCATGAGAGCGACCTTGGCGACGATGAATGGTCTTCTGTGAATTAAGGGGCAATTTCCACGAAAACCAGCCAGATTCCGAGGAAGCTAAAGAGCTTGTGACGTAGTCAGACGATGCAGAAGCATAATCAACGATTCTTTAGCAGGAATGAACTAGAGGGCTATAGAGTATTGATTTTCACTGACGTAATTCAGGTAGTGTCTCGCGACGCTGTGGACTATACTTGACTCAGAACTTTTGATGAACTTTTTACTATCATAATGGAATCCATCAATCTGGCAATCACTACAGTCCTCTTTACGTGCAAGTGACTTGACATTGAGCCGAAAAGTAAAAACCTGTAAACGTGAAAAGCGACCAGGAGCCTGTATTATGACAAAGTCAAGGTTCTCACTTGTGCAGCCATTTCTACATACGTTACTAAGATATCAAATTTTGCTGACACACAATACTATCAGTTGTTGAGATACACAATTCGAGCAATGATAGTAAAGCTTCAGAGCCCAGTTCCATTCTTAATCTAATCGTCGACTATTCAACAGAGCGTGACAGCTTTTTACAACAAACAACCATGAAAAAGTGACTAGAATTGCTTACAAACTGATTACACATATTTCTCAACTTTCCTAACATATTGCCCTGAGAAACGAATATATTGATTGTTCCCCAAGATTGCACATTAGATTGAAACACAACCTTCCACAAGGATCCTTATGGTAGCCTGTAATCTGAATGTCTAAGAAGACGAGGAAACCTCACAGTGGCCTAATCCGCTGGATGAAGAAAGAGTTGAATGATATTCAAATCACGTGAATTGCCCCAAGCGGTAGAGAGGTCAACGTGATAGCAAATGGCCAAGTTCGACATTGGTATCTTGTATGAAGTGAAGTGAATGTTGGGTGGCAATCTGCTGTAATCTAGAAAATTAAGTTTTATTAATACGGAAGGCTCTCACTAGCGTAGTTTCATATTTCATGACAATTCAAATAGAGTCTTTACGCTTCGCTTCGTCTTCCGCAACCAAAAAAAACACTTATCCAACGAATTTCTCTATTTTATCCCCCATTCATTCGATACCTTCAGAGTAAATTTCAATATCAGACTCCCGTAAGTATTGCCATATCATTCCTTTAACATGTTATAGCTGCCTCAAGTACTTGTTTTCAGCTATTATTCGAGATAGAAAGTTCATCGCGAAAGTGTTCTACATGACTGACAACTGGCTTAGTCCTTCACAATGACTCGAAACAAGAAACGTACTACCACAAAGGTGCTTCAAAAGCAATCGCAGAAAATCGATCGAGACAATGGCCAATCCTCAGAACGAAATGCTCTACAAGCTTCCATCCGCAAGAGAAAGGCTCCACTTACAGCAGGATCAACCTCAACGATGGAACGCATGCCACTTGAAATACGGAGAGAAATTTTTAAATATCTTTTGTTCAATCCTGAACTGGGCACAGCCTCGTGTGTCCACAAGGACGGAGGATGGGGTTCCAAAATCAAGTACGATCTCCAGCCCGCTATTCTACGTGTCTGCAAGGAATTTTACGCAGAAGGGGTGGAAATACTTTATGGAGAAAATCGATTCTTCATAGAATGTGTTCTGTCAACTTCGGGCCATTTGCTTCACCGCTGTGCCTTGACCCGGTTCTGCGAGATTGCGAGCCCTGAGCGCTTTCATTCATCGAGCGAATTAGCCACAAATCATCTGAGAACTGTGCCAGGTGTAAAGCGCATCGAACATTGGAAGATATTGATAGCCCCAATGCGCTCTAACGGACGCAATAATGTTATAAATCTTTGTCGCTCTATTTGCCAAAATCGAATAAAGTCCATGGAAATTGCGATTGCGCCTTGGGATAGTCTAGAGCATCCAAGCTTATCGAGAGGAGGTCCCAGAGAGAGCGCCGAAACCAATAAAATAGCAGCTGAGAGAATACAGGACGTTCTTTCGCCCTTGGAGATTCTTCGATGTGCTGGAAAAGTTGTCATTCGTGGAGCAGATCCAGATGAAGTGCCCGACTTTCTCTTTGAAGGAGAGAGACGAGGGTTAGACTTTTACAGCTGGTCACTAGGGTCCCATTGGCGTAGTTTCGCACCCCATACAAGGGTATCGTTACCGGAGACGATGTACTTAACCCATTTGATTGAATTAGTTCAAGGTGACTCTGAAGTCGAACTTTTCCACGAAATTTTTTACGCTTTTCTCAATTATGCCCAGGCCTTTGAACGAATATATGAATTCCGAAACCACATGACCATCGATGATCTGTATCACAGTCCATACTTGGCAGAAAACCCTTTTCGTGGAACGCATCCTGTAGAATCCGCTTTGCTGAAGGCTTTACGCATGCAAATGAACGAGGAAGCAGGAGCACAGGATATTTCCGAACTAAAAATTCTTCGGTCAAATGCCATAACATTCCTCGAGAGGCAATATCAAAGAATTCAGCAAGCCGCCAATGATTTGGTCAGATTCGTCAAAGACCAAAAGGTAAGCGGTGGTCTACTCGATCCTGTTGAATCACCACCATTTGAATTGTCTCCTGGAGTGCAAAGCGAGGGACTTGCTTTGGTAAAAAACTATGCGGAATCCTTGGATAGAGAACTAACAATGGCGACCAAGATTGCTATTTGCAGATTGAACGGTCAATATGAGAAGAGATTCGAACTGCTTCCCCGCGAGATTGCCATTAAGAAATGCACAAATGCTCATAGAGATGGAGACGTGGAAGGATTCGTGGCAAACTTCAAGTGTGCAGTCGATGACATGGATACTCAGTACCTTGCCATCCGCAACGCGAGGAGGCGGCTCTTCGAATGCGACTTGAAGGGTTCAGTCCATTCCACCGAAATTGACGTGGAGCCTCTGAGATGTGATGAAAGAATTGCCTGGAATAAAGTTGAACCGGATATGGATGTTAAGAAACTAGAGATACTGGGACGAGGAGGTCTCAGGTGTTGCCGCAAATCGCTGAGTTCAGATGCATATCGGGAATGAAGAGTTTAGTCGGTGGAAGATTCTTAAGACAACATGCTGCAAGGTAACATTTATCTGACGAATCTCAATGGTTTCGGGACTAATATAATCTAGTGGGGTCTCCTATTGTTTTTGCAAACGACGGTCGGATATTTTCTTCCTCTATTCTGCTTTTAGTCTTGGCATCAGGATCTCCTTCTTTGACAGTCATAATTTATTGGAGATGAGAAGTTCAGGTGTGGAGTTACAGCTTTATCTTTCATGTTATTTCCTAGCCGGATCTTCGAAATATCTGAAAGATGGTAGAAAAAAATGAAGTTGATCATATTAGTCATTATTTGCTTCATCTTCCCTGGTAGTCATTAGACAATAGACCGCTAGCTTAGATGCCTATCTGACACATGAAGGTTCTGAGTGGTGATTGAATGAGTGAGCCCTGAGTTCTAGCAAACTTATAATATTTTGTACCGCACCGTGTTTCTAAACTTAAATTTAACGAAGCTCACCGCTAGACACACTTATAGTAGAATCAAAGGTTTACAGAGAGACAATGAGGTGGTGCTCACGGAAGATTTGGTCAATCGAGCATGCATATCAGTTTTCACCATTGAATTTCATGGACAGAGCACTATGAATTGTATTCTTATCATCTATCTAAATGTCAAGACTTCTGGTGGAGACAAAACTTTTCTTCTCATATCTCCAGTGCTCTGCTTTGACCCCCTGACTTCTTAAAAGCTTTCAAATATTAGAAAACTATCAGAAATCTCCCTCGGCACACATCTAATCGTCAAATCTGTAGTTATAATTGTGATCTAATACCCATCAACCCAACATCTCAACCATAATCTCTGCAATCCAGTGTAGAGAGCTCTAGTCTATCAAATAGGAATAGCAAAAGGACTACGCCAATTGAGTGGCAATGAAGATAATTCACTCGGTCTACCAGATCTCAGGTAGCGAGACTGCAGACTTGTGTAACGAACTAGTTCGGCTCGAATGCAATATCCTGGATGAGAGTGGGTGATCATTGCTTCGAACGTGTCATCCACGGGAATACATGTGACAGAGAGCTTCCAGAGTCTGCAAGCCAAGGTAGAGCGTGAAGAATAGATCCGCCATTACTGGCAAGATCATCATCGATTTCATGCTCGTCTTCAGACTCCAAATCGAAGCTCTCATCGTCCGAGTGATCTCTAAATAGTTCCTCGTAGAAATCGGTTTCCGAAGCACCATCAGAACAGATAGGAGCGTTGGCTACAGATGGCGGTCGAGACTGATCGCCATCCCACTGAAAAGTCAACTCATAGAATTCGTCATCATCGTGATACGGTAGAGATTCCCAATTTGCGAGTGCTACAAGCTCCGTTTCAGTAATAAGATTCTCGGCATTGTTCTCAATGTTTAACTTGTGGCCATTGATTCCATCTCCATCGACGGTATCTGAACCCTGGTAATTCTCTGGAAATTGATTTTCTGCTTCGTGTGTCGCGGATTGTTGTGCAAGGAAAATTTGTTGTGCGATTTGGCGCTGGAAATCATGTTGCATTTTCTGGGCTTCTGATTTTGTTATCACCGTGACTGTCGGCTCTTCTATGTCCCATCTAATCTCCCAGGCTTCTAAAGAACTCAATGGTGTGACGTGTATATCAGGAATATTACTGCCAGTGTCCCAGTCATACAGCTTGGATCTAGCCGTGAGTATGATAAAGTACTGAAGCTCCATATCGCTAACTACATCCTGGAAGTACTTTCTGAACGTGATGGGATCTCTCCGATTATAAGCTACCCGACATTTTTTAAGTTTGGTTTCTCTTGCCATAAAGTCGTAGCGATGCCCAAAAAGACCGAATTGGGAGCGTACTGCCATTTTGGTTGACGCGTCGAGCTCTCGAGTAAATGATGCGATATAATCTTCGAGTAAGACCATAGCTTCAGTATAGATCACCATGTCAAAACCGTTGTACTGTTTTGTACAGGCAGGATCAAACACGCCCCATTTTCGCTTTTGTAATTTGACAAATTGAACCAGTTCTTGGGATGCGTGGCTTATCCTACAAAACTGGCGTTCTAGATATTTCAGGATGATAGATCGCTCTTCCTTGAACTTGGTGGTCTTAGTAATATCCCCACTTTCGATCTCGGTCATATATTTCGCCTTTTGTAGACCAGCCTCAATAGTATGAGCTAGTCCATTAGGATGAAACACTTTACTGAGGAACGGATTATCGCTTAATAAAGAGAACTCCCCAGCCATCAAAGTAGCTACCTCTTCAAAAGTCAAGGACATCGCATTCTTGAACTCAGGGTCCCTTTCAAACGCCTGTGCGTACTCCAAGAGAGCAGTAAACATTTTAGTGCTCAACTCGACTTCTGAATTTCCTTGGATAAGGTCGATGAGGAAGCATCGATAGGGAACGGTAGGTAGTATTGACTTTGTCACGAGTGGCGTATCAAACCATTCATCCCTGCATACAAAGTCTGGTATCTCAGAAATGCTGGCTGTTCGAATCGACACACTAGGTATATTTCGTAGCAGCTCCAGTGGCACAAGGTTTTCGCGCATGTCGGCCGCGTCTGTATTACTCAATATCGCATTAGTACCTGTTAAATCGAGCAACTTGAAAAAACATAGAAGTAAGCCTTACCTAAATAGCCATACTTGAATTCAGCACCCTTGGGAATGATGCAAACTTCTAGCTCTCTCAATAATGAACCTCCTGAAAGTATTTGAAGCTCGCAAAGTAAACGGCACAGTTCAACGAGGCCATCTTGACTTCGGGGCTCATGAAGCTTGGCGCTTAATATCATCCTCCACTTTCTTACCAATCTAATACCTGGGTTCCTTTGCAATGAAGCCTTTTGTATGGAGTTGGTAGGTTGGTTGTCCCAGCGAGTCAAGGGACTGCATAAGGTCAGGGGTTGAATTGCTTCCAATGCTTCAACGTGTATGTTCGGTAGTGATTCCACAATGAAATGGTTCAAACCATACAAAACCTCCTTTCCTTCTTCATGGAAAAGGCGACAGACAAGGAGTACCTGTGGGCTCAAGCCGTACTTCGAATCAGCTCCGTATCTCTCATTTTGGTCGATAGCAGACGCCTCTGCTAACTCGGTGTTCACCAATAGACATATAAATATATTTCTCCGAATTTCTGTAGGTATATTTTGTAAGCTGGGTGGTGTAATAGTGATCAAAGCAAGCGCTGCCTGATTTTGGGCTTCTATTGTATCCATTTTGAGAACTGATCAAGTAGTCCGTAGTATCAGCAATGATGGGTTTCGAAAATCTTATACGTGTGCACTTTCCTATGACAAGTGTAAAACTGGCAGTGTTGCACAAATTTCCAACAAGAACCAACACAAGCTGAGTCTTCGCAAGATACCTCTGACTGAGTTAAATGGTGTTTGCTATTGAGTTGGAAACTGAAATCCAGGGCTAAATGTGGACAAAAGCACAATCAAGTTTCGAAAGATAGGGTGTATTTCAAATCTATTGTGCTCTCAAGATTTCTTTCGTGCGAATACAGAAAAATTTATCGATAAACAGGTGTGATTCAAGGATGCAAAGAAAACTTAAAAACAAGTACAGAAGCCTAGACTATCCAAATACTAACAAAGGTTGTCAAAATTTAGTTTCAATGCTTCCACTGCTGTATCCTGTGCTTTGACCTGCTTGAAATTCTCATAACTATCGGCTTTCGGACTCGGACTTAGGCTTAACAGGATTATGGATAAGATTGATGTATAAGTGAATGTATTAGTTATAATTTCGACCTTTAGCGAATTTTTCTTTAATGAACATCCAGTAGTGTTTTGAATCTTCTTCTTAGCATCTCTTGTAAAACTAGTTTCTTCTTTTGAATTTTGCAAATCCCAAAGAACCTCCCTTTCAGGTTTTCACTTCATTCCAAGCTGGAGGTTTCCAAAAAAGTCACGTCCGAAATATTGTTCAACCACAAGGTTTGGACAAAATTTGCTTTACTATTCCTCCATTACAGATAGTAGGTATTCAAGAAGGGTGAAGAAGTTTTTTCTTGACCAGAGTCGTTTCTTTCAGACTCGCACATGTAAGTTGCATTCGATTTAAGATTCAAATTTGAACATCAAATAGTACCTGGAGTTATGCCAAAGTATTTACTGACACTATAGTGCTAGACAACATAGGTCATGAATCATCCATCATCCAGAGAAGATATCACAACTACTACAAAACAAGATTCGAAGTCAACAACCCCAGACGAAAAGATTGACACTACTGTGGACGCATCTCACTCTTTATCGAGATCCTCGCTCAATCAAATCATGGATTGCACAGTAAGGGACACATTGTCCAGTTCTCCAGTCGAAATCAAAGAACTTAAGGGCGCCCTCATCAGCATTCCACAAGAAATTCGGGACATGATTTACTCATACCTCCTAGTCAACCCGGTCCTAGGACAAGCCGCTTCAGTCTCGTCAGAAACCACTTATGGCAGTACTCAGAAGTACAATCTCGAGACTGCAATCCTTTATGTGTGTAAACAAACATACCAGGAAGGCATTTCCATCTTGTACAAGAACCCTATTTTCATAGACTGCAGCAACAGTCCTGGTGATTGGGAATTCATAGATGGTGTGTTCGATGAAAGTTTGGAAGTTGAAGAAGACGAACGAAATGGAATCCTGGAGCCCTGTATCATCAACCTCTGCCCATTAACTCGTTACACAAATTGGCAGCCTAAAGAACATCAAGACAAGCCGTTGTTTCGCGATACCCCAAATATTGAGAAAGTGGAGAATTGGAACGTCCTCTTGAACTCTTTCGAACCAAAATGTCTCAGCTCAAATGCTTTCGCTGAATTTTGTATTTCAGTGTATCGGTATCCGAATGTCTCCCTAAACATCTCAATTTTGCCCATGATCTTCCATGAATGGCAAACCGACACAGAAGCAATATCATTTGTCTTGGATGGAGGTCTGGTTAACAATCTGCTACCATTAAAGATGGTGCGGAATATTAAGAGACTTGTTATCAAATGTGCTGAAATCCCTGTGATTCCGGACTACTGTTATGACCGAGATCATGACAGAAAGCTATGGCCTGCGGACTTGAGCGTACCTGACTTACCTTCGCCGGAGCTCATTAGCGAATACGTCAAGCTCACTAGCGGGGCCACTCCTATTATTGAATGTGTGACTCTTCTCGGGGAAAGATTGAAGGAGTATTTCTGGTTGTTCCATCGTGCAGAATTTGTCGTTATCAACAGAGAGTTCGCTGGCCTTCGACGCAGTATCCGAGTCTATGACATTTCGATTCGCCCGCCCGAGGCCGTCGGTGGTGGACTGGTCATTCAAGAAGACGAACAAAGTTTCCTCGACTGCGGAGAACTAGTCGAAGCTATCAGAGATCCTTCTCTTGAGCACACTGAAACCGCCGAGGACGTTCTCCGTTTCAAGCAGTATCGAAAAGAGTTACTTGGAGTACTAGAGCCGGAATACCAGAATATTCGTGCTTGTTCCATTAAATTTCGAGAGTTTCTTCAAAGCGAAAGCGGCCCAACCGGGGTTTTTGTGATTGGGCCTTCTAGAGCTGTTGATCCACTGGATTACTGGACCAGAGTGACAAGAGCCATGGAAGTATTAGAGTATTACGAATACTCATTTGCAAGGGGAAATACAGAAAAACTAAGGCTTTCTTTGGCAGAAAAAAACAAGTACTTTGTGTTGGCGTATGATTCGGTTGAGTCAGGGAAAGTGATGAAGAAGATGGCCTGGGCATACGAAAGGAGGATGTGGAAGAAGCTTATGCTTTATTACAAAATCGCCATTGGACGCATGGAAAAGCACTATTTCAAAATAAGATGGTGCCGAAAAGATCTGTTCAAATGGGATATTTCAGACAGAGGCTCTGATCTGGACACCCACTCCGATGTGGTGGAGGCAATTGTTTGGCCTAAGCCAGAGTCAAATGCACAACTCGACCGGGAGCATATAATCGAGATTTCCAAGGGTGAGACAAGTGATGAAGATCTTGAGTATTCTCCATGCCTCGGACAGAATGGTGATGACGATGACGATGATGATGCTAGGTAGTTTGGCGATAGCGAAGATTGATATGTTCATCCAAACAGCCATCATATTGCTGACTCGATCGAAGTTCTTGTTGGCTTGTCATCTAGTACTACCATGAATTGTCTCGATTATGATCCTGCTCAACTAGCCAATGTCTAGTGTTATCAGTCAGCTCACGTCTGGTCGCATCGATGTGGGAGAAATGTTTTCATTGATGGCGCCATTGATATCTCAGATGCTACAGGACCAACTAAGAGACTGAAGCTCTCTGATTCGACAAGGCATAAGTTATAGTTTTATGGTTCTTCCTAGGTACTTGAATATAAAATAGTTTCATAAATGAGATCGATCATGAAGAGATGTGCTCACATATAAATCTATGAACACCTCAACTGATCGTTTTCTACATCTCTTCTCATGTTGGAAATGACGCTCTACCTAGTCAGCCGCATGATCAAATTAGATTATCAAATTTGTCTAGTTGTCATACCAAAAGCTCACCGTCACTAAAAATAAGCTAGTGACGATGACCTCTATTCTAGGTCCTTTAAACTACCTATATGTGTAGGCTTCTTTACTCAATTATTCATCAGACTTGAATTATTTTTTAGTACAGAAACGACAAATTACTTCTAACGGGGATGCCATTCTCATTTCTCTATTCTTGTAGACCACATTCACACGTCGATGTCGTACAAACTAAATCCATTCATGGACGCCTGTATTTCAATGAAGCAGGAATTAGTTATCCTCGCCCACAGATACCTACACGTCTATACCGGCGTCCATTGATTGATATTGGTTGAGACCAGATTGATTGACTAGAATCTAAGCAATCAGGCCGGACTGGTATTCCATTGTACGAGAACGCTGTTTTTCTAAAAAGAAAAAACTTGATGTAGAAAGGGAATTGGCCAGCGGATCAATGGTATCTCTTTCATTTGAACTGCTCGTGCAAAACAAGATTGGAAAAGTCTGCTCTGACTATCATAAAGTTTGAAAAGCTGTAGAATACCTATATTGGGTCTCCAAATTCGAAAATCATTCTAGTCAGGAAGTATGAGACGAGATGACATCATTTCGCGGTGCCTTGTCCAATGATAGATGCACTAATGTTTCGCTACGGCTGCTACAACGTTTTGTGCACATCTTATGCATATATCTATACCACTTGCCATTGCCATTGTGACGTCAGTGACTGCATTCTGAAAATAGCTTAAGGTGCCAATTATGATTGGACTGGCGATTGACTCTTGATTCGTGCTACAATATCAATTCATGCTCATCAATACGAAGTTCTAGGTCTACTGGACAACTTAATAAGATTTTGTTTGAACTAATCTTCAAAATGTAGCTCCAAATTATCCTTCCCTTTCTTTTTTTCCAAGACACATTTCTCAACACCCTGTGGTGGCAGAATCCGTGGTTGACGAAGTGATCCTTTCGTAATTGCCATAAATTCTACAATACCTTCATTATGTATTGAATAAATCGTTTTTAAAGTATTAATATGATTAATCTAAATCTCTATACCTTACAAGGTTTATTCTAATCAATAAGGTCTTAATGAAATTCTTGAATTTGGAAAGCTTTTAAGTTTTAGCCTAAAGCAATCATTTTCAGATCAAAATATCTATATATATTCAAATTAGGTTGTTCTCTTGTTTATTTAGCACATTCTGCATTGTGTGGCGCAATGGTAAAGCTTTTGATTGAAGAATAAATTGAAAGTGAGTGGCAAGCAATGGGGTTACTCCCCTTTAAACTTTCGGCTAATGCTTTCCATCCACCCTCTAGCTCCTACGCTCATCCCCCCCTCTCCCCTTTAGCTTTAGCTCATCTCTTTGACCTCCCTTTAGTTCGTATGCTCACTCCCTTCCGTTCACCTTACCTATAGCTCTAATATTCGAAGATCTCGAAATTCCTAAGGCCTCTTAGGGCCTTTATTTTCTTTTTTTCCATTGAAATTCAATAATAAACGGGTCGCAAAAAGAACCGATTTGATTCGTCAGTAACGAAGAGCTTTATTCATCATTGACGAATATATATATCAATATCGTAATATACGAAATAGAAATTTGTATAGGGATTTATATTGAATTTATCTTCGTCCGGAATATTAACTTTGCCACCACAGGGACAGCTAGGCCAAATTCTAAGATACCAAGTAGATTTCATCCCATATTGCTATCTCACACTCCCTCGTCCATTGATCAAGCCACATATAGAGATACTTAACTCAATATCTCCAGCACCAACTCATATCAAACGCGATATTTATGCTCCAGAACCAAACAACCAAGAAGTACATATCTTCACTAGATGAGACGACACCAGAAAAATAATCTCTGTTCATTATTTCTCATTCACTACATACCGCCCCACCAAACTTACAGCCACAAACCTTTAAATTCTACCGATTAAGAAAAAATTATTCAGACAAGTACGGCCAGAATCTAGATATCCAGGGTCTTTGGGCGACAGATCAGGAATCCACTCGACCTGAAGATTAGTACGACCTCACATTCCCATTAACCTATACATCCTAATCAAAATCAGACAGTATAGAGTACCAAGCATTCTAGCCTTAACAATAAGTAGGTATATATTAAAAACGGTCACTGTGATACGGCACAGTTCCTCCTATGTACGGTACAATACGTCTCGCTACTCCTACACACCCCCCTGAGTACCTACGTCGTGACAACACAGCTCGCTAATCATGTTGACTCCTTAGTACGGCGCAATACGGTTCTTCGGTCGTCTTAGCAACTACTCCTATGATACGTAAACATCTTTCTCCTTCCAGTTCCAGTCGATATCTTCTTTTGATATTTATCATTTATTTTCTTGATAACTCGGGTTCGAATTCAGACTCCAGGAACTCAGAAGATAAACGGTCATCTACTACGGTGCAATACAGTACGTTAGTGTCTCCAACAGTTTCTTGCAAGAATACTTAAGACTCCTTCTTCCCACTTCGACACAACCTCTTCTTCCGACATTACCTTCTTCTCCAACCGATCAATTATCAGGATCATTCGGAAAAGAAATAAAACAAACCTCCAACTTCCAAAAAGACGCATCCCTACTTCATATTCATTGATAGTCTTTGCCTCTTCCCGTTTCACCAGAAACCAATCTGACAGCATTACTCTTGTGCACTATCACAATATCCCACATCATTTCGACAATCCAAAGACTACCACAGAAAGTAACACGATATTCATCATGCAGAGCCCCAGAAAAATTGCGAAGATAAAATCTCCAACCTCTAAGCATCTCACCGGCAACCAGCCAGCGAGACCACATTCCAATGGCTCCTCCTCATACAGAGACACCCCGCCACAGAGTCCCATCATATCGGGGATTTCATCTCGCGGCTCAGACGCCCACATTCTGAACATGCCACGAGAAATCACTCACAAGATTTTCTCGTACCTGCTTATCAGCCCCATTCTCGGAACCGGTACCGCCATCACCACGATCGCAGATCCCGTCAAGAATGGGAAGCGAGTAGTCAACGTACCCAAGTACGAATTGCACCCAGCGATTCTCCGCGTTTGCAAGCAGATGTATCACGATGGCGTTCACGTGCTTTACCGGCAAAATGAATTTATCATGGATTGCACGAATTGGATATATCGGGACGATTCCAATGAAGAGCTAGGTGGAATCTATGAGTACACTAGCAGTTATGACTACGATTACTTTCCCATCACGACTGCTCTGAATGTTTCCCCACTGGCTCGATATGCCGAGCACTCTAATGTGGCTCCAACCGAACAGGATTGGGAATACCAGGGAAATGAATTCTTTTACGAACAGCCAAATTTGAATCGTCTCGTGGGTCCTCAAGCCCGATATGTTCGGAAGTGGAAAGTTGTTGTGCGTGGGGATGAGGGGCATTTCACGCATAGATTCGATGAAGCTGCATTGGCACAGTTCTGTCATGCTATCTGTCAATGTCCAGACCTTTCGTTGTCTTTCATCGTTTGCATAGAAAAAACCTCGGAACAGACCCAAAAAGCAACTCGTGCGGATTTTGCCAGACATTTGAGTTTTGGAGAAATATTCGCTCCTCTCAAACTATTGAGGAATGTGCAGAGCGTGGAGTTCAGAGAAGCACATTCGAATATCGATGAGGAAAAAGGTGGAGAAGAGTTCCCCGAGTCGCTCCCGGTTTATCTGGATGAGATTCATCAAATGGTCGACGACTCTGCAGCGACTCTCATATCGGGAGAAGAGAAGGACAAGTACATCGATTTAATGAAGGGGTCTTCGCCATTAGCCGATCCCATCAACCTAATGTGTGACGAGCTTGTGGCATATACCAAAACCTTTGGGAGCGTGCCCAAATTCAGACAAGACATAGATGTGGGCAGCTTAGATACTACCAACCAACACAAAAAGTCATACAATACGCTTGAGGGCACTCTCCGACAAGCACGAGCAACAGCATTGGTTGGGAACCTCAAAGTGTTCAAAACTTTACGCATGGAGCTGCTGTTAGATATCGAAAATGATCAGTTCCAGAGAATTAAGCGTTGTTTTTCCAAATTAAACGAATTCAACTTGCAGGATAGGGTCTTTCGCGGAATGCTGTGTCAAGGAGAATTCAACAACCGCATATATGAGGATCAGGGATTTATGTTGGATCTTAACAAGAATTCGCCCGAGACACGTCACTGGCGAGAGAAGATCACTAAAGCTCTTCTTTTGCTGGAAGATTATGCTGAATCTTTGGAAATAGACTTGAACAAGAATTCTATATACCGCCCAGGATATCGTCTTCGAAACCCTGGAGCCTATGTCAAGAATCCTGCAAGAGAGAAATTGTTGCGAAAAGTCAGAAAGGCACATAAATTTCGGGATTACGGCTTTTTCATACACTGCTTCCAGAAGGCCGTCAACCAGTTGAATGATCAATACATTGAAATCTTGAAGGCTAAACAAAATCTCTTCCGATGGGATGCTAGACCTGCTCCAAGAGGAATTGACATCCCTGTTGGGAACGTTAA